TATCAAGTACAGTCCTGACCGTTGGTACACGGGCCAAGCTTGAAAAACTGCAGGATAGATTCGATCATTTTCAAGCGTGGAAATGGCAATAGAAATGCGAGAGGATTGCGCAACATGGGTGAAAAGGAACGTGGAGTGAGGTGGGCTTGCAGTAATTACCCACTGAGTCCCACGCCTAGGCGAAAACCTGTGTGATTAATAGAACTACAAGAGGACGCAGAATATCATTTTAGCATCACCTGCCACGCACCTCACGTCTCGCAGCACTGACCAACCCCTCTACCTCCCAAGCCTCATCCGCTTCCTAACAGGCGTATCCGAAGTCATTACCTCCGACGAAACTGAGGCTCACTCGCTCTGTCTCTGATATGGATGGGAACGAAGAGGTAGAGGTTAGAGAGCGGCATGATTGACTATGGAACGGTTTGCGTTGAGGGTGTGGAGTACATGTAGCATATACGTGAGGAAAAGTCAATCTTACTTTCAATTCTCACGTGATCCACTATAGTCTATGATGTTGTTTGTTTATAGCACCTCATCAGAAACGAATCCCATTTCCCATTCGACTAGAACGTAATGCATGGAACAAGCGCGTTCGTGAACGTTTTACTCGAGAACCTGCAGAGCAACGCTCTTAATCGCAATGCCAAGACATCAGTACTGTCGTGCTTTTGTGGACACGCGGGGCTCTGTGCAACATAGCATTGTAAGCTGGTTTATGGACTTCTGGGTCTGTTCATTCCTGACCATCGCTCGCTAGCTCGACTTTGATATCGTAACTGCAGGAAGGAATCCTAGAGGCATACACCGGCGTCGTCACTGGGTTCGCATCTTCCATTCTGACTCATCTTTCCACTCATAAAATCGTCCCTAGCACCTACACTACTCCCTCACATGCACAGCATCCTCGAGCTCGTGGAGCATTGTCCAGCCGACGACGAATGATCCGACTCCACCGTGAAACTCCTTTGGCCCCATCGGCAACCTCACAAACTGTTTCCCCAATGGCCAATGACACCGTGACTTCCTTTGTGTATGTGCTATATTGTTTTCTGATGTTTTTCTGTTGCCTCAATTTCATTCCGTTTCAATCCCGACATTTTTAACGTGTTCCTTGCAGTTATGCGGTGGAGCAGCCACAGGTCCTTGTGCAGGATTCTGTCTCCTGACACTATGTAACATTTTTCCGCTCTGTCTGGACGAAGTGTTGCGGAAAGCAAGTGGCCGCTTTGTGGGACGGTCCTAATGGTATGTCTGATGCCTTCGCGTCCTTCAGCGCTATCTGACTTCGCACGTGAACTCAAACTTATGCGATTCATCAGCAACGTTTTGTGCGGGATATTTTTTGTTTGTATTTGCAATAACAAAGGGGGGATAAAGCTAACTTTTCAGCACCACGCGCAGCACAAAGCGCAACACTTCCTGTTGCGGATTGTGATCCGGAGGCATGTGGAGTGCCATCCAGATGAATGCGGATTGGCCATCCGCATGGGGACCCACATCTACGGATTGTGATCCGGAGGCATGTGGACCGCCATCCAGATGAATGCGGATTGGCCATCCGCATGGACGCACATCTAAATCTCATCTTCCGGACCCCTGGATTAACGCTCTGGTGCGAGAGGGTCGATAGGCGGCCTTCATTCGACCTTGACAGGGTACTTTGATCACGCTAGATAATGTCTTTTCGCGTCTGATCGTTTGCTTCGGAAGGTATATTTGCCGGATCAGTCTTCATCAGCCGAAGGGCAAGGGAGTTCCTCGAAGTCTTTGTACCCAAGGCATCATCTTATCGTACAATGCAGAGAACCTCAAAAGCTCGAAGCATGGCACTCCCGATTCGATGGACCACGTCACGAACGCTTTGATGAGACCACAAACCGACTATTCCGAGACAAGAAGGAGCTACAATTCGTTCCATTCGGCTCTCCGCTTGACAAAGATCTCTCAGCCGGCATCCATGGAGGCCAGCTGCAAAACGTGCTCCTTACGCACTTCTAGACGCGCTACCCCATGATGCCGCCCTCTGTATCTGAGCGTCAGGCTGTATCCGACCCTGTTGTTGCACTCGCATTCGACCATGCTAATATCAAATGGTGGGATGGGACAATGGAAAAACATAAACGGTGCGATGCCTTCCTTCGGGCAGGTAGACTTGGGCCAGCGATCGAATCACACCGATACATAATGGATACGAACCACGAAACTACGAAGGCGAGTAGCCTTGATTGGTCCACTGGCAAGTCTCAGTAGTGTCGCTCGAGCTACGTCTCACCCGCACTTCACCGTCGTGCTCGCCCTGTCGTCGATGCTTTCCTGTCAGTTCGTCTTGCTGTTTTCACTTGCTCTCTTGATGACAACTTTTACCTTCTTCCCCATCAGCATGACCCCGCTGGCACTCCCATCACTGCATCACCGATACCTGGTGCTAACTCTGCTGATAAGACCAACTCCGCTGCGCCTACGAAAGGAAAAGAAAAGAAGTCGCGATCAAAGCCGCCTCCATACCAACCTTTGTTGACATCCGGTCAACTTCAGTGCATAGAGAATCTCAACAAGATACCGCAGTTGAAGAAAGAGCGAGCTTTCTTTGAGGGTGTACGCAATTCTCATGCAATGATAGTATGTCGTGACCCCAAGTTGTTCAAGCATCATTTAGAGGGCGAGGGCGTGTTACGACATTGGGCGGATCACTTCGAGCTGTAGCTTTTATTGTGTTCTCGTTGTATTGGTTACTTATAAGTTACAGGTAGAGGGCATTTACAGAGACAATACTATCGACTTAATATATTTACGCTCGCGATGGTGCGTCACAGCATGCTGTTGTTCGGGAGCTTTTAATTTTATAATTCTTTGTCTTGTGACTTGCGGTTGTCTGGCACTGTCGAATCTCGACAATAAGTCGTCGCATAGCGATCATGAAAGGGCTTTCAGCGTCGGTTTTCTCGCGTCTTTGTTTGCACAGGCTTAAAATCTACGCGACTCACCATCTTTTGGTCTACTTTGGTTCTCCTAGGATCCTGGAATCTTGTTTGACCAACATGCCCGCCATTCGACGCGGGAGTACATACCTCGATGTCTCCACGACAGCACACACGCCTGAGGGGCGTCTGAAACTCGATAAACTTCATGCTGGTCGCAACCTTGCGTACCAGAATGGTGAGTGTCATTTTTACTTTGACCCTGACATGTCGTGAATGTCTGTCATATAGCTGTCTGTACCGCTTTGCTATTCATTTGCGATGAAAATCGCGACCTTGATCCCGCGGATACCTTAAGCGTATCCTTTAATGCTTTCCAGACTACAAGTTCGTCTGTTAATTTCTGTTCTGTGTTCACATCGCCTCATTGTGGTCCAGTGAGAGGTCGGGCAAGCGCTGCTGATATGAAAATGGGCTCTGGCAAGCATCCTCACTTGCGGCGGCTGCTCTCATTCTTTGTAAGATGTCTCCCGGTCGCGTGAGACTTATATTATTACTGAAGACACACGTCCTACTTTCACAGTGGGAGCATGGGCAGATTGACTTGACCTTTGCCCACAATGGCCGTCAGCGGAACGTGGTCCAAGAGATCGATATTCAACCAAGTTTCCGCGAAATGCAAGTGCTCGTATATAGTCAGTCGAAGTTATGCACTCATCAGTCTTCTGCTCTGTCACAGTCATCATTGTCACCTCGTGAAAAATTCAGGGCATATATGTCGCTTGCAACCAACTGGTTGCAAGCGGTGTCCGATCCTTTCCAAATACCTTTTGGAAAGGATCGAACACCGACTGTGCTCGAGGTAGGGCGAACCCACTCGGAGTCTAGAAGCCCGGCTAGAGGACCAGAGAGGGCCAGCGGCCGTCTGCCCTCTCTGTAGCGGAGCAAAGCAGCGCATCTGTGCTTCACGCAAGACGCTGCTGCCTTCCTCTCTGAGCTCACGGGACTGTGTCGTTCTCATCACCGGTACTACAGGCATCGTGGGCGCACACCTTCTGGAATGCTTGCTCAGTGCATCACACATCACTCGTATATTTCTTCTCAACCGTGCTAAGCCCGGAACTCCGACCATGCTAATATCAAATAGAGGGTCAAAACTACCAGGACAACCCCCAGCTATATGTTCTGTCTACGTTCTTTCTGCTCTCTGGCTCCATATAACACTCTTGGTGGAGTACGTTCTGTGGTTCTATCTGCGCGCACCACTGATGTGTGGCCCCATATAGGGGTTTTCTGCTTGGTCTATCATTGATCTGAAAATCCTTGTAATTTGGAATGCGCTCTACATTTGGAAGGCTCCTGCAGTGGTTCTCAAAGGCTAGCGATCGCAATCCGACATCTGAGCCCACAAGGCGGTCATTTACATTCCCATGCTCACAATCTACTCCGGCGGAAGTGTACGCACGTGTGGCCCTTGCTCTCTATCATCACCCGTTGAATAGCCGGACAGAGCAACAAATCACACTGTACCCTCATAGGGATGAGAATAATCTCTGGCGGGTGTTCAATGCGGCGGTAGATGGCTATGAACAGTACGAAATGATCGCTTTGTCTGGCGTAGACTTTAGAATGATGTTTGTTTTTGATTGCTTTGTTGGCGTAGACTTTAGAATGATGTTTGTTTTTATCTATCTTGACCTCTGTGATGAAGTTCTTTGTGTCATTCCCTTCACAAAGCAATTTGCGGGTATAACTCTTTTATTGCCCTTCCTTACTCAATTCACAACCCCATCGAAAACCAAATTCCGGCGTTATTCCACCAAGATGGTGGGCTTATAGATGTTCCATGTGAAAAGCCTGGATTGCGTGTGCGATCGGACTGCACGAGTGCCCTCTTCAATATCTGGTCAACGGGGTGGATATACCGTTCGACGCTCGATGATGTTGAAGGTGTGTGATGCTGCTCGAATGGCCGTCCCTTGGATGTAACACGTTATAGGTTCACCTGCCTTCGCATTTCTTCGACTCCTGAACACCACTCCGAGTGACGTCCATAGCTTTAAGGTATCTTCCTTCATGCGCAATTGGCTTCGGGCACTTGAGGAAGAGAATAGGATTGTTGAGGACAGAGGGATTTCATAGTAAGCTACCCATGATTATTTTTCCAATTTCCGATCAACCGTTTCATAGGGAAGCGGAATTTGCTGCTCATGCAGGCGCACATCCGTTCAGCATAAGCCCCCGTCTCTCTTTGAGCCTGGATACCGCGGAAGGCCTGCCACATGTTCTTGATATATCTTCAACAGCCTGGCAGGCGTCGAATCTACGTCGACCAACCTTGAAGTGGTTTGTGCCGCCGGCTGTAGCACCTCTGATCTTTCTTCACTGCACAGATCGGACATTCATAGAGCATCAAGTACAGTTGCTAGAGGCACCGATGGAATCATTGGCAATATACGGGCTCCCTCAGCACTTGCGGGATTCGCCTACCATTGATCAGGCGTACCACACCCTAGTTCCTGCTTTGTCTTCGGCAGGACTTGTCGGAAGTTCCCCTGCAAGCCAGCTACCATCTTCAAGCATGCAAATACCAGAAGCAAATAGACTGATCTATGACTCTGCTAAACTCGCTCGGTTAGACGCCCTCTTTCAGGAGCTCAAGGCGGGCGACCATCGTATCTTGATATATTTCCAAATGACTCGTATGATGGACCTTATGGAGGAATATCTGGTCTACCGCCAGTACAAGTATTTACGTCTCGATGGCTCATCGAAGTTGGAAGATCGACGAAATATGGCGATGGATTGGCAGACATGGTCAGTGCTCGACTTAGGTTGAATGTACTCGACTCTGATACATGTTCTCTAGCCCGGAGTCCCCGGACATCTTCATATATATCCTAAGCACACGTGCAGGTGGCCTCGGAATCAACTTGACATCAGCAGATACTGTCATCTTCTACGATCACGACTGGAATCCGTCAAACGATGCACAGGCCATGGATCGCACTCATCGTCTTGGACTCTTGGTCAGACGCGCCAAGTGACTGTCTATCGCCTGATCACGAAAGGCACGATCGACGAGCGTATTATTCAGTTAGCTCGTGTCAAGAAAGATGTTAGCTATTTGTATTCCTGTAATGCAGGACGTTCAATCGATGTTTCTCCAGGTGCAAGATATTGTGGTCGGCAACAAAAACTTCACATACGTCACGAAACCCACCGAAATTGTTCAGCTTCATTCCCACAATCTGCTCCTGGTTCATCTGCTGGGGATTTTGGGGTTGGAACGTCAACTCCAGTGCGATTGAGGACCTTGTTTGGATCGCACAGTCTCCACCGCCGCTCGACCACTGCGGCCTCAGTTTCATCATCTCCAGGTAGCTAGGAGGGAGGATTTACTCCACGGACTGTGCGCATGCGCCGCAACCCTTTTTTGTCACGACTCACCCCCATGACACCGGATACTGGCCTGCAGAGTTCATGATCATCAACCCCATACCGGATTGCCATTGACTGACTTCAATTATTGTACAACTATTCTTCGCCGCACATCTTATCATACCAGCGTCAATTCATACACTCCCTTTTATTTCATTCTTATTCATTGTCTCATGTCGCTGTGGTCGTCATGTACCACGACATACATAAGAATACATTGATCACAAAGGCGTTGACTCGTCAAGTGCACGTGATCAGACCAGCTCAGTCACGTGTGGACGGGCCGGCGCGCCCTGTTGGCTTCGTTTACTTGTGGTCCTTTCATCATCTCTCCATGAATATCTCTTAATCCATGGATTTAAACAGCTCCCCTCGTAAACAGACTCCATTAGCACGTGGGGACGAGACACCTCGTAAACTTTCTACTCCATCTCTAACCAGACGTGTCTTCTGTTGCGGGGTTGTGGTTGAGGGATGTTATAGTGGCAGGAGGTTGCCCGAAGGTGAGCGGTGGTGATGAAGCCTGAAGATTACAATTTGATTTGTACAGACGTCCAAGAGCTAGTTCTATAGGAGACCCCTGGTTGAGTCAGAATGATAGCCACATTCTGCCTTCCGCAACAGACACATCGTTCTCAGAACACAACCAGCCAGTGAGTAGTACCTGCTAACATTTGTCTGCAAAGGCGAGACGCTTCGCTTGCTCACACTCAGATTTGGTCGTTCTCCTTCGTGTCTTAGGATGGATTGCAACGTAAACGCGCGCTTACAGATTCAACGGGGAGCTTCCTGAAAGCTTATCGAGTCTTTCAAGCGAGGCTGGATGGCGCATGAAGAGTGTGCTAAAGTAGTACCTGAGACTTGGGTGGATGGGGTTGAGACGGAGATGTTCATGGAGAAAAAGGGTATTTGGTGTGGATGCGATCGTGAGAGATCGGTGGAATCTGGTATGTTCCAACATACACCTCACACGTTTAGCTAACCTTCGCGTATAGAAATGTGCTGTTTGTTCAAAGGCACGACAGAAGGCCCCTGGTGCACCCATCCAGTGCACTAAAGGCAAATGTGCGAAATCCTTTCATGTCGGCTGTGCGAGAGATGGAGGGATCAGCGGCATTGTTTACTCGATACTGCGCGAGGTTGAGAAGGAGGTGATCCTAGTCTACCCGTCGTTCAAAGCTGGTGTCATTGGTCCTTCTGGTTTCCCCACGTTCACCGTCAATCACTTCAACGGCCCCGTCGCCTGCTCTGCAGAGGGCTTCTTGGACCGTAACTTCGATGCTCCCAACTTTTATTTCGTCTCTCTTTTCGGTGGCAACACAAGGCCACCCCAAGACACTTCTCTTCGGGACACTAGGCCACACCTGGACTTCAAGCTACGATGAGCAGTTGTAAGTTCAAAGTCTATTAGTCGACTCAGTGGTACTGACTGTAGTTGCTTACATTCCAGTTTCTGAATCTCGTCCGGCCATTCCTTCCACTCCTGCCAGAGGTTTCTTCGCCAGATTGTAAAGTATGTGCTATACATACCTTTGTAGGTCATGACATGCAAAACTCATCAAGTTCTTTCGTTTTCAAGTTCCTTTCAACCAAAAGCTGCTATGGATCGCCGTTACGCTACTCATTGGCTTGGTCTGCCGTCAAGTACCACTGTATGGCATCATGGCTTCGGATTCCTCTGACCCTATGTGCTGGATGCGTGTCATCCTTGCTTCCAACCTTGGAACCCTCATGGAGCTTGGTATAAGCCCTATCGTTACGTCCGGAACGACTATGCGACTACTGAATTTAATCGAGGTCGACTTCAGCTTGAAGGAAGACCACACGCTGTTGAGACTTGCGCGTTGCGGTGGCCCGGCAAATTGCCAACCTTCCGTCTGTTCCAGACGAAGGCTAGTCACTTTTTCATTTACCAAAGCTTATCTGACGCGGTTTACGCGAATATCACAGTTGTTGCCGTCAAATGCACCCCGTTTAACATCGAAACATTCCGGCAGGAGACTTTGGTGAAGTTTCCGATGTTCACGCCACCGCCATGCAACACGTAAACTTCCTGTCACAATGCAACTCACCCCAGACTTACGTCTAACATATCATCGGGACGACGGCGATCTCCTCGACAACCTCATCAGGCGAGCACTGACTCGCCTGCGCTTAGTGCGCCGTATTGCTGTGGATTGCCATCCGCAGGCACGTGGATTGCCATCCGGAGCACGGACTTCAGCGCAAGTCTCGCAATCCTATCTCGGCAAAGTCAAACTCGAGCTCCAGGACCAGTCCAATACCCTGTCGAGCATCCCAAGAAGTTCCTTTCGGTGCGCGGCGGATGAAAGCAATCAAGGCTAACCAGAAAAACCAGGAACAAGAACAAGACCTCGCGAGTCGGTCTGAAGCTATCAGGATTCATGGGCGGGCCATGAGATCATCGACGTGGGGGCGGATTTGGAGGTGGGCTGGGGCAGGCTAGGTATTTGCTGCCGACTTTCCGTGTATTTTGTTGCTGACGCTCAATCTCAGGGCTGTAAGGGGGGGGGGGGGGGACTCATCCATTCCGCGGAAGTCTCGCAATCCTACCTCGGGGATGGTCCTCGTGAGCGATACTGCGTGTGGCACGTCCCGCAGATGGATGTTGTTTCGCCTGTGCCAAATGGCTATGGTCGATCGCACGACCCTGCTCGTCTCCGACTCATGACGTGAAAGGTTGTACGGCGGGGGACAGGAAGACAGTAAGTATTTGATTCGAGATGACGGTCACTTTGTACGGTCACTGTTGTACTGTAAGTAAATAGTACCTACGCAATGACAATAACTGGGATATGAGCCGCTCACGATGTGGTTTGGTGAATCCGAAGCCATTGTTAGTGATGTATTCGACAAGGCCCATGCTGCCGCTCCTTGTGTCATTCTCGTTGGAATTCTCGACCCGTTTACCTACATTATTTTAAATATCATCAACATTTTTCTGACGTCTGTATTTTAAATATGATCAATGTTTGAAACAAAGAAATTGTGCTGACCACATTTTAAATACAAACACACTTCTGACGCACTGTGAACTTAATGTATATGCCACCTACAAAGTTAATAGATTTTGTGGCTCTTAGATTTAAAATTTGAGTGCCAGAAATAATTTATTCAAATGCTGGACAAAAGGTAGACTATGTTGACGGACAAAATGATAATCTGAGCTTGATCACAACATTAAATATTATCTGGTTGCAAAATTCAAACTTCGACTAGCATATTTTGGTGACAAAAACATTGGAAAAACGGTGAAAAAAACACCAACCTTTGTGTTGGAACAAAGGATGATAGAAGTTTGGTTATGAGCATGGCACAAAGTCAAAAATTTATCTAGGTTTGTACTGCAGAAAAAGTGTTTGAATTGTTGAAGTATATGTTGATGCAATATTGTGGACGAAATCTGACTCAATATTTAACTTCGATCAATGTTTTTCATCACGAAGAAGTGGATAAAAAGTCCAAATTCTGTCAAACATTTTGATTGCCACAAAATTGTAAAATTTATTTTAACCTTTTTTAGCATTTTTTCAACATTTTATGCTGCGAAAAAGTCATCCATGCTTCCGGTGGATACCTCATATAAATAGTTATGTCCTGTTGGCTTCAGTTCCGCTTTGGTCTCAGTACTCAGTATCACTCAGTGGGGACATTCAAAGATGGCCACTGACATTCAAATATTCAATATTCAACGTTGTCAACATCCAGACTCATGCTATGCATGCAGAATCATACCCAGCGTAGCTTTAACCATCGTACTGACCTCTTGTAGAATTAATTACTATCTGTACAATGAACTTGTTTTCCGTGATAATACAACAGTCATTGAGGACATACAGACACGATAGATGAATGGACAATGAGCTAGCTGTGAGCCTTACAAGCATTAGTACTAGTATTATCCCGGCGTGGTTACATTCCGAATCCTGTTAATACACGAGCAATGTGAAAGAGAGATATAGATACGCGATAACAAGACAGCATGACATCCAGTGATAAAATCGACAGTTTCAGACCCGGGACTGAGATGACTCTGCAGCTTCAATGAGATGTTCCTATGCACGCATGTCAGGTGGTTAATCACAGGAATCATTGGAAATCAGCACACCTTTGCAATTGTCTGCCCTTCAGATAAAATGACGAGGCAAGACTGTAGACCCTTCAAACACCACTGCCGTTCAAGCCAAGCGAGGAGATACTGATTCCAGAAAGACTTGAATTTCTGATCAAGCGCGCCGCTCCATGGTTTCCGAGCTCGCGATAGATGGACGGTCCAATTTTGGCATGCATACTGTAGAGCATCGGAAGTTGATCCACTTCGCTCCCGTGCTTCAGTTGCGAAAATCGTGAACGCGGTCATAGCATGGATGACCTCAATGTCTGGACGATCTGGTGGGAATGCGGAGGTGGAGTGATCCTGGGGCCTTAATGCCAAGAATACTGGAAACATCAAGAAATCTGGTAAGCTCTTGAACTCCTGGATTACTCGAAAAGCTGGCGGTAAAGGCAATTGTGGGCTGATTGTGTATTCGCTGATCGTTTCCAATGTGTTCGAGAAGTCTTCCATTGTTACCCAGACAGACGCCGCAGGGGTCAATTGCCATGCTTGCCCATCCGGAGTCTGGAGCCACTCTCGCCCGCTCTGGGTCTGGAGCCACTCTCGTCCGCCCTTGGTCTGGAGCCAGTCCAGCCCGCTCGGAGTCAGCAGCCAATCTTTCCCGGGCTGCATCTGCAGCCATTCTTGACCACTCTTGGTCTGCAACCCATCTGGGGTCCGCAGCCACTCTCTCCCGTCCTGAGAATAAAGCCATTGTCGCCCTTCTGCGATCAGGAGCCACTCTTCCCCGCTCTGGGTCAGCAACCACTCTCGCCCACTCTGGGTCAACAGCCACTCTCGCCCGTGCCAGGTCTGCAGCCAATCTTGTCCACTCTGGGTCTGCAGCCAATCTGTCCCGGCCCGCGTCTGCAGCCACTCTTGTCCACTCTGGGTATGCAGCCTATCTTGCATGGCCTGCGTCTGCAACCACTCTCGTCCATTCTGGGTCTGCAGCCATTCTATCCCGGCCTGCATCTGCAACCACTCTTGTCCATTCTTGGTCTGCAGCCATCCTGTCCCGGCCTGCGTCTGCAACCACTCTCGTCCATTCTGGGTCTGCAGCCACTCTGTCACAGCCTGCGTCTGCAACCACTTTCGTCCACTCTGGGTCTGTAGCCAAATTTTCACGGCCTGCGTCTGCAGCCACTCTCGTCCATTCAGGGTCTGCAGCCACCTTGTCCCAACCTCCGTCTGTAACCACTCTCCTACACTCTGGGTCTGTAGCCAATTTTTCCCGGCCTGCGTCTGCAGCCACTCTCGTCCATTCTGGGTCTGCAGCCACCTTGTCCCAACCTCCGTCTGCAACCACTCTCCTTCACTCTGGGTCTGTAGCCAATTTTTTCCCGACCTGCGTCTGCAGCCACTCCCTCCCAGCCTGGGTCAGCAGCCACCTTGTCCCAACCTCCGTCTGCAACCACTCTCCTTCACTCTGGGTCTGTAGCCAATTTTTCCCGACCTGCGTCTGCAGCCACTCCCTCCCAGCCTGGGTCAGCAGCCACCTTGTCCCAGCCTCCGTCTGCAACCACTCTTCTCCACTCTGGGTCTGTAGCCAATTTTTCCCGACCTGCGTCTGCAGCCACTCCATCCCAGCCTGGGTCAGCACCCGCGCACTCAAGCGCCGATTATTTAGCCAACCTTGCCCACTAACCATCTTTCGGAAATCCCAAGTCTCCAGCCACTCTTGCCCACTGCTGGTCTTCAGCCACTCTTGCCCGGTGCTGGTCTCTAGCCACTCTTGCCCGGTGCTGGTCTTCAGCCACTCTCGCCCACTGCTGGTCTTCAGCAACTCTTGCCTGGTTATGGTCTCCAGCCGCTCTTGCCTGGTTATGGTCTCCAGCCGCTCTCGCCAGGTTAGTGTCATCGCCCGCTCTCGCCAGGTGATGGTCTCCAGCCACTCTTGCCCGGTGCTGGTCTCCAGCCACTCTCGCCCACTGCTGGTCTCCAGCCACTCTCGCCCACTGCTGGTCTTCAGCCACCCTCGCCCACTGCTGGTCTTCAGCCACCCTCGCCCACTGCTGGTCTCCAGCCACTCTTGCCCGGTGCTGGTCTTCAGCCACTCTCGCCCACTGCTGGTCTCCAGCCACTCTCGCCCGCTGCTGGTCTTCAGCCACTCTCGCCCGCTGCTGGTCTTCAGCCACCCTCGCCCGGTGCTGGTCTTCAGCCACTCTCGCCCACTGCTGGTCTTCAGCCACCCTCGCCCGGTGCTGGTCTCCAGCCACTCTCGCCCGGTGCTGGTCTCCAGCCATTCTCGCCCACGGCTGGTTCCCAGCCACTCTCGCCCAGTATTGGTCTCCAGCCACTCTCGTCCCCTCCGGGTGAGCAGCCACTCTCGGCCACCTGGGGTCTGTTGCAGCCACACTCCCCCGGTGTGGGTCTTTAGCCACGCTTCCCCGCGTCGGCACTGCAGCCACTCTCGTCCATTCTGGGTCTGCAACCACTCTCCCCCGGTCTGGGTCAGCAGCCATTCTTGTCCGCTCGGAGTCTCCAGCCAGCCCTGCCCTCTGAACGTCTCATGCCAGTATTTCTCGCTCCAAATCTCCAGTGACACTTGCTCTTCAGGGTCTCCAACGACTTGCCGCCGTTTCTCAGTCCACAGCCACCCTCGACTGCTCTTCAGCCACTCTCGCCCTCTCTCGGTCCGCAGCCAATCCTCCCCGACCTGGGTCTGCAGCCAGCTTTCCACTTCCTGGGTCCGCAGATACTCTTCCCCACCTTGGGTCTGCAGCCATGCACGTCCGTCCAAAGTCCCTAGCCAGGACCGCAAACCTGACCCGCGAGCTCCTCGAAGCCATAACAGACCCACAAGAACGTTCAGTGGCTCTGGTGGCTCGACGACGAAGGCTAATGATTGTTGTAGGCTCTTGGGGTCATCGGTTTGCGTAGCTTGGTTGTACCCCTTCAATTCTGAGAGCGCGTCCAGGAGGGCTGTGCTTTTTGGAATGTCTCGCACCATCAAGCGGAAACAAGATTCAGCGAGTAAGGAGTGTGGTGACGTTATAGATTGCTGCGACACTTGTGGAACTTTGCAGTTCGAGGGGTCCGAAACATAGTCACGAACAGACGAGTGATAGATATTCAAGGGGAGACTGCTATCTGTAGGAATATCCATGACAGATCGTAGCTGTACTAGTGTCGTCTCGACATCCTTTCCCTGGCCAGGCCCAAGGAGTTTTGAGATCTGTGAGATTGACAGAGGGTCGGCAAGGGCTGCGACAATGGACAAGAAGAGGTACGCCCGCGTGGGGTCTGCGCATGTGGAAAGGATCCGATCATATAATTCGTACACCTCCGTCCCTGGCAGCAGTTCACTAGTGAGCGAGAGCAAGAGCTCAAGCCGATCCTGGGGATCATTGTATCCATCGTCGATGAACTTCATCATTGTAGATGCCACGATGAAACGCCTGCCCGCTCGGCTCGCCAATCGCGCAAGTTCATCCGTCGTTGGCTGCGGAAAATCGGGATGGCGACTCTGCAACTCTGTAAAGGAATGCTGCAAGAATATATGTATGTCGTTGTCAACATCCGCGCCGTCTAACGATATGGTGGCAGCAACGCCCTCCCCAGAGGTGTTCACCGGTATCTCGTACACCAGCGAGTGCATCTCGTCTTTTTGAATAGCTTTACAGATATGCTCCTCTGAGCGACTCGTGAGGAGAATATGGATCACGGGAAGTTCAGGATCACGAAGGACTTGGCCAAGCAGGAAGATGAGATCAGCGACAGTTTCGGACTTGCATTCGTCGAGGGCATCAATAACAAATGCCGGAGGCAGACACCCGTGCTGTCTTTCTTTAAGGTGGCAGAGAGGTTGCCGAAATAATGCCATCATTTGGTCGCGAAGAGATTGGCCGGGGTTTAGAACCAACGGATTCTCGCGGATAGCTCTGGTCACGTGTGTGCGGATGCTGGGGAAATTTCTCGCTAGCTGGTAGGCAAGCGTCGCAAAGAAATGCCCAGTCGTGCTGCGGTTCGTATGCTTGCGCGAGAAAAAGAATGTCCCCGCGAGCCGTGTTTCGATTTTCGTCTCCTCTGTCACTTTCAGATTTCTCATCCTTTCAGCTACAGTGAACGCAACAGCAGACTTTCCGACGCCCGCTGTTCCATGCAGCCAAATGAGTCGACTCTTCTTTCGGTCATCTAATAATTTATGGATGCATTCAAGAAGGTCCAACCGGGTCCCTTCTAAACATTTCGGATGGGGCTGGCGTTCGGGAGAGTCAAATGCGGCGCCTGGGACAGCGACCCGGGCAAGCTTTTCCCAAGGTCCTTCAGACGATTGAGGAACTGCAATTGGGTCAGAGACCGAGAAAAGAGATAAAGAAGAAGGATACCGACACTGATCCCAGTCACTCATCGACAGAGACTAATGATAAAATGTGATAGAAAGCGTGAGGTGGAGTGCGGCGACTCAGGGACTCTCAGGGAAGTCCTGGTTGGGTTCGAACAGTTAGAAATCTTATTGACAATAACTATACAGAAGGACGACTTACGACGACGTGAACTGAAGAATCCAAGTCTATGATCTTGTATCTTGTTTGTGAGTCCAGTGTAAGTCGTAAAAAGCCTTACGCTGTGAAATGATATTTGGGCAGTCAGCTACTCAGTGCGTGTGTTCGATTGGGCAACGAAACGATCGGACGATAGAGATGGCTAGGTTTGAAGGATGCTTGGGATAGAATGAATAGATGGTCGCAGTGCTATTCAAAGCTCGCTGGATGGTGATGGAATGCAGTAGAAGGACGGGCGGGCGCTTGGCTGGTTGTGTGAAGGACAACAGCTGTGTGGCCTGTAAAGGAGATGCCGACAAAAACAACATACATAGCCTCTGGGGGTGGACATAATGCATGCAATTTGCTTCTTACGGACGTCGACCATATGATGTGGGATACCTTAGATACCTCACACAGATAGTAATGTTCTGTGTCGATTTTCCCGACGCACTGTGCCACCCAAACTTGACCCAAACACTAAAAAAAGTGGATAGTACAATGCGGATAAACTTTACTGCAACACTAAATAACTACATCCACTAGAGTGACATTGCAGCGACAACAGCGACAGCAACTGCAACTATCATGCTGCGCGCATTGCTCGTCAGACCAGCAGCAGAGCTGGTGGTTGTAGGTGCAGATATATTGACTGGTGCAGGAGCATTGGCCGAGGTCAATGACGTGTTGACGTTAGGAGCAACAAAGGTCTTTCCACTGCCACCGCCAGTACCGGCCGTGTTGGGTGCTAAATAGGGGACGTAGTAGTCAGGGTTCAACGGTCCTGGGATAGTCCCAGTAATGTTCAGCTGGGGGAGGGAGGGAGAGGAAGCAGTGAGGTTGTTGTTCTTATACGAGGTGACCGAAGCAACGAGGTTGAAAACGTCTGGATGATGCAATCAGAACACAAATACAAAAAGAAGCAAAGAGTACGCACTAGCTACCGTCTTGTTAGTATCCTGACGACCGAGGTTACCGAGGTCCCAGTTGTTCTCGACAGTTGAAATTCTGTCCGTTAATAGGTTAGTCAGACACCTACGCCAAATTCTAATACTTACGTCGAATAATGTGTGTAGAACGTTGGATCAGTGGTGTTTCTCATGTTCTGGGGGATAACTCCACCCAGGAGAAGGCTGTATACGTTGTTACCAACGGTATATGTTTCGTTTCTTTGCAATCCATGACTTTCAATTCAACTAGCATGATTCAGCAGGAAGAAACGTACTCGTCGAAGGTGATCATGATGAGCGTCTTAGCGGTGTTGAAGTTTGGGTCGTTGAGCAAGGGCAAGAGCCAATAGCTAACCCAGGAAGCGGCATATCCAACACTAGTATCGTGACCATCGCTGCATGGCTTTATGAGATAATATACAATGCAGTGATTTGAATATAGGCATACTTGCGGAGGTTCGGAGTAATGAAAATCCACTGAGAAAGGGAATTATTGCCAACCTGTTCCAGGGTGAGTACATTAATCTTGAGATCGCAAATAAAATATGCGCATACATCGACAGCAAAGTCATTGAAGTTCCTGATACGCGCCGCTCTCGTGGAAATGTTCGCTACGGAGTCGTAGATGACCAATGGGTTGTGCTTGCGCACGTAATAGGTATATCCATCGGCTTGATTCGTATAGTTGTATCCCCCATACCCATCCGTGGGCATATTTTCCTGGTAAGTCGCCCAGCTAATGTTCTTCTGGTCGAGTAAGTCCACAACAGTGGACATGTTAGTGGGCACTTGCTCCAATACGTCACTAGCAAGACCCCAGAAGTCGCCACCAACCACGGCGAGGTAGTTTGGCTCACTCGGGTGGGTTACGCCGTAGTACCCACTCAAGGTAATGCCCTGAGTAGCGAGGGTCTGGAAGACTCCTTGACTAGCTGCCTGGGCGTAGTCCGTATTCTCCAACCATATCTGAATGAAGCGGTCGAACACCTGTCCGGGAACATTGGGCGAGTTGGTAATGGTGGAGTTTGCAATACCAGTGTAAAAAGAAGATTGAGAAGTCGGTCTGCATGATCGAAGTCAGAGGTGTTTGATAAGTGAGGCTGACAACTCTTACGCAGGAGCTGGAGCAGTGAAGCTCGATGCGACTGCTGCTGATGCAGTTCTGGCAAGGACAGCAAGGGCGATGGCTGACGACGCAATCATACTTAGAACTTGTCACGTCAGGATGGAGGCACGGGAGGGCAAGTTCAACCGTTCATCTGCACCGCGATACTTATAGGCTCTCAAAACTCTGAAGTGATTATGATGCGCCTGTGAACGTTTTATTGCGTGGGATCCTGGGTTCTCCGACTCCGAGTGGAAGGCGTTCGTCATGTGCCCATGAACGGTCCATCAACCAGTAACTAGTAAGAAACGTTCGAGGCTGCAGATTTTAGACCATGTTATTATCACTCTTTTCACGGTTGTGACCGTACCTCGGAAGATCATTGGTTCGTTGAATCCTGTCGTCGTTCAGGACACTGTAGCCGTAGTGCGAATGGACCGAGGTCATAAGGATTAAGGAAGAATGAAGTTCAGTAACGAACGTGGTGAAATCATGAATCATTAGGGCATCGCCGGCACCAATTAGGCTATAAACCCTCAACATAGTAGCTGCGTCGTATTAGTTCTGCCATCACCATGTGTTCCTCCACAAATCTCTCTCTACTTGCCTGACTGCTGGTCTGAATCTGAGCCCATTCCTGGGACTGTTTCACGTCATGAGTGCACCTGATGTTTTCTACACTTACCTCGGCGAAAGGGACGACGTTGCTGCAAACAAAAGCCGCGCAATCGGCGAGGAGACCGCCTCAAACGTGCGTCTTCGTTCCTGAGACAGCTGTGGTGACATTATATTCTTGTCCTCGCCGACGACAGCCGACGTCAGTACAGGATGCGTGTGCACTGTGGGTAATTGTAGGTATGCATTGTATGCAAAACTGGCGTTTATTTCCCTTGCTGCTTACTTGCAATTAAAATTACAATAGGTCACAAGGCCCCTTTGGATTTCGATAGATTAAAACACGCAGGTGTACCATATGCCTTCGTGGATTAGGCGACGCGGATGCCGTATTTTGCGCTTGGTTGTTCCCCTGAATAGGCACAGGTCCCTCAAAGCTGAAGATAGTTGTTCTTGTATTCTGTGAGCGACTGCTTGAAACGGACTAAAATCTGTAACATTCCATGCATGGCGTCTGCAACTTAAAGATCTTGAAGTTCACGCACTTCTTACTCAGAGGTCCAATCTCTGGCAACCACACCAAATAACGTTATCATCTCTCTTCCGTCCCGAGTATGTTTTGGCCGTTTTAATTGCGTGGAACTCCATTCGAAGTTGTCTTGGAAATCAACACTGGACGACCGTACGCCCTGCTTTAAATTCACAACTGGGGGGCAAAACTACACACACTTCCACTTCGTAGTCAAAGGCTCTCTTTGATGTTGGAATTCACGAGGGCAAATCGTTCGCACTGGTGACTTCGAAACAATCACATTTATAACTATTCGTTCGACCCCGGATCTGCACCGAGCACGAGGATCCGGAATGGAAGCGTGTCATAGAGATCCTTGCGGTGCTCCAGGAGCTATTCGCACGACCAATCGTTGAACCCTAATCACTAGCGTCCCCCCCTGTTTTGTTGCTTCATCATCAAGAACGTATCGGTTCGTCGCGACACATTCATCTGCTTGTTTTGACCATGTCTTCTATCACCGACGGTGCACGATTGAGAGTGCCCAGTGGGAGGGGCCCACCCGCCCATCACGGCTCATCCTGGACTTTCCCCACAGGTTCGAAACGATGTTTCGGGTCGCAAACCCTGCGGGTTTGAGCCCAAATAGCTTCGCAAGGCCGGTTTTCTTATTTGTATGGCAGCTGCTTTCTGTGGGAGATGGTATTATTAGAAACAAGCACACCGTCGGTCGCACGCGAATCGTGCGTCAACTTTCCTGCAACATACAACGGGAACTCAGACTTACGACGACCATAACAAACCCTCAAGGTTTGTACTGGAGAGAAACATGAAAACAAAGAGCGATATCACGTTTGTATACGTTGGACCAAGTACGGGTTGCAAGGGAAACCCAAAGGCCAACCGAGGACCAACTACGAGCCGGGACTCATGCCACTGCACCAGGACCCCTGGCACAAACCACGGAGGACCGACCTCTGCCAGGCCTGTACGACTTCCAGTTACCCAGTTTCTTCGCGAAACCTTTGCTCATAGCTCTCTGCTGGCTGATCCTGTCGCTTTGTCAACAATGCCAAGTCGAATTGAGGTGAATTACCCTGAATTACCTCGGCAAGCTAGTCTCAAGAATAGTTCCGTGGTTTTTCTCCACAATCCGCAATCCCCGGTGCTTTTACGCAATCGGCTGAATATCATGTGTTCAGGAGAAACGATGAACGCGAGACACATCGTGCCTAATACTGGGATGGATTGAGGTGTGACTAGGCCCAAAGTAGCTGTATAACAGCGTGGTTATCGCCCAGACGTCACTGATGCCTTTTGGGCTAGGCGCTGGGCTCGAAGGAAAACGGAGATATTACTACGTACTTCAATCTCAGGCTGGACGGGTGAGAGCCTCGTAGTCTACTGGGGGGTCCATATAGATTATCGGTGGGGCATGTAACCCTGAATCTGGCGGCAGTGTGCCATCATTGAGCTGTCAACTGTTGTGCCTTAGTATAAAAGATTTGCGAAGAAAGTTGCAGTCACAGAAACCGGACTTGAAAGGGGTTGCAGTCAGATGAGGTCGATCAGTGACTGGACGGTCTGGACCAAGGATGATGGGCAAAAACCGCTCAATGATCTTCAGTCAAGCCAATGGCAGAAGTCAGGAAAGCTCAAAGAATCGTTCATCATTACTAAAATATGTCGTACCTGTCAAGTTACGTAACAAGTTCACCATGACCGTGACGGTCCACTAATTTTATCATACATATATCCTCACACCCTGGCAGGGCCCAACACAACACCTTCTCGTCTGCACTCTCAGCTGTATGGAAGGGTTGTCCTAGCCGCAAAGATTCGTATTGTTCATTATGGTGAATTATCCATCAGCTTCGAAAGCCTTTCGACCGACTCACAGTGCCTTGTGATGTAGGTTCACGTCAATGACAAGAAGTTTGCATGGTACCCACATTTCTCTGGACTTGACCTTCATCTTGGTATTGATTTTGATTTCACAGCGAGTCCTGCATCAAAGGCCATCGATCATCTTCTTGCCATCACTCTGAACGACCACTGTTCGAAGTAAAGAAGAAAGGGCGCCCAGTATCGCAGTGTACGACATGCCGCGAACTGCGTAACTCAAAGCGATTCCACTCAAAGTGCACCTGTAATCCTAGGAAGATAGTCGACAAGATTCCTATACCAGCAGCTCGCCCAGACCGGAAACGTATGTCACACATGTAGACATACTAATGCTATCATTTCTGAACCAGAGTCTCGCAGCGAAACGCTTCATGCCGACGGTACCTACCCTGCCGAACGGAATATCAGACGCCTTGTCATCCTCGTCTTCCTCGCAGCCTGCGGATGCAAGACAAAGAGGTAACGATCAGCAATTGGAACCTTGATCGCAGCATGACTTACGGGTCTCTAGTTGATTCACTGCTAAACCCTTGCCATTGTAAGAATGTTTGGCAGTGCCGTTGCCGATCTGTCCATCCTAGGGGTTCCCCATCACCTGCACCTGAATCATCTTCCAACGGTCTAGCCATGCTCGCCAAAGCAGCTGCACTGTTCCATGACGATATCGTGTCATGTCCAACGACCCCGAAGTCGTGCTGTGCTAAAGCAGTCCAAACCGCAGTCATTCCCTCAGTTCACCTTGATCTTCCCCCCGTCCATATTTACGCACCTATCTCAACGCCACCTTCGACTTCAACGACAGTGCCCGAGTTCCCCGTAATCCCTCCATTCAGCGCTTTGGAGTCTATCGCTGGGTCTGGCTGCACTTGCGGACTTCAGTGCGCTTGTCCAGGCTGCGTGAAGCATCGTGGGGCTGTTCATGCTTTTAAGGAGCACAAAGATTGCGCCGAAGGGTGCACACACTGCACCGACCACTCCGCAGGCGTTGAGCTTCCAACTCTAGGGCAAGGTGCTGGCGGGAAGAGCATGATCGACCAATTTTTCGCACGGGCTGCGTCCCTACCTATTCCTCCAGTCAATCGTAAAGTCGGGGTTGAGTTCGATCCAACGGACATTACAATATATCCTGTCGACCTTTTCACAAAGTCAATCAAAGAATACGAGGAGCGAGGCGCGGCATTTGGACTAGTGACCGTGCCGAAGCTTGAGTGCTGTGGGGGACGGTGTGGTTGTCCATCCGACGGCTGCGGATGCGGACAATCTTGTGAAGGTTGCCCTAATGGCCAACATGTTCACGGTCGCTCAGAGCCTGTTAGCTAACGGGAAATTTTATGCATTAAATCGTGGATGTATGCTAGTCAGACTCATACTTTAAATTTTAATCTCCTGCTTAATTCCCTCATACCAGGACCCCGTATAACACCCATGGAAGCTTTTTACAACGTCCTGTCAAAATATAAGCTACGTCGTACTATGATTGGATACAATCGGGACTCGGGAGGCACATGTTCGCCCCCCACGATTTTTGTGTCCGTTGGGTCTTGGATTATTGATGGAGGTCAAACAATGTGACAAAAAACCACACCACAGTTGAAGCCGTTCGAGTCGGTGGGCCCGAAACAAACGTATGGATTCATAACTGCTCTCGGCGATTGATTCCCTAAGCTCCCGATACATTCCCCCCTTCTGCCATCGTCACGGTTGACACTATAAACGCCGCCCTCACGTAGAAAAAACCTGACAGCGACCTCTCGGACCCTGCCGACAAGGCTAATACGCACACCACCATAAAACCGGAAGGAGGTTATCAACACTGGTTGGGCATGTGCATCGTCCGTTTCAACCTGCTAAACCGGTGGTGAAAGGGCGACGGGTGAAAGATGAATGGTGATAAGTTCGATACCATCACCCGAGCAGTGGGTCAGTGATCCAGTTGGAAAAACTTCAACTTGTTCTTAGTTTCCCCTAGCCCTATCGTCAAAGGAAGATGGTCGTTCCTTCGTATTGGGACTCCTCTTGGCCTCATAGTTGGGGGTCCCTTCAGGGAATGCCACGGCTGCTGAATCGTTGCTATCAAATAGTGCCTCAGATCCAGAAGTCCCCCTTGTAAAGCTTCAGGTATCAATTTCCGACTACAGTGACCTGCTGCTGATCGATCGACGGTCATTTGGACCTATACCAGAGGTTTTCTCCCTTCCCTTTCTTGCGAGTTTCCCTGCTTTGAAAAAAAAATGCGGGAAAGCGGAATAGATCCGTAATTTATTTTTGTGGTCTATAACGTGCGTTATCCTCAGCAGCAATATCAGGCTGACGGCTATGAAAAAACATGTGCTTACCGTGAAGGGGAAAGAAATGGTATTTTCCTTTTACCGACCAACAGTAATTTTTAGTCCGGGGGGAATTGCAAGGGACCCTCTGAAATTTCAATCGGCGAACCTGGGCTGCAGTGCACGGGGGGACTCCGCTAAATTTTGAAATAACTTGTCAATTTTTCGCCTCCTGTCCATACGTATTATTTGACATCCAGGCGTCTCAGGCTATCTTGTCACTTTGTGTTCTAAGTGAGGTGAAGAGATACGAGCCAGGAGGTTGGGTCACTTCTAGTCTCCCCTAGGCAGACCTTTATAGACGAGCTTTCCTTCTAATAGGTAAATTTAAAATTCCCCTCGTCTGATAGGTCATGGGTTTTTCAATTTCGGTTGCGTTACTCAAGTTCGTGCTTGTATCACTCCACTTGCACAACGCACCCCGTTTCTTAAGTTGTGGCTCTCGGGATCTACTTCATCTGTATTTGTTGTGGTCTACTACGGGGATCTCGTGTCATATATTCAAGCCCTTGTTAAAATTGACGCGCTCTCGTCACGACATTAATATTCCTATCTGCCATTGGTTTGCCACGCATGTCGGTTTGCTTCCGCAATTAAAGTTCTTCGAGAGGGGGATCGGAATAATTTCCTTCTTAGATCAGAGCTCGCTGATGGTCGTCACTGCCTTATAGTAGTTCCAGCAGTCGCGCTACTGCTCAATACCCACGATGATCCAAATTCATGTGTAGAAGCTCGCCAGTGCACGAAGTAGTAAGCTCCACCTTGCTCCACAACTGAACAAACAAGGCAGGTGTCGTGGAACGAAGAAGAGTGGAGCCTGGTGGCGGAGTCACGTCAGCATCAGTCAGTACTTAAGCTTCGTGGTTTTCTCTAGAACCCTCTCAGCACTTCACCACAAACGAGTATGTCTAAACACAATATTTCTTTAACCAGAGACGCTAGTGGATTACATAGAAGACTGGTGGGGCATGGATACAAGAGGTGAATATTTAAATGGATATTAGGGGCACAGAACGGTGAGTGATGTACATCTATGTGGTGAAAACGGGGGGCGCATTAATTTATAACCACAAAAAGAAGAAAGGAACAGGGACACGATGTCTCCCCGAGGGACTGCATGATGGGTAGCGTTTCCGTGAGTGATAATTTTCTCTATCCATTTCCGCATAATAGAGATCTGGTGCAAGGACAAGCTAGCCTGCTAGCTGGTAGTAAATATGGTCGGAAGATATATGCATCGTAGACATGGGGATGGGTGGAGCACGGTGGTTAGTGGGTAGGGGGAGGAGGAGTCATGGACCATGTCAAAATCGTAAAGCTGAAGAAACCATTCATGAACAGGTCACGGGTAAACCAGCATGCGAACTTACTTCTAGGGGCTCTAGGCAAGCAGTTGCTCGATCACTGCTTCGCAGTGGCAGATGGTCCACCCCGCTCTGGTGTCATAGACCCAATGCCCATGCCAGTCGTATTCCCACATTCATTTTTCGACACCGCAGTTCCACCTGGAAAAGCCTGTGGGGCGCCAGCGGTTAAGTCGAAAACGGTAAAGACTTTTTCATCGCTTGGTGTCCTGCGTTTGATACTGGGGCGCTTCGCGAACGATACAATACCGGATTTGTCTTCTTTAAGTAGTTCGGTTGGGCTGGGGCCACGTTTCCACTTCGACAGCGACGATGAAACGACCGACGAGGCAGCGTGGTGTATCTGGCTGCCACTGCTACTGCTCGCTGAGCTCCGCACACCAACCACAGGGTAGGAGTACGTCCGATCGCGGGTACCATGAGTGCGTCCGATGCGATGGATATCCAAGTTACCGATGTTCTTGGAGGGCGTCTTGCGGATATCACTGTCATCTGATCTACCCCCCTCGCTGATATGCGACGCTGCCGCTGGTTCTGAGCTCCCCTCGCTCCCAGAACATTCCCCCCACAACTCTCTCTCCTCGTCCGCTATCATGAGGGCGCCCTCAATGACTGCCGCGTGCACGAACACATACTGCCGCAAGCTCTGGCAGAGACTCATCCGCTGCTCGCGCATATCTTGCACGATCGTCCAGATGGGGTTGGTATGCGACATTAATGGTGCGGGCGACAGGTCCTGATGCAGCTGTCGTGGAAGCTTATAATCGATTACGGCATGGCCCGCCGCACGTTTGTCTAGTTCGGATGGCGCCTGCTTGGCGTCAAGAATACTCTCCTCGACGATTTCGGGCACAGGAGGCATTGGCGACGGCGCAGCGGCTTGTGCTCCAGAATGCTTCGTCTTGTTGGTGAACTTCTGTTGCTTAGGCGTACTGCTGGACTTGACCATCGTTTCCTCGCCTGGTGCAGCACTAATTGCGGAGGTCGTAGTCACCTTTAACCCGCTCCTCGCCTTCCACGACAACACCATGTTCTCCTCCGAATCATCGGACGACACTAGGCTGCTCTTCCCGCTAGCAGCTTCCACATCTGCGCTCCCCCCACTTTCAAAACCTCTCGGGGGGCTCAACAATTCATCCGAACTGGGGTTGGAGCTTGTGCGCGAAAGAGGGTCTTCACCCTCGAAAAACGCATGACCTCCGGTTGTCGTGGGAAGTGCAGGCGTGGAGAAGCTCGCCATAGGGGACGAACCAATGATCTGCCGTACCCGGGGACGCAAATTGAAATGGTTGGCGTGGGAGGCATTGGACTCGTTCGAAACAATAACACCACTCGTGGCTGGCTGCAGCGGCACAGATGAAGGACGCGGAGGCCCATCAACGTCCATGGCATCTTCGTCCTCGTTGCCAATACGCACTGCCGACGGCTGGCGCAGCGACACTGGAGGTTTCTCGCTCGAAAAATCAGAGCCCATATTCGAAAGTGAGGTCACTGAACTATCTCTCAGACGAGCACGCATGAGGCCCGTTAGCCCTGACTCCACGCCAGAGCTACCCCAAAAGCCAGAATTGGATGATGTGTTCGTCCCAGAGCCTGAATTAGAGGCGGAGATCGAGTTATGACCCGAATTGGGTTGAGAACTGGAGCGAGAGATGGAGACGGAGACGGAGGAGGGCGGGAAGGCCCCACTTCCCGAGACGCTGCTACCACCACTCCCTCCGGAACCAGACCGCCCGCTCCCTGCCTTGACAACCTCACCACCGCTACCTACAGAATCGTCGGCAGAGTTCAGCGCGGACGGTCCGCTGCTATTCGACGTACTCCCGGGCGAGCGTTGACGACTAGGGGTAGGTAAGCTCAAAGACATCGAGAGGGGCAAAGGCGGAGGCGAATCTCCCTCCCCTTCTCCTCCGCCAGGATGCGTTTGATCCAGTACCTGCTCGGCCCACTCTCTTGTTGACGAGCTTGAGTTCTGCCATCTTGGGTCCAGATCCACTGTCTCCTCTGTGAAGGGCACATGCACGAGAAGCGACTCTGAAGAGCTCGCCTCGCCTTCTTTGGCTGCACCAATGTGTGCGTGGTGACGGCGGGATTTCTTCCGGTCGCCCATGGCGAGAGGGACAGTCCCAACTATCTTCTCCTTCGCTTGGCTCGCATCCACATCCATCTCACCACTCTCCGTCCCACTTCCGTTCTCCCCAACCACACTCTTACTCATCTGCTTATCAACGCCAACAGGAGCGCGCGCAGAAGCCCGAGCCTTGAGTTCTCTCCTCTGCTTCAACTCCCTCTTAATCGCATCCAACACAGCATCCACCGCAATAAACCCTCCCGTCCTGCCCACACCCGCTGAACAATGCAACAGCACAGGTGGGTTGGTCCCAAGCGCAAACGCAGCAACGCCAGTCTTCTTGTCCAGTTCAGGATGCCGCCACCCCTTATGTCCACTCCTCCTCCTAGTGCCTGCATCTCCAAGCGGTGGGGACGAGAAAAAGCCCTCTCCCCGAGCCATGAAGTCAAAGCTCCTGCCTGGAGACCCAGAGGATGGCGAGAGTGAGCCAGAACCGGAGCCTGAGTTTGATTGCGAGCCAGAGGGGGATGGACCTGGGGTGCTTTCCTGAACGGCGAGTTCGACGCGCTTCACAAGCTCTAATACACCGCGAGGATCATCGGGCACGTTCATATCGGGCCACTCCAGATATTGCAGATGCGTCACTTGTCTAGGTGGAACGCCAGGATAGCCTCGATGACTGAGGGCAAAGGTCCTCACGATCATACTAGGCTGCTTCGAATCCCCACTGTGCTCGCGCGGGGACATGAAAAACCCAACGTCAGCGGGAGTGTTGGAAGGAGCAGAGGGTGAGACGGGCGGGGAGGTTTTGAGGAGTTCGAGTTGAAGAGGTCCATAAGATGAGTCTGTCCAGTACGTCCCACATTTAACCATCGCATTCTCGATCTCGCGCGTGAGCATGACAATCACATGGACGTTCTGTTCCCAGACGAGACTATCGATTCATCAGCATTCACGAAAAAAAATTGGCTGATAGGAAACAGAACTCACGTCCAAAAATCGACGAATGTCGCGGGTAATGGGCCTTGGGTCGCAATATAGCGTTTGCGCGTGCCCAAGGGCTGCACGTACGACGCATTCACGTAGTCATCTGCGGGTGACGGGTCGCGTGGTTTGTCTTTCGAGTTGGGGGGAGGGACTACCGACATGTTGAATTGCGGCACACTCGTGCTCGTGGATGAAATCGGTCCTTGGCTGATAGGTCCGCGGGGCAACGTCAAGTTGAACATCTCCCGCTGAGACCCGAGGGGAGTGTACGTGGGCATGACCAGTGGTGAGATGGGTTTTGGCCCTGTATTCTGAGGTGATCTTGGTAGGGTACTCAATATAGAAGGTGACAGGAACCCTCCCGATCGTTGTTGCGTGCAACTGTCCAGCCGAGGCGGGGACAGCATTTGGTCGTCTTCTGGGATCGCAGGGATCTGTGAGTTTTCTGGGAAGGCTGGGAAGTATGTGTCGCTTCCGCCGCCACTGCTGCGTGGAAAAGGATAGAAGGGCGTCATCGGCACGCCCCCGCGCGTCAAAGTAGACGAGGAAGGGCCAAAGAAGGGTGTCATAGGCATGGAGAGGGGTGTGTGGAAAGCGGATTGCGAATAGAACGGTGTCATCGGCACAGAAGATGGAGGAGCCATACCCGATAACGAAGGCGTGCAGATGCGACGTCTATCGATGCTCATGAGCATATTCCGATCCTCTGCTGGTGCGTTCGGCGACGGGGCACATGAAAGTGAGACTGATTGGGGTTCTAATGAAGATGTAAATGCAATGCTCAATTCGGGCGCAGCGGAGCCGGAATCGCCTTTCTTCTTGTCTTCCTTGTCTCGCTTGGAGCTGTGTCCTGGATGTGACCCTTGATGACGGCCATCATGAAGACGTACACGAGCATGCTCGAAGGGCCATATATGGTTGTACCTAAAGAAAAGGAATGAGTTTGGATTGGGTATCGACAGAGACGGAGAAAAAGGTGTCGTGTTAATGTAAGGTAAGTTTTAAATACAAGCAATTGCACGATAACTACTGTGACATGCCATCAAGACAGCCCATCCAAGACCGTCTTATCCCAAAACGAGTCGGAGCTTGGCGGAACGGCAATGGTGCACGAAAGAGTCAAACAAATCATTGAAGACATCAAACGATGACGTGGATGAGGCCCCGTATTGCTCGGGTGTACCACGTCATACCGGTGACGCAATGAGGAGCCGAAAAGTCGGGACGTATGCAACCATGAAAAAAGCATGATGATATCGGAGCGAACACGACGATAAGGACGGAAAAACCCACCTGTTCTTTGCACCTTTCTCGACGCCTGCTGTAATACTAAATGGAAATGCACCTTGCACAGGGGTGGAAGGGAGGGTATTTACGCCTGCTGCAGTAGCAGAATGTGCACCGGCACCGATGATGCCCTGCCCGCCCTCGCCCACTGTATAGGCTTCACCAGCAGCAGCATACGCGCTGACCTCGCTCTCTCTTGCATGATGTTCCATGACGGTTCTCAGACGCCTCTGCTCTGCTAATTCTATGCGGTAAAACTGCATGGCAAGAGTTTCAGCGCCTTCTTCAACGTCAGGGTCATTCGATTCTGGATCTGAATCATGAGGGTCATCAGAGCTCTCGCTACCGCTCTCTACACTCATTCCACCTGGGAAAGAGGAAGAGGAAAAGTGACGGAGGGCTGAACGACCAGCGATATCTTGAAGCCAACGAAATGGGAGGTCGTTGATTCGTCTGCGTATGCGCCTGGGAAGGCGGAGGGGAATGCGTTCTGTGATTCCCTGGCTCAGTTCCAAATTTTGGCGAATGGTATCGAAGAAAGGGTTAGCAGCATTTGCGGCTGCTGGTGTACCACAAGCTGCAGCACTGGTCGTTGAAAGCGAAAAGGCAGCTTTAGGGAGATGCTTTGTACGCAATGCTCCAGAGGAGGCTGTGCCTTCTGCATCGTCTTCGTCCGGACTTGGGTGGTCAGTTGTGGCGCAGTGGCGTGCGTCTCTCCACACTGCCTGAAAACCGCCTTTAACCCAGGCGAGTTCGCCTGTGAAACCCTCTGCGCGAAATTTTCTGAGCAGACCGGCAATATTACTAGTGTCGGGAACGAGGACAGAGTCAGCGTCATACACCAATATACGTTTTGCGGTTGGCCATGCTGCGAATCTTGCACGTGCAGATGATGAAGGAAGCATCTGAACGATCTTGGAGAGACCAAAGAGAGGACGTTTGATGAGAGTGCTTGGGATGCTAAGGGAGAGGGCTCGGTGGAGACGGGCAGTGGTATGGGCGGCATGTGGGCGGATATCGAGGATGAGGATGGAGGGGTCAGCGAGGTAATCCGCAAGGTCGGATGTGATAACGGGGGTGAAGGTGGATGACGAGGACGAGGGCAATGGCGATGGCGGAGCTGGTTTGGAGAGCGGTAGGAGGATTGGTTTAGGTGGTGAAAGAATATTTTGTGGAGATTGGCGTTGTTCTTCGTCGGGGAGGATACGTGCTGTGAGAAGATCAGCGGATCCGAAGCGTGCTGCGATGGCATGAGCGAAGGAAACGACATTCTCTTGATCTGATGAGTGAGCTCTTCTTCCCTGTTGACCAGGGAAGGGTATGCTGGTAAAGAAATCGTTGTTGGTCATCGCCAACAACGGTGACAAGGACGGCCTCTGTTACCGTGCGTGTGGTTTGAGTTCTTACCTTGAATTTTCGATTCTCGGGACGAACGAGTCTCCTTCAAGGTTGGTGTGACTACATGCTTGGTCACGGGATATGATGTCATAAGGGCTGGACCGGCCCAGACCCATTGACGTCACACGAGCCATCTTCCCGGCACTGACATCGGAACCCTTCCGTCGGTCGTTCCTTACCAATCACCATCGACACTCTCACAGACTCTCACGCATTTATCGTTATCATTAATTTTGCACATGCGTGTGAATAAATTGCCTATAGAATCATCAACCGTCACTCACTCCGCATCGTGTTGGAACAGTACCCGCTTTCTGGCGCGGACTGCCGTGTAAACTTGTACGCGTGCAGAATCGTAATCGATTCTCCCGTGCATGAATTTGCCCTAGTCGACTGCATGCAGGTCCCACTGAAAGAACGCTCGTTGCCATTGCGGTCCGATATTGATTCAAATCTCTGTTCCAAGAGTATGCAAGTCGTTTGTTCTCCGTATGTAGCCTTTGTTCTAAGCACTAACAACACCCATATAGAATGGAATATTGAATGATTCTCAGGCCACTCACTAGGACTGGCAAGTTCCATTAACACAAATAAAGAAACCCCGCCAGGGCCCTTTATTGCAGCGGCCACGATGTTGCGGGGATACTGACAGCCGTCTCGTCTACTTAATTTCTGGATTCACATCAAACACCATGACGCAACGCGGTGTTCTATATTAAGGCGGTGTGCCGTGGTGATGCCTCTTGAGGCCTTCCTACAGCCCAACACGCTTTTCCAGCAACGTTTCGATGTTGCAAGACCATGCAGGGCTGATACTCGGACGGGCATCACTGATTAATGGTTCGAGTGACGACACGCCATCGTCATGAGTACGTATGAACTAGCCTTTGTGACGAGATAACTTTCTAGCTGGGCCTGGCATACAACTGCGCACCACCGTGACATAGGCCAGGACAGCTCTTGTGGTGATGTCATGATCAGTGACGACTCTATCAAGGGCTGCTTCAGATCCATCTGTCTTGCTAATAGAATATGAGACCCAGACCATTCTTCTGACTTTCACAAGTCTGTTTGCCTTTTTCATCATTGCTAGTGGTAGTACTCACCGACCTTTTGCAACGATGCTAAACACATTCATCGATCCCAGTCTAGAGAGTGGGAATCGGAACCGCGCTACGATATCAGCTGCAGCTCGTGTGGAAGTTCGGTGGAATCGAAGTTTACTCACCGTATCTTGGTACTAGTACTCAAGCCTCGTCGGTCTTTGCAACAATGTTAGGCATCCGGCGCCCGTGGCGGCCCGCCCGCCTTAGCACCATGTGTATAGAACCGAATTTTACTCACATCTTAAGCTTAGTTCAATAGCACAAGCAACTTACTCGGTACTTAGTAACTTACGCATTGCCAACCGAGTTTTGTTCGAAATCAAGAGCCACGATGAGGCTGGCCATCGTTCTCTTTTCCTCAACCCTCTGGCTCACGGCTAATGCAGCATCTGCAAGCGGAGCAGATTACATCCGCGCCCATGGCGCTCAAGGAGTTAACCTCTGGAGGCTAGCCAATCGAGAAAAAGAAAGAGCGAGCCACACCAACCGTAGACCAGCTCTTGTCGTTCAAGACAACAGCAACAGTGGCTTTAAGGCGGATACCGAAGAACCCAACGAATTCCCAGACCAATGGTTCACGCAGCCCATAGATCATTTTTCGAACTCGACGGACACATTCAAGCAGCGGTACTGGATCAATACCCGTCATTACACCCCAGGTTCTGGTGGCCCTGTGATCGTTTTGGATGGTGGTGAGACGAGTGGCGAGGACCGTATTCCCTTCTTGGACACTGGTATCGTTGAAATATTGGCCAAGGCGACAGGAGGAGTCGGAGTCGTGCTCGAGCACCGTTATTATGGTGAGTTCGCGAGGGTTCCATAATAACCATACTGTATTCGTAGTTGACGCTTTCATCGCGCAGGAAAATCTATTCCCGTCGCAGACCTCTCTACTGACAACCTGAGGTGAGCTACCTGCATGCTTGTATCACATGCATTCGTGAATTGAAGGAGCGTAGATGGTTAAACAATGATCAAGCTGCCGCTGATTCGGCTCGTTTCATGGCGAACGTGACGTTTCCTGGCATCAGTGAGGATCTGACAGCTCCGAATACTCCATGGATATACTATGGTGTGAGGCATTATACTTATCACTGAGAAAGTCGACATTCCTCACCGGCACTGATAGGGTTCATATGCCGGCGCTCGTGCAGCGCACATGAAGATACTATATCCAGATCTTGTCTATGGCGCTATTGCTTCCAGCGGTAAGTCATGATAACGATACATAGAAGTCCTCTTACGAGTTTACCCGCCAACAGGCGTGACGCATGCTACGTTATCAAACTGGGAATATTACGAGATCATTCGAAACGCCGCTGACCCAACATGCGCTGGACAACTCGAACACGCCAGCCTGGCAATAGACGCCCTCCTTGGCGTGCCGTATGCGAAGCAATATATCAAGTCTTTGTTTGGTCTCCAGGACCTCGCGCACGATGACGATTTCGTCTCCGTTTTGGAGGTATGGTTCTAATTTATTGGGACTCGCATGCGTGTGTTGACAGTAGAAAAAACGCAAGTCTCCTCTTGGTTATTGGCAAGCTAAAGTCTGGGACCCTGCTGTAGGGAGCACCAAATTTGACGAATTCTGTGCTTTCTTGGATAAGCCTATCCTTGGAAACGGCAGTGTTTCGTTGTTACCTGTCGGACATGAAGAGCGTCTCGTCCACCTTCCTGGCGGCATTAAGCTCGATTTCTCCATCCTGAACTACGCTCAATACATCAAAGAGGTAAGGGCCCCCAATGCAGTTAGTAGAGCATGATTTCTAATCACTAGCAGAACTATGTCTCAAAATGTGACACGTCAGTCGAGGATGTAAGCTCAATCGTCCCATGTCGAATTTTTTCTGACGAAAACCCTAGTGTTTCGGCACCTACGACGATAGCAATTTTCTGGCCACTGGTTTAGACCAGGAATGGCGTTTGTGGCAGTTCCAGGTTTGCACAGAATGGGGTTTCTTCTCAGTGAGTCGTTAAACATGCGCTTTCTTCGGCGGTTCATAAATTCACGTATACCTTGATCGATAGACCGCCCCTCCCGACCCAGCCCACCCACGTATCGTCTCCAAGTTGTTGACATTAGAATACTCTTCCAAGATTTGCAGACAGGTGCGTCGGAGTCGATTCGCAGCGGTGCGACTCACATAGACTTGAACAGGCATACCCGGCTGGCAAATACTTCGTTGTGCCACCCATGCCTAACATCACTGCTGTGAATGCATTGGGTGATTTCGCTATTGCTGCTGACAGGCTTGCCATCATCGACGGCGAAGGTGAGTCATTACAATAACGGTGTTTACTTGGGCGCAACGTGCTGATCCTCGTGTCAAGTCGACCCTTGGAGACCTTGTACTCCGCATAGCGATTATGCACCTAATCGCGAAGATACGATCCTCCAACCTTTTAAGATTATTCCAAGTACGTTTTGCCACGTCAAGTACTATTGCTATACATATGTATCTGACGATGATGTCGCATAGATGCTGTTCATCATTATGATGAGTACGGATTGAAGAATATCAGCGAGGAGCCTGAAGAGATCAGAAAGATCCATGAGGAGATGATTGTTTTTGTCACAGAGTGGTTGAAGGGTTTTAAGGCTCCAGGTTCGCGATGATTTCGTGTATTTGACGACCATTATCAGGGGTACGATCGAAGATATGTGAGTAATTAATTATATATCTTCCTTGCCGACTGTTGTGGGTCTTTGTGGGTTCATCGAACGAATTGCTTCCGATTGTTGGGTGACGCTGTGACTGAAAAATATAATGCGATGCGCGAAGGTAATTCTAGGTGATTGGGTCCTGAAATTTCCGAACGTGTGTTTGCGACGTCATAATTGCGGGGCTTTGTCAAATTGACCTTCGAAATTTGCTTAGATCTTGGGGAGATGTATATTTCCGTCCTATGGACGACGATCCAAATGATGTATTGGGGCAACTGATAAGTATGCCAAATAGGCATCAACTTATCTTCCTCATTGCTTGGATTACAGCCAAGGTCGCAAGCCCCATGAGATGGCGCATCGTGCTTGATTGTACTGCGACGATACCGATCGCATCTTCGAGGCGATTTCGAAAGTGGGGTTCAAGAAGTACGCTCGGGTCTGATAGACTGGCTCTTTGTGCGTCTTTTGAATCTAGGGAACAAATCTTTATTACAAGCGCAGCTTCGTAATTGATGGCCCAATCTTTGACAGCATAGATTCACGAGGCGGGACATTCGCACTCGTGACCATACCAAATCACGTCAACCTTCGAATTTTCTGATTCCTCTCCTGTCCCAAGCATGTCTTGGCCGTTAGGATTGTGAGAGATTTTACTTTTTGCGTCTGAAGAAGCGGTCTTGGAATCAGTATCGTGGAGGGATGACAATGCTCATGGCCCATCATGTGGTGAGCATCCTTCGTAAATTCTTGCGTTACGCGATCATTTCGCCTGCATTCCGCAGTTGAATCAGCTTGCCTATCTCTACCTTTGAGTCGAATTACTAGACAACATCCATCGCCGAACTGGCGGGGCGTAGGAAGTTGATACTATCGTTGGCGGTGACGCAGGTCTGGAAGGCAGCGTGTGAGCCGTACACCAGGCTCGGGTTTCCTATATACCGTAGCTAATCAAACATGCAGTAGCAGATCACACACAACGGCGGTATTGCGACACTACGAGGCTCGTCGGCTGACGTGCCGGATGGAAATTACATTGCTGTCCACTGGAGCGTAAGCAAATTGTTCTTCTCTGATGTGCGAGACTTGTCCTGGCTTCATTCTAGTCAAAAACGCTGGTTTACAAGGACGCGCAGTCGAAATTTATACTGCGGGATGCAGGGATAGGATATTATTTGTATGTGCTTCATGATTGCCTTGTGACTGCCATAGGCTCAGCATTGAATACTGAGTACTGAGTCCCACATGTACTTATAATTATGAGTGTTGAATGGCCTGACGGTCTCATTTACTGACAGCCCTCCTCTGAAGACTCGTAGGTCTTGATGTCAATCTGAGATTTTGCCACGACTTGCGAACAGATAACACTTCACATAGACAAAGGAAATGAAATATGGAATGGGACTTTGCTAAGCAGTGTAGTACCTATATTTCTGAAGGTGGTTCACATCATGATCATGCATCCAGACCTAGTGTGCAAGTGTTTATTTCAAATTTGAATAACACCCAGTCGGTACGTCATTCTCGTGCTCCTTGCAGAAGTCAAACACTCGGAGCGTTTCCCGTCCTACACATCACTGCCAGTTGACATGCGCATACGCTCCTGGAACTCAATAGTAGTCATCCTCGTTCCGGCATCGGAATCGTCCACAAGCTTAGCATTAAAATCGCGAACGCCAAGGATGAGGCGCGGTCCCAGCACAAACATCTGCGCGAGCCCGAAAAATTGAATGCCAGCATAAGCCAGACTTCCCACAGAAACCGAGTCCTATGAAAATGATAAACAGAGGTCACATGCAGATGTCAGCGACAGACAGCTTACCTCAATCGCAGGGGTTAAATAACCGAGGTGAAAGCAGGAAACAGAAACAAAGCTATCGCGCGCAGAATTTCGATGGAAACGATGACCAGCTTTCAATAATGAGCTTACCTTCCAAAGTAAAACAAGTGAGTTTTTATCAACACTGTGAAACAGTCCCCGACGATTGATCCCGTTGATGGTTGTTCACGGAAGTGTTTTACAGCAACCCAGACTGCAAGACACAGTGCGATGGCCTCCCATACAGTACCGAGTATCCAAACCTTGGGGACCAGAAGTTGGGCATCTTCCTTGAAGTCAAAACTGCACTGATAGTTGCCAGAGAAATTGAGCTCCTCTGAGCCTCGTGCGCTTAAGTCTTTCGACCATAAATTAAGCTTACCTCCCGAAGTATTATTTCCTACTATCCCGGTGATCACTGTGCAGGTGATCGTGACGGCTGTGAAGATGATGACGAGGAAAATGAGCATCTTTTTGGATTGCTGGTACATTGCGTATAACCGAGTGACGATGATGACTTGCATAATGCTTCAGTAATGTCAATATCACCGAGGTATCGAACTCACCGCCCAGCATGATATTTACGACCACACCCGTCCAACTTAGTACCGAATATATAATGTTGTCTGAAACACCCAGTTAGCAATTGACCTCGACAGACCAAACATCCTAAACAAACTCACAGCTGTTGCAGTCATATGACGAGACAACAAGCTGGTCAAGGATCTTATTCACCCCTACATGAAAGCACAATTAATTGAAAGGAAATATTACACATCGGTACAGAACACTCACTGCATCTGTCACGAAGACTGTTGGAAGACTTACTGCATGCCGCTGGTTAGAAGACACAAACAAAGTGCGCATGAAAGGACATACGCAGTATGTTGAGACTAATTGTGAGACGGCGGCTTATTAGCACAGCGCCAACTGGTGAGCTTGCACACATACACAGCGTATGGTATCCCGAGGTAGCGTACCTAGTAGAATATCTTGAAGTTAGTACAGCTTGCAAATGAACTCGATAACACGAGTTGCGTACACTAAGATATAGGAAAGTCATGACCGACCAGCGTTGCCTCTACCCCCGATTCAATTGCATCATGATGTCGTTCTTCTGATGCGGGATCGCGCTCACCCAAATTAAATCAAACTGTAGAATTATTCCGAATGAAAATGTTTGCTAGCTGGAAATGGTATTAACTTACCTCCTGTTCGAATGACAGTACTGAAAATACCATAAGATGATGAGTAGTTTTCAATACTATCTTGCTCACCCCAATCGTATATCACAGCAACAGAGGAGGCAACTGCGAAATGGGATCACAATCAAGCTTAATTGAGACATCACCATCATCACCCGAGTGAATCTCCACGCACCTATGAAATAGCTGAAAAAGCGAAATGCATTGACGTCCGGCCACAGACTGGGATCATTTGAGACTAGGGTCATATTCGAGGATGGGTGTCAGTGAGAGGTAAATTTAGTGGACGCACTGTAACGATAACATTCGTGCTAGATATACCACCATCCAGCACTTTTAAATAGTTGTGATGTGAAATGAAGCCAAGAGCTCTGTGAAGCAGTGTCACAAGCGAATGATGCTAACCTCAATGTGTCGAGGAGCTGTTTTTGGCTATACCTTTGGTGATTGCGCGCTTTCTGAATCGTGCGAGGTCCATTAGATCATTGATTCAACATAGGCCTCGCACCGCGTCTCAATATGGAGAGAATCTGCGCTCTCTCCACTGGCCCGGGTCGTAAGATCTAAAGTGCCTTAGCCTATCACATGCAGCCACATTCCGTCAGCATAAGTGGCACCAGAAAAGTGAGAAAGGTACTTAGGATAGGTCCAAACCGTCAGCACACAGAAACCCACCTCTCCCAACAACATCCTCCACTCCACCGAATCCGTCATACCCAGGTGATGCGATCAAGGTCGCATCAACCCAAGTGATGTTTAATCTAAGGCAGGTCTGGTGAGCACATGATCCTAGCTCAAACGGGAATGAGAGACAATGGAGGGGAGATAAGGGTGGATGATTTAGTGCTGGAACAATAGCGGGAAAAGCTGCACAGCGCGAAATTTGATGGTTCCCGTCCTCATGCACACACGAAGGTCAAGGGAACCCCATCATGGCCGGTCATAGCCTGGGCGTGCATTCTTACATGGAATCTGAAACGAGCGGACTTTCAGTAACGCCTTCAATTCTTGCTGGATGTTGAGGACACGAAAGCCATTCACGCAGTGCTGACGACGACGAGGTAGGTCCCTTCAGCATTGAGCAATGACTATGTCATTCGACTGCTTGATGGGTTAAGCGGCATTTTGCGGACCGCACTCATGCCGCCGTGAAGCACTGACGCCCATTCCCAGGGTTACAATCGACTGATTTTGGGTGTCAGCCAATCAAAATCATCCAAAGTTTTGTTTTTCCTTAAAGCTCTGCTCGGCCGCTCGTAAGGCTTTATCCCTTCATTACGAACAAGCTTACTTCCCTGGTGAAGAGATCCGTTTCATTGGCTCATGGCATCCTTTCTTCGCCAATTCACCTCTTCCGCGGCGCCAATGCCATCCTCGACCTCCAACTCATTCGTTGATATCCCCATCCCATCTTTCATTATTTCCAGTTCCAAGTCCGCCACCTGGTTTTACACCACCGCTGCGATAGTCGGCGCTCTTCTCGTGTTTGAACAGACTGTCTACAGATCCAAGAAAAAGCACCTGCCAGGCGACTCATGGACAATTCCAATTATTGGAAAGTTTGCCGACTCCATGAAACCCACCATGGAGGGCTACATGAGACAGTGGAACTCCGGCGCATTGAGTGCTATAAGCGTGTTCAACATGTAGGTCTGCCTTTGGTTATGGTTAGCTCCTCTTTTGAACGTGTCTCAGTTTCATTGTCATGGCTTCGTCCAACGAGTATGCGCGCAAAATCTTGAACTCTCCGACTCACGCTGAGCCCTGCCTTGTGCACTCAGCCAAGCAAATTCTCATGCCTGACAATTGGGTATTCCTTACCGGCAAATCTCACGTCGAGTACCGCAAAGTTCTGAACACTCTTTTCACCCGCAAGGCTCTCAGGTAAATACTATTAATAATTTCCATCATTTCCCCCCTGATTTTGTAAAATTTAGCATCTACATTGGTATCCAGGACGCAATTGCTCGCAAACACTTCAGCCAATGGCTTGCGGACGCACAGAAAGATCCATCACCACAGTCTATCATGATGACCGCCCGCAACCTCAACATGATGACCTCCCTTCGTGTTTTCTGCGGCAATCACATTCCAGAGCATGGCGCTGTTGAGATCAGTGAGAAATACTGGGACATCACTCAGGCCCTCGAACTCGTGAACTTCCCTTTGGCTGTCCCTGGTACAAAAGTTTACAGAGCCATCCAAGCCCGCAAGGTCGCCATCAAGTGGCTGGAGCTTGCTGCATCCAAAGCTAAAACCGCCATCGCCAATGGCTGCGAGCCTGAATGCATGCTTGACGAATGGGTCAAGGAGATGGAGGCTCCAGGATACAAGGGCCGTAAGGATTTCAGCGACCGCGAGATGGCTATGGTCGTATTCTCGTTCTTGTTTGCGTCGCAGGATGCCATGAGTAGCGGGTTGATTTACGGGTTCCAGCACTTGGCAGACCAACCTGACATCTTGGCCAAAATCAGGGAGGAACAGTACCGCGTTCGCGCTAGCGACGTTGACAAACCAATCACCCTTGAAATGCTCGACCAAATGCCATACTTGAAGGCGTTTGTCAAGGAGAGCATGCGTGTCAAGCCTCCCGTGACCATGGTTTGTGCTTCGTGTGAACTTGATGGTGTCTTGCTAATGTCTTCGCACCTTCACTTAGGTTCCTTACAAGACGACCAAGGCTTTCCCTATCTCTAATGATTATACTGTCCCCGTTAATAGCATGGTCATACCCTCATTCTACAACTCTCTGCACGACCCTTCTGTTTTCCCCGACCACGATCAGCTCATCCCTGACCGTTGGCTCGATCCCGACAGCTCCGCCAACATGAACCCGAGGAACTACCTGGTCTTTGGTAGCGGTCCTCACAAGTGCGTCGGTATAGAGTACGCGACGATAAACATCGGACTGGTTCTTGCCACCGCGAGTATATTGATGGACTGGGAGCACCATCTCACACCTGAAAGCGATAAAGTCCAGTGAGTATCTTGGCGCGTGCGCGTTGACCACACGCTAACAAGTTTGGCAGGATCATCGCAACTTTGTTCCCTAAAGACGGGTGTCTCATGACGTTTGCTCCTCGTCCACGACCTTGATGATGATTTGTTTATTGGCATATGGCTTTTGTTTATACCCCCATCCATCCCCTTAGGAACCATAAGGACTTGCATTTAATCCTCTTAAGTATCAATGAGAACATGATTCTTGCGCCGCAACCATATGTTTTTCGTTCTTAGCCAGACACGGTGGACCGGCACGAACTGCAAGAGAAACAAGGCCAAACCTCTAGCGGGAGGCGACGGCTCTATCTATCGAGGACCATGCAGTAGCGACCTACAAGCCAGGACTCCACTGAGCCGGGACCCATGACACTCCACGGATGCGCCAGTACAACGGATCGTGGCAGTTGGCTGGGATATCCGCACCGATCATGGGCCCCTATTTCGCATCGAGACGTCCCTACGATGCTGCGTGTTTTTACGGAGAGCACGATCCTTGGATTCAGCAAAAATGCTCGCGCAAAATTTCCTTTGCAAAGTCGCGGCCCGGATTCATACGAAGCATGTCACGCTTAAGACCGCTAACCGCTGGGTGACAGATGAATGGCATGGGCTCACGCGGGCCATCTTTGGAAAGAAAGTTTTCGATGATATGACGAATACTCTACGGGGTGCTGCTGTGCTGCGGAATAACGTGTACCGTGATACTCAAAACGACGAAGCAATAGGCAAGAGGACGCTCGATACCCGAAAGGAACAAAACAACCGGGGTATATTGTAAAGCGTTCAACGCAGACGAAGAAGTAAAGCCGGGTCATTTCAACATACCTCTATGCAAATATTGGACATGAGTTCTCCGGTAGCGGATGCTGAAGCTGTCGTCCGCATCATTTTCTCCATTTCCCTCACGTTCACCGAGTTTGCTGCGAAAGCCGCCTCGCATACGTCTGGAATCACGTCAACATGCATCTCAAATCTCTCAAACCTTTCAAACCTTCTTCTTTGGCATGAGTGAAGAGGCAGTGATTCTGAGTTTGAATAGAAGCGACGGTATCATTGACTCGTTGACCGCGGCTACGACCTTGCACGACAGTGTTGATATTTCCAGGATCTTCTATCATTTCCTGTACGGTTAGACGGCATGGATCCTCAAGTCCAGTTCGCTGCCTCCTGTCAGTCGCTTCAGGCTAAGATCATAACTACATAATAGAGTCACCAAGCCTCCTGAAAGACAATGAATCATTGGACTTGTTGATTCAAACAACCGAGGTATACTATCACTGCTAGCCATTATCGAAGAAACACTACCTTCGCCTTCGGCTCTGAAGCAATCCAGGCTGCTTCATGGATGACACCCAACCCAACACGTTCCATCAACCCTTGATTCTGACTGACCGCCATTACATGTAATAAACATCCATGATAAAATTCAAGCTTCTCTTCGTCGTACACACCTCGCAAACTGGTGCGGGCAAGGACGATGAACTCGAGGGAAGTCGGCGGGGCAACATCCGATGGTAGGATCACAGTGCCAACCCAAGTAGGAGGGGAGGAAGTGGAGAGAATGTCGGAGAGACCGTGGTGGACAGATGGGTGTAATTCTGCGCCATGTCGCCGTGCAATGGCAAAGTGGCTAAAAGTTGTGCGGAAAATGAGGGTCCCTGGGTGCAACGGTGGATGAATGTCTAGTGCCAGCTCCGTTGTGTCTAAGATCCCTGGTGGAGAAGAATATGTGGACACCTCTCCCTCCGTCTGGCGAATCAAAACAACCCGTCGTAAAACCCTGCGTACATCAAGCTGCACTATAACGCCACTATGGTCCACAATGTACCATGGATCAACAAGGCTTTCCCCCACTGAAGGGCTGCCCAAATCCGAATACGCGAGCCAAGCATCCACAGGATGGGTCACCAAATAGCGATGCTCCGACATGTAGCCAACAGCGCCACACCACGTAGCCCATGCCCAAGAAGGCCAAGGTAAATTGCATTCATCAGGGAGTGAACGCCGAGTACGAGGTGTGTGTGGATTGTGTTGCCAGAGAAGCGCATAGTGTATATCCGTCAACATCATTCCATAGTAAAAGGCTCTGGCAGGGTCACCAAGCCCGAAGATTTTCGCCAGAGCATTTGTCACTCCGGTGAGAGCATCGACGATGTCTGATTCCACAGTGAGATTGCGCCGTGTACACTGCTTAACGGCCGACTCGTAACCCGTGAAGGGATCCAAAGACTGAGGAAAGTTTTCTGCACGTGTATACCTGAGAAAGTTGGTAGAGTCGCACTTGCTTTCAGCAATGACGTCCTCGCAGAAGACATCAATTTGGCACTCAAAGTAGACTTGCTGCCCAGTGAAGTATAACCTTCGGCGGGAAAGCGCGCACTCTTGATAGGTCCAACAACGTGTATTCCATGCGGACAGAGCAAGAGCCTCCTTGAGTCTTGGAGGTGCCGCACATAGATGAAGTCCTTGGACGACCTCGATGTGTTGTTGCGTTCTAGTTTTTGGGCGGCACCCTGGGAGAGGGTCTCGAGCCGACGCACCACCGGCAGCGATTATTGTGAGGTAAGACAGGCCGTAGACCAAATCCATAACGTGTATCTGAGTGAACTTGTCCCGCGAATTATCTTGAATGATGCATAGAGCGTCAATCCATATGTAACGTTCACCGAGTTGTCGAACGAATCGAATCGAATCAGTGATGGTATCAGGGAGCTTTGCCGTGCTCAACCCGCCAGGCGTGCTGCGCTCTACTATATTATCCTTCGTCGTCCAATACTCTGCGCCGATGCCTCCCCAAATGTAACTGAGGGCGATATAACGACAACCAGAAGGTGCAGAAACCACGGCCATCGATTTTACGTCCACCACTCTCACAAACCCCGGCAGTTTCCTATTGTCGCGTTCGCCTATTGCCGAGAGACTTTTGCAACTGTCTCCATGGCTCTCCTGGCACAATTTAATCCACTTTTTCACCATTTTAATATCCACAGTGCTTTTCAGCCTACGACAATGAAGGTCGGTTGGTCTCCCAAACTTAAAAGCGTCTTCTTGCATGAGGTGAATGTTCAGCCCACCTGCTGCCCTGAAAGCCGGATAGATCTTCCAAAGGTTCTCTAGGCCTTCCATCGTGATGTAGAGGCGGTAGCAACGGAATGTGGATGGGGGATATGAGGGCGCCTGAAGACAACCACAAGGTTTCGAGAACATCCTACATTGTATTCCTGAGATATCGACGTGAGGAAACTTGTCCAGCATCCATGTTCGACGCACATGAAAGGATATGAGGCGGCAGAAACTGCATTGGTAGGATTTTTTTAAGATGGACGAGAGAAAATCGAGCGGGATGTCCTCCGCCTCCGGGATGCCATCAAGGAAGATCTGGTAAAAATCCAGATTTGCACAGATGGAACAGAGTAATGCCTCGTTGTTTAACGCGGCAGCATAACCCCTCTGTTCACCCTTCGATCAGTTCCGTGGCGCTGAGTAAGTAGAAATGCCACTGGGTTCCTCACCTGAAGGTCATTTCGAATTTGATTTGGATGTAGGAGCGGGGCGGATTCATCGGATGCAACGTTTGCCTTGATTTTGCACGTGCGGACGACCAACAACCAAAGAACCCAAACTCCAAGAGCAATCCCCCCAATAATTCCAGCAAGGGTCAAACCACTGGCATGTGTAGGGACCGGACTGACGATACTCTCAATAGCACCTGTAGTTAGTACTGCCAACCCTTGCCCGAGAGTTAGTTGAACGGTAAAAAAAATCACAGAGGATACCCACGTGACTGAGTTGCACTAAAGGCTGGAGGAACCATTCGAATTGTCACTTCTGGGATTCACCACGAGGACTCTGCAAGTAGGCCGCCAGGGCAAGGAAATGCATCCATGATCAGAAGGCTGTGAATTAACGTTACCATGAGCGCTACCGCATACCATAAAACCGGCCCTAAGTAGTTCAACTCACTACCCAGCCATGTCTGTTGGGTATTTATACGGTGTTGTTACATAGCTCAGGATCATGTGCTTGAAACAAGCACATGCATCGTGGGAAATCTAGGCATGCAATGATGACATTCGTTCCGATCAGAAATGTCTCCTCCGGAGCCCCTGTGGCGTGAGGGTCCTAGTGAGTATTATGTCATAATTCTTAATAAGCAGGGACCTTTTCGTACAACATACACAGCGAAGAATATAGAACATAGCACGCAAGTCCTATCAAATGTCTGTAAATATTATCATTCTTGTAGGTCCGTCTTTGATGAAACACGCTGAGCTTTTACAGCTCGTCGCTCTCCCTCCTTGGCTCTCCGACTAGCACGCTCGATCGCATCCTTCCATGATAGAGATTCCTTGATTGAAGTCGCTCGCAAAACAATGGTATCGCCACCTCGCGGGTAAGCAAGGTGCAGGCGAAGCAGAGTGTCGTCTATATCACGGTTCTAAGTGAAGGAGAGATGAACAGGAAGAACGAAACAAACCTCGCTCATTTCTCGATCCCTTTATCTGTACTTCGTTCAGGGGTATGGGCTGTCGCACACATCAGTACTCTAATAAACCCTGACAATGGCGACAAAAAAAAACTCACAACACGATATAACCCCCTTCCAACTTCATCCGTCAAAACGAGGATGTCGCTGCATAGGAACAGGCGAAGTTTGCGTCCGCTTTTAGCTTTGCTGATCGTGCCTTCCTTCAAAAGCTTTCGCGGGCCCAAGTGTCGTGTCGGCGCTGTGAGATCAAGGCGACTGGAAAGACAACTAAACAAAATCAGAAGAAAACAAGCGAGAAATCACGCACCCCTGCCCAATCCATAGGTCCTTGCTTATCTCGCCCAGCCTTTCCCTCCCTTCTTGCTCCCGTATTGTTTCATTGACGTGTTCCAGAATTTTCTCGGCTGCTCCCAAAGCCGCACTAATATTTTGTCGTTCCTCTGCGTCCCCTGGGAGCTGAATGGAGATTGCTGGTGGGTGTCCGCTAGTTGCAGTTTGGATGCTAGTGTCGGTCGTTGAGGAAGGACTTGTGTATTGAAGGATTTGTCGGATAAGGAGAGGGTATCGAGTGAGGCGCTGCACTGGAATAAAAGGTCAGTTTGGGCCATTGCATCCGATAGCGGATGTACGAACTGGGAACGAGGAGATAGTGTGATAGATCAAGATTTCGAGCTGTAGGGTCATCGCGGAGGCGCTAAGAAGATGCCGGTCAGTAAGCGTCTGGACAGAATGCAGTTAGCACACCTGAAGCTGAGTAGCAAGGTCAGCATCGCTGTCTCTCATAGACTGAAGAACCTTCGCAGCATTGGATTGATTAACGCAATATGACTATAAGAGGTGAATACCAATGGCACGCAGACTAAAGAAGCACATACCAAATAAAGGTCCATGTTAGGGATATGTGTCTCCAGAACATCGCCAATATGATCTATATAGAGCCGGCAGTCTTTCTGGCGCTCCTCGAGAACAGAAAGGAATGTCTATAAGGTTGTCAGTCATAATTAATGAGCGAGGGCACGGAGAAGGTACAGTATTAGTGAGTAGTATGTCTTCAATATTGGCAAATATAACAGTGGTAGCCTTCTCTCCGAGCGTGCCCATAAGTCGAGAGTAGAACAACTATCATAGTAACGTTAGTAATCTGAACGCGGCAGTGTTAGCACTGTGAACATACTCCAACAATGAGCTGCATATCGCGAACGTAGTCTGCTTCGGTGGAAATAAGTTCAAATATTGCCTGCAAATCGTGAGACACAGCAACGATACGCAAGCGCATTATCTCACCTCTTGTCGCCGCCGCTCCATCTTAGGAATGCCTTCGAGTGCTGACTTGTCCACTAAGCTCGCCCAGGACTACTCACCTCAATACGATGCCCAGCAACGACAAAAGAAACGCACCGTTCCAAAACTAGGTTTCTCATCACCAGTCTCACCACCAGGAGGTGTATTGAGGATAGGACCAGATATGACCAGCGTTTTCTTCTCAGGTTCCGGCGTAGTCGACCTATTCGGATTCCTCCCCAAAAAGCTCAAAAATTGCGACGTACGACTCTCCCAGTCTCGATGGCTAAGACTAGGCGCCAAAGACACAGCAGGCGACCGTGGCGGTGACGAAGGAGATGTATCAAAAGATGAGACAGACATCCTATTGATGAGGTTCCCATTCATCTTCTTGAAAGCCTCATACCGATCGAAAGCGTCGTCTAGACGAGGCGTCGAATCGAGTTCAGTATCTGTCAAGTCGACAGTCGGCACTGGCGGAAGATTCTTCGAAGTCACTGATGCTATAGAAACCCGGTGAGGAGTCACGGGTGGAGGGCGGCGCTTCTGTACTGGCGGATTAGGCGGCGCCATCACATTCGAGCTGGTGTCTACAATCAGACCCGCCGCCTCCAAAACTCGTTGACGTTCAAGCTCTCGAGCGTGTTCGTCCTCAATCGTCCCATCTTCAGAACCTTCTGATTCATCGTCTGATTCGTCCATCGAAAAATAGTCCTCGCCCCCGTCGGAAGACCTGTCAGCGTAACCGTCCTCATCAGGTGATCCACTGGCAGCTGCTGCTCCCGATATATCAGGATATTCGACGCTGTCAATGTTAGTCGACGGCTTCTCACGCGGGTTCACGCGCACGACGTGTGGAGATCCGGCGGCTGCAGACAACGAAAATGGTATTTCCAAATCGTACATGTAAAAGAAACCAAAAGAATAGATTTTAGCCTAGTTGCCAACGGCGATCAAGGTTAAGAGGAAAACTCAAGGGGGAGGCGGCAAAATCCACGAACCCTCTACTATCTCCAAGTAAGCCGCTGGCACGATGAAGACGATCCCGTCCCGTTCAGCTTTCCACCAATCTGCTTCACCTCTATCAATGATGGAGAGTTCGTCACCTTCAGCAAAGGGAAGCTCGTCTGCGTTCCCTCCCGCGTATGAGTACAACGCGCTTGCTTTCACTACATAGGCGTAATGAATATATTGAAAGAGAAGTACAGCGAAGCTCACACACCTGGTTCCACCGTCTGTACATATGTTTGGGGGAAGAAACCAGATTTGCCGTCCTTCACGATAGTGCCATACCACCAATCGCCTCCTGACTTGGATGGATGAGCAGTGATGATCAGGTTTTCAACAAAACCTAACAAAATAATCAACGATCAGTCGTACATATCAACAATGAGCATACTAAGATCATCAGGTCTCTGACCCACATACGGGTAAAGAGACCGCACACGGAACTCTGCAAAATAATCAGCTCTAGTTCCCCCTCTATCCCATGACCGCTCACCAGTAGATTTATCAATATCATCCATCATATCATGTGTTGCCTCAGACACTTGGATCTCCGGCACAGCGGACACCTCCTCCTCCTCACCCTCCTCCTCCTCCTCGATAGTAGCTGGCAAGTGAGGATGCACAGCGCCATAATCAGCAGCAAGACCAGCATACCAATCAACTGAGTCCTTCTTACTGTGTCCTGAAGTTGATCCTCTGGTCATATGGGGTGCCTCAGCGACGGTCTCTTGGGGTGGAGGAAGCACGAATGCTGCTGGTGCGATAACTGCGGGAGGTGATGCTGGACGCGGCGCAGCATTGATGTGGGGAGGAGGAGCAACATCCCCGATAACTTTGCCCGAGATCCCTGCACCACTGCGGTCAATGGTAACAGCCTTTTTCAATCTCGCTCCTCCCTGAATAGCGTTCAGCAGGGCATTTCGGTCACCAGTTGGAGTTGGGGCACCGATATTGACCGAGGGGGCAAATGGTGCGGATGGTGGCGGAGGTGCAGTAGGTGCAGAAGGCGGCGGGGGTGCAGCGGGTGCAGAAGGTGGCGGCAGAGGCGCAGACGGCGCAGGACTTCTAGGAGACTTCTCAGGCCCAGCAGACTGCGGCCTTGAAGGCAACAAGGTCCCAAACAGCTGCTGCGCCAAACCCATCCGTGTATCCCTTGAACCCAGTTCCTCATCACTGCTATCATTGTCTTCGTTCTCCATGACATCGTCCCAGTCATCTTCGCTATCGCCTCCTGCTGTGTTGTAGGTTGTTTTGCTCGAAGGTCCGGGACTTTTTGGAGGAGCGGGGGCAGTGGGTGGAGGAGCAGTAGCAGTAGATGGAGACGCGGTTTGGTTGAGGAAGAACGGGTTGCTACTACCGTTGGTCGATGCTGCAGGCGTTGAAGCAGTTGATCCCCCCTCCTTCATCATTCGACTGAAAGGATTGGTACTTGACTTAGTTGCGGGCGGTGCGGGCGGCGGTGGAGGCGGTGGAGGAGCAATAGTAGCAGGCATAACTTCCTCAGGCTCTGCCGGAGCTGGAACAAAAGCAGGCGGCGGCGGGGGAGCAGGAACGAAAGCAGGCGGCGGTGGGGGAACAGGAGATGCAGGCGTGGTGGGAGACGGAGCAGATTTAGCAGCCAAGAACTGCTTTCGGCGTGCCAGGTATGCTTCTTCAACACGACGCTCCTCTTCCTCCTCTTCTTCAAGCTTGCGGAGAAGGGCAGCGTGTTCTTCCCGTTTCTTACGAAGGGCAGCTCCACGGGCTTCGATAGCTGCATCCTCTGGGTCCTCTTTGGGTACAACAGGTACTGATGGAGGAGTAGGTGCAACAGGAGCTGGCGGGGGAGCAACAGCGCGCACAGGAGTCGGTACTGGAGGTGCGGGAGCAGGCGAGGGCGCAGAAGGTGAAGTTGCAGACGGGCGAAGAGCAAAGCCCTTCCTCGGTGGAGGTGGTGCCGGTGCACGGGATTTTAGAGCTGGCGGCGCGACCTTGGGGGCAGGGGCAGGAGGCGGGGCGGTAGTAGTAGGTGTCGGCACAGTCGGCGTGGGCTGAGGAGTCGCCTTGCCTTCCTTGAGCGCCTTGTCACTTTCAAGCCGTTCTCTCCTAAGCCTCTCGCGCTCTTCGGCCTGTCTCTCAGCTTCCTTGGCTTTCTCCTCCGCTTCCTTCTTCTCCTGAGCGAGTCTGTCTCCAACGCTGACATCCAAGGTAGGTGTCGTAGTCGAGGATGGCGCAGATAAGCCCAGAGCTTGCATACGCTCTTCGAGACGCTTCTTGGCTTGCGCTTGGAGAAACGCTTTGCGCTCTTCAGGCGCCATGTTTTTAATTCCTGGAGCAGGCGAGCGGCTGGGGGCTGGTGGCGGTGGTGGCGGTGGTAGTGATATGTTGTTTGCTGGAGCAGCAGGCGGCGGCGGCGGAGTACGCGTTGACGTCGACACACCACGATCCAGATCCAGGTCGTCATGGCGGTCACGGTACGACCTATCCCTGTCGTGGTCTCTGTCATCTCTATCATACCGTGATCCACTGCGAGAATAAGGTCTATCGCGATCATCATCTCTGTAGCGCAAGGAGGGTGAATGCCTCCCATTAGTATCGTCAAACCGACCAGATCTCTCGTTCCTCCGATCACGCTCTCTGGCGTACTCACGTGACTCCCTCTCTTTTTGAGCCTGACGGTCCTCGATCTTGCGCTCGAGCTCAGGTACACGTTCATGCATGAGCTGCAAAAGCTCTCTCTCCAACCTCCTACGCTCCTCTTCTTTGCTCGCGCTCCTCGGACCGCGGGAGACATACGTCAGGTCGTCTTGCAGCCGCTTAATGCGGTACCGCAAATTGTCCATCTCACGATTGAGCTCTTCGTCACCCTCATCTGCTACTGCTCTCGCATCGAACATCTTTTGCGTGTTCGCAAGCTGGCGCTTTAAATCAGACATATCTGCGGTAGGGCTGTTGTCTTCATTCCGCGAGCGCACAGTACTGCGGTCGATGTGCCTGCTACGGGGCTGGTAGAACCCGCCAGGAGGCTCTGCGTCTGTGTGCTTATAGACTGTGGCGTCTTGTCGTCCGCCAGCACCTGGTGCAGATGTAGAATTGAATGAGCGTTCTTTGAGACGTGAAATAGGAGTGTCGAAACCAGACGGAGAGCGGGCACGTGTATCGTTCTTAAGAATGTCCTTGAGAAAATTAACAGAGGTATCAAGATCTCGAGAGGAAGGTGGGATAAGTTCGGACGGAAGTTCGTCAGGTATGTCATTGCCATTGAGTTCTAGTGTTGCGTCATTCGTGTTAAGCCGATGAGGAAATGCAATGACATACTGCGGTAAATCAGGCCCATTGCAATATGGAATTCAGCAAGGTTGAGCTTGCCGTGGTTATCAACGTCGGCAAGGGTCCTAAATTGACATTAGAGACTTGATGCGCATCAAGACAATTTTGATACTCACCAGATGCGGGCCAGATCGTTCTTATCGAGCCCACTCTGACCAAAGACCTCGAGTGCAGTCTGACCGCTGATGAAACCGGTGCCTTGGGCATCCCAGGCTCTGAATATCTGGTCGTATTGCTTCTTTTCGGACTTGGAGAGTGTCCAGGGAATCTTGGGTGCAGACCCTGTGCCTCGCGCCTGATTATGCTGCTGGAAGGATTGCTGCAAAGATAGACCGCCCAACTGTTGCTGAGGAGGGGCAGCAAGCTGGGGCATTCCTCCCGCACTGTATGGTGCAGAAACATTGGCAGGTAAGAACGAGCTAGACATCATCTGCAACCGTGGGTCCACGAAGCCAGTTGCTTGAGGTATCAAGGGCGCAGCAATACGACCAGCAAAGCCGGTTTGCTGTGGCATGAGGCCTGGGTTTCCACCAAATCCTGAAGGAGACGGACCTCCGAACCGGTTTGCCTGAGGATTTGCGAAGCCGGTCTGTTGGTGAAACTGAGGCTGCTGCTGGAACTGAGGTTGCTGCTGGAATTGGCTTGGGATAGGTGGTACGGGTGGAGGCTGCTGCTGGAATTGGCCCGGGATAGGTGGGACGGGTGGAGGCTGCGAACGAGCCTGCTGGGCAAAACTACTCTCACCTAGGAAACCCGTAGGCTGGGCTTGCAAGACACCCAGTCTAGAGGGACCCGGGCCCAGATAGCCTGTCTGTTGGGGTTGCTGATAACCCTGTGGTCGTGCGCCTGGAAATCCAGTAGGCTGTGGAGCAATTCCACCAGGATGAAAGCCACCAGGTATTCCTCCAGGCTGGAAACCGGTTTGCTGCGGAAGTTGATAATTCTGGCCAGGCTGAAACTGACCCCACTGCGACATCGTTCAACAGATGTATGAGAACAAAATTAAAAGATCGAAGAATGAAAGAAAACAGCTCTAGTCGCTGTTGCACGCGGTGATGAGAACCCTTTAAAGCGGAGACTGCGCAGTTTATTGCTATTTGGCCCCAATTCAATATAGACTCCGAGCTGTACAGACGTTTGACAGAGCCGACTACCATCGCTAGGCAGCATCGCTGCGATCTTATCCTTCCGTTGTCGAACAAGATCGATCATGATCTGTATGCCCTTCAACACGCTTTCATCAGCACCTGTGCCATCGATAAAAGTCGAGTATGTGCTAAGTCTATGAGAGAAAGGGAATACAAAGGAGCTTGGTGTTCCTCCTCCTCTTCCTCTTCCCTTCGCCAGGTATAGACTCTAGAACAATTTGTCTGTTTTCATATATCTCGACCTCCACTTCACAATCACCGTCGTGCCAGTTTCTGAAGGCTGCGAAGTGCCTTTGAGACACGCTCCCAGTCTCCCTCGTGCACTATGAGAATACTCCCGTTTACCCTGCGTATCTCGATGTTGATTATTGCGGTTTTCAATTCTTCTAGGTCAGCTTCGAGTGCGGTGAGAACGCGGTGGAGAAGTATAGAAGGAAGACCAGGATACGACTCTGACTCTGATATCTCGATAGGGTTCGGCGGTGCTGACTCGGATGAGACAGGAAAGAACATCTCAATTCCCTCAGGAAGCTGCTCCTTCTCGATCGATCCCCCGTACGACCTGGGTATCAAGATAGGTTAAGGAGAGTCGTTGCTATACACCTGCACCGTTTTTAACAAATTTGAAACATGTAATCTGTGAGCAGATACCTGAAATCCCGTGAGGTGAACGCCTGTTCAATTCCTCGCTAGTAAAATTATGAGCTGCCTCGATCATGCGCGCTTGCTTTTCGGGAGGCGCGTCCTCATCATAAAGGATAGTGATAGTCCCAGGTATCGCATTTAGATTACAAGGCTTCACAAATCCACACGCCAGATTTTCAAGGACGGGGTGCTGTGCAGGATCAGATAAGAAAGACCGAACGCACCGTGTCACAGCAGATCGGATCAACATATCTTTATCCTTGCCATGTACTGGAACTACTTCCACGTTTTCATCGCCTCCTCCATTTTAATCTTTGAGTTGCCCCTCGACTTCAGCACTCCAAGGAACTTTGGAGTCCACTCTCTAAGTTTCGATAGTTCATCGTGATCGCCAGCAGCGGCAATCCATTGATATTTCGTGAGCGAGAACAGGCTTGAGCAGGAGGGATCTGTCTTCTGTCGTCTCAAGTTTCAACGCCCGCGTGGCCGCCTACTTGAGCTGCAAGAGGGTGTGGCTGCTAGCGTCGGCAAGAGCGGAGAATTGGACATGGATGTTATAACAGACATAGGATCCTGGATGATGTCACGCTTGGCACTGTGTGCATACGAAACGTACGAAACATGAATGAACGGTAATAAGTGTATCTATTGAAAGGGCTACGCCACTCCAACTCATGTAGTGCGAGCATCAATAAGCCAGGCTAGTCTCGAGCCTGATCGGCAATCCACGGAAATGAATAACTCATTGATTGCTCTATCGACTTCGAACTGACATTGCTAGTATCACTAAGTAAGATATGTCTGGTGCACAATGTTCTTTTCGCGTACACGTACACACTGCTGAATTGTGCAAGGATGATAGTGGAATAAGCAGATTCATTGGCAATAACAATCAACAGGATCGCATCTACAGCGTACAAGTTTTTTCCGTTTTTAGGGGCTACTCCATCGGTCACGCACTGGGTTCAGCATCCTCAAGAGGGGGTGGGCCATCATCATCTGAGTCAGAGTCAGCAGGCTCGTCTTCTGCGCCTGATGGGCCGGCACCAGCAGCTCCGCCCATGGAAGCCATAAGCTAATAATTGTTATGATCAACACGATGTAGATGTTGTGAGAAGTGACCCACCTTGCTGAAGTCCATGCCGCCCATGTCACCCATGCCTCCCATACCGCCCATGCCACCCATACCTCCCATGCCACCCATGCCGCCCATACCTCCCATGCCACCCATACCGCCCATTCCACCCATGTCGCCCATGCCACCCATGCCGCCCATACCGCCCATGCCACCCATATCACCCCCGAAATCCTCATCCAAAGCTTGGGCGCCGTCTTGCTCGTCTTCATCGGCCCATTTGCTGAAATCAGTCTTGACAAACGGCAGTTTCACCTTTTCCTTCGTTAGTCGTGGCCAGTACTCAATCTTGAGGGCCTTCTTCCGCAACACCACCGTGAAAGAACGCGAGCTCAATTTGCTTTGAGACGCCTAAAACACGATCAGTGGCGCGTACCTGGATATTATGATAAAGAAACATACGTCTGGATCTACTTCATCAAATAGCGGGAGTGAGAACGCATATGCTCTCTTGTCGCTGATGTCGGTAGATAGTGTTGGAACAACAGATCCAGAGAGTTAATAGAGCGCTGACTTACGTTTTTGACTCTGCTTTGAAAGAAATCTCGGTAGGTGTCAGTTCATATTGGAGACTTTTCTCGTCAATGTCTGGCACGTTCACGGTTAACCACACGATGTTCTGGCGCGCGATCGCGGAGGGGATGATCAGCACAGGAATGATTGATGATGAAAGTCAAGGCACACCTTGTCGGCGACGGAATCACTGCTGCGTTGAGCCCATAGAACTTCAGGATGAGTTGACATCGCGTGTTGGATGATTGTGAAATTGAGAAAGAGATTATAGAGTCGCCTTCGAATAACGGAGAAAGACGAAGAAACACCTAGTTTTTCTCAAGTACGCGAAGCTAGATCGGCAAACGCAGCCACACAAGGTCACGTGAACTAGTCGCCTTCACCGAAACCATCATTCGACCAGCTTAAGCCTAACAAATGGACGGCAGCGAAGAGAAGGCAGTTGAGGAAGTCACGATGACAATGGATGAAAGGAAAGCAAAAATAGAGCAGCTGAGAGCCAAGATGGTGCGTAGCCCTGTCTGCCTCGTACTCCTTACTCACTCTACCATAGCGTTCATCTACGAAAGCCAACCGCGCTTCCCTCATTGAGGAGTCTGCTAGAGCAAAGATGACTGTGAGGGATGCTGCGCGGCTAGAACGTCAGCGGAAACTTGCAGAGATGTTGCGCACGCAAGCTGAAGCCGAGGACCGGGGGGAGGATGTGGAACGGCAGAAGAATTGGGAATGGACGATAGAAGAGAATGACAATTGGGAAAAGAAGAAGGCGAGGAAAGCACGGAGAGCAGACTACGAGTTTCACGGTGCGTGGTTTCTGCTCTTCCTTGCATGATGTTACTCAAGTCTTTTATAGATGATGCTCACGCAGCTCGGCGGCGCTACAAGAAGGACCTTGACTTGATTAAACCGGACCTTGCTGCCTACAGCCGACAGAAAGAGGTCGTGCTGGGGCTGGCACCTGGGTCGCTTTCCAAGCCTGGGAGCAGCTCATCTGCTCTCACAACATTTGATCCTTCAGGCGGACAGGTCAATGCAATCGACCCTTTCGCTCTATCGTATCTCTGACCGCGCATGTTTTTAGGTTGTATCCGCTGAACAACGGATGGCCGCAGAGAGCTTCTACCGAGATGCCAATACTCTGCTGTATGCTGACAATAAACCCACTGAAGATGCCATTGACAGAGTGGTTGGCAAGATCAACAGAGAGTATGTTGCTGCACTGCTCTGTTTCCCTTGCAGTACTGACATTACGCCGCAGCATCGACAAGAAGGGCAAATTCTCCCGCAAGAGACTCAACGAGGATGAAGGCGACATCACCTATATCAATGAGCGGAATCGGGTGTTTAACAAAAAGGTTTGTCATTGTGCATGTGCATGTTCGTGAGAATTTGAGCTGACGAGTAACAGATTGCGCGATACTACGATAAATATACCTCAGAGATTCGGGCCAGTTTCGAGCGGGGAACAGCATTTTAATTGCCGCTTCTTGTTGCAGTCGCGTCTTGAAGGAACGACTGTCTTCCTCAGGCTTCTTTTGAAGTCTCACTACGGGAGACTATTGCCTCAAAGCACACTCATCTACTCCCTGTAACATTAATTTATGATCTTGTATTGATGCACTACACTAGACATTTGGATCTGGAGCAAACGGCGGTTAAAGCAGCAGTAGATTAACATTGCAGATCATCGCGTAAGCGGCGTAACTAGTATTAAGAGAGGGTGACACGTACTTCTTGTGACGGATGTGTTCGTCACCAGTCACACATTCGCCACTTGATCCTTGTACAACATCATTCATGTGGTGAGTTACTGAAGCAAAGGAAGGATGCATTACTGATGATTTACAGGTGCACAAGGTGGTTCCTGCCGCTGTTACTTTTGCCTCTCCCAACTGCTCAACCATTTTTTTTGGTGCTCTTCCTATTTTCGTTAGCCCTGCACGCGAAACCATGGTGAGGTGCAATGTTATGAGTTCGTCGAGGTGATACTGACATATCCATAGCTTCTACTGTATTGTACTTCTCGGAGCTCTCTTTCTGTCATCATGTTATTGGCAGTCATTCCCTTTGGAGACGCGTCTGTCAGTTCCATGGTCCCCCGATATCAACACCTTTTATGACGCATTAAATGCATCCTTACCACTCAATTTCGACCGACACGAATACACTCCACCCATAATTCGCGTTAATGACAGATGCTGGTGCGATTTTGCCTCGGGAATTTTCGAGGCATACGATACGCAGAAATGGGAGAGGGAAAGTGTGGAGAAACTGGCTGCAGATATGGTGCAGCAGATGAAAGATCTTACAGAGAAGCCCACCGGAGCAGAGGAGCTGCCAAGCACTGAAGAAGAAACACTTTTACCCGAGGAGACTGATTTCTTGGCAAATCATACCGCACACGTCATACCCACCCAGAAGTCCACATTATCAGCGCTTCGTTCAATGTTTGGCAAAACAGAAACTCGAGGCTCACCATCCGCCACAGATGCGGAACCCGCAACGACGACGACGGCAACGTTAGTTCCCCCTCCCAAGCCATCTCCAACGTCGGAGTCGCCGTCCCCTCGTCGACCACTTCGACCACTTGAATATGACCTTAATCCATACGGATTTGATCTCATTCTCGATTTTCATTGGTCTTGAGGTCGACAGGAAAAGTAGTGTATGAAGCATGCTCCACGACACACGCTTGTATCAATATTTTAATTATAGACTACAAGCACTACTTCTGTTGTATACTATATGTTTCTGGTGCAGACTTGCAAACGCTGTCGAGCGTGTGAAATTCGAGCTGGGTGTCGCGGCAGAGACATTCAGAACCAGAAGGCTTGCAAATTGTTCTCCTTCGCATAAGTATCTTCAGCTCACTAAGTTCCCTTCTTTCGCTTTCGTGCGGAATGCGACTAGATGTCCTCAAAGTTTAAGGGAAAGTCTGCAGCTGACCGGCCAGACATTACCCGTGCATCGTTGGACCCGGAACCGTCCACATTCCACAGCAAGATGGACTTGGTTTCTAAAACCCTCTTCGCGCCGTTCAATAACAAGAAGAAAGACTCCTCGCGCATTCTTACAGACTGTGAGCAATACGCGTTGTCGTCAGTCTCAATTATTTAATATCTTCTTTCTAGTGGCCCCGGTAATAATGACTCCCCGTATGATGAACGCAACGGCAACAGTGTCCTCACGTTCGCGAGGTTCTCTTGGTGTCTCAGCTCCTGGAGGATCCCGGTTGGACTTTGCAACCCTCGGACGCGCCCCAATGCGGCTGACCTTGGGAAACCGCCGCATCACGTCGCGAGACCTCCAGATCGTCGAGGCGACAGACGAGCTCTTGGACGCTGATATCCCAGAAGCGGAGGGTGTTGCGTCTGACGTGAGCTTACTCCGAGGGTTCAATGCAACAGTTCCTAGTTCGGAGAAAAACCGGACACGGCGCAAACAGATGCGGAATGTCGAGACTCCAAGGATTGGGTTGAAAAAGTTAGGAATGAGTGCGAGAGGGATGATGATGGAAGATGAAGAGGAGAGAAGTGTCGCAAGTGAAGAAGATGTGGTTGTGGTTTCACGTCTTGATGAGCGAGGGAAACGAAAGGGGAAGAGACGAGGCAGGGAGAGCCTTAGTGCAGCAAAGGCACTTGGTAAGGACGAACTCAGACGACAAACCCAAGAGATACTACTTGACAAGGAGAATCTTCATGTTCGACGGGTACGTTCCTCTGTCTCACACCCGGACTTTTCTGACATAGTGCAGAGTCTAATTAACAGTGAAATTGCGGAAATAAACAACAAAATCAAAGCGCTGGACTCAATACGTGAGAGGCTGGAACAAGACCTCCTAAAATTGCACGAGGATGAGTTGGAATTGGATGATGAGCGTAAGTGTCAATTGAATGATGCATACGAACTTCGCTGACTTGCGTACAGTCGGGGGCGTGCAGGAACGAATAGAATTCGAGGAATCTGCGTTCCGCCAGAATGACTCAACCAAAACTGCACCGGCACCTCATATTGCTCCTTCACGGCGGCGGAAAGGTAATTTGTCACGAAGCTGGCTGTTGCATATGTTTACCAGTGTCTTGAAGGACCCGTTTTCCTACCGTCAGAACATGACGAACTCCCGCCAGGAGTAGCATTCATGGTGAGTTCAGCATCCAATCTTATCCTTTGATATCCCGCCCAACTGGTTGTAGACCTTAGAAAGTCACCTCACACCAATAACCGCCCTCGACTTCTCAGAGCCTTATGGAACGCTCGTGAGCGCATCGCAAGAAGACTCCCAGCCACGACTTTGGGATTTGATGACAGGATCTGAAATCGGACGATTGCGTGGGCATCGCGGTGCCGTCAAATGTATACAAGTCGAGGATAACCTTTGTTTGACTGGCGCAGAGGATGGCAGCGTGCGCCTATGGGACCTTCGACTGGTAGACGAAGACGACTGGGAGAGAGATGGTCTTACAGATGTTGCAGAGGAAGATGAGGGCACCACTTACGATGGGGAACTTATCGAAAAGCCAAATGGAATTCGGTCAAGTGAACCGAGTGAAGCAGGGACGGCTGACCAAACTGGACCGTGCATCAGGTTATTTGAAGGGCACAGTAAGGCTGTTACCGCGCTTTACTTTGAGGATGAGTGTTTGGTAAATCTTTCATTCGTTCTCCAGCTCCATGTTGTCTCACTGCGCATACAGGTCACTGGTGCTTCAGACAAGACACTTCGTCAATGGGACCTCGCAACTGGACAGTGTGTGATGACAATGGACATCCTATGGGCCATCTCCCATTCACAGCCCACTATACCAGGCAATGGCATACCAAATCATCTTTTCCCAAGTTCCGTGGCCTCTGCGGGGCACTTCGCTGTTCCTACTCCGCCTTCCGCAGACGGCAGTTGGGACATGTACGAAGATTTCGTGGGTGGGGTCCAGTTCTGGGGTTATGGGCTCGTGAGCGGTAGTGGGGATGGGGCAGTACGAATGTGGGACAGTAAGTTGTCCTGGTCCCTTCTGCCGCATTTGACGTGAAATTTATACCCTCAGTGCGGACGGGACAGGCTCACCGAACGTTAATGGGGCATACCGGTCCAGTAACCTGCCTTCAGTTCGATGAGATGCACATTGCCAGCGGCAGTCTCGACAAGTCAATTCGGGTATGCACGTTGATTTTCATGGCTATCGACGTTCTCTGAAGTGTCTCGTAAGATATGGGATGTCAGGACGGGCGGCACATTCGAAACCCTCAAGTACGACTATGCTGTGACTGCGCTGCAGTTTGACACCCGCAAAGTTATCGCTGCTACTGGCGAAAATGGCGTGAAGGTGGGTTTCTCGGCTGTTGTGAGTACTGCTGAATACTAATTCTCTGTGTCCGCAGATCTACAATCGCACGAGTATGCAACATTCGTCTCTTTCCACGAACGGCCATACGCAGCCTGTCGAGCGCCTACGATACATGGACCGGTACCTCGTATCGGGTGGACGTGACGCTGCGGTAAAGATATGGACTCTATGAAGCCTCGATTGGGGAGGTCTTAAAGACCTTCGACTGTCGAGAATGATGCCGTCAATTAGAATCTATATATACCTCAATTAGTGCACAGTTCCATAACTTATCGCAAGCACACTCAAATAGCATACACAGTTTTGCACACATCACCAAGTTTCATTCGCGGCTCGACTTCAGGCTTGCCAGATACAAGGTAAGGTGCGCTTCTAGTCTTGTAGCCACAGGGATAAAAAATCAATAGCGGAGCAACGATGAGCATCACTATTAGAATCCAAGTCGAAATGAGTTCATGGAGTAGTAAATGGCGAATGGCAAAAGGAAAACAAGAAAGAAAGCTACATGTAAGCATATAAAAGATATACAAAGCAAGACATGATATAGATGATTTTCAACGGCAGATGAAGCTGCCGAACAAAAATATATATATTAGGCTCTCCTATAGCCCATTTCTGGGGCGTCACGGCGAGGGGGATAGTCTCTGACACGCTTGTCGTCCCTCGGAGGAGCAGACCTGTCGCCAGAATATCCATTGGCGCCAGGATAGGCGTCGTAATGCGCAGAGCGGGGTGGAGGGCTCATTGAGCGGCGACTACTGGTTCATGAGCATGTATTAGAACATCATATGACAAAGGACTCGCCGATAACGGGGCTGCTCGGGAGAACGAGGGTAGTCCATTGGGCGAAGGGGTGGTGTAAGTGGCCTAGGAATGTAATCCCTTGGAGACAGTGAGACTTCGACCACAATATAAGAAGTCGGGCCATACCGAGGTGGTCTATCGTAATCATCACGGCGAGGAGGGGGACCAGGAGGTGTCCTAGGCCTGGAATTCGGTGCAGGGTACCTATCATCTGGTGGAGGACGCCTTTCATATCGGTCAAAGTCCCTTGGTGGAGGATAACCTCTCGGTGGCGCATCCCTATCATGCGGGCGTTCATACCGGGCAGGAGGTGGCGGCGGAGGTCCCCTCATCCTGTAATCATCATAATCGCGGGGGCGTGGAGGAGGCCCCGTTGGATAATCTCTATGATCCCTTATAGGTGAGGGGGGACGCCGGAAATCTCTGCCAGGAGGCGGCGGCGGCGGATAATCATAATACCTAGTGTCCTGTGGAGGGGGGTATCGCGCCGGGGGACCAAAGTCTCTAGGAGGTAAGTAGTCCCTAGGCGGTAATCGCTCAATTAATCCCGCTTCGTGAGAAGAACCCCTAGGACGTCTGATAAAGAGTTAGTGACTTCAACAGCAGTATTGATATAAAAACTCGCGATTGTAAACGAGGGCATTCCCTATTAGTGAAATAGATCTGTTAGCAACAAACGGCCGTGATCATCAACTACGTACCTGGCCCAATGGCCAGTTTCACCACATCTGAAGCAAGCGCCGGGATCGTCAGAACGTCTGGTAGCACGTCCGCGACCGTGGGAGAGCTCCACACGTATTTTGTTGCCCATAAAGTACCCTTCATTGTATTTGGCAACGCTTTCTTCAGCAGCCTCGCGGGTGTCAAATTCCTGTCACGAGCCTCCATGAGGTCACTCATGTGACTAGAGGCAGTGGCAACTTACGACAAAACCATAACCTATTCTATTTAACAGATCTTAAATAAATACCAACTCCCCAAGCAAGCAAAAATGAAGAACGTACTTTAACTCGATGTGGACGATCCTTCCAATCTTTCCAAAACAACTTTGAAGGTCCTCTTGGCGTGTATGGTCTGGTAAACCGCCAATGTATACTTTGTTCGGCTGTGCAGCACAATGTGTTCAACATGAGGCCAGACAATGAAGCGAATCAGAACAGCGAGAAGACAAGGGCAAGACCAGCGAACAGAGGAATTCGCACGCAAAATTTCGACGTGAGCGTTTAGCGACCAGGGACAGATGTAGCAAGTCGCCTAGTCGCAGAACCAACTAATCGCCCAGTATCATAGTCAGGAGACAAGATCATTGCGCAGGCGGTAGAGATCCAAGCTAGCAGAGGATTTCAACAAGAATAATAGGAGACCTAAGCACCTTGGATATCTTTTCGCGACCGGAGTCGGTTTTGCTGCCAGAGACGCCGTTGTCACCGCTGGAGGTACGTTTATGACCAGAGCCGCTTGCCATTTGCCCGGAAGTCGTTTCGTCTGCTGCCAGAGGCGCGTCGTCGACAAGGGGGTCAGCACTGGACATAGGGCCCATGTTATCTGGGTCTTCACCGAAGCCCCATTTGTCATTGGCGTCTTGCGCTGCTAGCGGTGATGCAGCCATCTTGGAGGTATTGGTGCAAAAATATTCTGAGGAATATGGGATCAACAGAGCATGTCATAAACAAACAAACTTTGCCACACTCAGACCAAACATGTTCAAATATGCTGCAGCTGGGTACGGCGAAGGAATGTGTTTCAGAATGTAAATCTACAATATTAGTGTGTGTAGTATACCAATGGATATACGGTACTCCAGAAAAATCATCCATAAATACGAAAGTCCATCACATCATTAGCTCAAGCTATGGTCCAGAGTCCACTAGCGATACCAGCTGCAACAAGGACTCCCATGCCCATTAGGGTCCTGGCATCAGCGAGAACAACTGATGCGGCGTTAGATGAACCACTTCCGCTACCCGAACTCGAAGTTGTCACAGTGGCACTCGGGGCATCCGCAGGGAGAGTGGGGACGGATGCGCCCGTAGCACTCGCGAGACAGGACGTTGCCGCGGCATTGGCAGCGCTGGCGCTGGATGGTGCCTTGCTGTTGACGGTTCCGTTCCCACCGAAGCTACACGATTGAGCGTTGGCCCCGTTTGCTATGTAGTACTCGCTCATCACATAGGACAACATTATGGCTATGAGAAAGAATCAGAGCTTGCGCAGTGCAACATTCTCACATCATGAACTTACTGGGGTCGCACTCAGATACCGCACCGTATGTTCCTGTTGTCCCGTCGGAAGAAATTGCGGCGCACGTTCCACCGGCCTGCCCGATAAGGCTGCACGCGTAATTTAGCAACGATCCAACGATTGCCGTGTAGTTGCTGGTCGTAGGAGTGAACTGGCAGCTGAGATTATTTTCGAGACACTGGCAAGCAGCAAAGTTGGGCGTGGGGGGAAGAGTGTTGGAGGCAAGCCAAGTTGAGTTCTGCTGAGGGCACGAGGGGTAGCTGGTAGTGCCCGCAGCGCTCTGCGAAGGCGAATTAGGTGGCGACGCAGCGGCATACTGAGTTTGTAGGTTGGTGAAATCGCTGCTTGGAGTGACAGTGCTTCCATCAGTTGAGATCGTAACCATACCGAACTGTCCCTGAACACTCGTAGCTGGGAAGTAGGAGAATGCGACACCACCGGACCAAACGGGAGACATCTGCGAGCTAAAAAGCGCTCCGACTTCTGTCCACAGACGAGGGGGAGAAGTAATGCACCCGTATTCACTGAAGTAGGCTGCAACATTGTAACCTGCAAAGTTGCCCTCTGTGCCGGCATAAGAAGCCTCGAAGGTTGAGTTTCCACACCATTCACTGCAGGACCACATGTCAATGACCAGTAAATGAGAAGCCGACGATTCAAACTGACTAGTTGTTCAACCCGAATAGATCGATGGCAGCTGCACCGGAGTTTGAACCAGAAGGATCACAGGACAAGTAGTTGGCCAGAGGATCAAGCCATGTAGCATCTCCATCGATGGACGCGTACCCAACGAGCGCGCTAGACTTGATAGAATTACTTGGAGGAAGGATATTTAGCCCCATAGGAGCCGATCTACAAATTCGGTTTTGGCTTACAGGTATGCTTTCACATCACGAGCAGCAGCCTTGACGAAGGTAGCGGCAGCGGTACCGTTAGGTTGAATGATTACTTCGTTTCCAACATTGTAAGCCAAAACATTGTTAAATTTTGAGAAGACATTGATAGTCTCGATGTATAAATCAAGTAGATTGGTGGTCCAGGTCGGCGCGTTCCGGTCCATCGAACCATTCCCGGGTAGAGAAAGATCGATGCTTAGATAATATCAGTGGTCTAGGTAAACTGAGTGCTTCATGGGTACTCACATGGTATAAATACCAGCGTTACTGAACGTTTGCATGCAAGAGTCATGGTTCAGCGATGAGTTAACGCTATAAGCACGGATGGTATTGACACCAAGCTGCTGCAGGTAAGGAAGATCACGGGTGCATGCAGTGCCGTCGGCCAAGGGATCGATGAAAGTGGATGGTTCGAGAAAGGGATTGCTTGCGCTCGCGACCACAGCACCTGCACCCCGTTGTGAGCATTTATAACATGGCATTTGACGGTAGTAAACATCAAGTCGACTTGATGTTTACCAATGTCCTTACCTTGCTCCTGGTAGGCTACACCTTTGATATAAAACCTGTTTCCGTCCGCAGTATAGAGGTATCTTCCATTGCGAGTGACTGTCTGAATAGCGGCGTCAACGCCAGTCAAAAAAGAACCTGCCAAAGCAAGGCCAGCTGCGAAGCGTGAACTCGCTCGCATGATATCTCACTCAGAGATTTTGGAAACGGGATGAAGAAGTGAAGTAGATGGCTGTGAATGCCGTGACTGGTTTTAAAGGAGGGAACGTGTGGTTGTCGTGGTATGTACTGCAAGTTTAATTTTGACTGGCGGGGTAAACTTGTTGACCTGGGAAGACACGGAAGATGTTTTGTTGTTCTGGATTAGTCATACCCACATTTGGACGGTGGATTCGCAGAGACCCTGAGGCCTGAGCATCATTGCACTGATCGATTCAAATATTCAGACAGGCCTGGAGCTGTTCGTCATGCACACGTCACAGAGTGCAACGTTGAGTGAGCATGCACACCTGCTCGGATCCAGACCTGTGGCTTACACCAACAGGCAATTTTTGACGTCGTCGAATGATCACTATCATCAAGTCGGCCGGGAAACCTGCACTGGTATGAGCCTATCAATCATTGAGAAACTGTTTGGCAACCTGTACCTGAAGGTTGAGAGATACGCGTACCTCGCCTCTGATGAATTTTGATCTTACATGATCTACGGCTACCAATGTGGCCACTGTCGTTCGGCGTCCTTCTTACAAGTTCGAATGACCGCCAGAAATCGTTGAATATTTATGGTGGAATCAGAGGATTATATATATATGTGGGTGTATGAATGTTATAAATACTTCAGTAACAAATAGACCAACAGGCCATGAAAAGAGAGCGTTGCATCAAATCGACAGCTCAGCCTCGTGAGATGACCCTGGATTTTGAAGGAGATATTCCTGGAACAGCTCAGCGCTGAGTCCCGGGAATCGTTGAAATACACACACCTTTGCAAGTTTCTGCCCTTCGGACAGAACAACAAGGTAAGACGGCAAACCCGTCAAGCACCACTGCCTTTCGAGCCATGACAGGAGATGACGATTCCAGAAAGACTTGAATAGTTGGTTGAGTTTATTGTCCCATGGATGCGGTGCTCGCGAGAGATGGAAGGCCCAGTTTTGACATGCGTAATTGAGAGCGTCGGAAGCTGACCGACTTCGTCCCCGTGCTTCATTTGCGAAACTGGCAAATGCCCTCATAGCGTGGATGATCTCCACGTCTGGCGTAAGCTGTGCTGCAGAGGTGGAACAAACTTGGTGTCTTAATGCGAGGAACGCCGGAAACATCAAGAAATCTGGCAAGTTCTTGAAATGCTGGATGACCTGAAAGGCTGGCAGTAAATGCATTTCCGAGTCGATAATGTACTCGCTGATTGAGTTCGATGTGCTCGAGAACTCTTCCATCATCACCCAGATGGATGCCGCAGGAGTCGACCGCCATCCTTGACCATGAGGCGTCTGCAGCCAGTCTCGTCCACTGCTAGTCTGGAGCCAGTTTCTCCCACAGTGGGTCTGGAGCCAGTCTCGGCCAGTCTGGGTTTGCAGCCACTTTTTACCAGCCTCGGTCTGCAGCCAATCTCGCCCTCTCATGCTCTGCAACCAGTCTCGTCCACTCCTTGTCTGCAACCAGTCACACCCGCCTCTTGTCTGCAACCAGTCCCGGCCTCCCCTGATTTGAAGCCAGTCCCTTCCCCCTTCAGTGTGCAGCCAATCTTGTCCGCCACGTGTTTCCAGCCAGTTTGCGCCGCGCGAAGTCCGCAGCCAATTTCGTCCACTCTGTGTGTGCAGCCAGTCTGGCGCAGTTGGTGTCTGGAGCCAGTCTCGACCGCTACTGGTCTGGAGCCAGTTTCGCCCGCTCTGAGTCTGGAGCCAGTCTCGTCCGCCCTGGGTCTGTAGCCACTCTCGTCCACTCTGAGTCTGCAGCCAGTACCGCCCACCCTGATTCTGCAACCAGTCTCGCCCACTCCTTGTTCGCAGCCAATTTTGTCCACTCCTCGTTTGCAACCAGTCCCGCCCGCCCCTTGTCTGCAACCAGCTTCGCACACGTGGAGTCCGAAGCCATTCTCGCCCACCCTGGGTCTGCAGCCAGCCTCGCCCGCTCCTAGTCTGCATCCAATCTCGTCCACTCCTAGTCTGCAACCAGTCTCGCCCGCTTCGCATTTGCAACCATTCTCGCCCGCTACTGGCATGTAACCAGTTTCGTCCACCCGAGCTCTGCAACCAGTCTCGTCCACCACTGGTCTGCAGCCACTCCCGCCCATTCCGAATCTGCAGCCAGTCTCGGCCGCCCAGGGTCTGTAACCAGTCTTCCCCGCCATGGGTGTGCAGCCAGTCTCTCCCTCCTGGAGTCTGCAGCCAGGCACGTCCATCCAGGGTCTCGAGCCAGGGTTGTACATCTGGCCTGCGGTGTCCCCGAAGCCATAACATACCGCTAAGAATGTGCAGTGGCTCCGGCGGTTGGACGATGAAGGCTAACGAGTCTTTTAAGCTGTGTGGGTCGTCGGGTTTCATAGCTCGACTGTGCCTCTCTAATTTTGATAGTGCATCGAGCAGGGCCGTGCTTTCAGGAATGTCTGTTATCATCAAGCGGAAAGAGGATTGAGCGAGCAGGGTATGGGGTGGTGTGATATCTTGCACTTGAGTAAGGCCGCAGTTTGAGAGGTCGGAAACATAGTCACGGACGGACGAGTGGTGGATATTCACGGGGAGATTGTTGTCAGTAGGAATATCCATGACAGATCGAAGCTGCGCCAATGTTGTTTCGACATCTCTGCCCGGACCAGGGCCAAGAAGTTTCGAGATTTGTGAAATTGACAGAGGGTCCGCAAGGGCAGCTACGACAGACAGATGCATGTATGCCCGCTTGGGATCAGTACATGTGGAGAGGATATGGTCATATAACTTGTACACCTCTGTTCCTGGCAGTAGGTCGCTCGTTAGCTCGAGCATGAGCTGCAGCCGGTCGCGGGGATCATTGTCCCCATCATCAATGAACTTCATCATTGTAGATGCCACGATGAAACGTCTACCCGCTCGGCTAGCCAGCCGCGCAAGTTGATGCCTCGGCGGCTGCGGGAAATCGGGGTGGCGAGTTTGAAGCTCTCTAAAGGAGTGGTCCAAGAAGATATAGATGTCGTTGTCAACATCTGCGCCGTCAAGCGAGGTGATGGTAGTAATGCTCTTCCCGATAGTTTTCACTGGTATCGTGCATGCCAACGAGAGCACCTCTTCTTTCTCAATGGCTTTACAGATATGCGCTTCCGAGCGACTCGTGAGCAGAATGTGGATGACTGGCAGTTTAGGTTCACGAAGAGCTTCGCTAAGCAGGGAGATGAGGTCGACAATCTCGGTTGCGGATATGCATTCATCAAGGGCATCAACAACAAACACCGAAGGTGGACACTGGCACAGCCTGAAACGAAGCCTCCGGAGAGGTGGGAGGAATAGGCCCTCCATCTGGTCACGAAGAGACTTGTCGGGGTCTAGAAGTGCAGGATTCTCGTGGATAGCTCTGTTTACATCCGCCTGGATGCTGGGAAAATTGCTGGCAAGCTGGTAGACGAGCGTTGCAAAAAAATACCCAGTCGTACAGCGTTTTGTGTGCTTGCGCGAGAAGAAGAATGATCCCAGGAGTCGTTTTTCGTTGCCAGCCACTTGCTCTTTCACTTTTAAACCTTTCATCCTTTCAGCTACACTGAAAGCAACAGCAGACTTTCCGACGCCCGCTGTGCCATGGAGCCAAACGAGCCGACTCTTCTCCTGGTTGTCTAGTAATCCATAGATTTTATCGAGAAGTGTAACCCGGGTCCCTTGCAAACACTTCGGATGGGGCTGGCGTTCGCGGGAGTCAAACTCGGCGCCCTTGACAGCGACCTGTGACAGCTTCTCCCAAGTTCCTTCAAATGATCGAGGATCACCAATAGCTGTTGATGAGGTCAGAGTGCAGGAGGGAATACGAGATGGGAGTACTGACAGTCCTGACTCATTGTCGAAGGTCAACAATCGGATGCGACAAAAATCGTAGGAAACGCGCTAATTGGGTTCGCTTGCGTGGTTAGAAATCGCAAGAACAATGGTTAGGAGGGACAGGGTGCGATGACGTTAACCGAATAATCAGATTCTAAGCTGTAGGCCTGTAACTGGAACGTTGTGGAGTAGACTGTCCAAAGTCACATGAATGTGTCCGAACTGTCATGAACAGTGGGTCACCTGGCGAAATGATTATGCCGTGGAGGGATGGGGTATATGAGTTACTTGAGATCGAATCAATGAATTTTTCAATCAGTTCCTCTGAGACAGCTGCGCTAAGGAAAGCAGTTTGGATGTTGGTGAAATACAGTTGAAGGACGAGCGGGCGCTGCGCTTGTCTGTTTGCAGTAGCCGTTACGGCATTAGCATCAGCTTCAGACTCATCAGTAAGGGTGTGGGCTGTCAAAATATTGACGTGGAGTTCCTCACTTTTCGACCTCAAGACCGCCGCTCTCGTTCACCACACGCATTTGACCCCGGTTCCTTCCCGGTGCATACGTGATGTGTCCGACGTGTATGGGGGGTCCGGCAAAACCGTCAGTTACTGGCAGCCCTCCGAATGGCATGCTCATCATAGCATCTGGAAAGTTGGCATACCTCTTTGGGTACTCGCTGTAGCATGCGTTGGATGGGCAGGGCTTACCGAGTATTTCTATGGCGGCTGGGCTAAGTTTGTGCGGTGAGGACTGTTCTCCGATTACCAACGTGGTCACGGTTTCCCGTACAGCCTGAGGACCACCGTGTGTTTAGTGGTGGGTTATGCCCTCTGTCAACATCGCAGTTCTCCAGGAAACGTTGACATTTGGCCTACATGGTTCGGAGCTCATTGCTATAATCATTCAAAATGAAAGTCAACGGAGATGCGCTACCGTGACAAGCGGGCTTCAAACCGCCACGACTCAGCCCACGTGCATGAAGGCAGTTTCGCTAAGTTGAATTTGCTCGTTCTAAGTTCTTGTCATTTTTCGTCATGAAGCTTGTGCTACGTGAGTCATTTGCGTCTCTCTCTTGATCAAATTTCAACAATATCATCAACGATATAGTAGACTGGATGTTTTACGTTTAGTCTTCACTCGAAATTGCAACGCCTCTTATACGCCTCACGATGTTGGGATGACGGTCATGTTTCTTTCCCAGGTTCGCACTTTCTCTCACAAGCACAGTCCCTACCGCACGTACTCGTGCAGATATATAACTTATCTATAGCGCTGGCTATATTTGCCTGTTTCTTCACTCTCATCGCAACTACACCAACCAACCGCGCGGCCCCCAGCCGGCCACATATGGGCACCTCCGGACGCTCGCTATCCTCGTGAACGAATGGTCGCCTGTGATGTGGCAGGGCCACCCACAAAGCCCTTATTATCATGCTGGTAGGGTAATTGTACGATCAAGAAGATTAATGGTGTTATACAGGGACGAACGATCGTCCGCTGCCAGATGTGAAGATGCGACTGTGTTTATGCCGGTTCCAGTATCGAGTCCCCCGCAACTGTCTCATGCAAAGCCTCCGCTTTTGAGAAAAGACGTTTCTTGATGTACCTTTGCCGACGTATCTGCATAGGAGTTATATCCACAACAGCAGGGCTAGCGCGTTGACGTCGCTCACGGCCATATCATAGGACTCGCGATTTCTCTTGCTACACAAACCAGTACGAAGCTACGTATCTGGATTCATTCATCGTCGCTCCAAGATTCAAATTCCTCAGTCCTCCCCGAGTCAGGTAAAATACAAGCGTTCTCGAAACCCATGCATGCATCCTTCGGCACGATAAGATAAACCGTCTAGCACGAAGACAATGCGTACATGTTGGTCGGACGATGTAGCTTGACGGGACCTGAAGAGACCAACGTACTCTTGCAAGATATCTAGAGTTGCTCGATTACAAATTTCGGTCAAAGATGGGACGAAGTCGTTGAAATCGAACATGTGTATGTGAAGTCCGTTCCTTACCTTGAAGTGTAAGTTGCGGTCACTAGAACATAGGAAATCCAACCAGCCTCCCGAGGACTTTGAATACTTGAACTGATCCAGCGCCATACATTTCACTGTCGTCTGCACAAGAAGCACGTTCAGAATGTAGCCTACATATATCAGATCGACAGGAAAAAGTACTAGTACTGTAAATACGACGGATTCGTCCCCGCTCCCGATGGTATACGTAGTGATCTAAGTTGTCACTGTTTAGATACTAATAGTATACTCGTAAACATAAGTATCCACAACCCCAGCACTCAATCGAAGGACTGAGGAGAGATTATTCCAAAAGAAGAGGGATGGAAAGGATGATGTGGAGATGAATAACGAAAATAAAACGTGGAGGAAAAACCGTGAACGAAAAATAAAGCAATATGTTAGGGGAAGACGTCGTGATAAGATCATAAACCGTCCACTCATAGCCAATATGATATCCACCTGAAAGCTCTAATGGTCTCCCTCATTTCGAATGTAAAAGGAGTGTGATAAGATTCTGTAAGGCCTGCTCCGCCTGTCTTTCCGAAGTCTCCAAAGACGTCCCGCGCCATCGTGCATGATATATCGCTCGACCCACTTATGGGCAGATCTTTTTGCAACCATTTAGTCTTCTGACCATGACGGTGACCGGCACCACGGTCCCGTGGACCAGCTGCCATCGACCGCTGGATCCAGGCAATTGTTCACAACAAGGTTGCGCAGAATGTCGCTCGACTCCGTAATGCGACGGTTGATGCTGTCCGAGTTGTCTGGGGATCCCTGAAGCGTCGTGACGCATGCATAATCTCTAAATTGCATGCCATTGAATTTTCCCTTGTTGAGATCCCACCAGCTTTCCATGTCTCTCTCCAACCTTGTGACGACGACGACGATTGGGATCTTCTGGCAGGCCCCAGAGTAAAAAGTGTTGTAGTTACCTATCATGGCCTTACTGGTAGCTGTATTGCGCACGCAGTACACCAAAAGGTCGATACCGCCCGACGATGAGCCAGGCTTCATGAGCTCACGCAACAAGCTCTTCAACTGTTTTTTGGCTGTCGCCGTCGGCACCCGGGCAATGCCTTTAGGTCCCTCGTCGAGACCCGCGGTATCAATCAGGACGAAGCTCTGGCCGTTAATATCCACTGGGTAGCGTTGAGAATCAAGGGTACATCCCGGTCCATCATTCGATGCCTTCGCGAGCTCTTGTTGCGCAATTGCATTGATGACCGAGCTTTTCCCTATGCCGGTTTCGCCGAATATGACAATATTTCTTGCCCGCGGTGGCGTTTGCTACATTTTATCAATAAGCTGTCTTTGTGGATCAAGAAGCAGAATACATACTACGTCAGTACTCGATGACGCTCGTGAAGTCGATTGAACCACCGCCGGGGCGCGCGGTCGATTTTGTACCTCGGTGAGAGTACCGCCCGCAGCGTGATCGACAAGCTGCGCTTTCAACTTGAGGTATATGCACTGGTTATCGACAGTTGAAAGTGGCACTTTGGAATAGGTATCAGAATATGATGACATCGCTGAAGGTGAGACTCACTAGACTGTTCCCCTTTTGCGAGCAATTGTTCGACAGTCGTCTCCAACTTGCCCACAACCTCATCTTGACGTCCAGACCCATATGAGGCGCGAATTTCGAGGCGGACTGCTTTGGAGTTGCGGGAAAAAATGGACACGAGCCACTTGGAAAATGTTGGAGGGCGTCCATGGATGGTGACGGTCTCGTTCCAAGGAATGCTGCCGTCAACCATTGCCTGCTTGGTGGTGGTGTTACGCTGGCCATAGGGAGTAGAGACATGGACATAATGGCCAGTGGGAGTACGATTAGACGGAACGGGAAGGTTCGTGCCAGCGATGACTGCAGGAATGTAAGAAGTGGGAAATGGAAGGCATGATATACAGCACCATACCTTCCAGTGCTAAAAGACGTCCTCCAGAGAAGCTTAACATGGCTGTTGATCAGATGCTAATGAGGCTGCCTAGCTAAAGGAGCTACAAGGGGTTGGTCAGAGGAAAAGATAACGTAGTGGGCCTGGCGAATTCATGAAGCTTTTATAACGGGGGGACATGCCAAGGCTGGGTGAGCTCATATACAAGTTCGGGTGTGGCAGTGATCGAAGCTGGGTACCACATAATGGGAATACTCTGGTTCCATACTACTAGTAGATTCCGCTACGCCGGTATGTCCATACAACCGTTTGTCAGAAGAGCTGAGCAGTGTCACAAAGTTAACGCTTGCACTGCCTTCGACTATTGAGCGGCATTTGCCAAATGGAGTCCTAGACTCCTTCAGCTCTATGATTTGCCCTTTGATCATCATCATCAACATCAACGACAACGGATGTGTCCTTCATCAATGCATCATCATCAACATCTCTAACTATCTTGTTGATTACAGCTGCAAGAGACGGACACGACGGACGATGGGCTAGATTCTATGAATTTCTATCCCTGAAGATATATATAGCGTGACCTAATTTTCCTGTGCGGTACCCCATTACGTCACTTGTCAATGTCAATCATTAACCCTTCTCCCCATTGGTCTCCCCGACTTTGCAAAGCGGTGCTGTCCCGAATATCATAAATAATACGAGCGTTTCGCTCGCCTGCGCTCGACCGTCTCATCACCTGCAATTGCAATTGCGGTATTAATGCGAGTATTGATGAATCAAACGCTATCATCGGGCGGCGCAGTTCTAGCACCGACAGTGAAAACGGAGACAGGAAGTTGAACTGGGAGGGATCACAACGCAGCATTGTTAATACCACCGAAAGTGAAAATGTGAGAACAAATCTGGCCATTCCCCAGAACCGATTCTTCTCAAGAGCATAGGGGTTTGCATTATAAATGCCAACAATACCGCGGAAGGAGCAGTAGGACGTCATGGAATTGGGAGGACAACGCAGCAGGGCATGAAAGGGGCTCGATTGCAGCGCCAAGCCTGAGCGGAGTACATGCCTGAGAGTGGAACATCAAAGGGGCTCGAGTGGAGCGCGCACATAGAGCCGACGCGAATTGGTTCCGCGGGATCAAACGCTTTGTCCTTACATATGGTAGAAAAATCTGTATATGATGTTGACGCAATCGTATAATCCGATAGACGGGGAGAATAAATATGGTGCTCACGGCATGAATTTCATACTGTTCCAGCAAGGACTTTGACCTGGACGGTGGTGAATAAGGAGGCTAATCTAGCCTAGCCCACACCAAGACTGCCAAGCCAACAATCCGCATTGGCGCGCGGAAGACCAGAAAATCGTAGTCTCCCGTAGTCCACTGGCAGGGTCATTCATGGTAAAAGGAACATAGCAAAAACCATAGCCCACCGCGAGGGTCGAACTCGCAGCCTTCAGATCGCAACACCTAGCAGTAAGAGTCTGACGCTCTATCCGATTGAGCTAGGCGGGCGGTATGAGAGCGGCGCCCATTTCAAATGATTCCTGAGACCGCCACGGAGTGGAAAGCGACCTGGGCTGTGCCAGACTGCCAGTGGTGGTGAGCGCTTGTCTGCAAATTGCAGAACGCTGTCGTGGTAGCAACTAGCAATTATAGCAGTGCAAGCGCATGTCCCCGACTCCCCCTGGTGAATAAGTTGCAGGTTGCTGCAGTACTATCAGTAGCACTGGGATAGTGTTAGCGCCAGATAGGTATTGATGAAAATACTCTCAGCACTACCAGTGCATCTGTTCCAAGAACCTTTCCCGCAAGTCCACGCAGTCAATCGACAAAGACCAGAAAATTTCGAAAATCGTAGTCTCCCCGTATTAGTGAGATAATCACGGGATAAAGAAAAAGCAAAAACTATAGCCCACCGCGAGGGTCGAACTCGCAGCCTTCAGATCGCCTAGTCATAAGAGTCTGACGCTCTATCCGATTGAGCTAGGCGGGCGATATGAGGGCGCTTACTAAAGCCATTAAAAACGCCACCCTCGGCTCATACCGAAACAAAAATCCCCACGACGCCGAACCTTATCTCAGCCACTGTACAGTTTTTCCAAACACGGCAACTCTGTCATGGCGGGGGGAAGGTATTTCTGATTAGCAAGGCCTTCAACGCAAGCAACAGCCCCGGCAAGGTAAGCCAAAGCCTACGCATCGTCACTACGCAATCCAACCTTCGTCCCAGCATTAAACCAACATTTCAAAATGACCCACGACGCCGTTTGGTTCTCTCGTCCTAGAAAGTACGGAAAGGGTAGCCGCCAGTGGTGAGTCGCGCAAGCGTCGTCTGCATCATGAGTCGTTGAGTGATGGTCTGGGGGACGTCTAGCCGCCTCTGTGCACACCAGGCTGGTCTCATCCGCAAATACGGCCTTGACTTGTGCCGTCAATGCTTCCGTGAAAAGTCAGCTGCCATCGGTTTCGTGAAGGTGCGTCTCGTAGCGTTTGAGCGTATCGCAGCCGCTCATTTCCAACCAATAGAACCGGTGAAATGTTTCCAGTCGCGCACCTGCATCTTATATCATCATTTCTCTCGTCACGCTTCCAGATCATTCGGTCGTCTTGTATGTCATTATGATAATATGCCAACAAGACTAGCATGAAATGCACCTACCGTCCGATGCGCACAACGTCCCATTGTACCGCTGAAATACAACATCGATGTCTGGCATACCTTGTATTACACGAATGGGACTTTGAACAACACCATTGCGTAGTTCAGTGCTCTACATGAGACTCACAAGATGCATGATGCTTGGATACTGCCCACACCCTTGACTGTCAGCTCACACATAAGACCCGGAAAACAACGACGTCATAGATTGGACAATAAGTACAGAAGGTAGTGCTGCGACGGTTTAACCATTAAACAGACATTGCTTTAGATGACGGGGAAGATTAAGGCTATACAAATGGGGTGTGGCAGATAAGAAAGATGTATCAGAAAGCAACTAATAGCAATGGGGGGTTTGGAATATGCCGGTGCGGAAGTACAAATGCGCGGTGGTATGATAGAAGTCGGCCCTTGCTCATGATTGAAAAATCTCCTGGAAGATGAGATCGAGCCGAGCGACGTGCTTGTGAGGTATCGAGCGTCGAACGCAAGGACATAGAATATACATTGAAACCATTAAAGAGCGACTGCGCGGGTGCGCAAAGAACGAAAGAGCAGAAACGTCCAAAGAGGCATGCAATATGCCCCGCTCTACATGCCATAGCCGTAGCTCTGATAAGGATCATTCAATGACCCGGCAACACCGACCGTGCCAAAAGGGCTCACGTTAGCATATCCAGCAACGCCCGTATAGCCAGTGGCGTGGGTATGAGGAGGTGTCAGGCTCGCGCTATGAGGAGAGGTGCCTTGCAAGACATATCCATCGATCGAACGCGCCTGAAGACCGTGCATTTGGGGACCGAGGTGAGAATGACCGTAGGAACCTTGCCCTTGGATACCATACAAGCCTCCCTGGGCATAGACATCAGCAACACTGGTAGGGTGCATTCCCTGGGGGATGTGCCGGGCCCCTGCATTATGGTGACCGTGACCATGATGGCCGGGGTTGCCACCGTGATGGCCCGGGTTGCCCATGGGCATCATGCCCTGAGGAGCATGATAGCCGAAGTTCTCAGTGTTGGCCTGTTCCCGCTGCAACTTGTTTTGGATCCGCTTGCCGTAAGGAGTGTTACGAATTAAGGGGAGGACTGGGCGAATGCCTTCGACGAGGAGCATACGCTGCGCAGGATCGGCATAGTCCAGCGCGGTCTACAAGAATGTCCAGCCCAAACCACAAATGCACGAAAGAAAAATAGTACCTGCACACAATAGTTGCCATACGAGTCGCGAAGAAGTTTCTCCAAACGGGAGCGGTTGAGAAGCTCTTCAATCAAAATTTTCCTGGTACTGTGTTCGGCCACACGGATGCACTAGTTCCAGTCGGCATGAGAACGTTCATCAAGACAAAAAAGATACTCACTTTCTCAATGACATTCGAGCTAAACTTCTGGACAGAAAGCGCACAAACGTTGCCTGTGAACTGACGAATGACAGCATCGCTAAAACGATTGTCGTTAAGATCCAAGATATATTGAACAACCTGGCAACCCCAACTGTCAGTGCTAATACCGGAGGAGCAACGGGGCACTAACGTAGTTGCCGTAAGGGTCTTGAACGAGCGTCAACGCATTGTAAGTGATTTCATTCACAAGCTGGACGCGCTGATGGTCCGAAGCGTGATCAATGCAGCGCTGCAGCACGCAGCATCCATGACGGTGGGTAGCGACCTCCACGCAGTTGGCAGCCACTGCGTTGTATATGAACTGCCACGCCAAAGTTAGTATACCAAATATGTGGCACCGCCACACTCCTCACCTGGTTATCTTCCGGTGCAAGCTTGTTGAGACATTTTTGAATAACGTGGTTTCCGTTGAGATCCTTGATGAGCACTACAACATGAAGGCTGAGCGCAAGAATAATAGAATGAATCTGAGTGTTGTATCTATGATCAGTCTGTGCTCTACCGTAAGTCTGGAAGATAAAAATCCGCTGAAAGCGACTTGCCTGGCGTCTGGTTGACAAGAAATCAATCATTTTCTGCACTGCGCGCGTACCGTGCATGTTCAACGAAATGTTGACGAGATCCTGAGCGACGGACTCGCAAATGACGTTTCGCTGATCATCGGTGGAGAACTCGAGGAGCTTTTGGCAGAGGTAGTTTCCGAATGGATCAGTCATCAGATCCGCGAAGTGACCGAATGTTTCACGGAAGATCATGTCGCGGTGTTCAGGAACACCTTCTTCGAGCTTCTTTTGCAGGTAGCGGCAGCCATGCTGGTCTTTGCAGAGTGTGGGTATTTCGCCCTGAAGGTCTTCCAGGCGTGTGCCAGCGAAACGGTTCACTACACAACGCTCAGTGAAAAATAACTAGCTTGAGAAGATATAGCCTTACTATCCATGTCGCCCCTCTTGTGCTTGGGGCCGTGTAAACCGTTCATTTTTCCATCAGCACCGTTGCCACGGCCAATATGCAAGCCGTATCGCGTTCCATTGTGGTGATAGAGGGCGGTCGAGCCGCTCGCACCATTGACACTATTACCAGACCGGGTGCTAGAGTCGAGATCATACGAATTAAAGCGACCGCTGTCCATCTGACCGTTCAACCCATAAACGTCTTCGACGCCGTATTGTTCGAATCCCATGGAAACACTGTCATACTGGCCGGATGACAAGCGAGAGAGAGAAGGTTGGATCTCGTTCTTCCCCGAGTCCTCGTTGATCGGGTAACTACCTTGCGAAGAAAGCCGTCCGCTCAACGCCTGAGAATCAGGAGTGTGAGGAGTGCCTGGAGTATGCAGAAGATGCCCATTGCCACCGTTCGCCATAGACAACGGCGTAGCTGGCACCGAGCGCGTCGTGCTCATGGCCGGGGAGCCCCGCCTGGATCCAGGTGCTTGCCCAGTTGAACCAAGAGATGCTTGCATATGTTGACCTGCGTGGGGAGTCACAGCTCCACCGCCAAGGGTGGCAGTGGACAAATCAATAGGCGAAGACGTCAGCGTCAAAGTTGGGTTGGTGACAGTGCGGCGATCGTTACGGGAGCTCAAGCCGTCAGGTACGCGTGGGTTGTTGGAGAATTGTGGCCACTCAGAGTGCTTGTCACCTCTTGCTGAGAATGAATTGCGTGGTGATGTCTGGGAGCGATGCGCGAGATCCAGAGCAGCAGACGAGGTGGTAATCTTGCGGTTTGATGTCAGCAGTTTACAGTAAAACAAAACGCAGGTAAAGTACCCTGTTGGCATAGGATGCAAATTTGTCCTCGTCGGAAGTTGGAAGATGCCTCATAGCGTCTAGAAACGATGAGACAGGAAAACAATACGTAGACTTCACTCACTATGCATTTCCTGGTCCAATTGCTCGTCGAGCATCATTCCCACATTATACTGCTGGCCACGAGGGCGCTCCTCATCCCCATATCTCCCGCGAGTCAAGAGTGAATGTGCCACGGCGCCAGGGCTAGGCGTCGCTCGAGATGGACGCTCTCCAATTAAGGAGAGACCTTGCAAATGACCAGCAAGCTCCTCGTCGTGACTGCTAGCTGAAGTGCGACGGCTGGCTGGCATGCTTTTAGCTCCAGCGGGTCTCCCATAGTGACCATTCATTCCATGACCGGAGCCAAGCTCTGGGGACCGATGAACGGAAGGCGCATAAGTGACTGACTTTCTCTTATCCGCAACCGCAGAACCAACTGCTTTCGAAAGCGTCTCTGCATCCACCGAAGAGTGAGAGAGAGCAGCCCTAACAAGATTGTCGCCATTCAAAACCGCGTTCACTCTTGGAGGAGTGGTAGGTGCAGAAACCGCAAGATGGGCTGAGCTGGTCGGGTCATAAGGAATGCTCAGCAACTCCTGGGCCTGCTGTTGCTCTAGCGCGCGCATTTGATCCTCGAACATTTTCCGCTGCAATAACCTTTGACGCTCGTGCTCCAAGCGCTTCAGCTCGACGCGCTTCGGGACGGAAGGTCAATTAAAAGAGAAAACGGAGTTATGAAGGAGACTCACAGCCGACATATCAGGCATATTAGTACCCAGTCTCGCAGCCTAGAAGACACAATAAAGTATTGTGAAAAGTGAGACAGCGAAGGGATGAAAAATGGACTTACCGAGTCTGCGAGATCGAGGAAAGCAGGAGGGCTCTGCTTTCTCCCGTCTGAGGAACGATTATCGGAGGAACCATTAATGTTTTCAGCGGTAATCATTGCAAATAGCAAAAAGGTTGAAAGCTTTTCTTCCAAAGGTGTGAATGACAGAAAACAGATCGAGGAAAGCGAGGAGAGATTAGAAAAATTAAGCCTAGTTGCACACAAAGATCCTTGATGAAGAAAGTGTAAGTGGTAATGAAAGTAGAGCGCGTCGTAAATACCGACCTGCAAGCCAATTTTGAGGCTGTCTAGTGGATTGATGGTACAAAGCTACTTAGTGGGCTGAACGGTTGAAAGGTCAGAGAGCATGTGGAACGCGATGTAAGACGAAGACAAGCACCTTTTTTCAATTCTCCAGTTTTTTGACGACTAAAACTTGAAAGGGAGAACGGTGAAGTTTGAGTAGTTATGAGCAGCGTATTTAAGGCACTTCGCTAGCCGGCGTGGGTGAACTGGCAGAGCAAAAATCCCGGAAGGACCCCGTTTTTTAAAGTCCGCCGGAACGGCAGCGTACCCAAATCTTTCGTAATCGCCGATCCTCTTATTCAAAATCAAGTTCCCTTCTTTCACTACCGTTAAATGTATTCATTCATAGTACCAGAGCCTTGTTAGACCTAGTAGACAACTGGTAGAGCATCCTCTGTAATTAATTCAAAACATATGTTCAGTCTCATCCAACAAGGGCCCAGCTTCCATTGTGCTAGTCAGTGGACCCTTCACGACGATCGACTCAACGTTATCTCAATGTAAAGTACGCCGGCTGCGGCTACTAGTCTCCCTCTGCCGTTGCACAGAAGCTCGTCTTCCTTACCGCCCGCGGTCGCTTTGCGGACCTCGGACCAGCGTCCGACAACTCACCTTTGGAAAACAGCGCGCTTAGCAAAACAAGATCGATCAAAAAGTGTCCTGCAAAAGCTCGCCTTCATTAAGATATGTCGCAATTCATATAACACGTCGCACATCATCTCCGCTTCCCTCCATTAAGCCATCACGAAGCACGCGCAACAACAGTGCAAGGTGCAGCGGCAGAAGCATCATCCACAATTTTCTCCATCGGCTCCTTTGCCCCTTCAGTGCCTTCACTAACACTCACTTCCGCTGCCTCAACACCCTTACCCTCCTCACAATCAACCACAACACCTCGGATAGTCCGCCGATCCTCTTCATCCTCCCCCATCCTTAAATTCGGACCCGATAACCCTGACATCGCACCCTGGACCCCATCTTGTGCTTCCTCACCGGTTTCAGGGTCCAATTTCACCGACACCCGACCGCTAGCAGAAGCGTTCCGCGAACGTAAAAAGCCCGGCAGGGGCGGGAAACCAATTGATAGTTTCGAATACCGAGAGAAGGTACCACCTTCGGTAAATGGTGCAGTTGCCGTAGGCGTCGTTGAGCCGCTCTCGGGTGGAGTGGTGCTCTCGGCCTCTACCTCTCCAGGCAACTCACGCTGACTACGGTCAGCTTTCGGACTGTCTGGCGTGAGCACTAGTGCAGGAGGCAGTGGGCGTGTAGGTGGCGGTGTTGCGAGACCAGAAGAAGCTGATGAATCAAATACTCGAGAGTTGCTTTAATAAACAAATCAGATGCGAACGCAGTGCGAAGACTTGACTTACTGAATGCTCGCGCATTCACCATCAGTAAGTGTCAGGAGCAAGTTTTTCAAATTAGGTAGCGTGTGCCGCATATCCAGCGCTCGTAAATCGCGATCTGCCATGAGCTGCCACCGTCGGCAAAGGTCAGACACCGACGGGCACCCACAATCGAGCTCACCATTTCAATATCCTTGTTGAGCAGGAACACTCCATACTCAAATCGATATGTGTCAACGCCCTTCGAGAATAGAGGAAACCTAATTTATCTTGTCAGCTGATGGAAATGCAATGCACGAGGCATTAAGTTTACATTCTTGGACCAACCATAGCGGAGATGTTATCTCTGATCAGACTCCGACTCCCTATACAGGTGATAGGATACGTGAGTCCTTTGCCCATATAGATGGCAAGGAGCTGCACAAGCTGTGCAGCAAAACCTAAGGCAGTGGCTACTGCATCTTCAGTCACTTCCTTATGGGAGGCCAGCGACAATGGTGGGGCAGGCTCGGTGGTGTCCAACGGGATGGGCAACGGAACGGCGAGGATTGTGAATAGCAGCTCTGAGGAAGAAAGCAGCTCGATAGGATATATTTTTGACAGGGTCGAGATCAAGGCTGTTCGTATAACTGGAAGACGCTTCCGAAGGGCGTCAAGACACCGCCTGTACATTTGCCAATCAGCTTCCGCTAAACGCCGGCACGGAGAAGGACAAACTTCTGCTCAGAAACCTCCACAGCAGTCTGCTGGAGGTTAACATGCTCTTCGGCATGCATCAACCCGGCAGTCGCAAGCATATCTCTCCGTTGTTTTATCTTCTTCCGCCGAGAAGCAATATCTTCGCGTACTATAAAGTAATAAGCACGGAGTACGTATCGGCAAGCGTAAGGGTCTCACAGAGACTAGCCCGTCCCAAGATCTCTTTCGCTTCAGATTGTCGATCTTCGACACGCACTTCACGTTCCGAAGCCTCCCGATTCTATTGGATCTCATTTTAAAACCGTTCGCGGGAAATAATCCGATTACACAATACATGCACGTACCAATATCGCAACAACATCATTGTTCAATGTTGTGTCTATTTGCCGGATCACCTTCGCAAGCGACTCCTCGTGGTCAACGATGCATGACCAGAGCGTAACGAGCCTGATTGGTGATGTTAGAGGATACCATATAGATCATCAGCGGTACTGACTGCAGTAAATCCTGCGAACTCGCAGTTCTGGCATCTGCCCTGCGTGATCTGCGCGATCTGGTAGGCTGCTCAGATGGCGTCCGGGTGAGATGGAAATGCGTTGGTGTAGCCTGGTCGGCAGACTGTCCGAATTTCCGAATTTCTGTCTCTGGTTCAGAGGCGTAGGTAGGAGAAGGAGAGCGTGAGTGTGATTGTACCCTCGAAACTGAACGAGCGGGCAAGTAGAAGGTTTGTGGGCAAGTGGAAAATGATATGAAAAGGGTATTAGACGGGAGGCGTGAGGGATGAGCCTCCAACTAGTTGAGCGATTAGAAATTATGAGAAAAAGTTTTTGATTGCGCATACCTCAGGTGTCAGAGGAACAAGGTCTGCCGGGGTGACATTCCATTGTTCTAGTACAGTCCACTCGGGTCCTGCTCTAGTAGGATCAGTCACCAACATCTCCTTCTGTTTTCCTTTACCATCAAGTGGAGCTCCACCGAGCCGACAAGTCTTCGCCATGAGCTCAATCTTCATCGTATCGGAACTTAAATCCGTCCATGGAGCAAACTCAAATTCTGACCGTGCGTCAATCACGAAAGAAGGGTTCGTCGAGGGTTGGTGGATAGGTGATATGTAGTTTGGCACGGTGCGAAGCGGAGGTGGTTCTGGAGATGCTGGGGAAGCTGGAGGCGATGGTAGCTGGCTCGTTGTGGGGTTGTGTGGGACAGAAGCCGAGGACTTATGTGTTTTAGGAACCACTCGTGGTGCCAGGGACGCTCCTGCTGTCCTGGCTGGCATTGTACCTTTTCTGAGGGAGGTAGAAGAGCGGGAATGTTCCGGTCGGGATAATGATGCAGCCTTGGGTGCCTCCGTACTGTTCGGACGTAACATTTTGGAAGCTTTGCGCACACCGGCCACCGGATTAGGAGAGACAAAGTCATTGGAAGTGGAGGAGCGTGCGCGTGGAGCACTTTCAGCACGGGTTCGTTGTATTGGGGACGGAAACGGTAATACATCCGGAGGGTCCGGAACAGTAATTGAAATGAATGTTTCCACGAGGCGGGATTGAACAACTTTCTCCAATGTCCTCTGCGAATAGTCGAAGAATAATGACGAAGATGAAACGGTAGTCAAGGTCGAAGGCGCCTGCGTATTCGAGGTCGAGGAGAGGGCGTTGGCCGTAGATGCACTGAGGGACGAGACCATGGAGCTGGTGCGCGCCCGATTACTGAGTTTTATCGTAGGTGCAGTAGCACTAGTTGAAATGGTGCGGGAGATGGCGTTGCTCCTTTGCGTGGGCTCCGCGCTCCCTCCTCCTGAGAAACTGACTTTGGAGTGGGTTCTCCGACGACCTCTCCCGTCACCATCGTCCAATATTGAAGCATGATCATCTATGCGCGCACTTCGAAGGGTATTGACAGAATTTGCGGAGATCCGCCGCGAGCGTTGTCGAGAAAGGGTTATATCAAGGTCATCAGAGAGGTTTCCCAGAGGCGTGAATTGGGAGTATTCAGCAGGTCGAGCGAGAGCAGAAGCAAATGCATCTCGAACGGGAAAAGGTGTTAAATTCCGAACTTGAATTGAAGTTATATGACGCAGACGTCTTTGGGAACACTCCTGGTTGTGCGACATTTGAGGAACAAGGGCAAAGAGTGTCTATGAACGTACCTCGTGTTCGACGTTGACACTGTCTGAGCACGTCGTTAGGGTTGTGTCATGGACGCTGTGTGACATGTCCTGTAAGCATATATAAGGTCAATGAGAGCGCTTCCGTCTACGTGAGGCAGTCGGGTGTCGGAGCAGTGCTAGTTAGGTAGTCTTGTTCAGACTTTCCATTCTGGGTGTAAACATATCTTTGACCCCGTTTCACTGCCTTCAGAATCAGAAATAGACACAGGGCGCTTCTCATGCCGCCAAAGCCAAAACCACGTAAAGTCGTAAAGGCGCCAAAGAGCGCGTCTTCCCAGACCAAGTTTTTAGAGCCACAAGACACTCCATCAGACTCTGCGATGCCTCCTCCACCCGTACCACCAAAAGCCATGGCCATTCTCGAGCCTGAAATGAATGCGCTCATGGATTGCTTGAAGGTGAGTTATAACCTTTCCAAATGTGACTGACACTATCTCAGTCATTTTGACAGAACGCGGTGGTAAGAACCGGTCAAATTTATTCATTTCATGCCGATTCCCGAAGACTGTACGTAGCTTAATAGTTGTCAACTATCACCGTACTAACTATCAGCAGCGGCATTAACAGATATGCGCCATATCCACCCCGTTCTTTGACAGATTCACTCGGACGTGAGGTCGAAAGATTCGATCAACTTTATGATGCTATGGAGTCGCGATTGGTGAGTTACCAACTTCTTCAAATCGAGGTACGTCTTCCAATAATGTCCAAAGCTTCGAGCGATCGCGGTGCTAGAAAGAGACCTAGCCCGTGAGCAGTATCGCGCTCGCGAAGCCGAGAATGCCGCGATCGCTACCCGCACTCGTTCCAAATCCACATCAGAGTCTCCCACCACGCGCAAAGTTCCTTTACCTCCACTGGAGGTTAACACAGATATTATTATGGGTCCACCAGCTCTTCCGGCTCAAGCATCTCCCCCCCACGGTCTTGCGAATCCCGCTCGTCGCGGATCAACCATCTCCCTATCATCCCTGCACCGCCCCCCGTTCCCTCTCAAACTAGACCTCTCCTCATCTTCCCTCCGAATGTCTGCAGAAGAAGCCGCTTTATTTTCCCAGAGTTTACCCTCTCCGGTATCCCTTGCGCCCAAATCAGCTCGCCCTTCAGCTCAAACGGAGTTAGACCTCATGGCTGCATTTGCGTCTGCAACTGCCGGCTCTTCACAACACGTTGACATCGACTTAACTGTCGATGATGATCCCCCTATGGCTCCCATCGATGCGTCCTTAGGAAGTTCTGCAGACAAGCCAATTGAGCTCGATCTTGACTCCATCGACATGGAAATGTCAACCATGACAGACCTTTTCGGAGATGGAACCGAAACAGGTTCGGGAGAGAACAGTGGGGTAGAAGGCATATTTTCCCCCGTCGCCCCTGACTCCGGTGCTTCAAATCCCGCAAAAGAGTCCCAAGAAGGCGGGCTTGACATGGAGATGCTCGGCGCACTATCAGCAGTGGATAATAATAACCACGGTAATGATATGTTCGGACCATCAGATGCCAGTGGACTGCAATCTGGGCAGCATTCCTCGCTTGGCGTCCAGAGTTCGCCTCCTAGCAATGTGGCACCTTCTCCTAGTGCGATTCTCGCAAGCTTCGCTGGTTCTCAATCAGATGGGACTCACCAGCTTCCGGCTGGGGATGGCAATTTCGATTTGTCTACTCTTGATCTTTCCAACTTCGACTCTACCTTCTTCCATCGGTCCCCAGATATGAACTTGATGGATATGGAGGCGTTACTGGACTCCATGGGACAAAGCGGGGGCAACTCTGACGGGACAAAACCACCATCATGAACTCATCACGAATCGTTGTTCACTTGGAGTTATCAGCTTGCTCAAGTTAATGATGACGTGCGATGCTACAGCAAGTTATCAGGATGGTCAATTCCAAGACTAGCTTCCGTTCATATCGCTAGTCACCAATTATCCTAATGAGTGAGCTTCTTACCAGTTAGCCACACCTGTACCAGTCTGTGACCTCCTATGAGTCTTGGACTTCATGTGGCGAACTCAGTCCTTCCCAAAAGCAACTGAAGAACTTCACAGGCTTTGAAAATTGAGCCACACTTTGCGGTGATTGTCATGTGGAGTTTCGCGATCGCGGCTACGAATCTGTACGTGATTCTGAGCTAGTCTGACATCTGATTGGTGGAAAGTACGCGGTAACGGCATACACCATACGGAAAAGAAGGCGCTGCGTTCTGCTGGTACCTACTTGTTAAGCCACGTCAATTTCTTGCACTAATGTCACCGCGTCTGCCATTAAAGTATAAAAAAGATGGCCTAGATTCGATTCTTACAGCAGCAGAAGTAACCCGAGTCTCCACGGACGGTCATGGTGGTCCTTCGTTCGTTCGTTTACACTTCCCTGTTGTGTGTAGCGAATCTCGCGGAAGCAGCGGAAGGGTCTCATGGCCTTCCTGGGTCCTCTCATCGACACGTAGCTCGTCATCTAGGAAAGCCGAGGCAATTCGGTCAGCCTCCAAACGCAGTCAGGTCAGTCTAGCGCCGAGTCTTCGTTCAGCGGTGTTTGACGGTGCAAACGAAGATATGCATCTCAGCCTTCTGCTTCGCAAACATCTAGTGGCAGCGAAACGTCGACGTTGGCATCCATAACGGTCGCTACGCCTTCAGCTTCTCTCGTCTCTGCCACAAGTGTTCAATTTACGAGTGCTATCTCATCTACGGCGAGTGCACCTGCTAGCAATCCAACACAAGCATCAAATTCAAGCACCTTACAAGACATCGCCACCATTCACTCTCGACGATTGAACACAATTGTAAACAGTATCACAGGTGACCCAAGTAATATATCAACTTGGTTCGTTCCTCTCGCCAAGCTACCTGACTGTGCTGAAGTTACCCCTGTTTCAGGCTCGCAGATCTTCAGGCAGACGGTAAATGGCCGGACTCTGACGTCGATTACGCAGCGGGCTGTGATGGTCGGAAAGCAAGCTGGCCAGCTGCAGATCACTGGGTTCGCATCAGTCAGTTGCCCGACACCCAACTCGATGCGATATATACTGACAGCACAATTGCTTCTCTACAGGTACAATGACTGCTGCCTGGCATGGGGGACTCCAAGGCTATGATCAATACGTCAACAGTTCAACACTATTCACTGCCATAGGCAGCGGCATGGACTATTGGTTTAATAATGACTTTACGAACGTCGGCTGTCTCGTTGAAGGAGGCACCGACAGCTGTCCTTGCGGCACACCCGGTTACTGGAATACGAACTGGTATGACAACGTGCGTCCAACCATTCATGTCAATTTTCCGAGGCCTGATGACATTGTCCCAGGTCATCCTTATCCCCGGTCTTGTTGCAGAGTCCTGTCTTCTTCTCAACGACACCCTGACACAGACACAATTAGGCAACTGCAGCAATATCTCCCTGCGTGCTTATGGCGCTTTCGATCATGGATATAGCTTCGAAGCTGGAGCAAATATCCTGGACATGGCTAAAACAGGTCTGGATCAAGGTCTACTTGTGGTCAATGTTTCTTTGGTCTCGGACGCGTACAGGAGAGTCCATGATACCATCGTCGTACAGACAAATATCAGCAGACAAGTTGATGGGGTAAGCACCCCAAAAGTCCCGGTGTGCTCAGTTTCTGAACGAGTTTTGTTCGATAGATTCAGTCAGACGGTTCCTTCGGGCAGCACCTTGGGCTGCTTTACAATGGTAACTACGGGAACGTCTTGTACGCACGCATTTTTGTTTTGTTTTTTGTGCATGTTTTGAATATGCTGGATAGCTCCAACGACGTTCTCGTTTTCGAGACCGCAGCGGCTGGGACTTCATTCGAGGCTGGCAGCGAGTCAAGGGCTGCCCTCGAGACATTGTACGACGGACACCGATGGATGATAAATTTTAATGCCGAAACACAGGTTCGTGCGTGCATGTTCGACCCCAGCAACGGCTAAATGGTTGTTTTCAGGTGTTACATTGGGATCTTGTAAGTTTCAGCCACAACTACTGAACATCTCTCATGGATAGTGTAGAGCCCAGTGGGTCGCTTCATAAGCTCACCAGTGGCCGCCGGCCAGTACGCATTCAGTTTTTTGATGCAGTCCAATCGAATTGACCTCTGACATAGGGCGAGTTCTGGTATCCAAACAAACCTCTCAATGGTGGAAGAACTTGGCGAGCAATGGAATTCGGACGTTCTCGTTAACTACGCTAGAAGTCTTTCGGTGAATGCAACCAATGCAAATGCAGGGGCGTTACTTGGTAACCGTATGTTCTTTGACAATGATTACATGGTATGCCTGAGGCGTCCCTGAGCGCTCTATATTCAAACTCAAAAACTCAATAGGTTACCCGGGGTTCTGGCTATGTTACGTCTCTCAAGATGTACTCGAGAAGAACCCGAAATACCGAGTGTACGAACTCACAGAACGTAAGTTCTTCTCTCGCGCCAACATAATCGCACTTATTTCCTGCAGCTTCTTGGTTTCCATCTCGCCGATGGCGTCGTTTACACATACCTCCATGGCGATGAGTACGAAGATATAGCCGCTGCCTGGGACTGGAACCTCATCCCAGGCATAACTGTCGACTACAACGCCACCGTCCTTGACTGCGCCCACACCAAATATGTCGGAGTGGAACCATTTGTCGGTGGTGTCAGCGACGGACAAGTCGGCGTCGCAGCAATGCGCTATACCAATCCCATCAGCAAGTCCTTTTCGTGGCAAAAGACATGGTTCTTCCTTGAGGATGATGTTCAGTATGTTATGATCGCCAACATCTCCTCGAAGTCGAATGCCCCCATATTTTCTGTTCTCGACCAAAGACGTTTCAGAGAACCTGGCGTATTCGTCAATGGCGCGGGGACTTTCGGGGGGAACTTCACAGACCCCCACACCATGTGGCACGGTGACGTCGGGTACGAGTTTAATGGAGCCAACGGAACGTATGAGCTATCCGTCGAATGGGGCAACAGGACAGGTGACTGGTCCAGCACAGGGGTCTGGTCTGGTCAAGAAACAGTCAACCTGTTCTCTGCTTGGTTGCACCACAAGGACCTCAACACCCCGATCTCCTACGCAGTATACCCTGCAGTTGATTACGGCACCTTCACTCTCAAGCGTGCTTCCACTCGCTTGACTGAAATCCAGAACAACGCCTCTTTGAGCGCACTTTTGGATGAAGACCATGACACGGTGTTTGGTGTCTTCTGGGAGGAATCGGGTGGTTCTTTCACATTCACCGACAAGGTTTACGGTTCTATGAAGGTCGAGTCAAGTGCTCATGCTACTTTCATCTACCGCATGGACACGGGCAACCTCACGGTGGCTGATCCGTCACGAAAGTTGCCGCACTTGACATTCAAAATTTCTGTGGAAGATGGACTGGGAGGACCTTGTGAATGGGGAGGGGAGAGCAGTGTTACCGCGCATTTTGACATGACTAGAAGCGATTTGGCAGGCAATAGTGTCAGCCAGATCCTGAATCAATAACAACGTCTCGCTACATACACGTCGACATGAATATACTTACCCCCATGCATATAGATATAGTCATTTGGATAATCATCTCATACCCCAATCATACCCTGTTGTGTTCGGAGTCCACTCGTTCGAGATTCAAGCTAGAATGATAATAAATCTATACAGTCCCCGTCATCAAATACTTATCCAGTTTCTTCCGTAGAGGATGACCATCGCGTACGCCAGTGACGCGCATTGCATTTGCAAGTTCTGTCACCAGTCTCTTCCTCTCCTCCACATCCACATCTTGCTTTTCTAGCAACTCCCTGACAGCTCTGGCAAGGCGCCCCTTCGGTAAATTGGGTGCGTTCCCATTATGAGCCCCTGGCTTCCTCCTTTTATTCCCCTTCAATTTAGGGACAGCCAGCAAAGGCTCCATAAATTCCGTTCTGAACCGTCGGAGCGCCAGCGCAGACAACGGTACGACACGGTCAAGCGGACTTGCCGCCTCCGCACACGACTCAGCCTGTGCAAGCTGCTCGCTCGTCCCCCCTTCATCCCATCCCCACTTCTTCAATTCCACCGTCCGCCTCTCCTTTAACTTATTCGAAATCTTCTCTTTCGTATCCCCGTCCTGTATAGCCTTCGCAACAGCATCGAAAATATCGCTCAGAGTGAGCCAGCCTCTGTCTTCGTCGACGGCGCGTTTCACATAGTGTCGGTTCACATAATTGAGAAGACGGTTCACGGAGTGTGCGCCAGCAGCGTAGCGGTTGAAACACGGAACGATGTAATGGATCAGAGATGAATCATCCTCTGGGGCTCCAAGTAACAGCTCCCGGGCGACTTCCGCATAGTACTTGTCGATATGTTCATACAAATCCGTTCCGCTAGGCGTAAGTCTTTCGCGCTCCTTGTTAGTGCTGACAGCTTCTACTTGCATCGTGAAATAGTTGTAGGTTGCTGTGTGTATGCCCATGTGATATGAAACGTCGATAACGGGCGCTTTTTCAGTTGAGTTCGTGGGTGAGCGGACAATATGGTTTAGTGCTGGAAGTAGATATCCCCAGAGCGAGGACAGAGATGCAGAGGGGTTGGCACTGCCTGCGGACGGATTGGGCATTGGCGGCAGGAGCACCATAGGCTCGGCTTGCTTGCCTTTGCCTTTGGACATGGTCGCAATGATCTAAAAACTGAAGATGGCTGACACTTCGATGACACCCTGTCAGTCGGGAAGCCGGCCTGGTGTGAAATCACGTGATATTCGCCGAACTTTCGCCGGCGCTGGCAGCTAGACCCAGAACCACTGTTCAACCACATGTCATGATGATCATTAGCATAAATGTTAAGTAGGTTCAATGTTCTATACCAGACCATGAAAATGCTGCTAACTGAATACATAGATCGACAGATCGTAAGTGATATATCAGAAGAAAATATACGAATTGATAGCAAATATAGCGATGTATAAGAAACACCTCATAAACCCAGGGAACTACCCTGAACTAGACGATGCCCAAAACGATTGTGGCGCGAAGGCTGTTCAGTTTTGGGGCTGGAATTGTAGGCTTGGCAGGTTGGCCGTCAGGCCCAACCTCTAGGTACTCCTCAGTTCGTAAGGAGCTCGACTTCCAACCCCAGCTCTGGCTGACTGAAAACACGTCCGGGACGCTCGTGAATCGCGTGATAGATGAACCAGTAGAGCTGGCGCAAGAGATAGTGAAATAAGCTGCAACAGCAGGCCGGGGATCGCGATATGGCTGGACCGGGGCAACGGGAGGTGTGGTAGCTGGAATGGTGCTCGGTGAAGAGGTAAAGGACGTAGCAAGGCCGGATGATGTCGGTGGGGATGAACTAGGTGTCGTACTTCGTGACGGAGGGTGAATGGAAGGGGAATAGTGCATGGACATAGATGGCGAGGACTGAGACGGAGAAAGCAGTGGTAATGATGGCACTCTGTTGTGTGTGTGTTCCGCACGATTGAATGACAATGGGGCAGAAGCGGCAGGAATAGGATCAATGTTCGATTGCCGGTGAAGATAGACTCCAAGCTGAATGCCCTTCTTCCGAACAACTTGCACGTATACGTTGAACAAGCTTCCTGCGTACCAGATGGTCTGTGAGTGTAAGCGGGACTTCTCCTTTAGTGCGTCGATGTCCCAGAACTCCACTGCAAACCTGAACGGAGGGTGGGGTGACCACCGCGCTTTACCCGTCGCGTCAGATGCTATACAGCCAGATGCGGTTTGTCGTTCTGGCTTCAGGCCGAAGAAATTAGCCTCGGAAGTTGTTGCACGAACAGGCGCCTTGCTGTCGGTGCTCGGACTGGACAACGATGGAGGTGACTCGAAGAGTTGGTCCATAGAAGCACCTTCGATGTTCCCACAATCGCCAATGCGTACAGATGAATCGTGTCCGACGGGATGATATGGCTTGTCTTTATCATCTGTTAAGGGCGGGGAGTTCAGAGCTGGCAATCGAGCAAGAATCTCTGCAGTCGTGATGGACAACCCAAGTTCCTTCTCTCGCGAAGGTGGAGGGCTTGAGGATGGGGATGAGGAAGAAGAAGTGTTCGCATTGTGTTTAGCTGTGATTTGACATCGCAGTAATGACTGGTCCCAATGGGCTTCCTGTAAAACAGAAAGGGGAACAAATGTTCGACCAGTGGTAGGAGAGATATGCTGTGATATTGCAATGATATCGTCCACGAGCTATATGTCGTTGTAAGCTTTGCTGCAAAGAGCGCTTAGAGGGAATGTCTTTACTTACCATATTGGCATAGTATATGCCTTCACGGAACAAAATTTCCCAATCTTTCTCTTCCTCTGCATCGATGCCCTGCCGTCTCCGAAGCTCGACGATAGTGCAAGCCATATCGTATCGTTCCCTCTCCCCCTTCACAAACAACAAATCTGAGCCTAAAATCTGTTGTACCCACTTCGAATTCAAGCCACCCCTTGCCCAGATGACGGGAGTCACATGCGGTTCTGGTGCGGTAGGCTCACTGGAAGATGAAGGTTTGGCAGGCATCGTATCGGCTCTCTTGCGTGACGACACGGTTTGCGCAGGAACGGGGACTGGGGTAACAGGGAGTCCTGGACCGCGAGATGCTTTCTCTTCGTGGATAAGCATATCCGCGCCCCATCGGGCGATCCAGCATGCCGCGGCCTCGCCAATCTTGTCTGATAGCAATCCATAATGGAAGTGAGGTTCGTGGATTGGCCCTTCGTCTGGCTCAGATTCTACCTCAGATTCAGCAGGATCCTCTTTCTGTACATCTAGATCATGCAATTTGTCGGATAAATCATCGGCAGGCTCTTGCGTGGTACTTGATTTACGCAGAGGAGAACGCGATGTGCTGGATGCGTGACTCTCCGAGGTGGCCGACTGTGCAATGCACTCCAAGCCCACTGCTGCTTCGGCTTTGTGGTCAGGACGAGCTTCGATAGCTTTACCAATAGCGAAATTGAGGTAAGGAATAACAGTGTATGGTCCGACTGTGTTCATGATGCAGTTGACGGCCTGCGACGCCATGGAGGGAATAGAGAGGTAAACCGCTGTGGCTAGAAGTGAGAGCAACAGCTGAGGGCTGGCGGTGTGATGCCCCTTGGGTGTATCACAAGGTAGAGGAGGGCCAGAAAAGGAAGGAGTAAGTGGGTGAGATGTGCTTGGGATGAGGGATGGTGGGACATATAGGGGTGGACCACCACCATATAGTCGTGCAATGCATATCCTGAAATTGATCAATCATCAAGTCACTGGTTGCTTGTAGATAACCTACTCAAAAGCTGAAAGGGCATGAGTGTGGAGCTATCGACATCGGGGCTAGAACGCACCTGCACGAGTGATATTGCGATCATCAAAGATGACGTCAATTTCCTCAGGTCCTCGTAGACGGCTACGAAGTTTCGGTGAGGACTCGAGGAAGCCCGCTGTGAATAGTGAGCTGAAGAAGCCCTACAAGTTGTTTGGTGGTTTAGCAAGCAACCTAGGGAAGCGAGAAACGAGTCGCTTTACGAACCGACTGTATGAGGACTACTCTGTGCAACATGTAGATGGCCTCCCATGTACCGTGTACATGCAAGGAGACATCTGCAGTGCGAGACTCTAGTAAGGAGTTGTAGATATGTTGCTGTAAATCGACAGAGGAGAGAGCGGCGGCAGTATTCATAGGCGGGCTGCTGCGTCTCAGTCTGTGAGTATTGTGGGAGGAGGAGGAATAAAGGTCTGGGAGAGAAGGAGATGCGTGTATTACCCGAGCTGAAGATAGATAATTAGCGTCTGCTGCTAAAGTGGTTAGGAGTGTCATGATTATATTGGGCGGACACACGTCGTCCAGCCCAACCTCAGCTCACTTGGCAGACCTGCCAAGTAATTGCAGCCGAAATTGCAGTCAGCCTCATTCCACCATGCAACAGCCTCATCCTCGTTTTTCAGTTCTATCTGGTTCTTCGCTCTCTTCTGCAGAACATCTATCTCCAACTGCAAGCTCAACACGTTTCTCTTTACCTTCTGCGACATCCATAAACACAGCTCTTGGCACCCCAAAGCCAGGCCTTAGGCCTAATATCTATGACAGGAACCTTAATAAAACACGGACATCAGAAGTATCCGCTTCCGCATTCGCCTTCCTCTTCTCTGAGGTCGTCCAATATACTCAGAAACGCGTAAGTGGAATAAATGATCTCGAACGCAGGTGAGTCCACCTTGCACTCTATCATGTCTCCTTGAACCAACGTGCCATCGCTTAGATTGAACACCCTCGGCTATCGCGCTGGAACGCGAGTCCTCGAGCTCATGGTCTGGCGAGCAGAGTCATCATCCAAAGCCCCAAAGCGAGAAATACGTTTTCTGCCAGCTCTCATGTCCATCCATACGCAAGTGTGGAGAGCTGTTTTTGGTCGCCCCGCGGATGCAATAGAGAAGAGCGTTGAGAATGAAGATGAATGTATGATCGCTCCATTCATCCTATCAGACCACTGAGCAATCTTCGTCTCAAGACATGATCATCGACAATGATCCTCCGATCGAACGTCATATATCTGTCCCTAAAGATATGAACCAGCTCAGCTGTTCTTCATTCACTGCTGGGGTCGTAGAAGCAGTCTTGGATGGACTAGGATTGGTGAGTTGTTCATTTCCAGACAACCTCTGTACTGACATGCGTGCAAAGCCTGCACGGGTGACAGCTCATCATACACCTACACAGCAGTTTCCATCGCGTACGACTATACTCATAAAACTTGACAAATCTGTACTAGAAAGGGAAGAAATCCTCAAGTGAACATGTGCTGCAGTCTTCCCATGTTCCACTCTCCCATCACAAAGCACAATAAGTATTGGTGTGTAGCCACCTTTTATTAATGCATGCCATTATTTCGAGTCACCGTCTTTTTGACGGGCCAAGCCAGGGAATGTATCGAGATTCAGATCGCGTTTAACGTATTCGACACAAGTGCTGTATCACTCGTTTATCACATTTGTTGCCCACCTGTGACAATTGTGACAAAACAAGTGATACAATTTGTTAACTGTCTTACTTACCTGCATCAGCCCTGAGGAAACTAGAATCAAAACGCTCACCACTTCACAATCAAGAACCCGATTATCAACAGGATTTTCTCGCTCCAAGATCGCTTTGATGGGTTCGTGTTCACCAAACATACCATGTCGAATTTGATGATAGATAGAGCGCTAGGTGCAGGTGGTGTAGACAGCTCAACCAGAACAATTCGACGCAGTGAGTGACGTATTAACTGCGAAGCGCTTGCGGTATGATGTCTTTCCCGTCCTTTGGCTCCGGGCGTTCTTGATTCCAGTTTTAGCCTTGATGCTCCAAAATTAGCTCCTGGGTACACAGGTGGCACGAGACAATGGAGCAAATTCGCCATTGGCTGATGTCCTAGGATGGTATGCCATTTCCTGGTACTATATCAAGTCGTTGTGAGACCAGGTGATGGAGATACTCAAAGAATATTCTCGAGAGCAGGCTGGACAAGAGAGCATTGCCAACGGGCACTCGAGAGTGCCAGCGCGCCAAATGAACAATGTTTTTGACTGATTCCCTCCGCGACAAAAAGCTTATTTCTTGACGATCGACAAGTTATGATTTTCCTATTGATCTGTTAAGCGCAATCAATTTCAAGTTGACTCGGATGCCCTGGGTCCACTAAACGGCGTAAGTGGATGAGCTCTGTTTATATTAACGTGGCTGCCCTTGTCTGACAAAACTCGTCTGGATCTATATAACCTGTTGAACGTTCATGATGGTTACGTGCACTACCATATCCTCAGCCTTACCCATGTTATGTAATCCAGGTAAGTCTCGGAACTTCGGAAGCGGTTCGAGGTTCCGGTTATCTCCCACCCAGGTACTTGCCCACATTATCTTCGACTACCTGGAACCAGCCGACATCCAAGCCCTCTCATGCGCCAATGCACTGTACCGGGAGCATATTGTATCATGGTTCGACATAGAACACCCCAGGCTCAAAGGGCGGGCCACACTCACTGAGGCTGAGGCTCAAACATGCAGCATCGCCGTCTTAGATTTCCTTGTCGGCACTATATCGCCAGGACACCTGAGGCACATAACCAACGACATCCGTGAAAAAAAAAATGCTGATCAGAAGACCGTGGAGCGTCTGTTATGGTATGATGTCTTTCCCGTCATTTGGGTCCAGGCTTTTTTCGAATCAGAGGAGGCCTTGTTCCCTGGACATTGGCTCCTAAAATGCATAGACAAATGGAGACAGTGGAGCAAGATCCATCGATGGCTGGCAGCCCCCTGTATCTGTGGGAGAAGATGATGGAGATACTCAATGAAGATGCTCGAAAGCGGGCTAGGCAAGAGACTTGCAAATGGGCATGCTGAGAGTGCCAGTGCCGAAGGGGCGAAGGTTTCCAGTGCTGTTGGGGAGCCAGATGAACTGTGTTCTTGACTGATTAGCTCTTTGATCGGAAAGATGCTTATTTCTTGACCATCATTTTTTCATAGCTATGTACTGACGCGCATGCAGTAAATCTCTGTTCAATTGGTAAAGTCTTATCGTTCTTATCTTGTTGACCGCTCGAAGCACATCTGTAATAATAGATACTGTCATGGGTCTTCTCGACTGATAACACGGAAGAAATTGTTACCAGGCTTAGTGTCTCATTCTGTTCGTTCATTGAAGACATGTACTGATCCTGATAGTTTACTCAACTCCTCTGAGTCCTCGATGGTTTTGATTCGCAGCATTGATGTGTCACCTTCCATGGTGAACTGCTCATGTGCATGGGCATCAGACTATCAACAGCTCAATGAACTGTATCACTGCCCTTATACAGGCGCTGTGACCACGAGAACGGCTACTTTGGACGGTTTTGAAGAAGATGAAACCCATACTGTGCGTACTGCAAAAGCGTTCCAACAATCATTCGTATGTCTGACGAGGTCGGTCGCTCAGGTAGCGTTCATGAAGGACTCCCTTTCGTCCCTCAACTCGTACGGATACTCCCCCCATCCGTTGCATGAATACCTTGCATGGATCCGGGAGTTCTTAGGAGAAGGACCGTCTGCCAAACCATTCATAATCAGCATCACGGAGTCCAGCGCCGAGAGGCTTTCCGAGATGTTAGTCGCGATACAACAGTTCCGCGCGTCAAACGCTACATGGCTCTCTCGTATCGCTGTCGAGTTTAACTCCAGCTGCCCAAATATCAAGGGCCACCCTCCTCCCTCATACCACCTTCCTTCTCTCAAGCCGTTTCTTGATGTCTTTGCCAAGGCTTTCCAGGATGACTCTACGCTCACAATCGGCCTCAAGCTCCCGCCATACATCATCGCAACTCAATTTCGCGATGTCGTCGAATGTATTTCATCTTACACCCGCACTGATTCCGGAAACCCCACAAACCCAATCGCCTATTTCACGTGCACAAACACCCTCGGAAACAGCCTTGTGTTCGCTGATCAGACCCCAGATGCAAAGACCGACATGTCCCCGTTTGCTGTGCCTCCAGGTCTGGGCGGCCTCGCAGGCGAGGCTATTCATGCACTCTCCCTAGGGAATGTGTACACCTTTTCACGACTTCTTGCGGAGTCAGATGACCCGGCGATGCGGGAAATTGTCATCATTGGCGCTGGGGGCGTGACATCCCCAGAAGCCGTTCAGCGGATGAATCGTGCCGGTGCGAAGATCGTTGGCTGTGCGACGTTGTTGGGCAAAGAAGGCGTCAAAGCCTTTGAGATCTTGTCTAGGAATTTGTAAATGGTATTTGTTGTATTCCGACGTACATATTTCAATCCACAATGGTCTGATATGTATACAGTGGTCGCAGAGTAAGGCTAAAATGCTACAGATGAATGGGAGCGTGATTAGGATGTGTCTAAGGCGTTCCTTGGGTGATGTGAAGTGTATTATATCACAAAAAATGTTCAGCAGGTTGGAAAAGTGGTGTATGAGTGAGACGAGTTGGTATCATAGCATGACGTTGAAAATGTGTCCCATGAGAAGGCGGAAAAGTCTGGAGGGGATGTCAATGCGGAGATATTATCGCTATCGTCCTTCTCTGCATAGTTCATGAACAAGGCTGTGGGTTCGCTATAAAGTGCCACAGGCAGCGGAGAGAGCCTGGCACTTTGGTACAGAGGAAACAAATCAGGCTGGGTAAGGAGCAATGGGTGCGCCGGCGAAGTGCTCGACGTTGGTTGATTGGTGTCATACAGCGCTTGGTAAGACTGCTCGCTATATTCGTAGGATTTTGGAATCTTCTTGATCATAGTGAGCTGCATGGAAACGTTGAGAGAATGTTAAAGGTAGAGAGAAAATACCCGTACCGGTGGAGACATCTGAGTGGCACTTGTGAAATCATGAATCGGAGGACTAGTCGACTTCGCGGGTGGCAAAAGAGGGCTGCGAAACGGTTGTATATCACATCCGCCAGAGTCACCTTCACAAGGTTGTAATCCTCGCGTGCCCTTCAATGATGACCCACTGCTCGAATCGGGGGATGTTGTGGAAGTCGTTACTTTCATAGTGTCGTCGATTTCCTTGACTGCGACCTCGAGTTCTTCGCCATGCTTGCCTGCAAGAAGCAGTTCAGCGACTTGCTCGCAGCGTCTCTTGTCTTCCGTGCCATTCCTCTGAACTTTTCGTTTTGTAGGCTTTTTGGCGCGCAGAACAGGATGAAACCTGTAGTTTGGGTACTTCATTGCATGGATGGCCTTCTCCGTTGCAGCCTTATTACGCCAAACCTGTTTCTCTGACTCGGAGAGGCGATTCCAACAGTGCGCGATTATACGCGTGATGTGGCGATTGTCGCGCTCAATATTAGTTCCGATTTTCTGTGCGGCAGCAAAAGCGGAGCGGAAGAGCATGAAAGCATTCCGTGGACGTGGAACATGATCTGGATCTTTGCTGCGCGAGTAACCACGAGAACATGGTATGGGCATGCTCGCAAGAGCGGCGGAGGAAGGAAAGGACGATGGGAAGGGAAGTTCGGAACCCATGTCTGCGGCATTTTTAGCCGATGTTGAGGAAGTGGAACCATATGAAGAGGACACTGATTCTGGAGGAGAAGGTATGGACACCGATACCGATTCAACTCGGTGCCATTGGAAATTAGGAGGGACAAGAGGACTCTGAAATGGGGGAGGCGATAAGAAATCATAGGTTGGATCACCATTATGATCCAAGAGATCTAATGGTTAAATCGTTAGTTGGAGAGAGCGTAAACAAGCAGAGGGTTTCTTGTACGCACCGTAAGATGAGATGGAGTTTAAATCGAATTGAATGATCTGGGCGTCAGGGACTGCCATCGCAGACGGTTTGATCCAAGCAGGGTGCTGAAATATTTGGAAGTCATACTATCAGCTCTGCCCTTTATAATCGGGACAGTAAGTGCGGAACTTGGAGGCAAATTTAATGTTCACCCTTTCACGGTATCACATCGTGATATCCGAGTCTCCATTTGAACTGTTATCCCTCGTTGTGATCACATTTAGATGTGTGATATCTCGAAAATGCGGTGCTCGCTAAATGCCGAGGGCACGTTGCATGTCGAGTCTAAGGGTCATCACACATTTGGCAAAGCTCGGGAATGGAGCCGATTAACTTGATCAGATTTCTTTACTCTCTCGACAAGCCAGTTAAGCACGTTTTCCGCAGAATGCCGTAGTACAACAAATATCTACCATAGCACAATGTTTCCATGGACAACGTGGACGAGTCAGCGCACGGTCCCGACGGCGGAAATCCCCTATCTCACGTGATAGGGCGGGAGTCGGGACACGACCGTATATGGACATATAAGTGTGCAGGGCAGTGTACAGCGTGGTGGCCATGGCACCATCTTTTCCACACACGCTCGCGGTGGGTGATAGGGGCGCATTATTTAAACCTCCTCTGTTCCACTCTTTTCTTCTCCTCAAGTTTACCATGCCCCCTCGCAAGAAAGCTGTCCCATCTGCCGACGTTGCAAAGCCAGTGTCATCGCGGTCCACTAGGGCTAGTACGAGGCAGGCAAACGTCCCACCTGCTTCTACTACATTTGTAACAAAACCCATCTCCAAACCGAAATCAACCAAGGCGAAGCGTGTCCGCGACGATGATGAGGCAGATGATACCCCGGGCCCTTCTAAAAAGCCCAAGGTGGACAAGGACAAGGACACTAGTGACAATAAGGCAGACGACGAAGCTAAAAAGATGGTAAGGATTGAGAGCATGGTGATCTATACAGCACAGATGCTCACGTGTCGACTTTCAGGTCACTGTTGTGAAACGAGGTGCTGCTCCGGTAGACCCACTCTCCGGCTTCGTCAGTAAGTAATTTATGTATGACTTTAGAGCTTGTTGAAATGACTGAAATGTCTAGATACACATCAAGTCTACTCGAATGATGACAGCGTTTGGGACGCAATGCTCAATCAAACTGAGGTTGGCTCTAACAAGAACAAGTGAGCACGCCTTTGCATGAAGAAATTATCATTCTTATCTAGACGCATAGATTCTATGTAATACAACTTCTGCATACCATTGGTAATGATGCCCAATGCACCCTCTACACGCGTTGGGGTCGTGTTGGTGAGCATGGTCAAAGCCAAATCAAGGTTGGTCCCAACGTTCGAGTTTTGAACGAGAAACTGATTATAGTAGGGACCATGGCCATCTGTTTCTGCCATCAACGAGTTCAAGAAGCAGTTCAAGTCGAAATCCGGCGTTGCGTGGCCTCAACGCTTTGGCATGGTCGCTGCGAAGGGTAAGTAAATATTTTATATTATCTTGCCGTGCATTTCTCATATGAACAACGGGTAATCAGGAAAATACACATGGTTAGGTAGACGCATCCATAGGCTCAACGTGAAGTGATTACCTGACATGCCCTTCAGAGCGTGCATTCGAGAATGAAGATGACAAGGCGGAAGGCAGCGGCAGCAACAAGAAAGAAGACGAACCTGTACCAGACTCCAAGCTGTCATCTGAGTTGCAGGTAGTTCGAGAAAATTACATTCTCGTTTGCGCTAACACAAGTATTGGCAGGCACTCTGCAACCTCATTTTCTCATCCAAGTAAGTGTCGTAGTTTGAATTCTCGCAGCCCCAGCTTATCAATTTAGACTTATTGCTGCTCACTTGTCGTCGATGAATTACGATGCCAATAAGCTTCCCCTTGGTATATCGGTTTTCTAGATGGGAGTAGTTTGACCGCTTACACCAAACCAGGCAAACTCGCCAAGTCGACGATCCTCAATGGATTTGCGGCATTGAAGGTTCGCTCATCACCACGATAACTTTCTTTGTCTCGAATCTGAATTTAAAATTATACAGAAACTTGCGGAAGTGGTCCAGTATCCAGATGGCGACTTGGCGAAGTCTCAGGGCGGATTCCGAACCGCATGTGAAACGTTTACTTCGGAATACTATTCGTGCGTTTTTCAGTCGACATGTATAATTCATTGCTCTGATGCACCGTCGTGGTAGTATCATCCCTCATGTATTCGGGCGTACGAGGCCCATTGTAATCAGCGACCAAGAGCTATTGAAAAGGGTAATTCACTCGGCTTCGTGCCACCCTCGTGCTAACGTTTCTACAGGAATTGAACCTCGTCGACGCTTTGGGAGACATGGTATGCGATCTGGATTCGTGCATATTACATTTACTTACCACACGTCACCGCAGGAAATCGCCCATAAGCTCATAACGGCCTCCATCCATGTTGACGACGACGGGAAGCCACTTAACCCGCTGGATGCACACTTCCGCTCGCTGGGTCTTAATTCGATGGACCCTGTCGCTCGATCCAGCTCGGAATTCCAAGCTCTCGTACGTTACACCTCCGACACGCATGGACAAACGCATCACTTCAAGTCGTCGGTTTTACATGCATTTAGAGTGGAGAGAGAGGTAGAGACTTCTGCATGGTTGGCGAAGGGGTACGATAAGCTTCCTGCTGGCGATCGGATGCTTTTGTGGCACGGTTCTAGGACGACTAACTTCGCTGGTAAGAAATGTGCGAAATAGCACAGATCGCGAATTCACGACTTCACGTCAGGTATCCTCAAACAGGGCCTTCGGATTGCCCCTCCGGAAGCACCTGTTACGGGTATGTTGTTGAATGTTGCTTATTCATGCTCAGCATACTGAGGTACAACTCAGGCTACATGTTTGGCAAAGGCGTCTACTTTGCAGATGTGAGTACTGGGCACTTTATATTCGTGCTGCTCATAAACTAACTTGTTCCCTAGATGATGTCAAAAGTAAGTTCGGAATGGCACCTTTGAATACGAAGTTTTGATCTCTATCCCATTTCAGTCCGCAGGCTACTGCTACTCTAGGTGAGTAATGTGGCATTCTCGAAGGGCGTCGTACTAATGATGTATAGCTTGAGCAATCAAATCGGCGTGTTACTCCTCTGTGAAGTGGCTGTAAAACCATTCCTCGAGATGAACAACGCAAATTACAACGCCCACGAAGATTGCAAGAAAAACGAGAAACTGTAAGTGCAATACTTCACCTGTTCCATACGCAGGCTTTCTCACCTGGCGCTATTCGTTACGTCAGGGCGACAAAAGGGGTAGGGATGATACAACCTACCAATTGGCAAGATGCTGGTATGGCACTTGGCCACAAAGAACTTGAGGGTGTCCACATGCCCAAGGGAGAAGCATCGAATGTCAGCCCCCCTGGAGCCTTTCTTATGTACAACGAGGTTCGTGATCGCTACAACTTGTTCCTGCATACGCTCACGTCTCGCTAGTACATTGTATATGATCCATCTCAGATCCGCTTGCGATACCTGCTCATGGTGAAGATGGATTGAGCCAGGAAATACATACGAAATCTCTTTTCTACTGTTAGATGTAGACGTAAATTCGTTCGCAATGTAAATAGATAAATGAGGATTATTTGTCCCTATTTACGCGTCCATATAATACCTCCCCCGTCATGTCGACTGTACTTGCAACTCAAGTTCGCAAACACACATCAAAGCCAACGCGTGCGGCAGGCAGGTATTGGAAGGGTAAAGCACCGAAAGGAGCTGCCGAATACCCATCGGATTCAGACGAAGGCGATGAGCAGCCTGAGGTTCAGGAAGAAGGTGATGTGCTCATTGGTGGGGAGCAAGACATTGTCGAGGAGGAGGAGGATGAGGAAACGACACTTCCAGTAAAGACAGGGCAGGGTAGGGTGGTGAAGACAATGAATCTCACTCTAAAGGATGTCAATATCTCGAAGGAAGGCAAGGTCATTGTCGCGGGACGAGAAGAGTCTGGACGGACCAAGCTGGAGGAGGGTACGTGTCATCATTTTGGCATGACTCAATTTTGTGCTTAATGCCGCTACAGATGTTGTGTCGGAAGAGGAGTCGGAGGAAGCACCAGACGAAGAAGAGGATGAAGAGGAGGAGAGCGAGGTACGTTTGCTTAAGGCATATTGCATGTTTTATTTTGAATTATTTCCAGTCTAGCGAATCTGAGGAAGAACCCTCAAAACCATTATTCCGACCCGTTTTTGTTCCCAAGTACGTTTCAAATGCACTTTTCATTGAGTCACTTATTCTCCGTTCCGACAGACGAGGTCGGGAAACGATTGTTGAGCGTGATGCAATAGCTCAAGAAGCCGAGGAAGTAGAGAAGCGGAAACAAGAAACTGCTGAAGAACGGAAGAAGCAGAGTCACGACCTTGTTGCAGAAAGCATACGGCGAGAACTGCTGGAGAGTGCGTTCTTAGCCATTCATTGCGATTGTTATACTCACATATCCTAAAGAGGAGAAGGAGGAGGTAATACCTGATGTCGACGATGCGGACGGTCTGGATCCCGCTGGGGAGTTTGAGGCTTGGCGGCTGCGAGAGCTTGGACGAATCAAAAATGAGAAGGAGGAAGAACTTAGACGTGAAGTAGAAAGGGAAGAGATTGAGCGGAGACGTGCTCTTCCAGAAGAACAACGTTTGAAGGAAGACCTTGAACGGGCCAACAAGTTACGAGAGGATAAGCCTAAAGGCCAGCAGAAGTTCCTTCAGAAATACTGGCATAAAGGTGCTTTCCACCAGGTATGTGACATCTTTCATCTATGTCGTTCTATCATTTTACACATTAATTAAGGATGAGGCAATCCTCACACGACACGACTACACAGAGGCAACTGAATCTACGGTGGATGTTTCGATGTTGCCCGAAGTCATGCGAGTCAAGAACTTTGGTAAACGCAGTAGAACCAAGTATACCCACCTTCTAGACCAGGACACGAGTCAGGGGAGCGGAGGTTTTGGAGGTGCAGGATCTGTAAAAACAGGTGGTCGATCCACAGAAGGAGGTGGGGGGTGCTTCTTATGCGGTGGTCCGCATCTCAAGAAAGGTGAGGACATGTTGAGGCATCCTCCTATCAAACTCAATCTTTATTTGGCAGACTGTCCTCAAAATAATCAATTACCTCCAGGAGCCCGCAGTTCCTTGGCTTCTGGTGCTAACGCGGCCACTAGCACATCACGCGCATGGGGCGAGCCACAATCATCGTGGCGCGACCGGCCCGAAGATAAAGTTGATCGTCGCCGCTCGAAGGAGGGAAAACCAAGGAGGGAGGGCTACGCCGGTGATGATAGATCACAGGAAAAGAATCGCGATTACCGCAATTCTGGAACTGGGCGTCGAAGATCACGGTCAAGGTCACCTTATCGCAGTCGCGTAGACTATGATGACAGACGGAGAGCATCCCCGGAAAGAGACCATGACGGTTTCAGGGAGAAGAAGCGGCGTCTGGACTGAGCCCATGATCTGTCTCACTTTGCTATCTGATATGGCTTGGTACATATTGAGTAATTGGTAGGAAAGGGTGGCATGTATTTCACGTGCATTTATTAATATCTTTGACCACAGCACATATATATACTACTAATGCCGATGGCAGATGGCCAACTGATAACAATCATCGTACCCCCATTGATACCAATCGCACAATGTGAGTACTGGTGAACGACCCTCTTTATGACCCCAAAGCGCACTTCGTATTAAACTGGATTATGATAGATGGAGATATTCTTGAGAAACATTGCTTTCGCAGTTACCCCGGAAGACTTGACACTCGAGTTCGCCAAAATACTTCACAAGCCCCCGTTCCAATCTGAACCCCTTCTTAATTTTGAATTCCATATATTCTACAAGTCAACCCCGAATGGAAGGATAGGCATCCTTGCTCTCCCTACGGTGGATTCTGGCGATACTCTCTTGCGTGCTTATGGTGACGTAGGGGTTGTCGTCAAAGGCCGCCCAATCCACCTCAGCAAGAGCAAGCAACCGATCAACAAGGCCCGTATTCAGAGACTGAATACTATTCCATGGGTCGACCCAGTGAAGCTGCGAGAGGAGAAGGAAAGGCTTCTCCAGCAATCGAAGCCTTTCCAGCTCCTTCATTACGCATTTGGGCGTTTCAACAGGGATGGTTCCTTTTCTTCGGAATTCAACCTTCCTGGCGATGCCGATGCCTCCTGTGATCTGGAGCGTCGGCAAATACGCTTCACTGTCACGCCCGATGATGAACTTGAGAATTTCATCGCTCATTATCAGAGCCCGATTTCTGTTGCGTCTTACGCGCCCCTGAAAATCGCAGAATTGGTGGGTAACCAGGATGAGGATACCCACATTCTTTTTATTCGTGCCGATGCGCCCCCGGTGTTCTCCATCTCCATGAATAATAATATCAATGCAATCACAAATTCAAGCCCTCAACGTCTGGGGGGCTTGACGCGTCAGTATCCCATGCCTCCCGGGAGCCATAGTCTGATGCTGGCGTTCAATAGCCAGGAAGACGCTGCAACGTTCATGTATGCATGTCGCAATCGTCTTCATATACGGTACTCCCCAGTGCCCCATGTTCGTATTCACGACCACACCTCTAATCGGAACCCTATCGAGGAACTCCACGAGTTTCTATCCGAGATACCATACAAGCTTGGCTTCCAAGTGGAAAAGACCGTTGCAGATTTCGTTTTTAGTGCAAAGGAAATCCTTTCGCTGAAGGAGGCAATCATCTCGTTGAATGCTGAACATGGCTCTGATGCGCCAAATATATTCCAGTGCTTTGCATCCGAGCACGAAGGACACAATGCGAGTCGTAAACCACGCCGCAGACGCCGGGCGCAGTGGCATACCAGCCAAGAAGATTTAACCTCTCTTCTTGGTCAAGTAATCCACGAGTTTACTAGAGAGCATCAAAGACCACTTCGTCTTCTAGCTCCTCCACCACAGAGTGGGGTGTACCAGTCATACCATCTGATCCTAACGCCAACACGGTACATCCTAGAGGGACCTCTCCCAGATCAGTCCAATAGCGTGTTGCGCAAATACGGAAATCACGAGTGCTTCCTGCGCGTTACTTTCCAGGACGAGAATCGATCAAAGCTTCGCCGGGACTTAGATTCTTCCATTTCTGACCTTCTGAAGGAGCGGTATCGCCCCATTCTGCTCAATGGCTATCGCGTTGCTGGACGTCGATTCCAGTTCTTGGGATATTCGATGAGTGGTCTGCGAGATCATTCGGTGTGGTTTATGACACCGTTCACGGATGACAGCGGGACACTGCAGGACGCAGCATCAATCCGGCGCAACTTGGTGAGTCGCTATTAGGCCCTGGCCGATCTTGACCGAACGGAATTATCAGGGTGATTTCTCCAAACTTGTCAACCAACCCGCTCGCTTGGCTGCAAGATGGTCTCAAGCCTTTTCTGGCACCGATCCATCGATAACACTTCTTTCCGAAGAAATCGATTTTGACTATCCTGACATAATCTCGCCTTCTTCCAACGTTATGACAGACGGGTGTAGCCCCATATCAGCTGGGCTTGCAAAGGACATATGGAAGAATTTACAGAAGGGCAAGAGGCGACCCGCCAAGCTACGCAATGTTCCATCCGCTTTCCAATTTCGTCTCGGTGGTGCCAAAGGCATGGTCGTCCAAGATCCCACAATGGAAGGCAACCTTGTCCGCCTTCGTCCATCCCAGATTAAATTTGATGCACCGGAGAACCTCACCTTTGATGTCCAATCGACCTCGGCGAGACCAAAAGCGATGTTCCTCAATCGTCCGCTCATCGTACTTATGGAGTTCTTAGGAGTGGATACCAGTCGAATCCTTGACCTGCAGGACGATGCAATCACCAAAGCTCAATCCGTCCGATCGTCATCCCTCGATGCGTCGAAAGTTATCCAGCAACACGGACTGGGAGCATCTTTCCATCTATCGTCTCTCTTCAGAAATTTGTCGTCTATTTTGCAGCTGGATATTGGAAACACCGGGGAAGAGTCGCCTCAGTCACGATGGACAAGCGAGCTTATAGAAAGCTCCCTCCATTGCGCCGAGACACAGATCTTGCGGGAGCTGAAGTATCGCGCCCATATAGAAGTGCCGGGTTCGTATACCTTGCTTGGCGTTTCTGATGAATGGGGCTGCCTCAAGAAGGGAGAAGTTTATGCAACTGTGTTTGATGAAAGGACGGGATTGAACAAGCAAATTTTGGGCGATGTCGCCATAACGCGCAGCCCACAGATTCATCCAGGCGACCTACAAGTTGTGAAGGCCGTACACTACCCAGAGTTATCGCACCTGAAGAACGTCGTCGTATTTTCATGCGAGTAAGTCTTGTTTAATGGCTCGTGACACACGCACACTGACTCACATCGCCGACAGGGGTCAGCGAGCGCTTGCATCATATCTGGGTGGGGGTGATCTTGATGGCGATGACTTCAACCTAATCCTTGATGTAAGTCCGAATTTTGAATACATTCAGCATGTCTGAGCATTCTACAGCCGAAACTGCTGCCAGCGCATTACAGCGAACCCGGGGAGTACCAGGCGTTACCCATCAAAACGACACCAGCCCCATGTGACATCTCCGACGTCGTGGATTTCGTATTTGACTACGTCAGTCTCGTTCGGACTTTCAATGACGATAAAATTAATTATAAAATGCAGATCGAAGCGGACCTCGTCGGTCTCATCGCCATACAGCATCTCAGGTTTTCTGACCTAGAAGATCCAGGGTGCGCGGAGTGTATGGAACTCGCGAAATTGGCATCAAATGCAGTCGATTTCCCGAAGAACGGCACACCTATCAACTTTACCCAACTTCCAAGGTTCAAGTCAAAGAATCAGCCCAGGCCTGATTTTCTTGCGAAAGAAGGCGCCGATCTCAACAGCGACCAGTACTATAACAGCAAGAAGCTGCTCGGTCAACTCTACCGCCGGGTACCAGTGAAGAAGTGGATTCCTCAGGAATGGAATGAGGACTATTCTCCATCTGACGGAGCCACTGTAGAGGACGCGCTCTCTCGCGTGGGCCTCCGTAATATTGGTCTTTCGGGATTAACCGATCCAACTCAAGAGTTAATCGAGGAGATGACGCATCTACTCGAAGCATATTGCGACCAGCTGCTAGCAATTGGGCAGGCGCACACCATTTTGAAAAGCAAGAATAGCCACGTTTCGGAATCGGAATTGGTGAGCGGGACCATCATGGCAAATTGGTCCGACCATCATCGTCGACGGGACGCAGTCACTGCGATGAACTTGCAGGTAAGTTTAGAGCTCAATATGTGCCACAAGTTTCTTAACGATAATTCTAGACACATGAGCTTGTCCGTGCGGTCAGGGCGGAGCTCCAAGCTAAAGACTTGTCAATGCCGGAGACAGAGACGTACGATGAGGAAGAGGATGAATACGATGATTGGACCTTCCGCGAAGAATTCGATGATACCGAACAGCGAAGTATGGCAGAAACGTTCAAGCGCTCTTGGGCAGCGTGGTGCGTTGCAGAAGATACGCTTCAGGAAGAGCCGAGGATGTTTGGAGCTCAGAGCTTTGGCTTAATCGCTCTGGGCAGGATGCTCGAGATTGTAAAGGCGTCTTATGTGATGTGAAAGATTAAATACCAGAAGCTGGCCTTCATACCAGTGCACTGAAACGGAATTGCATACCATAGGAACTCATGTACATGACCAAAGTCATTATGAATTGAAAAGCGAAGTTTATGTATCCACCGAGTCACTTGTGGCAGGGGGATCCCGCGAAAACGACGCAATTACGAGCACGATCATACTATCATTTGGATACCCAAATCAACCGCTTGAATCAATTTCATGCATGCTATGCTAAAGAACGCAATTAAAAGCTTCAATTCTCAATGACACATACTACAACTTGAGATATGCATGACCTGGTTTCGAAATATGTAACCTACAATAACAAGAAAAATTACTCGGCGAAGCGAAATAATGATCGGCAAAATATGATCATGCATCCAGCAGCTCCCTGGGCATATCCACGAAAGCAGCAGCCCCGTTGCCAATCAAAGCAAGCTGTGTGAGGGACGCTGCGGTCTGGCGGTAAATCCTCTCCAAGGCCGGATGAGCAGGGCGCCCTTGCGACACTAGGGAAATAGTGAGAATACAATAGAGTCGACTAGACGTCGGACAAACTCACGCAAAATCGCCTGGTTCACTTCCGTTGCAAGACTCACTCTTGCTGCCTGCCCCGCCACCTCCGCTGCATCCCCACCGGCGCCAAGCGGATCCTCAAAAGCCACAATCACGCTTGTGCGCTTGAAAATGGCGCGCATCTCCGGGCGGTCTTTGTACTCTGACTGCAACTCCTGTCCGTACGCCACCGCACGCTCGAGAGCGGTTCCATACTTGGCAGCAGTCACACCGGACAAACTAGAATGCGAATAAGAGGCGAACGATGCCTTACGCTTGCCTTTGATAGGGATGGCACTGCTGCCGCCGCCAAAACCATTCGTCGCTCCAGTACTGGAGACATCTGCCTCATCGTCAACGTCCATCCCCATCCCGTCCGAAGCGCCTTTATCTTCTCCACCCGCATCCACATTCATCTCTGCCTCCTCTGCACACATCCGCTTCTTCAGCTCTGCTGCTTCCAGTACAAGCTCCACAAATTTACGGCATCGCAGTTTGAATAGCACGAGTCCTGCATCCGCATCAAGCGCTCGTGGGAAGTGTTCTCGTGTGTCAGAAAGCGCAGTGTCGACATCACCAGAGAGCACTGCATGCACTATACGGGTACGGATCTCGATGTCATCCATAGGTGCAGGAGCGATAGTTGTTTGAGGCACATCGTCCATGTCCATGATCTGATCATGATCGGACACACGACTCATGGAAGACGAAGTGAACGTGCTTGATGATTTTAGCGTTGACATTCCTCCTCGAGCGGAGCCCTGCGCTTCGAATGCTCGTGCCGTCCGTGCGTATCCGTGATGTGACAAGTACGCAAGCACGAGATCATTGATCTGGGACTTCACGTGGGTGTCTGCGGTGGATGTCGACGCTGAGGTAAGATCTTTGTCACTGTCAGCTACTGGCCACGTCCAAGGCGCAGACTGAATGCGCGTCCATGTCGTATTTCGTTGTTGAAGCACGTGGTCCTCGATATCAAACCTGAATGGGTCCTGGCCGAAGTTAGCCCGCACAGATTCTCCAAGATAGCAAAGCCCGACTGCTGGATAAATATCACAATCTTTGCCGATGTTATCGAAAACAGAGCCTGTGGGAATTCAGAATAAAAGAAATCCAACAATGGAAGAATGCACACCAAGTAAAGCACCGTTCTTTGTGTAGAATGCACGATTTTGGCTAAAATCGATACCACAGCCGATGACATCTCCGGCTAATGGGTTCAGAATAGGTAAAAATATTCAGTTATTATGAAGTCAACGGACCTCCGAACTGGGGACCATATGGTGTGCCCGTTTTCTCAGCAGCAAATGACGATCCGTCATCACCGTGGTATCCCCACGAGTTCTTCTCCCATCCTGGTAAGCGGGACGGTTTAAAATCGCGGCTTACGAGACTACAAAGGGGATGTCAGCGAAATGAATTTCAAATCATCGAATTGTAATCAGACCCAACGCTAATACGCCTGAATTCTTGTTTGAGTACATAGATATTCTCTGCGCAAGGCACTCACCCCTTGTTGCTATTTGTCTTACTGGTGACCTCAATCTCGTAGTAGTATATGCCGCAGGCAGGAGGAATAGGGAAGATCGTACGGGCAGCTGCGGCATCTTTTTCAGAGTTGCTTGGAGATCCTGTTTGAATAGGTGTAACGTGTCTGATATTTCTACTGCCTTTGCATGAACTGACCTTGATAAGTGAGATCCCTTCCATCTGCGGAGACGCTTAACATAGGACTTCTATATTCATCACTCCACCTAGTTGGGAGGCGCAGGAGGGCGGATGATATTAAAGGATTAGTCTCCTGCTGTTGCCGAGAGGGTAGTTCCGCAGGAGGACTCGTGTCTTCTTCATCGCTATCAAAGCTGGGAGATCTCTGTGCCCTCCTCCTAGCATATTCAGTGCGGATGACCGCAGAGTCAGGGTTCGGTGACGAGGGAAGTTGTGAAGGAGAGTCTGTCTGCAGAAGGTGCCGCAGTGCAGAATGGTCGAGGTATGCGGGACGGGGAAATGGTGCTGAGTCGGTAGGCAACGGTTGTGCCATAGCTGGTCTCTGAGCGCTGGGCGCCCTAACACCGGCTGCACTGGACCGACGAACACGAGAAGGTGAAGAGGTCGGACAAGTGTTGTCGACTCTAATTACGCGCGGCTCATAGTATATGTGAGTTGGCGTAGTTCCTGTGCCTGAAAGGAGAACAGGGTTTGGCTGTGTGAATGATCGAGCAGTCGAGCGCATTGGAGGGCTGGATGCCACAGCCATAGAACTAGATCCACGGATACTACTGATACCTGTAGTAGGGCTACGTTGCGGCCATCCCGGATTCACAAGACGAGGACGGGACTGTGGGGAAGGTGCAAAGGGGATGGAGATGACTGATTCAATATTCCGAGCGGGAGATATGGAGATACCTCCCCGTGGTGGAACGGGGATACTAGCGGTCCTTGCGGGTCTACTGCTCATCTTGGGGTGTAGATAACGTTCCTAGCACAAATGCGGGAACTAAGTAGTGAGCCCTGTGCTATGGAGTTTTGCAGTATCTGATAACTGTATCAGTAACACAGTAACAAGCAAATCAGAGAAACACACGTATGATGGACGTTGACGACAGAAAATGGCCAGAAGGCGTAATGATTCGTTGCGCAAGTTTGGCCTACTTATAGCACTCGAGCTGGACCATCCGTCACCGACTCGTCTAGCATCAAGTCACGCTGTGGGGGAACGTCACATAACGTCACCATCGTGACTACTTCCTTTGTCACACCGACTACGCGTCCTTACGCACTTGCTTTCAGATCACTACCATGGTGCGCATTCATATTGTTCCAGTTGGCAGATCAAACTAATCTTGTATTTAGGAACCTTCATACCGCATCGTTCCTCCCTCACAGATAAAAACTGCGTCCATAAGTGACACTGCAGGCAGTTTAGGCCTCCATGACACCCTCCAATATGGAATTCGCAGCATCGCAACTGAGACGAGAGGAGCTGAGTTCGAGAACCGTATTGCAAAGGTGTGCCCGAACTCCACCTTGAAATGCATTCATTTCTGACGGCGTTCATAGTGGGAAGAGACGCAAGACAACGCGAGGCTAAACATGCTGTCCAATATCTACGGTCCAAGTGCACCTTTGAGGTTGCTTATGGAACGCCAGATTGTGTCCGCCGTGAGTGTGGACGCGTATGCCAAATATTCTCAAACTGAATGTCTTCTAGAGTCCTCATATGCCTGCCATGCCACAGTCAAATATCCATCTCGACATCCTGATGGGCCGGGACGAGACTCTAGACCCGACTGACTTCTTCCTCGGTGCGTGATTTACCTGACACTCACGTGATACGATCTGACTGGGCATTCACAGGCATGGAGAGTGGTCCACCGTTAAGCATTCACAACGAGATGGAGAAGAAACTCCGACTGTAATCCTAGATTGTTGTAATACCTGCTATCCAGTAATGACATACTTAACTTCAACAAGGCCAGCGCGTGAGATACCAAGTGATGTCAATGTGAAAGGTGAGCAAGCAGCTCAGATGAAATTGTCATCTATGGATTGAAAATACGTGAGGTGCGTATGGTAGGGATACAGCTGAATGTGGTGTGTAAATAACAGAAATAACAAATGGTGAAACACGGAAGAGTACGTTGAATACTCCAGGTAGTATTAGATGTGCTCCGTATGAATTACTATGCAACAGTGAATGACTCTCCGCATCCACATGCATCCTTGATATTAGGATTATTGAACACGAACTTGGAGCTACAGAAACGGATCACGTAAGTTCTGCGGTGAAGCATCACCTGAAGCAGTGTACAACGCACCTTAGCGCATCCTCCTTCCAGTCCATCTCACTGCCTATTATCGAGAAAAGTGCCTTGCTGTCTATCAGCACCTTAACCCCATCCTGCTGTACCACCTCATCAAACTTTTCCGGCTTGTCCACATAGTCAAGGTGGTACGACAGGCCAGCGCAACCCTTGTTTCGCACACTTATACGGATTAATTGTGGTGTCGGACTATTAAGCAAGCCACGCAGCCGCTGCATCGCAGTAGGTGTCTGCAACGAGTGATCAATCCGATTGATACAGCTAGAATCGCATCATCAGCACATACCATACTTAACACCGCCTTGGTGGACCGAATAGTTGGCCGCGGCCGCTCTGCCTTCGGAACAGGTGGTGGGCGAGCGGCTACCTGCGGAGATGCTGCATCGGATGATAGTGACTTCGCAGAGGGTACGACAACAGGTGGTGAATCTTTGAGAGGCTGCTTTGAGTTGGAGCTAGAATGTGCTTCTAATGGTCTCTGAGGTTGAGAGCTTAAGGCGGACATCATCGCACGACGATGAGTGGAGTATATGGCAGATGCGCGTATTGAGTGAGCGACATTGTGTGCTGAACACGAACGACCTAGTGAGGATAGCATCATGGACGGAATGAAGAAGGGCTGTTACCGGAACACAATCATCACAAAAATTACTCAGCCCAGACATGACTATGTATGGTCATGTCTGCGGTATCTAATACTGTCGATGTATCGGCTGCTGGACCCAGTATGTATTGTCATCCTAGGGAACGCGAAGTTCGATCAACATATGCGTCTATGTCATACTTCAGCTTGCGACATTTGTTCATCGTGTAGATAGTTCAGATATTGTGTATCACTCAGATATATCCATGCAATTGTGATGTATTTTCAATCTATACGATGCCACAAGAACATGTAATACACTGCAATGTACGAAAACGTGAGTCAAAGTAGTGAGTCCAATCATCTATCAGGCGGGCTCCGGATGTAAGGCATGCGTCGTGAAGATAAAACGAAACAAAGAGTCAGAGAACCATGGCGAAAGCGTGAAAGCACGAAAACTGAGTGGGATGGAAATGTGAATGAGTCCTGTAATAAGATATGAGTACTAGGCCAATAAGAGGACAGGAACGTACCATGCAACAAATATTCGCCCGTCTACCTCCTGCGTGTTTGCTTCCTTGCACGTTTTGCCGGCCGGATGAGGCACAGTCCAATTGAAAATGCGGTGATTCGAGAAACGGTCGCTGAGTCCAGATCGATGGAGTCTTCGAACCTTTAATCGTGTTGCGTTGTCCGAACGTGTTCCGCTGATGACTATATATCAGTACACAGTATATGCGCATATATGCAGCATATAAGCTGATATGCTCACATTCCCAGTGCCTACCAAGAAGTTGACCGGTTTTGTATTCCGTCCATGCCAAGGTGATGACAGGACGAAACCGAACCATGGTCTGGTCCAACAAAATCGTCGAACCGAGAATCGGACCCTCGCGAACGGTTCAGAACGGTCAGGTTCGGTTTTTTTGGGGTTCGAACTCGAACCGAACCCAAAAAAATTGAAAAAGCCGTGGTGCGAGGGTGAGGCCCTGATGTTGGGACTACGCACGATGCTGAACACCGGTGGGCTGCTGCTTGGGCAATCTACTGAACGCGGATGAGGAAGGAACGAGCCCACAACCATGAACATGACGTACCAAGGATGAATATGCCTGCATCGTTGAATGCATCCAACATTGCCAACAATGCATCAGTCGTGGTTTTGTGAGCTGTGGGACTAGACGCACGGAAGCGCTGCAACGACAGACCTTATGTTGCAGCGCACATCTTGAAAGCTGACATCAAAGTCTTTACAGAACAGATCTCCGGGACTCGTAACCAGTCTGACATAGCATCAATTTGAGATGGTGAGAACCGATTATCCGTGGTAGTATACGCCAGGCTGGTCACGAGCCTAGCATCTGGGCACAAAGTGACTCACTGTGAACTGGAGCACAAAGCGGTTAGGTTTGGGATGGAATTCATTTAGGCACTCAATATGGCCCCGGTTTGAGCGAGTCGGGGACTGGCGTGGGGGCCGCTACGATATGATAGTGGTAGGAAGAGAAGGGAGTTGGTGAAGGGGAAGGCCCAGTTAGGGAGAGGCCCAGTTGGGGAACTGCTCGACTCGGAGTTCAAGTTGTTGGGGGCAAGACAACCCCAACGGTTTGCACTTTGCATGCGGAAGTGACAAAGTGCACACCAAAGGGTACCAAACAAAGGACTTAGAGAAAATCGAGCATGCGTACCGCAGCGTACGCCGTAGATCCTGACATTTTGAATTCGGAAGACGCAAATTTGACTGTTACTTTATCAAACTACTTTGTTGTCAATGTGGGTAGTAGTAGGTCATGCGAGACGGAGATCAATAAATTTGGGCTGGTCAATGCATTGGAATATCTTAGATATGTCATGTAGATACAGATGCACTCATCGTGAGATGTCTCCGAGTATTTCATAGCAGCTTGGAATGTCACTGACAATGACCAGACAGTGGCGTGTCAAGCGTGTGGCGCACAACAGTCTAAATCAGGTAATATCTCAGTTGAGCAATTTTTGTGATGATAGCCCCATCCATAAAACAGACATGCTTGGTCATCTTACATACATACAGCCAATCATGGTACCCCAATTTGACCTCTGTCACATGTCACTCATTCCGATCGCGGTCAGTGTTAAAAGTACCAACTGACTGCTACCCGATATTGCATGCTAGGCCCTCAAAGCTTCAGAGATTAGGCTACTCGTGTTGATAATTTTACCATCGGTATGTATAGCACATCATAATCTGACTCTATCCATATACATGCCTTCGAAGAACACCGGTTTAAATATACTATCGCAGAAGGGACGATCTGGTCCACGGAACCGGCTAGATCAACTTTATTCATGTGGCTTCCCTTACAAACGGGCATGATGCCAAGGCACACGATGGGGATGACGAACCGAGCAATATAACTTTGGATCCAAATACCGGATGACTACAAGGTGTCCTCATGATGACGCCTAGAACAGCAAGAACTTCATCGGTTGTTTTGGAATTAGAATAAGCAATAAAATCTGCTAAGGACATATTCACTCATGAATGTGAGATGATGATGCGATGATGACAACAAATCAGCATAACTCAAAATCGCGAGAATACGCCGATGCGATAGGAATGATTTAATTGTTATCAGCGGTTGCGGCAAAGGTGAGCGTCTCAACGCGCCCCTTTCCCTTGCACTCCTTCTGCAATAGTTCGTTGATTGCGCGGATTTGCGAGGGCTCGATAAGCATAACCTAAACAACCTCGTCAATGTCTTCCACAAAGACGATGAAAGACACATACAGTTTCCCAAGTTTCTCCCTTGTCTTCTTTCTCGACCGTCTCAGCCAATGCACGAATCTGTTCCTGTAGACGCTCTCCTTCGGAGGCCGGGACAACGACACGTACCCGCATCCTTGCGCGTTGAATCGGCAGTGTTGAGTGACCCTGTATGAGTCGCAGCGTTTCCGCTACCTGTCACTCCTTGATAAGAATAGTGGCCTGCGATGTCAACGGATTATCACCCACTTGACTCTTAGCATTCTTTCCTGCTTTCACACTCACGCCTGCTTCAGCCATAGCCTTTTCGATCATTCCGACAGGATATGGACGTTGAGTCGCCGGATCGACACATTTCTCAGCGACTAGTGTAGCTATCTCCTTGCGGAGAGAAGCAAGATCGTGATCACGTTCTTTCTCTCCCACTTGAACTTCGCCTTTCTTTAAGATCTACAGCACATATAAGCAAAGCGCTTAAATCACTGAAAAGGACGGACCTCCTTAACGACATCACCGACTGTAGAGGTACCAAATGCTTTTTGGAGATCGTTAGACTTGGCAACCTCGCCTTTGGATACATTCATGAAGACGTTCGAGATTTGGAGGACGTCATCTAAACTCGTCTCTCTGCGCAAGGATTTTGCGTTAGCCACGGAGCTAACATGTGTGTGTGATCACCTACACTCCGTTTCTCCATTCCTGTACCTTATTTTTGTAGCAGGCAATCTAAAACTAGACCGTTAGACGATTTCAGTACATGATATATCCACACTGCACCTCAAACCGTTTACCACCCTTCTTCAAGCGTACGATAGATACATTTGTGAGCCTGTGCTTCGCTTCACATCAGCGCAAAACCCCTAGAGATTGTCAGTTCAACACTGACTTTATTTGATTTGATGGTTGCTGGATAGGCATCTTGATTCAATGATACAGTACGTTTCAACGTATAGGGTGATGATACAGACACAGTAAATATACTGATGATGGTGTTTAGCAGGCAGGCGAAATGCAATGACGCATTGTCCTTGTTTGTTCGCCAAATTAATATTAGATCGGGTGTCACGCCCGTCACGTCCGAGTCAGTGTTGGGCGCTGCACGGTCTTGCACGGTGCACCACTGCAACGCAACCCCATCGCAGCACTTCAAGACGCCTTCAATTATTTGGAAGACTCTTCGTCTATCCGAAAACCCGAACTTCTTAGCCGCATCAGGTCAACAATTCACGAGCCTGATAGCCATATCATTTCTGCAAGATGAAGGGCTTCACCAAAGCAATCAAGCGGTGAGCTCTTCCGTTTTCGGTTTCATGCTAACAATTAGTGGCGTTTGTCGCATCCTTCTTCCTGAGCATCGGTGTGGAGGGAGATGGACTCATGATCCTCTACAGGACACCCCACCTTGTCACATCTAAAGTCGGCTTCTCGAAGAGTGAGATCTAATCTTTGCGATCAACCGCTCACTCAACTATCCGTTAATTGTCAGAGTCTTCTGATCCCGAATTTGACGACTACAATCGTCATTTTATCAGCCTCGAGCAGGCCACAGAAAAGTTGCTCAAAGATACCAAAGCATTCTCCGACTCCGTTATATGTGCGTCACTGATGTCCCTCTTATTGATGCACGCGTCCTCACGCATGCTCTCAGCACTCTTCACTTCTTCTGCGGGATTCGCCAACCATTTCAATTTTATATTCTCTCCCTTGAATGCCGAGTATAACTTGCAGGGCAAGCATCCCTCCTGCGAGGCAACCATCGCAAACACTCCTCCGTACTCAACTGCTCTCGACGAACTTCGTTCTGCGATCTCTCCTGAACTAGAGCTCATCGATTCAAGAATCTCTGCGCCCGTGAAAGAGTTTCAGGGTGTCCTCAAGTTGATCAGGAAGAGCATCACCAAACGCGATCATAAGCTGGTCGATTATGATCGGTTCAATAACTCACTTACTAAACTGAGGGACAAGAAAGAGAAGAGTTTGAGTGATGAAAAGAATTTGTTCAAGGTAGGTGCCGGAGTGTCTTCCTGTCCATGATTTATTTGACGTTTGTATGATCAGCTTGAGCAAGACTTTGAGATTGCCACAAATGAGTATGATTACATCAACAACGCGCTCAAGACAGATCTCCCGCGGTTCATGCAACTTGCAACTCATTTCATCGACCCTCTTTTTCATTCATTCTACTATATGCAGTATGTCCTTGGCTATCAAAACCACCAGCCTTTGCGAATGTTTTACAATTCAACAGGCTTAACGTTTATTATCTTTTCCTCGAGAAAATGAATTCGTTCGCGGAAGGTCGATATGACGTCACCAACGTCCCCGGCGCTCAAATCCTGGCTGACTATGAAGAGAAGCGAACGGACGCATGGAGTACAATTGAGGATCTCAACATCACCAAGCGCATCATATCGACCTGTACGCTGAACTCTCACCCGTCATCTTCTTTACTTACAAATTTTCACTACCAGCGAAACTTGTACAAGCTAATCGCGCGACTGGCGGCAATACACTGACTGTTGGTTCCTCCATCGGTCGTTCACCCAGCATTACAAGTGCTGGCAGCGGGAGCAGCCGCTCAATGCCTCCACCATCTCGAGCAGCGACCACATCTTCCTTTACCAAGAAGGCTCCTCCACCGCCGCCAGGCCAGACACCCGCACCTCCTCCCCCGTACTCTGCTGCTTCAAATGATGCCATTACAAAGAGGGCGCCTCCGCCTCCACCACTAAAACCCAAACCAAAGCCAGAGCCAGCAGTAGAGTATGTTACAGCATTATATGACTTCGATGCCCAGGTATGTGACCATCTGCCTCTTGATTGGATATTCGCGTACCTATTCATTCCAGGCCGATGGAGATCTTTCTTTTAAAACCGGCGACCGCATCGAAATTGTGACCAAGACAGAGAGTCAGGAAGATTGGTGGACAGGTCGTCTTGATGGCGCCCAAGGTGTATTCCCAGGCAACTACGTCCAGTGATGTGGAGATGGATATTTGACAGTTGAGTATTAATTGAGTAGTAGTTTACATTTGGAGGACATTACATCTGCCTATTGGACAACCATATTGTTGTACAGTCATTGGGCGGCGTCGCAGATTGCATCAAACCCTCCTGTCTGCTTCACTGACAGTCTTCCTCTGTAGGCTGTTGCACCTTGCACAGGTCGTCTGCACTTCTGGCAGGCTCTTCTCCTTTGAGCAACTGCGTACCAGCCGATCGTTGCCCCGATTTCCAAGGAGGCATTTCGTACCTGCTTGATAGGCACGTCATCAAGAACGTTCTCAATAAACTCTACCGTTGCATTTCCTGCGGATCCAACATGTCATGCCACATGCGGAAGGAACTTGAACCGTACAACTTTATTGGCGAGAATAGAGACTGCACATGCCAACATTTAAGAGCTGTGAATGAGACCATCATTGTCACCGTGGCCGAGAATTGCCGGTATCTGCGACAACGGAGACAACGGTCATCGCGGAAGGCAATGCGTCAGATCTGAGAACAAGCTGTTCTGCTCAACGGATACTACTGAGAGTGAGACAGCGGTGACACATTTGATCTGTAGTCATAGACTGGGAGTACCTATAGACTTGGATACAGGCTTTGAATTGTTCGTGATGGGCGTCAGGGAAGTCAGACAAGTGGGGAATAGTATTAGATTTGTGCAACAATATTTATTCTATCCGACCAAGTTGTCCCCCCGTCACGAACTGCTCACAGTACGTGTTGGCCAACATACCGGTAGGTTCTAACCGTTGGATGACGCACCACAAGTTGGAGAGCCACGTGCGATGACATCAATACCCTCCCGACGTCATAAGCTGTTGTCGCGGTATATAACGAGGGAAGTACTGTACGGACACCTCATCCACCGGAGCACCATGTTTCGTAACGCCATCACCTCGAACGCGCGCGTTTATGCTGTATCATATACCCGTTCTCTCCATGCCACGCCCGCTGCTAGCACGGTCACCGGGAAAGTGTCCGAGATGGCAGACAAGGTATATATCACCAGCCACCCGTTTGCCCTGATAAACTCATTTGTCCCGAGGTGAATAAAAAAGTTGGCAGAGGTTTGGCGTCGGCCATTGAGACGGGCGAGAAAGCAGCGGAGAAGACCAAGGAGACACTCGGTAAGTCAATGTCAAATGGCGTAGAATCTGTCTATAGTGGTCCTGTAGGCGCAACAACGGCTTCTGCAAAGCAAAGCACCCAGAAAACAACGGAGCAGGCAAAGCAAAAGGTTAATCAGGTGCGCTATGGCTGCAGCACGCATGAGCTACCGGTTGCTGATCAGCCCTCTTTTCAGGCTGCTGCAGGCGCGCGAGAAACTAAAGATGACGTGAAGGATAGGATGTCGAAGTAATGACTCTACCGCTTTTCCGTATGCATGGTTAGCACGCAAAGTTAATTGTTATCCACACCGTAATCAAATCTGTCTAAGCAAATGCACGCACATCTACCAGAATTGACATCCATCCCACCTACAAACATTAACGTCGGAACTATATGGATTAATGAGGTCTGCAAACACTCTTGAAGAGGTTTGGTTTTCAGTGACAGAAGAAAACTTCATCTGAATCGTGGAAGCATCTGGGGACTTAATTTTGAATTCCAGTCCCTCACATGAATTTTAAAAATCCTGGACCCGAAGATCACCGGTCAATCATCCTCGGGCTATATTTCAGCGGTGAGCTGAAGGAAGTCTTGAAGTGTGGCGCGCCGTATAACTGTGAGGAGAACTCCCAGCTCAGAGCATCATGCGAAAGTGGGAACTCCGTGGCGCAATGGCGCACTACAATAGAATCAGCCAGATAGGTGAAGGGAATAACCTCGGTACGGCGTTGAGGAGTATGGTAGGAGGACAAGATTAGGAGCCAGTGACAATTTTGACGGTCAACTACACGGTCTGACAACGGAATTCGGTCCGTGCGCGATCCTTTCCTTTGACATGTTACCGCGACTTCACCGGACTTGCGAACAAAGCGCAACCTATAAGTCAGTATAGACGTCATAGTATTTTTGTCAGGACAAGGACAAGGACAATTTTCCATGCTCCATATTTGTCATTATTTGCAGCGGCGATCTCCGATCGACCAACCGGACTCCCTGACCAACCAACTTCCCCACACAAATTGCACAAGATTACTAAAAATACCGACCCTTTCAGCTCAAAGTAAGCACTTCCTACTGATCGCCGTTTCTAAAGTTGGTTTTGAGCAAACTGCAGAATGGTTGGCTTTGAGTAAGATTTGTTCTGCACTGAGGGTTGTGCATGAGACAGGACGATTGATACACTGCTAACAGTAACTGTTGTTGTTTCCTCGGATTATCCCAAAGAAAAGGTTCGTGAAATTTTGTACGTCTCTCAGGTGCTTATAATTAGATCAAAGGCCTGCAAAGCTTCAACCTGCTGTGCTAATACGAACACTCATGGCAATGAAGGACTGGCAAAAATCCCACTGCAGCGCCTGAGGCCCGAGGGCCAGAAAGACCTCACTCATGACGGACCCGTCAGATGCAGCAAGAATGCAACCATTGAATACACCTGAATTCATGAAGAAAAGACTGTCTTCCTTCTATGGTCCAGTCCTAGGATCCTTAGGACCTGGGAGGCAAACCAGATTCAAGCCTCAAGGCAACCATTCTGATCAATTCTCGAGAGCTAGAATCTCATTCCATCAGGACAAGTGTGTGCTTGATGTTCGAACGTTGTTGATTTGGGGTTGTTATCTCGAGAATGGCTACGCATCATACTCACGGTCTGCTTGGCACCAGTCAAGATCACAGTCGCTTACCTCTGCTGGGAGTCACACTGCCTTGGGCTGGTACCAATATGACCTTCTCCACGGTCTCCTGCGTTAACGCCTCGATCGATCTTTCTGTGCTTTGATGATGAGTCGCTGAATATCGAATATGTTGGTTCCTGATGGTGTTACCGCCCTGAAGACGACACTGATACCTCTTTCAGCCTGTTTTGTCTGGTAAACAGCCCGAATTCTTGCGAGGGTGTTCCATAGTCTGGCCTAATATCAGGCGTAGTCGATATAATATCGGGGGTGGCTAGCGGGGTAGTCCTAGCTGCCTCATTTCAGCCCTCTGGACAACCTCCGGAAGTGGAAGAGGCCCAGGGCCTCCAAGGGCCCTCAAGGGCCCCGTCCGTAGGTAGAAAATCTATCCAGGGTCCCCTGACAACACCGCCTTTAGTGCCCAGAGCTCTGGTACGACACACAAAAATAAACAAAACCTCCGGGGAAGTGATATCTATCTGATTGCGGTAAGCTATACTCAAGCCCACCGGGAGAGACGAGGTATGCATTTATCTCTCGGTGCCGATTGTGACCTTGTTGAATACTGAATGCATAGGTTTGCATCCTTCAGTGAGCCGGTAGTATGGGTTGTGGGGAAGCTTGGGAGAAATATCACAAAAGCCGTCCTGGTAGCATTGGTAAGTAGTGGTAAGTTTGGTTCGGCTCCGCCTCTCTCCGTCCTAGTGGTGGCCTGTGGCGGCTTGGCGGGAGCACTATAGTGGTAGCTCGCAGATAAAGTAACCTTGGCGATTCTTGTTCGTCGTTATGCCCTAAATGCAAGGCTAGATACACAGGGAGGTTTCGGAGGTCGGGACAGCAAGGAGAACATCTAGTTCCCCCAGATCTGCACGAAGCACAGACATCGATAGCATAATACCCAGAGGCACGTATTACATACCGAAATGCAATTGAACACACTGGCACTGCAGCGTGAACAGCTCTACCAGACTTCCTCATCTGAACGACTCCGCGGGATTGCTCATCAGGGTTGAGGCTAGATGCAGGCTCTGGACACGAACGGAGGGAGGCGTTTGAAACAAAGATCAGGGGCGCCGTACCAAGGGGTAGCACGTTCAGGATTTGCTACCCCACTACATTATGATCTGCCAGGCGGCGCCGGCAAACACAAACGCTTACCCATAGTTTGGTGAAAGCCCTCGCTCTCCACGGTCTTGGTGCTGACCCGGCCCCGAATCGGGTGGGTAAGCTTCACAGCGATGAAAACATATATATACTTACAGAGAAACTCGGACGAAAACATATATATATTTACAGAGGCAACTGTGACAGGGAGGTTCACAGATTTTATTCGGAGAAACCACGGCTTTATGGTGTGGGGAAATAGGGTTTGTCGGAGTCTCTGTGCCCACGTCAGATATACCAATATTAATGCGCAATATGGTGAAGACAGTGGAGGTCAACGTTCTGACGCGGCTATCCAGGATGCGGATATTGCAATGCTGGGCCAGTAATGATAGGGTCATCTGACTCTCGGGTCAAAGCCGATTGCGCACCATTTGGAGTGACAATTGCATCAAATGCAACGTCTTAGTTATCCTACTAGAGCCGCGTACCTACGTAGCACGGCCCACGGGTCCCGCACCGGTGCGGCTAGTACACATTAGTACTTCGGTGTAAATGAAGTTAATTATATTTGGGACTAGTAGAAAACTCACAGATCTAGACTATAGGTAGACAGTGAAGTCCAAACTACGGAAAAAAAGGCGAGTATTGGTGACTATTCCCCATATCGACACTTGCCTGAAGTTGCCTGACCAAGGCCCAGGTATATATCATTGGACAGTGAATCATTGAAGTGCCTTGCGACCTGCGGCCTTGACATTGGCGAGAACAAATGTACCTACTAGTACTAATCTGATTGCGACTGGCACCTGGATATCAAAAAATGATGTCTTGGATCTGAAGGCGCTATTTCAGAATATGGTTGTTCATGACAAAGGTGTGAGCTGATCTTGATAAAACTAAACTTGAATATAAACGTGACTTGTTTATTATACTGAGAATGGTAATTATGTAAAAAGTCACTAACAGTCAGCCTCCTCGGAATGTACGATTATGGACACGGTCTGTCCGATGACCCCATCTAAGCCATGGAGATACGCCTTTCCCCGCGCTTGGGATGTGGGCTTGACTACGTTCCATTGTGAAAGCCGCGCTCCAATGCGGAGCATGAATCAAATGTTGCCTCGCCACCCCTAGATCTTTGCAAGGCCCTTAGATCCGAACGAAGCACTGTCTGTCATCAATCTCATGCGGATTTCCGTTCATTAACAGGCCCACAGTGTGCCTGTTTGCATATAAAAGCATGCTGTCAAATCACTTCACTCTAACAGCCCCAGTCAAGCCTCCTCCAAACAATCAAACACCTCAAAGCTTTCTTCGTTCAACACTTATTCTGAACAATGTCGCCTTTCGTATCCTTGAAGAGACTGTCCATCAGCAGCAAGGTATGTGGCTAACAATTCGCCGAAGTCCGCCCCACCAATGACATTCCGCCCATTTGCCAGCTCTCTCGTCGCAGTAGCTCCCACAGTTCTAAATCCACCCGTGACTCAATTCAGGGACATCCGTCACCCATGGACATCACATACGCTGTCGTACGTTTTTTCAGTCGCTCTACACATATCATTTCTGACGATCCATCAGGCGTTTTCCCCTTCAACACCTTCCTACCCAACTTTCGAGGGGACCCCCGCTGTGGGCAATTATGTGAGTTCTATATCTAGCTCCTTTGCGAAAGAAACTCAATTAACGTTTCATTTGTGTCGCTAGGCTGAAATGCTCGATGACGACAACATGTCATGGGGTGCACGTCCGTCAGGACGCCGGGAAAGATTTCTTTCCTGAGGGAACACGACATTAACTGTCGATGCATACCCAACCCCACCTAACTTATCGGTATCTTATGTACACTAATGATAGGAAAATGATGTACGACCATGTATGACATCGGATGGGCTCCAAATGTGCAGTGGAATACAAAGAATATTTTTATCAATACCACTGGGCAACTGAAATGCGGGACACTTGGCAAAGAATGGCGTTCCGTACGACAAGAACAGGTACAGCAAGATTATCGCTGACATAGGCGTCTAGCATCAGGCAAATCATGAGACACGTCCGCAAACAGATTAGGCTAGTCGATTTGCCGGTGTCTAGACTGGGCCAGTGATTGAACAAGGCTTCTTCTGGCTTATAACGGATAGTTCACTACACCGTAACATACTCTCTTGCTTAACGACCACCGGCCTATAAAACATATCAGCAGCTGGTATGAAATTCGCTGCAAGAGGTTAAAGAATTGATCACGTTCAAAGTAGAGGACACAGGTTCAAGTCTTGTTCTCACAGTTGGATGCTCGAAATATCTTCAGTTCTAGAATGGCTTCGAAACACATACTGTTTCAGTTTAGTCTTCTTCAATTCCGCATGATTCAAACAACCTGGAATCGGGCTGTTTCTTTACTCGATGAGAACGAAGCTTCGTCAGCGCTCGAAATAGTCCAGTGGAGTTTGCACACTGCAGACCACAAATACTTACCACTTTACGAGAATCCTCCGAAGGGGGCAAGTACATGGGATTTTACTGTGCGTCTATATGGTGTCCGAGAGAGCATTGTCAACGTAGCTCGCGACTCCGGGCCATATACACGAACCAGCCATGACTGAGCATATGAGGGGGAAAGACCACATATGGCTAGCACACTCACTGCATGCCGTATGTTCAGATTAGTAAGAGGCACCGAGGGATGAACAAAATATGAGGGCATAGGCAAAACGGTGTGGGACAAAAAGCGGGAATGAGACTGTGGCCTGAGAGGGCGCAATAAATTGCTGTGTACTCACCAGGCTATTCAGGGATACTGAAGGATTCCGTTATTCGGGTCTGCGATGAAATATAAAGGTGATGCCAAGTTCCAAGATGGTGCAGATCAAAAGTCTCTTCATGAACTGAGTTGATAGTGCAACTCACTTGCACTCACGCTCGACGCCATCCCCTCACGTCTCACTTACGCCTCTGTTTGATTCATTGTCAAGTTTTCCCTCTACAACAACTACCATGCAACGCAAAGATGTGCGTAGTAGCCAGCTCGTCGATAGCGGAGTGGCGGCTAATTATCGACAGAATAACGATTTCCACGCCGGCCATGCTGAACATGAAGCGACAATGAAAAAGCCCCACCTCTTCAAAAAAATCATACGAGCCTTCAAGTCATGTTTTGGGCACGGCTTCGATGGTGCCGATGCCGTTTGTCCAAGCCACTGTGTACAGCTAGTGAGCTCACTGACATGGACCATGTTCACAGCCTTCCAGAAGAGACTACACCAGGAGTCAAGATGCTGCCACTGGATTTGAAGGCAGAGATGTCTACGGCGTTCGCTGCATTTCATGACTTATGTGACTTACTTTGACTAACTATTCATTAGCTCCAAGCAGAATATCTTGATGATGATGACATGGCTTGGGGAAGTAGTAGCCGTAAAAAATCGCCCAGACGACAGAAGTCGGGCTAGGCTTGAAAAATCTATAGTCCAAACGGAAGGAAGACGGTCGTTCATTCCTTGTTATGAAGCGGCGAGAGCCTAGAGGCATGGGGTCTGGACATTTAACGGGACATATATTAATGAATATATTCATGACCACTGTAGTATAGTACCACTACGTTACCAATCATGAACGTTTGAGCGTATTCCAAGGGGCGTCGAAGGACTCTGCGCTGGGTATGTATCCGTGAAGGATGTAATTTTTTTGTTAGACCATTTCCCTTCGTACTGAGAACGGATTCGGAATCGAGTGTTTACCTTTATTTTGGTAGGTCACGTGTGTGCTGACAACTGTCCATCATAGAAATTGAATGTTGAGGTTGAGTTGAGGCATTGTTCTTCATATTCAATGCCTTTACCACCCGTCTTTTACCACTACTTCCGCACCCCGCTGCCATATGCGCGAACTCTCCTGCTCCAAGAAAAGATACATCAGCTTCAACATGCTGCTCGTCGTTCATCATCTCATAATGACATCCTGCTTCTACTCGAGCACCGTCCAGTCTACACATCTGGACGCCGGCAAACAGAGCAAGAACTGCACACAGAACGTACACGCCTGACATCAATTGGCGCGGATTTCGCCGTGGCAGCACGCGGTGGACAATTAACATACCACGGACCCGGCCAACTCGTCGGTTATCCACTTCTTGACCTCTCTCGCACATCACCGCCGATCGGCATCCGTGATTACATCTGCAAAATGCAGAAGATGATCCAATCTTACTTGCTGCGTACGCACGGAATTACCCATATACCCTCAGACCACACTGGCGTATTTTTGGACCCTGTAACAAAGATAGCAAGTATCGGCGTCCAAGTACGCCATCGACTCACGACGCACGGATTTGCAATGAACGTCACAAAGGAGCCTTTGGAATGGTTTGGAAGAGTTGTGGCGTGTGGGTTAGCTGACGTTAAGGCTGGGTGTATGGTGGAAGCGAAGGGGAAGAATGTGAGAGTAGAGGATGTGGTGCCAGGTATCGTGGATGAGTTTGGTACCTCATATGGGAGAGATATGGTGAAATTATCTCCTCAGAATGCTGGTGAGCTTGGAGAGGCTATTCTTGCATTAGAGGAGGATGCCCTAGCTGCTGGGGAATGGTTGAGGGCACCTTCCCCGGACTCATAGAAAGGGAAATGCTCATTGCAGGCGACCGGAAACTCTGGTGATCGGTTGCATTCACGGCGCACTTATGTAATTTGTCGATCTGCAGGTGCGTGATAAGCTCTACGCATACTGCTAATTAATTACAAACTGAAAGTATGTTGCGCGTACCCAAGGCTAGAACTTCGCATACAACGTGATACTTGCAGTGCTCGCCTTTATGTTCCAGGAGTGGCTGCTTGGGCGACTATCGCCTCAACATTAAGTTGTCAGGGGGTGCCTGGTGTGGCAAGACACGGTCTCGTATTCCGAGTCCAAAGCCCTGCAGTACTGTGCTGCCGCTCTTCACAACAACTCCAAGCTCCGCCTCGCTGATGGTGATTACGACATGAGCATTCTGAGGCGCATCTTAACAGTATCCAATAACTGGGGCCTCAGGAGGAGCCGTTGTTGAACGTTGAGGTACAAGGATACTTTGTCGCGACTCCATGTATCCAATAAACCTGAGACTCTCGTGCCTGGTCGCTGTCGAGTCAGAAACTGATCAGTGGACATTTCCCGTCTCGAAAAGGAAGGCAGATGATGTCGATGATGAGGTGGAGCTGCAGTGGCAATAACCATCTGGTGCACTCCACAGTAGAGTCTTCGTTGCAGACCTTTATAAACGAATTCAGTCCTCCTACTCTGCAGATTTGTTTCAACGCACTTTCACAGCTATCCTCACCATAGTGAATTTTCCTGCGACAAGGTAGGTCGGTTGAAGAATTCTGTGATTCTCGATAGTAACTTGAGCTGAGTTTACCGTTCCCAAAAATCAGATCAGAAGTAGATTCTCCATGCACGCCTTGATTCTGGGAGCAACAGGCGCAGCAGGTGTCCTTCTCATCCAGGAAGCACTCGCAGCATCGCATACCGTGGTTATATACGCGCGCGCGCCAGAGAAACTCCCTGAGGAAACCAGGAATGATCCCCGCATCACCATCCATAAGGGGGAGCTCGATGACAGAGAGGCGCTTTCATCCGCCATAAAGGGCGTCGACGCTGTCCTCTCTGCCCTTGGGCCATCGGTCTCCCGCGGACCTATGCACCCGAAGGGCACACCTCTTGCGCGGGCATATTCTCTCATCATCGAGCTTATGATAAGCCATGGTGTGCGCCGGCTGCTGGCCCTTGGGACACCAAGCATAACAGACCCAAACGACAAATTCAGTCTGCGGATGTCCATAATAGTCAAAGGTGTGGCCACCCTGGCACGTACAGCATATGAGGATGTTGTAGCCATTGGTGAGACTATTCGGACACAAGGAACTGATCTGAATTGGACGATTGCCCGTGTACCCCTGCTAAGTGGGTCAAACGACAAGAACTTTGTTGCGGGTTATGTGGGAGACGGAAAAACAGGGACATGGTTAACAAGGGCAGGGTTTGCATTATTCGTCGTGCAAGAATTAGAGAACAACGAGTGGGTGAAGAAAGCACCGTTGATCACACTGCCTTGATCCTATAGATCTTCATCTTTTGCATGACCAACGTAGGACTATCCCCATGATCGTGTATGCTGTTAAATCCATCGCCCAGATATAATTTCAAGAACATGCGAATCTCCGCGCGACAATAAAAGCGAAAACAGGGTCATCCTAGGAGGTAAGACGAGCATATTCAAGAAGATCCGCCCAGTTGAACTCCTCGGGTTGTTCGTGGAACTGCCTGAGTAGCTTTTCGGCATCACGACCCTCTTTCTGATTACTATCTTCACTCTCACTGCCCCACAAATAAAACTTTTGCACGCCCATTGCGAGCAGCTGAGCATCGACCTGACTCAGCAGGAAACGAGCGGTTGACGTGTCTTGACCTGGAGTAGCGGCCGCCGTAGCTGCTGATGGTGTGATCTCGCCGCGAAGTAGCACTATTCCGTGTGTCTGGGCGAAGTCGGGGTAGAATGTTAGAATGAGATATGGGGTAGCGAACGACTGCCGAAGCTTGTACTCCTGGAGTGGGGTGAACAAGACCGTCGCCGTCTGAGGTAGGGTAGTTGCGCCACCAGGAGGGGCGCGAGAAAAGAGGTCGGGACCGGTGGCAGATGGAGGCGGTGGGGGAGCGTGAAAATCCCATTGTAGAAAATAGAATTCGTGGGCAACCCCACTTTCTTGACCTTCAGGTGATACAGCTGCAGAGCCCTCCCGAGGGACAGGCATGACAAACATAGGATATCGTTTTCCTATGCTAAGCATTTTGTTATAGAGTTCGACCGGTACCGATGCACACATAAATCCTCTTCCCGTGCCTCCGGTACGAGATGCATGATATGTGGTCCATAAAGCCGAAATTTGCTCCGCGGTGTGAGGTGTTGACATCAGCCTTGGGACATTGATGATCGACTCTAGTGCCTGAAAGCAGGGATCAATCAACCCCACGCAAAAAATCATGACGCTGGTAACTCTCACCTTCACCGGAGAGCTGTCTTTGCGAGGACTTGAAGTTCCTGATACCTTGCTTCGAACCGATCCTGAAGATGACTTGTCCAACCTCTGAGGACGCGCCTGCGAAAGTTGCGCTGACTTCGCATTGGCTACCTCCTTACGACGAGCTTCTTCTTTTGCTTGTGTTCTCAGTTTAGATAATTCCAATCCCTGCCTGATGATGCCAACGAGTGGTGGCAAGCGCGACATTTCCAAAGTCAGAAATTCATATTCAGGTAGACCCGATGGGAGAAGAAAGGAAAAGTTGGATCACTTGTCAGTACATTGTCACAAAATGAGGAAGACACGTCTCACTCTTTTGCTTTTTGTTGAAGCTTCTCTGCATATTTAGATTCATATGGAGGAGTTGACGGTCCTGCATGAATCCATCTAGCCACAGCAAGATACCTGCTAGCTGATCGACGACAAACAATAGCACGAAGGTGCGACGTGGCTGGAGAACTCTGGAGCCATAGCATGGTAGACTGAAATTGGACTGTAAAGTTTTGTGGAATGACGCCCAGCGGCAATTGCCAGATGGGGATTAGGCACAATAGAAATAATAGCTATTGGCAACCACATATGGGACGCGACGGGCGTGCGCATTGTCTGGTAACTGGGCGTTACAGCCACGCTCCATATCTTCTTGTTTTCTTACTATCATTATCTAACGATACCGGCTCATCCACGAAATACCCCACTCATTCAATACACACTAACAGACCAGTACCATGAGCACCTCCCCCACACACAATCGCAAGGGCAATTTCCTCACTCAGCTCTTTGCGCTGCGCCGCAGGAATCAGAACATTCACGTCGAGCCCTACATTCATGATCACTCCGCCGATGCACCACCGCCGCCTCCTCCTCCTCCCCCCAAAGATCACAAGCGGGCACCATCATCTGCGCGACGACCTTTCCTGGGAGATGAATACATTAGCGAAAAGCCCCTCCTATTCAATGTCGATCTCGACGTCCCACCGCAGCCACCGCAACCTGTCTCGCAGCCAATTCCCTTCCTCCAGCAAAGACCACCACGAATCCCAGTCAAGGCAAACTCACCTCCTACTACGCCGTTAACGCCCGAAGAGAAAGCGCGTCGCAGATTGGCTGCGCAACGCCAATCCCAGCTGGAAAAGGAAGCTATGCTTAGGGAAGAACATGAACGCCAAGAGACGAAACGACGTATGAAACTGGAGCAAGAATGCCAGGAGCGTGAAGAAGAAGAGGAACGGAAAGCAGTGTTGCAAGAGGAGCTCCGAGCTGCCGCACTACGAAAAGCGAGACTGGAGAGAGAGGAAAGGGAGATAGAGGAACAGCGATCGCAAGAGCTACGGGAGAGGAAACAGCTAGAGAAAGAGCGGAGGCTGCGATACACGAAGGAAATGGAGCGGTGGCGAGCAGAGCAGGTGCAGCGCGTCGAGTCCCAATGCAGTGAGAAGGAGGAAGAGCGCAGAAGGTCAGCAGAAGGGAGACGTATGAGAATTGCTCGCATGAACGAGGAAGTATTCTCCGCCAGCAGGGCAGACAAGATGAAGGGTTGGGTCACGGTACAACCGCCCAATATGCTGGCGTGGAAGAGGCGATATTTCACATTTGAAATGGGCCACACAGAATCCAAGATGTTGCTATCCAGAAACCCAAAGGTGAGCTTAATCGATTTCCATTTTGCTCAACTCTCATCAATGTCTAGGAGATCGCTACACCCCTGGACGTCCTCCCTCTGGACGGACGCATTGATGCGCTAGCAGAATGGTACGAAGGGTTTGAGGAACTAGAGGCGATTCCACACTCGTTTGCTGTGCGCTTTGTCGATGGCGTCGAATGGCGAATGTTCGCGGATTCAGCAGAAGAAAAGGTACTAATCCACACTATTCGAGCTCGATTTTGACTCACATGATTATTAGGATCGACTGCTGGTGCTGCTAAGCGAGGCGGCGGGCATAATCTTGTGAAGTATCTGTGGAGTTTTTATCTTTTGAGTTACAAGATGCGAGGGAGGACATAAATGTGTATTTCTAGTAGCAGGGCCCTTGTGTAGCCTTTGGTAGTCCTTCAGCTGGATATGGAGGTCAAACGATACATTCAATATGAGCAAGGGCGAGTACGTGCGTCGTGAATCTGTGATAGCGGTTGCCACTAGTAAATTGCACAAATATTACAGACGGCGAGCTTGCAGGGGGTAACCCTCAAGTTGTTGAACCTGTATGCTTCACCAAAATCAAAATGAAAGTTAGGCGATTGCTCGAGGCATTCCAGACCCAGCGATGTTGACAAAGAAACACGAGAGCTCTGGCGTTGAATTTAGCCGTCAAAACATGAGACAATACATACCAACGTAACTCTCCTCAAAGTGACGTTTCATGGTCGACACAAGGCCCCCAACAGCGTGCAGGGATCATATATGGTCAATCGCTCTTGGTACATAAAACGGCGTGTTGAGCAAGCTGCAATACCCGCCAGTACAGCAAAGTAATTGAATCCCCGCGAGCGTCTACCAAATATATCCAAACAGTCACAATATTCATTCCTTTGCAAAGTGCCAGCTAAAAAGCACTTCACGTCCTCGCTAGTGGAATGTTTTCAGTGATCGTGCGTAGCGCAGCTCAACGACGCGCCCTCCCAGCACTCCGTCACTTCTCAACACCGCCTCCATCACCTCCTCAAAACCCGCCTCCTCCACCTTCGACGTCACTCCCAAGCCTTGACTTCCAACCCGCGGAACCAGAACCAGAAAAGACTCAGCGCACTGGTGCAAAATCATCCAAGGACTCGCTCTCGAGTATAGAGCGAAAAAGACGGTTTTTAGGACGTCTATCTCTTGGCGTACTCGCAGTTGCCCTCGGCGTGCAAGTCGTGTATCTCGGTAGAGATTGGGAGGCGGATGAGTTAAAGGCACGCAAACAGGTGCGCCCATAGTTGAAGCCCTCGATCTGCGCTTATTAAGTCCCAAAAAGACGGTGGAGGAGGCTCCTTCGGGAAGGTGGGTACGAACGAAATCGAGGTTTTGGGAGTTGTTCGATGTACGTGACCCAGCTCATCCTATGGAACTCCAGCTCATAGACTTTATTGATCACCTCAACAGTTCTTCAACAAACCCCAATGGCCAGAACTACTCCCGCCGCCTCTCCCAGCTCCCCATCAAAAACCATACACCCTCCTGCTGTCTATGGATGATCTCATTATCACGTCGACTTGGGATGTAGGTTGGTTTCTTCCAGTTAGGAACCTAGCTAATAATATGTCCTCAGCGACAGCAAGGATGGCGGACGGCCAAACGCCCTGGCGTTGATTATTTCCTTGCCTACCTGTCCCAGTTCTATGAAATTGTGATATTTACAACTCAGCACCATTATGTATGTATCCTTCCCATCATGACGAGAGTTGACACTCAAAACCTACAGACCGCTATGCCCATAATTGAGAAACTCGACCCATATAATTTCTTCATCACTTATAAGCTTTTCCGCGAAGCCACACGATCAGTGGACGGTAAAATCGTCAAGGTAACTTTCATCATCTGTTAAACTTCCACTTTACCTCCATCGTTGGCATGTGTTAAACGCTTTCCTTCTCCCAGGACCTCTCGTATCTCAATCGTGATCTCTCAAAAGTTATCCTCCTTGATACGCATCCGGAACATGTAAGCTCGCATCCCGAGAACGCCATCATTATCCCCAAATGGACCGGTGCACCCGGGGACAAGGGTTTGATTGCCATGATCCCCTTCTTGGAATGTAGGTCCCCACCTTTGTCCCGCCTCGACCAATCTTAATCCATTTTTTCGTATAGCCATCGCAATTTACAAGTCCGCAGACGTGCGACCCATCCTCCAAGCGTATGCAGGAAAAGATATCCCTATCGAATACGCGGAGAAGGAAGCAGAGGCAAAGCAACAACATATCGATGAGTGGAAGAGCAAGGCGCGTGGATTATCCAAGGGCGGGTTTACACTGAGCGGCATGTTCGGCGGCCCGAGCGAAGTCAGTTTGTTCTGCTCCTCTTTCCGTGCCACGACTGACTCTAATATTCTACAGATCTCACGCTCACCTATCCCTTTGACATATCTCGAGCAGAAGCGTCTTGAAGCGCAGCGGCAGTACAAAGAGGAGCAGTCATATATCATGACGCACAAGGACGAGTTTGAAAGGCTGTTGGAGGAGGATAGGCAGGCGATGGCGCGGGAGATGAGCGGGAGTTTGTGGGGCGTGTTGGATGCGATGGGAGGGAAGAAGCCGGATGCAGTAGCGAAGGCGGATGCAGCGGTGAAGGCGGATGCGGATGCGGAGGGAAAGAAGGTGGAGGTGCAATAGACGTATTATGGTGCACATAAGTAGACTGGAGTTATTTACATCTAGGCATACATATTTGTTAGTCATTATTGCTCTGCTCTTACATTCCACCTTGGCTTCCTTCAAAATTTCTAGGGTCAAGACTCAAGATCAGAGTGCACCGGCTCTAGGCCCCACTAGGTGGAGACCGGAGACCGCACTATATGTATAGTCGTTCCTTCTTACTAGTAGTTCACGAGTACCTGCCAGTACGTGTTCGGTTTAAAGCTACTTAAAAATTAAACGGTTACAGTGTGTTGCAAATGACTTTAGAATGCACGAGAATTTTTTTGCGAGCTCGGTGTTTGTAAAATAGTTCGTAATAGCCAAATGCGGGACTTTCTGTCACATCAACGACTCGAAAATATTGTCTCCTCCACCTCAGGGTGTATCAATTGCACTCTGACACTCGTATCTTCAATCTGAACTTAACGGCACTCCCTCTGTCAATACTGTCAATACTAAATAATTATAATATATGGCCTTGTCCGCAACGATTTTGTGTAACTCTGGCCATACTCGCGTGATTTTGCAAGACATTGAGCTAGTTTTCTAAGAAAATTCCAACAGTTTTCCATTGTTCATATTCTGGCGCATTCTGAATTGAATTCAGGAGTGATCAGAGATGCTAAATATTAAATATTTTAATCTGTTCGCGCATCACAAGAGTTCGCGCATCGGCTCTAGTCTGAATCTACATACTTAGGGAAAATCACACTTTTCTGCGCGGTAACTCTCCGCTGGACTCAACACGTCAATTTTGAAAGAAAAAACCAGCGGGTCTTGTACTTTCAATATCAGGCTATCTATTCGTCAAGAAATTATATTTTTATGTGGATGTGTTGTAGAGATACAGATGTTTTAAAATGTGCAAACTCTAGTTGATCATCAGATAATCTAGCCTGGCTGGCAGTGGCGCGAAAACCGGAATGATTGACCAAGTGTGACACAAGTCACACGTCAAAACAAAGGAACAAACACAATTTTGAAAACGAGATTCTAAAGTCATTTGCAACACACTGTAACGTGTCCCTTTTTCCGTGCCAACGTCACATGACACAATTCAATGAGCAGCTCGAGTTCCTCCGGAACGAATAATCTTCCATTTGGTCTTCCTCCTGCCAGGAGAGACCAATTTCATCCTAGACAGCAGTCTCCCATCCATCGAGCAGGCGACCGTCTGCGCTGCCACCGTCGAAGATGTCACCCGCATACATTAATCGCGGACTTACCGTCCGCCAAATTATCATGACGGTTAATCTCCAGTCTGAGGCCCAAATAGGCGCTTTCGAGCTTACACTGTGGTCAGGGCTTAGGGCTCAGCAGCCATAGTCTTACCTCAACATCGGCTTGGTCTCCGTTAGTCTCCCGTAGTCAGACCTTGGAGAAGGAAGACTGTTAAGATCGGTTGGATCTAGATTCTGCCAGCTCGCCGCGATGGAAACATCCACGCAATTTCGTTATCAACCTCTACCCACCAGCAGCTCCATCAGGCTCCTCCGAATTCGCGAATTCGTTTCCACCTTAGATTATGACCTTGTCGAGGTCGATCTTGAAACTAACCCTGTTTACGATGCGCTGTCTTATACCTGGCATCTGAAGGAACAATCAAGCACGACATCCGGAGTTGATTCAGAGTGTGGAGGCTCCATCAACTGCAATGGGATGAAGCTTGATGTCACTGCCAACCTTCGAGATGGCTTGCTTCGCCTGGAGCATCTTCGCCAGAACACACTCATCTGGATCGATGCCATCTGCATCAATCAGCAGGATCTAGAAGAGCGCAGCGCTCAGGTCAACATGATGGGCCGCATCTTCCACTCTGCACGCACAGTGGTGGTCTGGCTTGGGGAGCCGAGGAGTGGCCCTAATGTGCAGACTGTCGAAGAGACCATCAAATTCATGGAGAGGCTGCCCCGCATCAAGGAGCGGCAGTCTGAAAGTGTGTCAGACTACGAGGCCACCGCAGTCGCGGCACTGCGTGAGATGGCCCTCACCACCCACACCAGTGACTGGCTTTGCCTCGGTGAATTCTTCTACCGGTCATGGTTTAAACGGTGTTGGATCATCCAAGAAACGGTCCTCGCTAGTATCATCGAGGTCTATTATGGACCAACCTATATCCCCTGGGCACTGCTGCAGAACGCTGCACGGCTCCTCGACGTGGCCCGCCGCCTGTCCTTTTACTCCCAATTGTGGCGGGAGCAAAAGATGGCCATCTTCGGCTCAATCCCCATGATACTACTTGCACGTGAATACTACCACCGCGGCAAGCTCTGGCGGCTTGAGACGCACCTCGCACTCAGTCGCACCTACCAGGTCACCGACCAACGTGACAAGATCTATGCGCTACTTGGTATATCGGATAGGTCGTCGTTGGAGTCACCAGTGGTGGAACTCAGCACGTTCAACGCGGATTACACTAAATCTATTGAGCAAGTCTATACTGAGTGCACCGTACACTTGGTTGAGGGTCAGGCAGGGCTTTCTGTCCTCTCCATGGTGGAAGCCCGCTCATACCCTGCACCTCGCCCCATCCCGTCGTGGGTGCCGGACTTCAGCGTTCCACCAAACCCCCCACCACTCGCAATCCACGGAGAGTGTCCCTTCTCCGCGGGTGGTTCAGCTGGTCCCAGACCTACTGTCTCCCCTGACAGGAAAGAACTGCACCTCCCTGCCGCTGTACGACTGGGCCGCATTTCCCGCACGTCGGAGACTGGGGAAGAGATATATTCCCTTGAGCGCATGACACATTTCTTCCGCCTGCTTGCTGATCCAGCCCTGCGTCTCGCCAAACCTGCGACCCCAGCAGCAGCAGAGGCCCTATGGCGCACCCTCATCGGCGACCTCGCTGAGGATCAGCACCCCGCGCCTGCCTCCCTTGGTGTATCATTTAACCAATGGGTCACCTACCTCGTCATCCGCGCTCTCGACACTGCTTCCCACGCTTCTACCCATGCCGCTGATCATTTCCCAGATGGAGAGTCTCCACCTGAGCCCATCCCTATCTTCAACTCTTCTGTGCGTGATCTTATGTTGACTGGCGCGCACGCTACAGCCCTGAGGTCTGCTCCACCAGAATATCGTTACTCCGACGTTCATGCTGCAGTGGACGACTTCATTGCAGCATGGGATGGGGCAATACCTTTACGGGAGCTTCTGGACGCGACGAGGGCGGCTGTGGCGGCAGGAGACAGGGCCCGGCTGGAGGTGACGCGCAGGTTTGCGGGAACGTTCTTGCGAATGTGTTCTGCCAGGCGTGTGTTCAGCACAGAGCAGGGGGGCCTGGGAATTGCACATCAAGGTGCGAGGGTTGGGGATGAAGTGGTGATAGTGCCTGGAGCAGCTGTGCCGTTTGTGGTGAGGGAGATTGAGAGCGGGGTGTATGTCCTGATTGGGGAAGCATTCGTGCATGGAGTCATGGACGGGGAGGCGCTAGAGGGGAAGGATCCATTGGATTTGAAGGGTCTGCGCGTGGTGTGAGGACTGACCTTTGCATGCCATTTATAGTCTTGTTGGAGACTTTGCATCACAGCGATAATGATGGATAAGTATTGGGAAATCAGTGTCATGATCTTTCTGGTATCACTAGAGATTATTGAGGTTGTGCTGGAGAATTTGGATGCATGGGTTTGTTGATGCGGTGATCCCCCACTACGGGACATTGTACATTCACTGCTCAGATAGATCGTAGCTAGCCGCCCTACGTACGAAGATATTCAAATCATGTGAGGCAAGGATGTGACGGACTAGACAGCTAGCCAATATGTAAATCGGCTTTGCTGTCCCGTGGGGAAGATGGAGATCCGTACTAGTCTGGTGACCAGCCCATCTGCCCTAGCGAGAAACAGGCATGGCAACCAAGGGCAACCACAGGATATTGTTTCCCTATATTGTTATGGATTTTGTTACAAGTCGGTACGCGCGGATCCATGCACATATAAATGCCCGTCCCGACTCCCGTGCACGTGTTGATCGATATCAATCAATAGCTCCTGTGCGAGGAGCGGCGTCCGTAAGGCCGAAATTTGCTCTGCTGTAGCATGAGACATTGTAACCTAGCACCGTATTTTTCGCGTTTGTGCTGTGTATTGAGGTGACCAGGGTTGAAACTGTGATTGTTGTGCTGTGATCAAAACGTGCCGCTGTGATTTACTTATGTAAGCCTTGTAAGGTGTACCGTTCTTAGTTGGTCTATTTAGACTGTCTCCGCTTCGTCGACTCGGAGTTACTTCACTTCAAACGATTCCTTCCAGTACCGTGATGCCAACGAATGGTAACAACAGCAATATTCCCCATTTATTCATGCCCAGGCAGTGGACCCCAAGGGGAAAACAAGAAGGCAAAGTTGGACCACCGGTCGGTACATTCTAAATCCAAGTTGTCGGGCAAAAGAAGACAACTAATCTCACCTTTTACTGAAGCTCTTCTACATACCTAAGCATTCGTACGGAAGAGCTTATGCGTTCGTATGGGCCCGTCGGACCACAAGACTGCATCTGATATTTGCTTTATAAGTGATTAACGACCAATAATAGCACGAAAATATGAGCTGGCCGGAGAACTCTCGAGAACTCGAACCACAACCGTATCACTTTGTGACGTGATTGGAAGTTTTATGATGGAACGAAACGGAACTCCAATCTAAATTTTCCGCCCTGTCACGATGACCTGGATGCTTATTCACGAAGATGATCTGGTTTCCCTATGTGTTACTCCCTTGCTGGTAACAAACGAAAGCCCAAGACTACGGTAAATACTTCCGCTCACATGGTCATGCGAGCTGATTTAGATGTACATCATGTAGGTCTGTTATAAGGTCGATCCCAATCGGAATCCTCTATAGATACTGTGAAGCTTGACCATGCGTACGTCTCTGGGCTTTTGGGCCAGGCGAGCATGCAAACATTGCTCTACTCTCTCTCGAATTGTATTGATGAATATAACCTACTAATGTAGCCTCATTAGCCTCATTGCACTGTTCTGTCCCCTGCCACATGCATGCCACGACACCGTTCTGTATACTGCGGATTGCAACCGCGTTGTGACACGTCCACCCGTTGCCTCCGGCACTGGCATGCCGCGGCCTGGTACGAGCAGACGCGATCATAATTCACCAGAAGCGACCTGCCACGTCGGATTTCAATAGCCCATCCCCGCATTCCCTTGGCTGGAGATCGTCGTGACCACTGCTGCTCACACGCTGCGTCATCTGTTGATTTTTCATCGGCAATGAGTTTGGACTATATTGTGCCTGCGAGATTACCTCTGAGACTATAAATTATAATTCAACAGCCAGTTCTTGGGTTGTGGAGGCATCCCCTCTCGTGGCTCTCTAGACATTCAACGCTAAGCATATACGGTCACCAGACTTAGTATTCAACGTGATGGTACTAACGAGCATCATCAAAGTGTCAAATGCTATTTTGAAAAAGAGTGCGTCCACACACCGCCTACCATCCATCAGAGACGCTGATGTAGAACTCGTTTTCTTGTGCTAAAGGGGAGGGTCACTCTGAGTGAGGCAATAGCATTTTTACCAACAGGTCTTCGAACCAAATATTCTCTCGTATCTTACAGGTTCGACGGTGGAGATGTCTCTTTCATTATTGTGGCAGCTGCCATGGTATCTTTCATGATGCCTGGTCTCGGTTCGCATTTTTCTCTTGCCTTTGATTATATCTACTCACTCACGCTCACATTATATTCAGCTTTCCTGTATTCTGGTTTGTCCAGAAGAAAGTCCGCATTGTCGCTCATCTGGGCAGTTTCTGCCGGCAATGCAGTCTGTATCTTTCAGTGGTACTTCTGGGGCTACTCCTTGGCGTTTTCGCCAACTGCAACCAACGGATTCATGGGCAACCTTGCGAACTTTGGCTTGATAAATGTCCTTGACCAACCTTCCCCGGGCTCCCCTCTTATTCCTGCGCTATTGTACTCATTGTACCAGATGGAATTCGCATGTGTCACAGTAGGAATACTGGTGGGCGGGATCTCCGAGCGAGGCCGGATGCTCCCAGCTATGGTCATCACATTCTTTTGGATGACATTAGTATATTGTCCCCTTGCTTGCTGGGCGTGGAACATAAATGGCTGGGGTTACAAATTCGGCGTGCTTGATTTTGCAGGTCAGTCAGTCCTTCCCCACCGCCGTCCGGATTTTCTAACATTCTGTGATCTACAAGGTGGAGGTCCCGTGGAAATCGGAAGTGGGGTAGGAGGTCTTGCATATGCCTGGGTGCTTGGCCGCAGACAGGACAAGGAGCTCCAGAACTTCAGACCACACAATGTGTCCATGGTCAACCTGGGCACCTTTATTCTCTGGTTTGGCTGGCTAGGTTTCAATGGTGGCAGTGCTTTTGGTGCAAATTTGCGCGCCGTCATGGCAATGTGGAACTCAATGCTTGCTGCTGCGTTTGGTGGTATCGTTTGGTGCCTCATCGACTACCGCCTAGAACGCAAGTACAGTATGGTCGGATTTTGCTCTGGGACCATTGCTGGTCTCGTCGCAGCCACGCCTGCTTCCGGATACATCAAGCCTTGGGCGGCAGTCGTTATGGGAATTTTCACCGGCGCTGCATGTAACTACGGAACTAAAGGTGAGACAGTTGAATCACTCAGGAGTGCAGATGTTGACGCAACCCATAGTCAAATTCCTTCTCGGCATAGATGATTCACTTGATCTCTTTGCCGAGCACGCTATCGGCGGGATCATAGGTCTCATGACGAACGCATTTTTCGCCACCAATGCCGTCATCGCCCTAGACGGCGTCAACACGACTGTCCTTGGTGGCTGGGTCGACCAGAATTGGAAACAATTGTACATTCAGTTCGCCTATGTCCTCGCGACATGCGCGTATACGTTCGTTGTTACTGCTCTGATCGTTCACTATGTCGACACAATCCCTGGCCTCCACATACGCATAGCGGCTGGGACTGAGACACTCGGTCTTGACGAGCTCGAGGTAGGCATAGATATACTCTTCAATGTTCCCTCAGTCTAACAAGAGAGCGCAGATCGGTGAATTCGCAAACGACTACATCGAAGTATGGCGTGACGTCATGGAGCCGCCCGTGATGCATATGGCTCGCCCAGATCCACGTGAATCAACGCTCGATACGATAGCTTGTGCTGTCGGACGCGGCCAATCAACCATTTCGGGCGAATTTCCATCACGTGAATCGCACGTCGTTCATGATCATGACATAAATCCGGATGAGAAGGCTGTCGAGTTGGAAGTACTGGGACGAGGTCAGGCCAGAATCTCTATAATTGCATGAGGGCATGGGCTTGGTCTTGGGTCATTCACTGGATGAATACGTCCCTGATCTGCCTTTGCCTATCACGAATATTCTTGCGTGCACTTTATGTGCACTCGTTTTATCTTTTTTTGATGCCGTTCATTGGGGTCGTTGACCTTATATCTATCATGACTCACGTTACTTCCACGTCGCCTTACACGTTGTACACAAATTACTTACCAATAATACTGTTTCTATTAAACACACGACTTGTCAGCCTGAGACTCTCAGGTTGATCCACCGAAGGTTCAAATACATACAAAATAGCCCTGGACACATTGCCAGCGATTTGCAGGTGGTGGGCGACATGAACAGCCCGTCAAAGCCCAGCAAGAAGGAGTACTTGTATGTTTAATTGGCGTTGTCGATACTCGCATGCTTTGATTGGAAGTTAACGTGTAAATCGACGAGCTATGCGTTGACCACAACTTGCGGCCCCGAATATTTTTTTCTGCAAGAGACTTCAAATGACAGAGCGGTCAATCGCCTCTACAACCTGCTGCAACGCAGTGGCTGCAGATTTAACTCACGGGCAAGAACTACTTACCATCCGGACTAGTTGGCTTCCCGCCCAAGAGCCGTTTGATTGTCATAAAACAAAGAAAGCAAGAAAGCCGCCCTTTCAACTCGAAACTTGACATTGATATTCGCATAGTCACCACCAGCCTCCAGATAGATGGAGAGCTCGAAGTCATACCAAGAGTTGGAGTTGTCCATCCCTCTGTAGGGCATTTGGTGTTTGTTCCAGAGGCGTCTTAATCGAGACGCAGCGATGCGGACAAAGAATCACGTACTTTTACATCGAGTTGATTTGGCCACATCAGCTCTTGAACGAATCAAGCAAGTAAAGAGGAACGAGACAAACGAAGAATTTAAAGGAGAAGACAAGTGGACATCTCGACCAAACAAATACCAAAATATTGATAAACATCTTCTTCCACACCGGGTTACTTCACATTAATGTTACCTCCTGTATGATCGTGGGCTATGCAAACCCAGGAATTGAAGGTCATTAATGTTGTAAATCTCCACAGAAACGGTAGCTTCAAGCTTCCTACACTGTGTTGCTAGCGATCTGGGTCAACAAGATAGCCATCATCCCAATCACGTCCCTTGCGCAATAGTCGCTATCTTCCACTCACTTGGCTACGGCACTCCCACAAGAAGAGGGAGTATCAAATAAATGCGTAGTGTACAATTCCCCATAAATCTATTATGCAACAAGCTATGTACGTCAGCTAGCAGTCTCCACAATACCAATTGATAGCAATGTGGACATATCCCATCATGGTAGCATATACATCAGCGCTTGGGTGCTCTAGCAGTCCCATCCGAGCACAAAGTCGGCTGGCGCCGCGATTTGGGTTGCGTTCTCGGTCTCTGAGAGGAGAGAGCCACAGATACCGGTTCCAAATTCTTCGTGCAAGAGCAAATCGACAATGTTACGCGACGCTATGGTCTCGGTTTCCATGGTTGAGATGAACCTAGGCCGAGGTCGACGTCAGTAGGAAAGCAAAAAGAAACAGCGTCATTCTACACGTACGGCTCAAACGCATTCACGTAGTAAAAGCCTTGATCGAGCTTGACAGGAGGAAACTCCGTTGTAGGAAGCAACACAGGGTATGCCTGCCACTGATCACGTCGTAAGTATCAATGGTTGCTCGTGTGAACAGTAATGATTTACCAATTTCCTATACACCCAACCGACATTGCCAAACACTTTCTCGAGCCATTCATCGGAGACACGCTCTTTGGAGAAAATTTTCACGGTCCACTCAGGGTCTGTTACTGCGTCTCCTTCCGCTCCTTCCATCTTACGAACCTTTCCATGATATGAAATTGAATTAAACTCAGGCTCCACCCCGCCCGCTCGAGCACCCTCGTAGGTGGATAGAATTGTTGCTGGCACCTGAGCATCGGATGCGAGGCCAAAGTACTCCGGTCTGGGATGTTCGGAACGTGTTGTCAGATACGTAACGTGCAAAGGAACATATGGCTGCGGGGGAATGAGTTCAGCCAGGTCAGACGGTAAAATAATGTCGGTCTGGTGGAAAGGTGCAGCGAGGACAACTCCTTTGTATGTCTGGGAACCAGCCGATGTGTGGACAGTCCACAAAGAACTGCCAGATTTCCGTCTGATCTCCTTGACCTGGAATATTGTCAGTCATCAAACACAAATCTAGGAAAAAGAGATCCAAACATTAGTATTCAGAAAGACCTTTGCTGTTGAATTCTCGAGAAATTTCTCAAATAAGAGGAAGTTTCCTGCAGCAACACCAGATGCACCACTTGCTGCCATCGAAATTGCGCCTCCGAGTGCGTGAATCTTGTCCACGTTCTGATGTGACGTCAGTTGGCTAATAAGTCGATAAACTATTCGGAAAGTGGGACGCACCTGGCCGTAGTTGACGCGCGTCGCTGCCTCAACAAGCTCTCGTGCGAAGAGCGGGGCAACGCCATTGCCTTCCAAAAAGTCTGAGGCGGTTTGGTTAGTCATGGATACCGATTGCAACCTCTCTGAAAGCGCTGATATATCATCCCAGCGAGGAGAGTCGGGGGTGTACAAGCCGAGGAACCGGTCAATCATTGACTGGACACTGTATTCTTAATGAGTCTCGCGACTAATAATGAACGAGCGAAAGAAAGCTTACATGGCTTTTGTTCTAGTGGGAGCGGTGTAGCCATACCTCCATAAGACCTTCAAGGTTGCCCACCAGCTTTTCACATAGCTGCCGCTTTCGATCTTCGATTTCGCATAAAGTTTTGTGGGCAATCGTACATGAAAAATAGCTCACCACAAGCACGAAGTTCTGGCCATCCCATATACCAGTGTCGGAATTATCATCTTCGAAGGTTGTCAGAGTCAAGTTGAATTCCTTGGAAGCTCTCATGAGATTCTTGTTCGCGTCAACAAATATAGAAGCTCCTAGTTCCAACGGAGCTAAGGTAGTATCATTGTAAGGATATACTACAGTGCTGCCTGGGGGTGGGATAAGCGCTGTTCGCGGGACGAGAAGGTAGAACTTACGACCGCCGACATAATCTGAACGCTCATAGACATCAATTTCAACGTCGATTCCAAATTTCTCCTTCGCTTTAGAAATCCAGAATGCAGCTGAGGAGCCTCCCGCGCCTGCGCCAATGATGGCTATTCTTGGAGATGCGTGAGCCTCTTCTATGAGAGCCGAGTCTTTTGATTTGAATATAGGAATGTTAAAGGGAAATTGGAAAGCAAAGCTGGAGCCGACCAACAGCGAGTATATGAGGAGACGGTGCATGATCGTGACTTAAGTAGGTAGAACAACACAACAAAGTACACTGTGACTGAGGTCCTCACAAATATGTACAAACACAGCAAAGTTTAATACGCTTATTTCATTCACTTTTAAGATCAAGCCTGGCCATGGCCAATTCGTATAAGTTTGTACTGATTGTTCGGTTAGTTACGACTACGTATACGACACGGTGTAGGGGACAAATGAGCGTACTTACCGTAGTACTCATTCTGAAATTCAGAGTCGCGGAGTTGGAACTTGTCCAAAAGCGGATTCTTACTTGAACGAGGACAGCTTGGCTGTACGCTGCCATCATGCTTGGCTTGAGAATCATCGAAAAGTGGAAGTCATGACTCACCCGGGCCGAAACACCCCACACAATAGTAAGAACCGTAAACCTTCCCACTCACACCTCAATCCCTCTCGACAATGTCACCAACAACGCTGAACTCAGTTCTCCCAATACCGTCAGAGATAACAGAACAGGCTCTTACACTTTGCCACCCTCGAGACGTCGCTTCCTTCTCCCAGACCTGCCGCAAAGCACGTCGTCTAGTTTATGGCACCCCAGATCAGTATCTTTGGCGCCAATTATTCCTGCTCTTTCCCTTCGATGACCCTCGGCAGATCCCATCCCCATTTCTGGAACATGATCAATTCAACTGGAGGAAGGAGCTACATCGCCGAATGGAGGCACAATTAATCGCCTCTCGCACAAGTTCAACACTTGAAGACCTCTTGAGAGCCATCGAAACTTTTATTTCAGTCGTACACAGTGCAGCTCCCGTCACATGGGGACATGAACGCGTTTCATCCCCCAATTTATTGTGGGTCGTTGACGTCTTACAATCCACAAACATGCTTCGCTCTCCATTACTCTTCTCACAAGAGGGTAACCAATCCCTAGCTCGCCTCCGAGCATACCTTGCACTGACATTGGATGAGTACGATGATGACGATGACGAAGGGAAGGAAAGGTTGAAATCGATACGCACCAGGAGTCGCTGTCAGGTTTATGACCTACGCAATTACCATCAAGACAACGACTGGGGCCCATTCAACATCAGATCAGGAAAAGTCGATTGGACTCACATAGAGTCAATCATCAACGTTGTCTCCATGAACCTTGATGATCGTCCGTATGATTGGCCGGATACAAGACCGCGTTATGGGCTCGAAGCTACTCGAGCATATTCAGCACCCGGCACCACAGCACCAGCAACACGTGATTGGGCTGGTGTTGAAGGTCACTGGAGGAGATACGTCTGCTTCATGGATTATCGGTATGACTTTTGTCTACCCTACCAACCGCCCAGCACTCAAGTATCCTACCAGAGACCTGTTCGGTGAGCATACTTGTAAAACGAGTTCTTACATTTATTCATACGTTCATCAGCATTCAATGTACTTATTTCCTTTGTGAGACTTACCAGATATTCAATATCCTACAGTTTGGAAACAGAGGACGCGGACAACAAGATAGCACCTACTTTGACAGTCCAAATTTTGAAGAGGCGGCGCGCCTTATTGAGCTCAAGCTGGTGCTTATAGACGATCAAGCGATACCTGAGGTCTACACGCTTGACCGCTTCCCTGATTCCCCGTACAAGCACTACCCGACCTTGTATTTCACTGGATCATCTTGGGGTATACAGGGTAATGAGGCGACTGTCGTTGGCTCCGTAACCATGTCGGAAGGCGGTGTAGTACGATGGCGATTTGTGAGCCCTGTTATTATTGTTCATTCCACAAGATACCAAACCGAAATGAATTGAGTTACCCCAGGCATCTATATCCAATGCGCAGATTCAATGGAGGTAAGTTATGAGGTGTCGAAGTGTCCAGATGCTTATAATACATATTATTCAGTTCTGAAGGGGTACAAATTGGCGGCGTCGCCAGTGCGTTTGGAGTAATAGGAACATGGACAGGGTTTAATCATGGTCATGGTAAGTACATTACTTGTCTTTTAATCTGATGCTGTACAAGTTCTGCTTTCACAGGTGATCCCGTTGGTATGTGATATATTTCCATTGATACCCTCATACTCATAAGTCTGACCAACTCTTCCGCATCACAGGTCCTTTTTGGCTTTATAAAGTAGAGGATGATCATCCCAGTTATATGCGAGCTCTCATGAACATTTCAGTCAATGCTGGAACCATGTTATGATCTGACACATACTATTTTCTTGCGGACAAGTTGTTTTGAATATTTGCTTTCGTTTGTATATACCCCCATAGAACGTTATCGTCGTACCCTGCTGTGAAGGCTCTCATCCAATCATGGTTGCTTATGTAATCCAATGCTTAAGTTTCTTGCGGAAGCAATTCTTTTTTCTTAACAACCTTCATCCAGCTTTGCACTTGCAGAGTAACTCATAGCCAGCCCGCCTTGGCTTTGGGTATTCGGGTGAACGGGAGAAGAAAGGTATCTTAGGAGTTCAATTAAGCCGGAGCGCCTCCCAGACTCTGTGCCACTGCCTTTCGAGGCAGCTTGGGAGGTGCTTGACTATGCAGCTCTGACATCTTCGAGTGTAACTACTAGCTTGAATCTAGAATCACTTCTTTCAATCATTTCAAAGGCCTGACTGTACTCTGGAACGACTCGGATCGCTGGTCAAGGTATGTTACTACAACCTGACCCGTTTCCTGTACATCCTGTCGGTCCTCAACAACACATGTTTGGAGCTAGGACTCCTTGGATTCTTCTGACTTGTACGGCGTGCACGATCGACTAGGAATAACCAAAAACAACATATTTGCGTCGCCAGTTGTCGGGTCGTCTGCCTTTAAAATCACGATGATTTGATTCACATGCGAGGTGCGCATGTGCTGTGACCGTGAATTTCCTCGTTCGAAATGCCTTTGAACACCTCGTCGTCCACAAGTGTAAACGTACTCGGGTTTGAGAGGCCAGGGCATACTGGGAAACTGAGAACTACAGAGGGTATAGACAGACTTCAAGTCGAGAATCTGAATACTTGTGCGTCGGGCCTGATATGATATTTTGGATCAAAACCGGTGATTCTACAGAGAGAATACATGCCGTCTTTAAAACGAACGAAAAATCCAAGGGGAAGGTAATGGTACGAGACCAAGATTGAAGCAATGACTGATAGGACGTACTCTACGTGAGACGGGACGATGTGAATGAGTGAAGTAAAAAAATGAAGCATGGCGTGAAGTCCAAGCTGAGTCCAAGTCCGAGCACACAAATACAAAGGGGTGTATCGCGCCTCGGATGTGTGCGAAGAGTGAGATTTCACTTTGCATCGGTGGGGCACAAGGACGACCTGCACCTGGTTCTGAAGTTTTACTGCCCTCAGTCGGATCCGTAATTGGGCACGACCCTAATACACCGGGACTTCGATGATCAAGTCTTTTGCAAGGGAAACTCGTTTTCATTCAAGCCTAGGGATTTGTAATCGTCATTGAGAGGGAGCACAAGGGCTTCAACGATGTAGATGATCACAATCGCATACTCCGCGAGCATGACCATTACGAGGTAGATTTCCCATTCTCCCGTGACCAAGTTGAACTCTGCTAGGTCGCCAGTATTGGGTTCGCAGGATGAGTTTGTCGAAACGGTAAACGTGCTCGTAGAGATCGCGGACAGGACGCCGTACACCGTTCGAACGGCCAGGAATAGAAGTGTGATGGAGACTGCCTTCGGAAACTGAAGATAGGGCGTGAAAATATTAGTCGGATGTATGGCGTTGCTCCTGAAAGCTCACCCGCTTGCGGTACTTCATGACAAGGCGGACTTTGGTCCATAGAAAGATCCAAATGCCGACAAGGGCAATACATAGGACGGAAAAAATGAGGAAACCTGCTTTACGCATGGTGTTCGCACTTGAGCTGGAATGTGACGCATTGAGGATACCAATGACAGTCAGGAGTACGCCAGCCGTGTTGTAGAGTTGAAGAAAGAGGAATATTGTGTTGTCTGTTGGTTCGCCATCAGGCCCCTCGGATCTATGATAATGTCAGTTCATTCCATCAGAAAAAAGCGACATGACGACAAACATTGAGCGCAACAGACCCAGCGTGCAAAGCAACAGTGGAGATAGGGCAATTACTTCTAGAATGTAACCAGTGGCGTACAACCCAGTGTTCACGGGCTTAACAACCTTCGCTGCGACAAGGAAAGAACCGGCCAATACTCGCGCTACATGCATAACAGACTTAACGCTATGACTTGAATATCAAACGACTTACCGATGCAGAATACCAGCAACAAGGTCCACCCACCTCGCCATATGCCGTACTTGTGCGCCGCCTTGAACGAAGTAAACAGGAAGGGTATATACATCACAATAGTCACTGCTGCAAGGATTCCCTGAGTGCTGAGAGCCATGATTCCTCAAAAATGTCGAGGAAGGAAGAAGTATGAATGAAACTGAGGGAAGGGATGCGACGGTTGCATTTTATATGAACTTTGCCGGTGAACGAGAGGCAGTGAAGGCCGCTTTGTCGCGTCGGCATCACCAGAACAAACTCTTCTGAATCTGCTTTGAAAATGGCGAGATGCTGTAACTGGGAACTCACACTGGATGTAGAATCTAGATGGTACCGTACGGCTATGGGTGAAACTGCGGGTTTGCCGACGTGTTTCAAGCTGTCGTAGGACCCACTGTAGGTCTATGGTAGTATTGTACGGACCTCCTTGAAACACATCGGCAAAAACACCCGTAGGACTCTTAGTAGGCATACCTGCGCAACTGGCTGCACCATATGGTATGGTCCTCGACAATCACCGACCTGTGTATTGACGCTTATTATATAAACTGCTCGGGGATGCTAGAAATGTGTCGTAGTTCTTGCCGACCTGCCAGTGTGGTCGTGCGTGATGCAAAGAAAGAACGCAGTACGCGTTGGCGGAAAAATTGAAATTCCACAACATGAACGTCGTGCTCACTCTCCTTAGTACATATTACACAGATAGCGGTGCCAGTGAAGACAGGCGAATTCGAAGACTCACATGCACAGTCTGAGATCTGCATGCTTGCGGACTTCTGTGATGCTTCAAGGAATCAAACTGTTTACAGCAAGTTTATGACAGCCTCTCGTTCGACATTGGCGCGTCAAGAAATCACCGAGGAGATGGTTTTCCTAGATGTACTGTGCGTTACGCTCTATTCGTGACGCTCTGCGTTTGCGGCCTGTGGCTGGCCGGAGGGTCTAGACGAGTCGGTGACGGATGACGTCCGCTATTTCGTGAGTCACACTCATGTCACGAATAGTAACGGACAGTCACACTGTACTCGGATTGCTGCAATGAAACGCTGTTAAATTCAATGTCCGACGTCGGCAGCCACCGCAGGTGACACCGAATCGTGATTTTTGCTGCTGTCACGCTAAAAACACGATCTTCACAATTTCTGAACAGATTTGTTTCGTTTCACTTGGAATATGCTAGTATAGTATGTAGAATATACTCATGGTGAAGTAGCTAAGTAATTAATTTTAAAATTGAGTGTTGCAGACAAAATCATGAAATAGTGGACCGTCACGAATAGAGCATAACACATAGTAATTTGTAAGGTCAAATCAGAAATTACGAGATTATATGCAAAGACAAGGGTAGATAAAGTGATGTATCGATGATGTGGTGCAGTGGTGGTTCGAATGGTCACACACCCAGGTGGTTTGCTGCCAGTACACAGCATGGCTGGCTGACCAAGTATATAGGCCAGTACATCACGCCATACTACAATAGAATGTCCTCCGAGTCAAAGCATCATGAATATGGGAGAGATTGAGTTCATAGAATGTCCTTCAAGTCAAAGCATCATGAATATGGGAGAGATTGAGCTTACTGGAAGTATCCGCGCCATAATTCTAGACCTCCACCTAGGCCTTGCATGTTACTGGCACCATCTCTGGTGAAGATTGAATGTCGTTCTGAGTTCAGATGGTTGTTCTCTCTGGATGTTTTTGAGTGTCGTTCGGATGGTTGTTGTCTGTGTGAGTGTTGCCGCCTAAGTATTAAAAGTGTGACGCACAAGTTGGGTGCTTCAGCTTATAATATCGGAGGCAGAGGTGGTGGGACTTTTGATTGGCAGAATGACTTGGAGTCATAGTAATGGCATGAGAAGGAGTAGGAGGCACTAGTATTCAAAATTAAAGAAGAGCATAGGTGAAGAGAATGAGAATAAAGGCTATGAGAGAGCTAAGCTAAGCTAAGGGTAGTCACAGGCAGCAGCCACATCAGGTAACCGACGCGAAAATGATAAAGTCATAGAATGCTTTATCTGATCTGCAATATGTACAATAAATATCATAATTGTACTTCACATTACAAAGCTTTGAATACCCGGACTACGTGGGATGGAAACGGCCAAATGTACAATGTTGATAGTATTATTGCAAGTACCTGCTAGCTTGTCATCAAGATGATATATTTTATAATATCTGCCAGCTGCTGCGAAGTTGATGAGAGCCTCCATGGTTTATAACTTGAGTAATAATGCCGGTACACTTGTAATCCACTACAATTTTGCCCTGTCCTGGTCATGGCATGTAACCTTTGACAGGGTTCTCTTCCTTCACAATATCTGGACAAATGCCAATATGATATCAAGGTTTATATGGCCGGACTATTCTGGATCGCCACCACCAACGGGTAAAAGGTGTGGGAACACTGTAGTGCGGTATCATAATATATCGAGATGGTTGTCATATGCAAGTCGTGCTTCCTGTTGCAGACTCGGCAAGAGCTCTCTCGTTGCTGATATTAGATATGTGATTGTGATGCTAGATTGTGTTCCCAGATTTGTTAGGTACACAATGTAAGCAATGAACGACAGTGAACTATCATCCTGCCCAACTCTGATGAGATATGATCATGGTATGCAAGTGAAGGTTGTCATTTTATTCCGCAGCAACTCTCTCAGAACGTCGTCGTTCTTTACAGTATTCCAAGGCTAGACTACAAAGGACCAGGGCTAACTTTGATTCAAGGTCGCGGAGCAATAACAATGCATTAACTTTCACCAGCTGGCCGCTGAGGAATGATCATCACATTCCAATTCAGCTGGTTATTTTAATTTCCCCAAGGCTCGAACGGAAAGTTAGCTGTAGATATAGTCTCTTAGGGCCTGCTCGCATAGATCAATTTGGCGTAGGAGAACATTGTGCTGCACAGTGACAACAAGTTGTCATCCGACAGCTGAATTTCAATTATTTTATCTTGAGTTGTCTTGAAAGTGAACCATTCGCGTTCGGAGTAATGTGTAGGCTTGTCTTATGGTCAATCCAGTGCTAGCTTTGTTGCGAGAGTACTAATATGAAATTGCAAATGTATTTATTACACGAAAAAAAAACTCGAATGAGGACTACGAAGAGTTTAAATCTGCAGCCTGTTTGACTGCAAGGCGTTTGAGTCGAATCTTTGCCAAGGCGCTGTTGGCGCTGATAGGTCGCTTGGCAGCAGATGAAGTAGGAAAAACTTGACTGGGGAAACGACAACATGAGTCCCAGCAAAATGGCAAAGAGTGAGAAGAATACTGATTCCACCACGTCAGCAGCTCGTCGACTTCATTACATTCATCAGGGTCCTCGAAGAGGTCGAGGAGACTGTGGTAGAACGTCTCTGAGTCTGTCGTCGTGTCGGTCCGTGAAAACACTGAAGAGGAACTTAGAGCGAATCGGACCTACAGTCATGTGTCAGAACAGTTCAACTTCAGAAGTGTGCGAAGGCCAACCTGTGTTGCAATGTAAGATATAGAAGCGATAGTGACAGCATTCATGCCATGGAGGCGAGCATTTCCAGATCGCGTAGCTTTCGGTTCTTTGTCAACAGAACTCGGGGATGTAAAAACGTGCTTGTAAGCCTAGTGAAGAAAGGACGGAGTTAGGAACAACATAGAATAGGTGTGCCTACTCACAGATACGAGTAAGCGATTCCTAAGAAGACCACACCACGGGTCATCAGCGTCGTAAGTATGGTTGGCGTACAAAAATACGGGCCATTGATCTCCGCATACCGACATTTCTCCACTTCGGAGGTTCTCTCTCGTCCTGCAAACAGTGAAGTGAAAAATGATTGGTGACTGCAGACGCCAGTAAACCAAAACATACTCTGGGTCTTTCCAATCCAACCCTGCGGGACAAAGCAGTGATCCGGTAAGCTCATGATTGAATCCGCGGTCGATCTTCGAGTTTCTGTGTAAAGGAGGCTGGATTGCCGTCCCTTTCGGGGAAATCCAATCGATCACTGCAGACTTCAATGTTTTCGTGTCGTCGCCCCTGGCACCTGCGGCTCCCTTACCGATCTACAGAGCATAAGCATAAACTCTGGGGGGTACAAAAAAAAACGCACTAGCTCACCCACGTGAATAAGCTCCTCCTCGGATCCGTTTTGTAGTCGCTCTAAAAGGCCAGGGTAAGAGTCTAAGAGGTGTTCAAAAACGCGATGCTCTCGTCGCTCACTGCCAAGAAAGTCAATAAGCCAGCGAGCAAATACAGACGCATGTCATTTTCACTCAGCAGAAAAGTCCTCTAGTGGAGCATCTTCCATTTGCTCTAACCTGAGGATACCGTTGGTGAGTAGAGAAGGGAAATTGCACAGAGCGAATACTGTTCGACCGAAGTGACGGCCATGGGAGATAAGAGGATCAGATGTTGAACTGTGCGACCAGATGAGAATGCCAAACTCAGTATATCAAACAAAAGGGATAGCTTACGCTTTTTTACGGGGCCCCATCTGGAGGGCTGACGTAGTGCGTTTACTCGGAATGCTGGGAGCGGCATTTTCAGTACTCATGGGAGCTGGCGAGGTAAGAAAGTTCGTGCTTCGCTGGTACTGGAGTCAGCTTTTATCACAAACACACCACGTGGGATTCTAGGTAAACGACATACCTGATGGCAGCCAAGCAAAATGGCTGGCTGGCTGAACATGGTGATGGGGGCTTGGGCGCTGGCGGTGGTGACCGGGGGCCACGATGTCCTACGCTATCAAATTCCGTTAGATCGACGGGGAATTTCGTGCCATAAAAACGGATTATGGGGAATAAAAGCTCCTTAAAAAATTCACCAGTGCTAAGAAGTAAACCGTTCGACCAAAATATGCAACAATCCTTGTCTCAGAGCCAAACCTTTAACCTATCCGGACATATCATTAGCTTGAACCTCCGGTAACTCTGATGACGCACTTGCGCTGGGACTTACTAATGCCATCCATTAGGATCGAGGCAGCAGGAAACGGCAATCAGAGGGGCGAGCCTATCATCGTAAGGTCTGTGAACACCATCACCACTCATTCCCAAAACTTATGGTAGTCAGAGCGACGGACGTTGACAAGAACTCACCTTCAGCGGAAGATAACGAGGCTCCCGCTCTTCTGGAGGAGCACAATCATGAAAAGAACGAGGACTCTGTAGCCAAACTCAAAGAACAACTGCAACTTGCAGACTTGCGCTATTCAAAACTGGAAGAGCTGTACCAAAAATGCAGGCTTCGTTGGTTAGAGGAATGTTATCGAACCAAAATTTTGGAGGAATACGCACCAAGTGAGATCAACACATACTCTCCTCGTCAGATCACATGGAACGCCCCTTCCCCCACTCAAAGTATGTCCCACGCGAGTTCCCTTGAAATAAATTGACCATTTCCTCAGACAATGAGGACAACAAAATTGAATACCAGGAGCAAGTGCAGAAGACATTGTAACGCGCGATTCGAGGTAGTTGCGGTAGCATTCTATGAACAGATCTTAGTGTAGTTATCCAGCTGAAATTGCGATAGCATACAACAATAATTGACTTGAATAGTGCGGTTGCCGATATCGTCCAGCTGAGCTGGTAAAAGCTTCCGTCAAAACGTCGAACACATCCAACAACGTACAAGTAGGTACCTTAAGACTCAGAACATGGAAATTGACATCGTCTATTTAAATTACTAAAGGTAACCTCTGGAACTCTGAGCGCGACCCATGCGAGATGTGTGATCATGGATACAAGCATCCCCGCAGATATCACTGAGGCCTTATCCTAGCTGGGCCTGGACCGTAACTGGCGACCACCAACATAATCAATGAACCTACCACAACGGCAAGTGTAGCAAAGCACGCAATGACTAAGGGCGCGGATGGCTTGAATTCTATGGTGATACCTGTGAAAAATCCTAGAATGGAACCTGTCACACTGCAAGCAATTCCATGAGTAACCTAAGTAATCGTAATCGAAATAAAATCTGCTTGCCTCAGGACGCAAAAACAGGTCGGTATGCATGTGATAACCAGAAGCATCAGTGCCTTCCTTCGCAGATAATAGGCCTGTTCAGTCGGCAATGTCAGGCTCAAGACGCAGAAAGATGAAGAAATCGAACCACAAAATCCAAAGATTTCATTCTCTCGCCGAAGTGGTGTACTATCGTGCCTGCAAAAATACAGCCGACACCTAAAAGAAAGGAACAGGAGCACAATGCCTGTGCAATCGTTGTTGTGCCTAACCATGGAATGGCAAGGATGGCAACATCCAAGGCCATGGAGATGCCTGCCTGTAAGAGCAGACTGAATGGGGAGGTGTCCTCGTTCATGGCACTGATATACGCTTACCAGGGTAATTTGATTTCTAGTCTGACTGCCGAAATCATCGATGAACGACTGAACTTCCACCCCATTTATGATACCATCGACGGAGGTGCTCCTGACGCGAGCAATAGTGATCGGCACGCAGAGCATCGTAGCTGCAGTGTTGCCCAAAAAATCCAGGAGTTTGAACTTCCTGTGCTTCTCTCTCACTTCATGTGTTCGAATTAGGCGAGCCTCAGGTTGGCTGTGGCGGTGCAAATACTGATGATGACCTATGTTTTTGCGTGATTAATAGCGCATGCGATACAAGAGAACAACGCACGTAGCATGTACAAAATTCTGCCTGTTAGTGAAAAAAAGATCAGCATTTGAAATTCTCGGCCCCACAAACTTCACGAACATGATGTTATGATTCCGGTTTCTGGGACCAAACCGTTTTCTGCAATTTCTTCTAAGCGACGAGAACTAGATTAATCTCATCATGGCTGCTGTACAGTGAGATAGGGACACATACCGATACAGGCCAGTTGGCCAACGATCTGATTCATTTCGTCTAAGTTCCAGAATATAGACGCCGCAGTGGATTGCTTCAAGGTTGTCGCTTCTATTTTGCTGTTATTATGTGCGTCACCACAGTAGTGTAGGGCTTACCTCCAAGATAGCAAACCATTTCTCCCCGTATGCACCTCACTTCTGATCGAGACATTCTACACTGGTGCGGAAAGTACTCGAAGTGTTTCCTAGCGGGAAACGCTCAGCTTAGTTCGACTTTATTTCTGTCCGATGTTGACCGCTCACCAATATTGAGCTTCCAATTCGAGCCCTGCATTGCTTTTATTAAGCTCATGAAACAAATGTAGGAGACGACATACTCTTGTGCTTCCATTCGCTTGGCTTGACACAAGCTCGGAAAAGAATATAGCCGTCCAGGTCCTCTAGCCAGGTAATGATGCGGCTGCCGGGGACTACATAATAATATTGAAATCTTTCCTCACCCATAAAGATCGTCGGCTGAACGACCAATGTCCACGCATCTTCTTTCACCGCAGCTCGTGATGCATTTACAAACGCATCGAGTGTCTGTATATTCCGATAGTTCTTCATATTTGTCATAGTATACGCGTTCTGAATCTGATTGAGATAAAGTAACTTAAAAGTATGAGCGGTGCTTACCTGTCTGAGATTGTAGAAATATGTACCACCCAGTGGATGGATTAGTTCTCGCCAGTCTCCGTACATCAAGAGCCTGTCAATGGAAGTTAGTTTGACACCGATCGAAATTAAGGCAACGAACGGGGGATCACTTATTTCCCTCTTGCGGACCAGGTTATCTTCGAAGGCGTCATCCGGGCTATATATATAGAAGTCAATATAAACTCCAAGTAATTGATGACATGAGTACTTACAGTGAGACCGCTTCAGCGTACCGGGGTAATTGCGTCGGCCAGATACCAATACCACGATCAGACAGCGCCACAGATTGCTATCGGGATAGCGACGTTGTATAGTATGATAGGTCCTGAGCACCGCGCAACGTCATAAGGCAAGTCGCGATTAAACGTACCATATTCTCCTGTTGCAAAATGATCAATATGGTCGTGCCCGCTATGAGGCTCGAATGAGGCGAAATATAAACATACCTTTGCACTTTTTTGAACGTAGAGGGAACACTGAACGAAGGATCGTGAGTTAGATCAGACCAGTGAGCTAACGATGGTAGTGGTAGCAGAGAGAGTTCGAAAATTACGTAATCCAGCAAGTCAGGTCAATTAGTACTGAACGACTATTGAGCATAAACAAACACAAATACCACACTCATCTCTTTATTTCCAAAAACGACAAGTTTAATTACCAACTATAGCAAATAAGGTACAACAACAAGTATGTATGCCCGATCGGATCTACTGATAGTTATCGACGCCGACGTACGTTAGACAGAAATGTCGCGCGTGATCAACGGACCCCAGCTCGCTGACCATGACGCCTGCGTAAGTAATAATACCACTTTATTTCATCGTCGACGCTAACACTCAACAGACTCATCTAGAATATCTAGAGTCAAGAATCAAGGTGCGCGTTTATATCACATCGCTCACTCGTATCGGCCTGACTTCAGCACTGGAGGCGGCCAACTTGAATCCACAAGTGCCGCAACCGAGTCCAATTGAAAGATGGATACGGTCTTCGCAGGACGGTTTCGCTCGTGTGATTCAGGGATTGAGATCGGCAGCGCAGAGGGTACGTTATCTGTTTGTTTTTGAGCTTCAAAGAGACTTACGGCCAGTGACGTGACCTAGAGATGAACCCATAGGCTATATGTTTAGCCAAATATACCATACCATACCACATTACGATCGACGACATACCAATTTTATTTAGTGAACACCATCTCACTCAGCACACGCCACCTGTATTCGTTACATTACGGAATACGATTGTAACGGTACCAATGTCTTATTCAAATTTCAACTACGCAGGTGGAAGCGCCATGAAGTAACATTGGGGAATATCAACAGACTTGAGCGAATGCGGGAGCCTGAACCGTGCGTAAGGGACCGTCAATTCATCATGAGGCAGTTCGACGACTATATCTTTGACATCGTCCATGTTCTTCATCCGCTTCTCATTTGTGACAGGGTCCAAGATTACTCTCGCGAGACGAGACTTAGGATCAATAGACAAGACATTTGCCTCCCTGAATGTATGTTGCGATGAGCACGACCAAAAGCTACACAAAGACACTGACCGTATGTGAGGGAGCTTCTGGGCCACATCGAAGAAACGGCTGAAACGGTGTGGAATCGCATACATCACATGTAGGGCAGCCATAATGTGAGGATATACTTCCAGCGTTTTCAACTGTATCTTTTCCGCGTGAGCCGGTATGAATGATTGATACATCTGATACGAAAATCGTCAATGTTCAGACAAATACGAGAAGATAACTTACGAGGGTGACAAGTACACCCACGATACCCTGTCCTAGATAACCCGTCAAGGTTTGGATGGCTTCGGGGTAAAGATCTGCTAATCGCGCTTGGCCTTGAGGGAAGTCAACAATGGGTCGGAATAAGGCGGCCCAGAGGAGTTCCCTGAAGCCTTGAGTAACTATAAGCTCGCAGATAGCTTCCTGAATCTGAGGGATGAAAACTATCAAAAGATGTGATTGCGTGATATGTGATCTCTTACCATGCCTTCGTCACCAGAGTTCATCAAATCGATGATGCGAAGTTTCATTTGGGCCTCCTGCTCCGTGTTGTTCCCAAACCCGGCGTCTGGAGTCGTCCCACCCCTCACAATTTTCCTCAGCTCGGAAGTAAAATCTATGGGGTAATCTAGGAACTGCCTGAAATGATCAATAATAAGTAAATGGAGTGCCCACAGGACAAGCTCACCCTGTTTCTCAATTGGTACCAATTTACACAAGTCTCACTGCCGACATTGTTCACGACTGTCACTGATTATTGTAAGTTAGTGATGTTTGTAATTAAAGACGGACACTCACAAGGTATTTCACGTAGTTCTTCGTATGATTTGAGGTTGAGATGGAGGGATCTCAAGAAGCTGGTGGTGATCAACCGCCGGCAGTCCACCTCACGCATCGAGAATGGATTGGTGGGAATCCCAACCAATATGTAGCCCACATATAGATATTTTGCCAACTTGATTGGGCGTCCCCAAGGCGACGTCAGCAAAGCGAGTTTCAGTGACTTTTTCTGACTGCAATCAAGGGAATCGTCCCGGAGTGTCAGCATCCAATGAAGTTCTTCATGAGGAGCATCCGCCTCATCAGCGATGATCATATTGTTGAAGAAGCTGCTGTCGTCCAAAGCAGATTCAAACATGTCGTCTACCGTAGATGTGACAGTGAGATCGACGGTGGGATCATTATCAAAATCCATGGACAGAGGGAGCAGCGTGTCAGAAAACGATAACGATTGCTGAACGAATGGATCAAAGGTGTCCCAAGATGCCTGCGGAGGAATTCCAATGGGAATGGATGGGATGGGAGGCAGGAAACCATTTGGAAACTGTGCGGGGTTGAACGGAATCCCGCTCAGCCGTTCAAGCTATGAACGCGGCGCGAGTAGACAAGTCAGATGATGTGATGGCGCCGAGAAGGGTACTCACTACCCAGATGGGACATAGAAGGCCTTGTGGGCCGGGCCCGCCAAACGCTGGGCGAACATCTTGGAGAAACCTAGAGCTACCAGGCTAACATGGTTATCTTATGAGAGGTGAGCTTGGCGAATTATATAGAGTTCTCACCTCGATCTCGTATATCGGAAACCTTGCGAAGTTGTTGTCAGATGCCAGGAAACCAATGTGGCGTATGATATTGTGCGATGGCTCAAATAATTCTCGATATTCCTCAGGCCACTATCAATGAACGCAATGAGAACGTAAAATTAACTGAGAAAGCATTGATCTCACATAGATCGGTGCAAGTTGATAGTCATGGGCGGCGTACCCTATGAACAAGAATCGACTGGAGAGGCCGTGGAAAGGCTAAAATCAGAGGTCAAGTTATATACATGTCTGATTGGTGATAGCCAACCTCATCGTTCTGCGGAAAGGTCAGTTATGGCAATCATGGTCCGCAGTGAACTGTACTTACCCTGAGGGGAAGAAATCGAAGAACCCGGTTGCGTGTATTTTCACTGTGCACATAGACATATATTGGAGCGTCAGTAGCTGGAACAGATAAGAGCAAATTTGATTGTTGCATCTTGATTTGTACTATGAAAGAAGAGTGAACGAGGCGCTTTAAGTATTCAGACAAGTGTGTCTGAATGGAACTACTTCCAACCATCCAATGGTGTGCCAGAGCTCAACCACAGTACACCAGCCCTTGGCGATGGCGAGTCAGGGTTTAGCCAGGGCATGCCGGCCATTTGCAACGAGGCAGAGCGGAAATGTATGGGATGGCCAGAAGGAGCGACGGCGAGTTACAACACGCCAGGAAGAAGCTGTGCCAAATACTGCCGCGCCAGACTGCGTTTACGACATGCCAGTAGCAGGCGTCGATGAGTTGCTACATGCCGGAAATACACAGGGGGAAGCGAAGATGAAATAGGAAGCAAAAGCGAGTCACGCGAGACAATCTGGCAATGCGAAAGACATTAATTTTCGTAGTCAAATGTATGGTCAATAGGGAACATATCATCCAGCGCCAGTGAGAGCGACGCTGTGCTAGCATTGAGCCCCTGGTCAAAGTAATCAAGTTCTTCCGCGCCAACATGACCATCCTCTTCATCCTCTTCACTATCAGAAGCTTGGCACCTTTCTCCGTTGTCCAAATATTCATCTTCCGTCTGTGCCGGCGTCTGCGTAATGGGGCGGGGGGTTCCTTGTGCAAAGCCAGAATCTGTCTGATGAGAGTATACGTGCCCCACCCCCAGGCCGTAATGAAATCACATGATAGTATCGCGATCGACGAAGCTAGTAAGATAAAATTGAGAAAATTGAAATGATGGAATCTCAATTAGTTCACCTATTGATGTAGTATTCACGCCAATCATGCGTGTCACCTGCAAGAGGGGAAATCCCGCGTTCACCCGGATTGCGCTGGCCTCGAGAAAACGCCGGTATAATGTGACACCCCCTCAGAACGACTCCGGGGTCTAAAAACCCGAAAGCCTTGTGGTTTTCCAGAGGCAGGAAATGAACGCGGCCCAAACGGCGTGTGTCCCATGCGTGACTTTGTACTGATTTGTACCACCTAACGAAAAGAAATTCTATCCTTCGATATTCATGCACGTTTTCAGAGCGCACGACGTTAACATGGTGTATGCCAATGACTTTGGCATAACAATAGTCGTCTCCGTGCTCACCATCAATGCTTTCGTGTTTGAGCAACATAATGTTGCAGTGGGGAGTCCTGGGATTGATAACGTCTTGAGCCCTTCGGACGTCGTAGGTGGTATAGTTGAATCTGGCGAGGTTATGATGATAAATCCGGTTGCGCTTGAAGAAGATTGAGTTGTGCTGTTCGGAAGGACTTGCCATGGGCGATTCAGTGATCTCCGATCCGAGGCGACGAACAATATGTTTCTTCAATCGAGGGAGAAAGTCCTAAATAGTATCTCAGAATGATCGGGGAAGTCGCAATGATATCTTACCTTCATAGCGGGATCTCCTGCGTGCTTGCGGAGGTATTGACCAAACTCATCGAATGTCTTCTCACTTTGGCCAATGTGGTGGTGTAATTGAGGATTGCTCGCCATTTCAAACGGGTCTGTATGAGGAGCTTGCTGTTGACGTTGTTTGATGCGGCGCAAACGTGCCTCACGGCGCTCGATCTGAGTCAGTTGACGGATAAATGCCCTACGGTCAGTACGACGATATCTGCCTTTCGGCGTACGGTGCTCTAACTCTCCCTGGAAAATTTGAGTAAGAATGAATGGATAGCAGGCAGCAACTTACTGGTTCAGTGCTATATGAATCTGTCGTACCAAAATGACGGATGGATGCGACGTAATCCCCAAGCACATGAAATTTGTAAGTGCTGAAATTAAATGACTTCTTCCTTCGCGGTTGCTTTGGCTCAGATGTATCCTGTGGTTGCTCCGGAGTCGCTTTTTCTTTCCCTTTAGCGCTGGTACCTTTGCGAACCCTCCCTGGGTTATTCGCCGTCCCAGTCTCTGCCCGTTTGGCCGCTTCCTTTCCCTGCCGGCGGGATCGTGCACCAACTTCACGATCAAGCTCCTGTGTCTGATATGATGGGCACACTTTGTCCTTGAATAGACGAAATTGTGCTCCAAGATCTGTCGTCCGTTGGTCAAGAATGTCCAAGGTCAAGTCGGAATGCATGCGAAGCTTCGCAAGTCCGTGCCAATGCGACATGATGAACAAAAGGTCAATAATAATTGTATTATGACTATCGTCGGGAAGAAGGCCGTCGAAAACCGGGATAGAGCACTGGGACAATATTAGTTCGCGAATAAAGATGAGAATAGTTTCATAACCGTACTTGTAAGAGATCTTCGAAATTTCGAGCAGCCATATTCGACATATCAGATGTATTTGAAGAGAATCGTCTAATGGTCGCTGGCCCAAAAGGAGGGACCTGTCTATACCTACCGGAGATGAGTGTTTACCTGACAAGTTATCAGATAGATAATAGACGAACCTCTTGTCAAGTTCGTGCACCAAATCCTTGTTTAAAGAGGTAAGAATTCTAAGTAAATGTACTAAAAGCATACGCCACACTCCAAGCTCAAACTCGTGCAAAAGATCTACAACGAGCGCGATGAATACGTTAAATCCAAATGGACCTAGGCGGTCCGACAACACATTCTGTTGGAGGGTTAGTAAAGGCGAGGATAAAGTGATAATCGTGCTCACAGAGGTCGGAACCCACGACTCAGGTTTAAGAAGTGCCTCAACCACTGTGCTATCTACACCGTAATGCTTCTCGTAGATTTGGCGGCGTGCAGCAACAACAAGCTGGCTCCTCATGATATCGGATCGTGCCAGAGTGCGACGTTGTGCCCTATCTTGAGCCGTGCCCAAACGGTGAAGCCTGTTCGTTGGTATGACACATCGTGAGCATGGACAACCTCCCAGCTGCCGGATAGTAGCAATGAGAACCCTGGCTTAGGTGAGCTTTAATTTCTACAGATAAATATTCACGACTCACTTTTCAGGATAGTCCGCAGAGTATGTAAATATACGGGGGTAAAACCGGCGTTTGACGCCGTCACAACACAGAATCATGATCCCGTGTTCATACGCTTCTAAGAATTCGTCATCAAGTAAAATTTTCCATTGCGCTTGAAACATTTCACGATGACAATGAGTTGTGCATTCGCGGCCGACCCCCTTCCCTTCAGTATAAATCCCCGTAAAATCTTTGAACGCGTCCGGAAGCTGTGAAGTATGTGAGTCTGAATGAAGATGAAAACAAATTCGTAATGACCGACATACCTTCTGAAAATAAGCTACATGATTTCCTAAATTACATGACGGTTTGCACCGGCGGTACTTCGATTCGTTACCAAAGTACATATACACCGGCCACAGCCTCGCGTTGCCGAACGTGGTAAGCTGCGTAGCATCTGACCAGAACATCAGTGCAGCGACCACACGGGGAAGTTCACATCCTGCCTCTCCAGGTAATTCCTGAAGTTCGCGGTGGGCATCTATGAAGGCAGGTGACGTGTACAACTCGCCTTGAATATTTACTTCGTGCGGAAGATGAGGCGGGCTCCAGAGCAGTTGATATGGCTCATAATGAAAATGTTCATTATCGTGAGCGTTTGCAATCTTTTCCCGGATTACAGACACAAGAGACCGATGGTAGAGATCCGCCGCAACGTAAGATCGAATATCTGGCTGAGCTGTCGTTCGAGAAAAAGGAACGTCGATGGTCACTTGAGTTTTGTGCCATCCAGCGTCCTCATCCTCCCATTCTTCTCCCTCGTCAACACTCGCACCTAGTTGGGAATTGATCTTATCCCAGTGCGTATGCCGCACATCGTCTGGATCATAGTCTGGACGTCCAACAATATCGAGCAAATCCTTGAAGCTCTGCTGTGATTTCTGTACGCTACCGTTCCAATACCAGTGACCAAGCTTGAAAGAAGATTCGTTGGGGTATGGATGAAACGGACTGTCGTGAGGCATTGTAGCATTATCCGAGTTTTCTGGAGAAGGAGTGGGGATAGAACTGATGTCTCGGAGCGTCATAGCCTCCTCCGGGTCGTGACTTGGTGGCGCTGAAGAGAAAAATTGGCGCACCAGGCCAAAAATATTTCTTGATGTACGGAAAGGAGTAGCCTGCACGGGATTTTTGGGTGGGCCAGCCTCAGATTGTCGTGGGATATGGCTAGGGACGCTAGGAGGAGGCTGAGGGAGCACATCCTCATATTGTCTAAAGCGGAGGGGCATAGGGACATCAACACGGCGGCTTCTGCGCTGCGCCAATGGAAGACCATCGTCTACTTCCGTAAACGAAGGTTCAAGTCGGATGTCAGATGGCGGAATTTGTGTATCAGCTTGCAACGAAGAACCTGAACACGACGCGGGGGTGATGGCTGATGAAGTTCGCAAAACCTCTGCGCTGAACGGCTGGTCGGAAGATAAGGAGGGGATTTGCGGACCACGGAGCGTACTCGAAGACGCCGTGCCAGCGCACACATCTTGTGTGCCGTCGTTGGCAGACAGTCGGGACCGTTTTACAGAGCCTAACAGATCCTTTGCTTTCGATAAAGCAGAGAACAGTCGCTTCTTGCCTTTTGTGCAGGAATGTTGGTGCTTGGTATAGGCACTTGCTTGAGTAAACTCGTGCGTGCAAGTGCACTTGAACAGTTTTTCCGATGGACCAACCATGGATCTGCTACGGTATACGGTTGAGCCAGCAGTGTCAAAGCAATGAGACTTACCATTTGTCGTTTGACGTTTTAGGACTAATGCAGGAACGAAGGCTGCCAGCGTAATTACCAACCAGGGCCATATTCCCATGGGCTAAATTGCCTGGCGGTCTGATAGGGGGCTGGCGCACTTGGTGGCAGCCAGCACGATCGGGATGGCTAGATATGGCGATGGCGAGATGAAAAGGTAAAAAGCACAGCTATATAAACACTGTTCAGGTTACTTTCTGTTTTCAGCCTGATATGTCCGCACCGTCTTCTCCAAGTTCTGAATGCTCGACGCTCGATCCGTTCGAAGCCGATCCCAAGGTCATAGAGATGCTAGTGAGGATTCTCACATGCCGTCATGGTATACTTCATTACCACGCGCAAACAGGGGAACTGACGACGTTTCAATGGTCAATGAGTTTGTTTCCTGGAAAGGGGTTCCTCACTCACAAATACGTCCTCTACAGGCCAACCGACCGATATGGGCAGAAAATACACCCTTCGTTGTTCCAGGGTTATCGTGAGGCACACGTGTTTCACTACCCATGTTGCTTTTGCGCGACGAGTAGCAGATATGTGGAGGTATCAATATTTCGGCGCCCTGAAGGGTTGTGCGAGGGGGAGTACGTCTCCGAATGTGCGACAAGCAATTGCGGCTACATGGGTAAGTCGATTCACACATATAGATCTATAAGCTAATTTTTCAATTTAGTTAATATCGAGAAATTTTATGGTAGAGGATACATACCTGCAGTGTACTATCCTGAGAGGTATGTTGTGTTCTTGAGATCGTCACCTGCTAAACACACTTCCACCGTATGACTAGGAGTCGATACGATGCAAATGCACCCAGAATGATGGCGCCGACTTCAAGGTGTTCTTTATGAACGTTGTGATGTGTCGTGACATCTAGAACGGATCTACATAGTCAATATATAGTTGTAATAAACTAGCAGTAGGCATACCGTTTTGCTATGGTAGCGCATTTGCGGAAGAATTCTCTATGATGTCATCACAGCACTTCGAAGTTTCGCTTCTCGAAGAGGAATAACCTTCGATTTTGCCAACCTGCATGTTAGGTAGGTATCGTAACCGTATCATAGGGGTATTAGCATAATAACTCTGTGTATATGCCGAGGAGATGCTATAGATTTTGCCAACCTGCGCGTTAGGTAGGTATCATAACCGTATCATAGGGTATTCGCATAATAACTGTGTGTATATACCGAGGAGATGCTATAGTAAATTTTGATGGGTTGGGTGAATATTCTCCTGTTTCTCCATTCCAAGAAACCGCCAGACAATGTCCAATTATGTTTTTTACCTAATATTACACTTTTGTCGTTTATCCAATTGGACGGTGACGAGACCATGAGGTGTCTAGCGGTTCTCAAAGACGTGAGTCTGAACACATTATCAGCATCCCCAGGCTACAAGTGACTAGGTGGACGTGCCCAACAAATTGAGACATATCATAACGACTACTTGGTGTGCGGTTTGGATGATAGAAATGGGAAAGAAGCACGAACTTGAATGTGGGGTATTACTTATACTGAATGACTTTGTGAAATTAAACTCAGCCGGTAGTACCCGAAGAGTCCCAATTTGTCACAACAAACGTCATCGATTTCCAAATATGCCGTCTAATCCCGCGGAAACTATGCACAACTGTGCACTGCAAGCCCCTTTTTTGATATTTGTAAAGTTGCGTTCTCAATTATCTTATCGTCGTCATCGTCATCATTCACATTGACACCGAACTAGCATATACCACGATGGCTTGACAAAATATTTGATTTGTCACCTCAGTTGCGCAGTACGTCATGCTGTGTTGTTGTGTTCTGTCTCCTGTCTTTACCGCGTCATGCTGTGTTGTTGTGTGTTCATGTTTCCGCCTTTTTATGGCCGGCCCGGTGTATTTTCAATTTCAAAGTGACTCGAAAGCACCTTTGGTAACTATTTTCTACGTGTAAATGAACCTGCTGGACTTGAGTCGCTACGAAGAATACTTCGACCAATTTGTACTCTCACATATTATGTGGAAGATACAATCACACCTGATGATATTCCTGAGAAGCAAAGCGAAGACGTAATTTCAATTGCTTATACTAATATAAGCGCAGTTGAGCGAGATCAATACTCGTACGAATTTTACAAGGTCCGTAATACACATTGGTGATACATACACAGGATATGAAGATATGAGTGCCTGATAACCACTGCGACGGCGTATGTAGTAGCGTTAAATATATAATGACGCACCCTCAGTGTTGCTCCTTGAGACAGAGGTATTCCTATACCTTCTGAGCTTTCGTACTTAGATGAATGGATGTACGCTCGTATCACACCGTGACCGAAATGCGGACTGAAATAAACACAAACATAATCACCATGCATCTGAGTCAGAGTCAGTGCGAGAGTTGATTGATTCGACATCCATGCACTCCATGTAGCGATGCACTTCCTCTGGTGGATGCTGGGGAAGAACTGGGCGTGGTGATGAATCTGAATCTGTAATGGCGCCTCAGCAATTAAAGAAATCACTGAAACTAGTTCGCGCTTACCGCTGTCAGAGTAGGTTGACGCAGGGGAATTTTCAAGGGCCAGTGTATAAACAGCTGCCTCGGCTTGGGCGCGGCGCATCTTGGCGCGCAAGAAAATTAGCTCCGAATGGGCATTACGATGGTGAGTGTGGTATCCTTCAACGTCAAGGTACATTGACATCAGTCTCGCCTGCGTGGATAATTCCACTTTGCGAGCTTCCTGGAACGCCTCCTGGAGGCATATGGTGACCCATGTACTCTGTAGGCTGAACGAGGGGTCATCGGACTTCGAACGACGTAAGAACAAAACCAAGCATATTAACGATAACACTGACATTCACGGTGACCAGTGTTCGTTTTTCGAGGTGCAGAAGGGAAAACTGACCAACAGCCGAAGAAGAACCAAGTAGGGGCGAGGCACTTTCGATCGATGCAATTTCTTTCGGTGGAATGGGGTCATTTTTTTGCCTCCTTAACCAACTTTCACACTTGTTTCGCGTAGCTACCGAATAGGCAGTTGTGGGTTCCATAATGCGTCTTGAAGTTGCTGTGAAATAGGCAGAATCAGTGACCGGCACTGCAACAGGACACGTTGCTAAGAGTTATTATGTTAGACCGCGTTTTTATATAAGCCATAGTCACTCACGTATAGTCCAGCGCTGCTCTACATGATCGATGGCCTGGCTGCAGAGAGATACTTCCAGCTGACAACGGTCCCTCTTCTCCTCCATAAAGTCTCGCTCTACGCTCCAGCGGTGTGAGTGATCCCCAGCACTTCACAACGACTCCTCCCTCTGCGCTTCCAACATACGTCCTGCAACTATCTGCCAAGTATCACCGAGATAGACTCGACCTTTGAGTACGAAATGCAGGAGATATAATTCTGTTCGAAGCTACATAAAATATCAACATGTGCCAATGGACGCTGTATAAACGATGAACTAACCTTCTCCGTTGGTATGAGTCTTATGAAGAATTCTAGCCATTTAGCATGTGTTAGTATGTTGGAGAGTTCAAACATGCCGATTCGGGCAGCTAGACTGTCGAATGGTGGAAGACAGGAGGGGACCGACATAATGCAAATGACGGTTGGGATGAGATGGGGTCGATTAGTTGTGTGTCATATGAAGCGAGATTTGTATAGAATTTGCGCGGCAAATGCCGGAAGATTACGTTTTGACGGCTGGCCATCAAAGGATCTGGCTGGCCGACAACAGATCTGGCTGGCCATCAAATTTAATATCACCGTATTCGCCTGGCTACTAATCCGCAGTCACTGACTCTAGCAGGGGCAAAGAGCAAACACGTTGACTACTGAAACTAGATACAACAATGACTTCAAACCAATGTGAAACAGTTGGCAACGCAATAATAATACTAACATAGGCTTTGCCCCAGCAGACGATAAGGAATCAAAAATCAAAAAAAATACATGCGTACCACCAAGTATGGATGGTGACCAACGTCAGGGCTGGTAGGCAGGGCTCGTATTCAGTATAGGCGAACGTCCACTTAATAGTGATGGCTCTTCACCGTAAAACAGAGCACTCTGAATCAATTTGCTCAATCTGCTTTCCCCAAAAATTAAGTCTTTCGGTCCCAAATCATCTCTAGTAGATGAGTGACTTGGAACTTCAACTAGATTAGCAAAACATTAAATTACGCCATCGAATTAGGGATGATAAACCAGCCGCTAAACATCCACAGACGAACATTGGGCCCGATGGAGTGACCGCAGGCCAACTTTGTCAAAGCTAAGTTCGTAAAGCTACAGTTGGCTCATTAGAGTGTGGAATTCGAATCATACCATTCAGGTAATAAAAATAGGATGACTATTCCGGTGCACCTTGTAGTGCGTTTTCACGGAGAGCGAAACCTATAAACCGATAAGGTGAACGATAAGGTAACGCGAGGAGCAAAAAAGGAGAAACTAATAGCCTTACCTAGCCTTATTACTTGAGATTATTTGCGATTGGAAAGTCAGAAAGATTCACACCAGTAAAATTACAATGGAAATGCAATCTAACGCTCCAAAGCGTTCCAGGCTAGCTGGGGTCTAGATCTGCTTTTGATTGAACATTTGCGAGAGGTAAAATGGTCGAAACCCGTGTCAGGAGGAAAGTATGCGCTGATATAGTGAATGACTACATATTCAAACTCAGCCGGAATTCAGCGGCATTGCCGGGAGAGTCGGGCATTGCCGGCTGGGTTTGAATGTACTAATCATTCAGCATATCAACCATGCCCTTTCGGTATTGTAGTCTTTTTCCCCCACTTCCTGTAACGCGTAACGTATAAGGGCTTAAGCTTTCGACGACACAAGTAGATTTGCAATGTGATCTTCTATATATAGTTGAAGATGATACATGCATGGCCCTTACCATAGCCTGCAGCCGTGGGGCAGCTCGAGGAACAAGTTCGTGAGGCGGGCAGACACTAAGTTCAATAGTACTGTATATTATTTAACCACCCGCGGAATTTACCGTACTATAGCAGGTGGGTAGGCCACAGCACAATGTATTTTGACTATGCTCAAGGCCGTCGGTCCACAACAAGTCCACAATGCCCACTCTTACCGCCATAGCTGGCCAACAATCGATGTCCACAATCCACAGTACCACTGGTGGGTATTAGCTAATCTGCAAAAGTCATTCAGTATAAATACTGACCTTGCGCATTAACCAGTTCCTCTTTCTCCTACCATTACCTCGATACATCACAGTGCATAGATAACTATAGATCTAAGAATATATACTATCCAATAGAGTCTAGACTATCGAACGTAACATGTGAGGTTTCAATTTCGCTGTAGTAACTCAAAGTTAACATATACACCGTAGACAGAATCCATATGTCTAAACGCGCCCGATCCGACGATGATGATGAACCTGGCTCGAAGCAGCTCAGGGTTGAAGAAGGTAAGTCCTGATATAATTCTGTCAATATCGACATTCATGGGCATGACACAGGCAATCAGACATTACCGGCACTATGTGATCGACATGCATGGGGAATTCTTCGTCAGTTCCTCACCACCAATATGACGATGCCTGAGATGGACGATGCTCTTGCATCATACCTCGGTGATAGATACTTTGCCGATGATTGGGTAGAACCCCGACGTGCATTGGTCTCCGGTGAAGGAGATGACGGCGAATCCTTGGCCAACCTCGACCGACTCATGGCCAAGCACGTAACCCCTACGGCCCCCTCTCCTCCACCCAAAGACTCTTCCGCGTCCGTATCTACATCGAGGGCGGCCGGCCGCTTGTCGAGCTCACGCAGAGGGCGATCCCATGGGCCACCTAAAGTAAGTGAAATGTCATAGCTAATAACTGAATACTAAAAAGGAAATATAGTCTACTCGTAATCCATATATCATCGTTGAGGCTTCTGAAGACGAAGATGAGAATGATGAGGAGGAGGAGGACGATGAAGACGAGGGTAGGCGGTCGGAACAGTCGCAGAAAGTCATGCGCTCGTTAGGACCGTCGGCGAAAGAGAGGTTGGCCAAAAAAATCGATGATTTGGCCAATAGGTTCGAAGAGAATCTGGGCAACTCGTCACAAGGTCGCCGTGCTCTCGCTTCCAGAGCGACCTCAATCCCGTTATCTGCACTTAAAGCTTTGGCACCCCAAAGCAGGATGTATCTACTTCATATTCAAAGTATGTTTGTTTTTCCATTACCCAGTATCTCACTCATTGCATTCCAGGAACTGCTACAGAATATATCGCCGAACACCTTCGGAGCCAGACTTTTCCCGTTACCGTATCGGCTTGGGTAGCAGGCCAACTTTACGTAGTCGCAGATAGCCCCAAGACGATCTGTGACTCACTTCCCACCTCGCACAGCCTTTCCGTAAAGCAATGTCTTCGCATCACGGATGCAGAACGTGAAGCTGTCGAAGGTTCACTGTTCCAACTTCCTGGCCCAGCTTGGGTGAAGGTCAAACACGGCCCGCACAGGGGCTACATAGGCAGAGTGGAATCCCAGACAGAGAGTTCTGTCAAGGTCTTGATTCCTCCATCGCGCTTTCCCTATCCAATGCCTCGGGGAACTCGAGCGCTGCTCGAACGATCTCGCCTCCCGACCGATAAGATCGTTTCCGATATCGTTCGTGACAACGAAGTAGTAGGATGGACATACGAAGGACAAAGCTATTTCATGGGTCTCCTACTGAAAGACTTCCTTCGCGATAACCTCGAACTTCTTGCCTCCCCTCATATCGACGATATTCGGCTCCATCTCGAATCCGGATGGGATAAACCATTCCTGAAGAAAACTGTGGTGTCGTTTTCGATGCAATTTTTGCGCACGGGTGATTGGGCCAGGGTCATCGGAGGTTCTCTTCGTGGAGAGTTAGGTCAGGTCATCTCGATGGACCATGCAGCTGGTTCCGCGAGCTTGGATTTTACCTTCGATGGACGTCCAGAACAAATAGAGGTTTGCCTCGAAGACATAGAGCGCGTATTTCGGGTCGGCGACACCGTCAAAGTTGTAGCTGGTCCGTACTTGGGATTAGAAGGGCACGTCATTCAAATGCGACAGGATATATTTGACATTTGTCAAGATATCACCAACGAACAGGTAAGACTGGTGCAAACACAAAACTCTATGAAATTGTCTGACATTTAGATATAGGTGGAAGTTTCTAAGTACTACTTGGATCGGCGTCCCTTGAATCACACCGTGCACTCGCAACTACCAATGCAACAATATCTCGAGCCTCCCGCCGACTCCGACTCCATTGAAATTGGAGACCACATAGAAGTGCTGGAGGGCAAGCACGTAGGGAAACGCGGCGTCGTGGATTGGTATGCCAAGGGGTCAACTCATCTGTGGTTCCGGGATGTCATCACTCAAGACGGCAGGGAGACCAGCTCTGAACTCTCCAGTATTCGAGTCCCAGTAGCAATGGTTCGGCGGACGAGCCTCACCTGCACCATCCAGTACACAAAGGATAAGGGTTACGATGTCAGGCCGGGAGACGTCGTGACTGTTGCCCGTGGACCGGAGTATCAGGCAAAAGGGGTTGTCCACAGCGTTGATATTCCAAACGCTCGTTTGACCATACTATGTGATGGTGACCAATCGCTCGTAAGTACAATTCACCTCGTCTCGAACACATCTGACACGCATAACAGCTCTGCGTCCCAATCAGATTTGTGACTAAGATACGCAACGCATTCTTGGATTCGTTCCGCAATGATATCGGCCGGGAAGTCTTCGTTATTGGGGGCGACCGGAAGGGCTACCGAGCCACACTCTACTCTCTTTCCTTGGAGACCTGTACTGTTGCTGTGCATGGGCAACAGCGCATCACACTCAAACTGCACGAAGTTGTTACCAGGTGAGTGATATCCTTATTTTCGAGTTGTTCCAAGGTTTACGATATTTAGGCATGGAATGAAACTTAATGGTGTGATGCTCGAAGGCCTGGAGTTGGCCTCATTCTGTGAAATGAGGAGACGCTCGTACTTTGCGCCGCCACCTCGATCCACCACCCCTCCCGTCGAAAAAGAAACAGTTCCTTCCAGTTCGTTGGTCTCTCTTACAGGTCCCAGCCCATCGTCATCCAACGTATGGTCCACCTGGTCCGCAAGCTCCGAGGTTGATAAGGCACGTGACGCCACGTTGAGCGTCAATCCCACCTCATCGACACACGACTCCTGGACTGTTGGCCAAGACTCCGAAGCGGAGAAATTGCCGGACAGCGGTAAGTCCTCAACCTCAATACCACAATGTTTACTTACTTCATTCCAGGCCCACTACTTTGGTTGATGTCAAAAGAATCTTCATCGAAACTTTCAACATATCACATGCTGTTGAAGGTGTCACCGAACTTCCTTCACGGTAGACTACACAAGCGATTTGTATCGACGGCTTGTCCCGATCCATTCTGCGGTGACAATGGACCTGCGCCTGAGGGTTACGTCGCTGCATTCTGCACATCTAATAGTGCAGGCGCTACAATCGAACACCATCATATCCCCGCCAGCGATCTGAGCCCGGCTCATCCACGCAAGAAAAACCAACAGTGCCTTGTTCTGGGCGGGGCTCACCGCGGGGCACTTGGAACTATTGTGAATTGTTGGGCGAAGAAAAAGACCGTTGACCTTAGGATTAGCGCCGCTGTTACTATTAATGTGGGTTTCGATCAGATATGTCTGGTGGAACCTGCAAAACATATGAGGTGATATATACCAATAGTAGAATACATGGATCTGATTATTTGGGACAACACCATCTTATCTTTTGTACCATTAATTTCAAGTTTCTTGTGATAATCCATCTAGTATAACGACAATCTTTTGTGGCATGAAGGTTGACACTAAACTGCGGACTCAGTTTCGATCAACGAACTACTCACTTCTTTCGTCGCTGACTTCTACCCTCGCGCGAGAACAAGCGCCGAAAGATTTGCAATGTTAACGCTTGCTGTACCTAAGTGAATCACCATGTGCGCACCACCACCGTGAGGCAGGTTTGTAACAGTTGGTAACTTACTGGTGGACATTGCAGATAGTCATCAACAAAGTTCAGCTTGGGTAGTTGTCGTCGATAACTGCTAGTGTATTCCTAAGTCGTTACTATAGAGACATCACAACTCCGAGGAAACACCATTTAGTGTCAATATGACATTGGTTTTACAACTTGTGATTACTAACTGGTTCACAAAGCAAAGAGCCATCACGAAGTTCCGCTTAGGTAGCGGGTGACCGTTGCGGTTGCAAATTGCTAGCATTTGACAAGACGTTGCCCTGGATTTATCACGACTATGAGTGACGACCATTCTGGATCAGTATTACACTAGTCGTGTAACTCACGACTGACATCTCGTTGAAACTACAAACAGCCATCACAAAGTCTACCTTATGCAAGAGATGACAATTGTATCGGAGAGATGCAGGACTTCTTACAAAGATTTGTCTATCAAGCATCACAGTAATGAGGGATTATGAGACATATATTAATTCGTCAAAATTAGATCTGTATTGCACTTTCTTATCCTTGAATGGCATTATGTTTTGTGTATATATTCGTTTGTCTTCGGATATAATTGGGTAGATATTTGGTCTGAACTTGCCATTTATATCTACAAAAACCAAGTTCTCGCCGATTCCCTGATGCATCACCTTCTCGATGTTGCTGCCACCACTCTTCTGGAGGTAAGTGCAGAATGCTCGTGGAGTCATGCCCCTCATCTTGTACTTGTTGCGCAGGAAACAGAGTGCGAGTTTGATGTTCCAATTGGCCTTCTTTGCGAGGTTCTTGACAAGGTTCTTGACCTTCTTGCGGCAGCTGTTCACCGTCCGCTGGCCATCAAGGTTGTGCCTCCACCTCGCACCCCAGTACTCGTTGAGGTCCCATATAGCCAGGTACCCATTGAGGCCATTGCTGTGTTTGTCCCAGATGTCTGTGATCTTTGAGACTGTCTGGAACACATAAAAGGGGATGAGCCTCCCAGACTCCCACTCCCAGGTGTGGTGGTAGTTTTTCCTTGCTGAAACGAGCTGTCAGCTCGTCCCGACACTGCTGATCATGCTGTGGGTCAATTGGGCTGCTGATGGCACTGACCCACACTGAATTAGATTGGCTCACCACTGGTGGAGCAGCAGATGGAGGAGCTGGGGCATTGTTAGTGACAGGGCCTCAGTGCTGGCCAGTGCAAATGACAACAACAACAATTGGGTGGGTTGCAACTTGGGGGCCAATGGAGCTTAGATCTGGGACGTGATAGTAGTGGCAGATGGCGCTGTTTTGCTGGTGGCAGGAACAAGTGCGGGTAATGGAAGAAGTGCACTTGGGGGAATGCGAGTCGGAAAAAAACCAAGCCATCTTTAGTTAGTGTCGTGTAGCCAACAAAAGAGAATAACAAGGTATCACCTTTTTTGGTGCGCCATGATCCTTTTGTCATCACAATAACACCAAGCATGCCTTCCATACGAGCCACCTGCTCCTGCATTGCATCCATCCTGCAGTTTGACTCCTCCTGAGCCATCTCCTGTGTGAGTCAAACAGAAACCATGAAACCTTGCACGGCGCAAGCATAATTGTTGGGCAAGTTTCAAATGTTCAACCATGTGTCTTCTTCAGCTTGGGTGATGATGGCAGTCGACAATGCTGCAAAATTGTGAAACTGCATGCTTTGGAACAGTGGGAACTTGAAAATAGCGCAATCAGGTTGCCGAGTGAACAACACCACAGCATCCTGGAGGAGCACACATCAAAGCCAAACAAGAAGCTTTAGGAACTGCCTCAGGGCAATGTCCTTGCCAGTATGGCCTCATGTCAAGGGAAGCTCACTCGGTCTCAGCCCAGGGAAAGATCTGTGAGAGTAGTTTGGCAGGTGGCTCTGCAAAACCCATCAGCTCAAAATGCATCTCAAGGCACTAAACAAGACCTGCCAAGTGCATCATGAGCCAGGAAATGCTCCTCTGGCTTCCTCCCGTTGAACATCAATGCTGCCAGTAGAGCATTAACTGGAATCGCCTGGTCGTAGCAATTCGCCATTGTGTCAGTCTCGGACTAGCGACTGAGAGCTTTGGTGCTGGTAACTGAAGCACCATGTGCTCACACTGTCTGAGCAGCAAAATGACAAGTTGCGTGGGTGGCCTTTGTGATGCAAATGTCGTTTTTGACATGCATCTGCTTCACATGGTCATAATGATCTGCCAATGGAAGGTTAGGTTAGGTGCCTGCTTCGCACATGACTGTGGGGCTGGAAAATCTCACTGTCATAGGACATCTGCCTTTTGGGATTGTCACCCCAGAACACGAAGAGCTCATACCATGGTCGGTAGCCAAATTCACCAAAGCCGGGCACATCAAACTGGGGTGAGAAGTCGGGCACTGGCTGGGAGATAACATGGAAGTATGCTATAGGAACAAGTTCCTGGTTAGGCTTACTTTACCCCTATTTACCTTGCTTGTGTTGGCACTTGGACAGCTTACTAAATCATGTTGGTCTTTACCCTTACTATCACCTGGTGTGACTTTGAATGCAGTTTTCCTTATCCTCTGTCTCTCTCTGAGCTGTGAGCCTGGATCATTTAGGGTCTGACACTGTCTACAAGACATAGCAGCTAGGCAGCAAGACCCAACACCAGATTACTACCAATCTGAATTGTTGTACCCACAACGCATAGAGGAGCATGGCCAAAGAGCCAACTGGGCAAAACTCGACCAAGCAATGACATAGGGTGCCATGTTCGTCCACCTGACCATGCTGGTTTGTTTTCGTGTTGTCAGTGAGTGCTGTCAGGACCTGCTGCAAGTCAGTTTTCATTTCAGGTAGGCTCCAGGAACTTTAAACATACCGCAGGCACACATCCATCCAAAATGCTGTCAAGGAAGGCCGACGAGACAAAAAGGTCAGAGAGCTGCAGCATGCAAAGGCTCTCCCCTCGCAATGCCATTGTTGCCCCAAGTAGGATCATTGTGCGGTCTTGGAGGCCGATAAATACCTGACGAGCGCCCGAGGGTTCTGTCAGGGACCACCAGGAACAGCAGATAAGCTCTTTGGTGGTATAGGCATCTGTTGGACAGTGAGGTGAGGTTCACAACTGGGACATGATGCTCGTGAACCACATCACTCACCATACAAAGCCCCGGAGGCCTTGAGTGTCTGTGCTGTGTCTGCCCGCTTCAGCTCATTGTGCTTCGCTGCAGATTCAAGTGTCTGGTGTAGAGAGTGATATCTCTACAGGCTCATATCTCCTCATTTATACATTGACCTCATCCCTATCCGCACTGTAGGTGCGACTTTCCCGCGCCTTGCACAGACTACGCGCAGACTCCCGCGCTTGCGCATAGTGCGCTTTCCCGCGCTTCCATCGGCTTTTGTCAGGTCCATCCATCCATTGTCTATTCGGTCCATAGGTGTGTATTACATACATATATTGGTTTTCTGACAGCCGCTGTCTCCTTACATACATCTGTGACATTCTTCGGCCGCGTTCCCGCACTTCTGCGCTCTTCGGCCGCTTTAGGATGCTTTTCGCTCGCTCTTCACTAGCTATCCTCTATATCTACTGGGCCTTCTGACAGAAGGTTCCTGACTTATGCAATCACCCTTAGTAGAATTCTGCAGTTTGTGCTATGTCTTAGAGAGTACCTATCTATAGCCAGGAGTCATACTCTCCTTCCCTTATCAGTCTATATCCATAATACATTCACTTGATATCCATTCCTCACGTCATACACGATCCTAGACACCATTCCGCATTTGTGCTCTACAAAGCGCCACCTTCCCACGCCTCCGCGCTTTCTGCGCATTAGGCGGGTAGAATGAATGTTTTCTTCTTGGACTCATTCTGCAAGCTCCTTTAGGATAATGATACATTTGTGGTACACAGTGTGTGGGCATTTGGAGCAATTGTATAGCAAGCCGTCATTCTGGCAGAAAAAACAGTACTATGAGGGTCATTTGTGAGCTAAATGACCAGAGAATAGTGACTTACTTACTATATTATGTGACACAGGCTTCAGCACAACTTTTGCAGATGATAATAATCATGGTGTTGGCGTGGAGAACATGGTTTTTATAGTTGTTGTACCAGTGTGGCCTTGAACACTCTTAAACTGAGGCAGTTTTCAGGCCCCCTATAGTTTTCTGGCATGTTTGCTTGGACTGGATCATGTTTATAATATGATCAATATGCAAGCACTGGAGTGAAAACTCAAGAGTGATGAAACTTACACATCCCTGACTATAAGATTAGACCTAGTATTTTGACAACTACCATCTTTACTTTAGACATTTTCATCAGCAACTGCAGTTTGCTTGTTTGACCTAATTGCATGGCACTTGCCACGTCCCTGTTTGGCTGGATGTTTTGGCTTTCACAGCTGTATTTTTGTGATTTTTGAAACTCAGCTATGTTTTCAGTCACAATGTGTTTTTCACATTTGTCAGATGTTTTGGTATGCTTTATTTTGAAATTTTGGCCTCTAAAAGCAGAAATTCACAAAACACATCCTGTTTTGGTCACCATTAGAAGGACATGTGATCATATGATTCCCCCAGACTCAGAAGGCTGGCCTGCCGCCATTGCACACGGCATAGCACAGCTTCATGAAAATGAGTTGAATTCTCATAGCAGTTCAACTCCTGGGCCAAGTCAGGCTCATCACACCCCTGCAGAGCCCCCACTAATCTCTGAAGAATTTATGGCTATGATCATGAGCTTTGACGCAGCAGTCAGTGCTGCAGAGGCTGAAACCACAGCAGCCCCACATTGAGATGGCCTTGAAGTTGCTGGTGATATTCATGCCCATTTGTCCACTGCACACTTTCAAATTGAGTCGCTGCCATTGTGTCAGTTTGACTCACTGCCATTGTATCGGTTTGACTCGCCACAGTCATCTCAAAGTTGGTACACCCCCTACAAAAGCCTTGATAGGCTTTCCAGCCACCACAGCAGGCATCATAATATAGAACAACACGGTGGCCCATTATATCGTAATTTGGCGCTGGGTGCATCACCTGCTTCAGCATCATTAGCTACTCCACTACCAGTACCACCTCCTACAGCACCATTGTCTATGACATCTGAGTCATTCCCCCCACCTACTAGGGCGCGGTTTGGACTTGAGACCCTACCCAAGGTGAAATTGAGGGCCAAAGAGGACATGAAATGATTCACTCTCACAAAATGTATTTTGAACTGACAATTGATATTGAGAACAGCTGAATATGCCCAATGGTCCCATGGGAATGAGGCAAAAAGAATGCAGACAAAATTGGTGTGACCACAAAGTACCTGAGGAAACAAGGATGGTGTTGGTGGGCTTGGGCTATGTAGTGCCTATCAAGCAGCTCGTTAGAATTAGAATGAACACCTCAAATGTGCATAGTAGCTCATCTCATAAGGACAGGGTTAACAGCATTGTACTCGAGCTCTGAGCGTTTGAAAGCAGCGATTGATGAGAATTAAATATATAAACAAAGTACAAAAGATTGACAACATTGGAAGCATAAAATACAAGGCAAGTGGTAGTGTACAACAAGTAGGTAAATAATAGCTGCAGAAAGTGTTGGAATACATGACTGGAAAGGACTTGTGCTTTAGTCTACTGGTGTGGGTATGTAAGCTTGAGTTTGAGATAGCTACTGTAATGTATGACAAATATAAGTGAGCTGTCATTCAAATAATATCTTGTCATTACCAGCAAGGTTGTCTATTCACAATATCATTGCCGCATAACAAGCTTCGTTATCTGGGGTGTCAAACTCGGTATCCGCAAACCACCTTGTCTTGAGGCATCACCTCAATCACCACCTACAAAATGTTCCTGCCAATGTGATCATGTTGATGAGTCGACAGGGCCAACCTTCTGTGCTAAAGGACATGATCAAAGATATATTTCAGACAGCAGTTTTATGTGGCTACAATTTGAATGATGCCTTAGCAACCCAAACACAGGCAGAGATAGTGCTTACCGTCCAAAACCTTCTACAAGACAATGTGTTCCTAAACAGAGATATCAAGGTAAGTCATTCTTCACTGTGAGTCTTTCTAATGCTCATGGCTTTATGGTTAGGTGGGAGGACAGACTATAACTGTACCCTTTGCAAACAAAGTGGTGCAATGTTTTATGCAGCACGTGCTGTTCCACCAATTTAACCTCCAACAATATGTCAACTCTGGCAGAAACCTTAGGACATTACTTGCATTCATCGGGACATTGTTTGAGTGGGTGTTGGAAGAATTGTCTACTGGTATTTTCATCTCCAATGACTTTGACCTGCCCGGCGCCAGGATAGCTTTCAACAACAAGCTAAATGATGTCTAGGTGTCAATCGCAAGTGATGTATATGACACCCTAGTTACAAACATATACACCTGGAAAAGATCTGAGCCTTGAGGGGAGTAACAATTAATGTTGATAGAGATCCGGCTTAGACCGGCTGGCTCAATTCTAGTACTTAGTAGTTTCCATGTCACACCACTTGAGCAATGGTTTGTATGGTGTTTTCAGTTTCTGTATGCAATGTAAGTTAGTTGTTCATACAAAAAATGAACCAAACAACACACCTTTGGGTCAAAGCAGTGCCACTGTTGGATTTTGATGTGGTTTTGAAGTGTGCTGACTTCCTGCCAACTTTGTTGAGCAGAGTTGAGCCAGGTAATTATTGACATAGTGAGCTCATCCAGCATGGATATTGGAGAGACTGAGAATACTTTGATTGCAAGAGGCTGTCCAAATTGTTAGATTTCTTCACCTTAAGTTTTGCCCTGGGATCATGCATTTTCCAATTGAATGGGTCCTCACTCTTGATGTAAGCCTTAAATTGGGTTGGAATGAAGGGAGCGTTTCTGCAGGGCTAAATTCGGTGAGTGTGGGGTTTCATTTCTCCATTTCAGCAGCTGGATCAGAATTTTTGCCAGCCTTGTATACATCACCATACTTGTGTTGTAGGATGATCTGCAGAGTGAGTGCAGCACGAGTCACCATGTCCTAAGGAGGTTTTGTGGAACAAGTGACCACACCCGCAGCTGATTTTGTGATGGTAAGAGTCAGCCCTGCGAGTGGGTTGGCCTCCTTATAAATGGGAGCATTTCAATACATTGTGTGTTTGTTTCTAGTTATATCCAACAGATGGGGTTTAAATAAAAGCATACCTGGATTCAGAATGAATACTGTGATGTACAATTTATGTGATTGTGGAGTCTCATTAACCAGCTTGTTGAGACATGCATTCCTAATTTGACGGATACATTCCATTATACACTTCCATAGCTTGTTTTCATGAAAATCTTCTTGATACTGAGCCACAATACCAAGAAAAACAAAGTACACATGATTTGTGCACCCTTGGGACACTTCAGCCCTTTTGCCCATGGGCCAATGGTGGAGAGGAATTTTGATAGCTCCATCTTGAAATGGTATCTCAGTGCTCCAGGAACAAAGAATTCATCAAGACCGTGCAGCTATCAGCATTAGTGGTGTTGTCAGATCGGTGGAATTGAACTCATGCCTTTGATTTTAATGCCAAGGCTCTAATCCTTGATGATGGCCTGAAAGGCTGGCATCCCCCACTGAACTGATAATGCAGCCCAGTACAGTGTACCCAAACAAGTTTCCCCTATACTTTCTAGCCTTCACCCAATATTGAGCAAGCCACATTGATGGTTGAAGTGCTCAGCAGCAAAGGTAGAATGGCTCATGAATAATAAGACTCCTTGTATATTTTTAATTACCTGGTGCAGTCATAGTGATTAGTAACAATGTATTTCAACAATGTATCACTCACTTCAGCAAATTCAGGAAGAAGGCATATGTCCTTTTTGCAAGGTTGATAAGCTCTATGCAGAAGGTCCGACCACCAGGAACCGTGATATGGGTTATGTAGAGTGAGTTTGGGCGATGTATCTTGTCACCATAAAAGGTGGCTAAGCAGTGACTAAATGCATAAAGAGTCTGTGTCCACCAAGTTTGTATACCAATATGGCCATATCAAGATCATCACCTGTATACCCTCGTGGACGGTAAGCGCCAGCAAGGGAATCTTCAAGAGTATTGATTATCTGCCAGATGCTTGACCCTCTCTTGAGTGTGACTGTAAGGATATGCTGGAGACGTGGGACATTGTTCTCTGATAGCGCCATAATAAGTGACTTATAGTCATCTAGTTATGTAATTATGTGTGAGACCCTTCTCGCATCATTGAGACCCTTTAGACATTAATTAATGTGGTCAGATCGTCCTGCAAACAACAAACCTTGAGTTTCAGTTGATTATTTTCAGCAGAGTACTGATATGCGACATTGACCATGTCAGAAGGACTTAGAAATTGATATCAGGTGTGTGGTTTGATGTCTTGAGTGAGTGAGAGGTGTTTGATGAATCCCACAACCTTGGTGCACCTACTGCAAGGTGACATTGGTGTTGTAGTAGTACCTGTACAATCTTGAGAGTACACATGAGGGATACTGCCATGAGTGTCGATATTGAAAGGAAGGACTTCTTGGCCTATGGAAGCTCAACCAACAGAGAAGGTTTCAAAAGATGAAGGGCCTGGAACAGGCCAATGTATTGGAACTCCATTGATTACGTGCATTGTGTGTGACATTTCAGATGGAGTAAAATGAGATAAAATACTCGAGGTGGAGCTGGCTGTGCTCAGTGATGGTGATGAATCTGCTTGATTGAGGCCCTTCAAACACTTTTTACCCTGTAGGTGATCACTGAGAGTATTAAAATACCCTAGAGCATCTAGATCACTAAGAATCCAGGTTGGAAGGGTGGTCTTGATCCAGGCTTTGCAGTCTGGACACATATTCTTCTAACAATCCAATCTCTTCATATCGTGAAATCCCGTGTCCTGCTGCAAGTTTGTTCAGTATGTCTGTGTCAGTGGCAGACACTTCTCTGTGTCCATTCTGCATGCCTTCATGGCCTGCAGACTCTCCCAAGTCCAAAGATGTATGGTGGACTCGAATGTAGTTGGTGATGTGTTGCTGACATGGCACTTGGTGGCCAATACCTAGTCATATGGTGTATTAGTAGTGACAACAATGTGTGGCGTGACTATGGACTGGACCAGCACCTGACAAAACTCATAAACAAGGGCTGCCACAGTAGCCCTCAAAGTATGGCATGAGCTGCACATGACCAAGTAGTGTGGCAGCAAGCCGTTGTTGAAATGCCTGTACCAGCCTCGGCATAGCAAGATGGATAGACCCGTTCTGACCTACACCAACAAGTTAGGAATGGCAGTGAAGAAACAAGGTCGAATCCACAATATACCTTGAGTAAAGACGTGAAGATATGCAGATTCAAGTTCTGCTGTGTGTCATGCTTCGTTAAGGTTGACTGCAAAAAAAAAAAAAAATAGAAAATAACGAAAGATAGTACTCACATGAAAGGCCACATTGGCTTGGATTGTGGTGACAAACAGTTGTGGAATGACCCATATCATTGGTGGAGAAGCAAACAGGAACATGCTCATCAGTCACGAGAGCACAAAAACACTCCCAGATGATGTTACGGCACACGCACCATGCTTGAAGTCCGCTAGTGACAACATGTACTGCTATATGCCTGCAGATGGGACTACACTGTGTCAGTACCAATTTTTGTGTTCAGTGTGCAGTATAACTTACTAGGCAATTTTGACGGGACTGCCAGCTTTGCGAGAGAATATTGAGAGTTCTGTGCTGGCACACTGAAGTCCAATGGAGACCTCGAAAATCTCGGCATAGACAGGCATAATTAGAGTGAGAGAGCAGAAGTGCAAGTTGGGCAGTGTGGATGCAAGTGAGATGAGGAGGGTAGACGAGTATGTGCAGCTTTTATCTGAGTCTTAGGTGGTGTTCAAGACCTTAATCCTCCTGTGAGGGTTTTTTGTATATTGGCAAAGAGAACTCATAAATTGATAGATATGAAAAACAGCAAAACAAGTCAGGGAAGGGACATACTAGATATGATGGAAACTTGACATCTGAGATAATTGAGGCTAGAACAACAACAGAGCCGGCAAATTGTTGCAGATTGTGTATGAGACTGCTCTCCGAGTTGAGTTGAGGCCGAACCAGAGAACTCGATGCCATGCAGTAAGAGAGCCAGCTGAAAAGACTAGTACCTATCATTCTTCGTTGCACTGATGTTTCCCATTCTGTTAGCCTGAATTGTGATCTGTGGCATCCAACCTTCTGGACCAAGCAAAAATCTTACCCTCTCACGATCCAAATGGCTCTGATAACACGAAAGGCCGTGATATGCACTAGAGGCCTGGAAACCAATTTGTTGGTGTCCATGATTGAATAGAGCCCACAGGGTCCTATTATGAGACACAAAGCTAATGTGAGCTAGAATATTGAAAAAAATAATCTGTGTGTTATCTCACTGGTGATGATATGTGTTGCAGTGGTGGAGGTGGAAGATGAGCGAAGAAGTGCCGAAACGCAAATGACCTTACTGAATATGGTAATTATCAAAGTGTTGTGTCTCGCTGTAGAGAGTGATATCTCTACAGGCTTGTATCCCCCCATTTGTACATCAACCTCATCCCTGTCCTCACATACACACAGTCCTATAGAGACGTGCGCTACACGTGCAACCTTCCACAATCTTCCGCAGCACGCGTGACATATCAGTGATCTTCCACACTCTTCCGCAGCCCGGCACTATACTCGGCATACCCTCTCATGTCCTGTCCCGTCTGTCCAGTACCATTGGTGCGTATTCTCACTATCATCTCCGTCACTGACCACATCCAGGGTCTTTTACATAGTGTTACATACTTGTCCGCTTCCTTATGCGCTTCCGCGCAGCCTATCTGCTTCCCTTACGTCTCATTACCCTGAGAGCGCGCGTAGCGACCTACATATCTAGAACACTCAGAGGATTTCAGGGTACTTACTTTTCTCTTACTTGAACTTAGTATCTGTTTTCCCTGTCTAGTCACGCATAGAGCGCTAATATCATCACTGCCCTTGTCCATCATCTCTGGTCTCATTAAGACTTATCTCTCAATAGTTGGAAGGATTCCGACTATCTTCCACTGCCGACTATCTACTTCGCGCATCTTCCATGCATCTCGCACACTCTACTGTATCTTCCGCATCTTCCGCACTCTTCCATGCATCCCACACGTTCCGCATACCCATCGCGCATCTTCACGCGCCTTTGCATATCTTTGGCGACAGCTATTCTCTTGATCCCTCTCATTATTTAGAGAGGTTGTCTCAGTAGCATCCCCTAAGGGACGATTCTACTAGCTCGCCTCTCAAGGTAGATATCCTTGTGACTACCCGGAGTTCACATTCCTATTTTCCTCACCCACATTGCTCAATGGTTAGTCCTCACATACTCGTGGTCAATCCTATCAGCAAAAACTCACAGCATCATCAAAAACTTCGTCCAATCTGCAAGTCCTGGAGTGGTGAGTTCCTTGATTACGGTTGGTAGGTTCTCCCTGACTTGATAAACCAGTCCTGCTGTCTCGTTCGCTCCTGCCTCAGCAACTAATTGCTGCATTTTGACGCGGAATTGCAGGTGAGCCCAGGTTGGGACTCCTGCTACTGTGACCTGTGTTCCCACTTCCTCTTTGTTGATGTGTAATGCTAATATCTCATGCTGGTAGTCGAGCCCCGTTTTCTCTGCGACCGTGATTGCTGGTCATCTACTGCTGAACTCGGTCTGCATGTCTGCCCACGTTGTCTTCTTCGAGCTATCTAACTTGGTCCACCATAAGTCTGCAGTCAATCCTGCCGACAGGAGTGTGCTGAACACAACAACTTTTGCCGCCTCCGTTTTCAGATCGTTGAGTATGCTATAACGATCAACTTCCTTCAGGAAGTTTTGGGCGTTTTCCTCTGGTTTCCCGTGGAACCAAGATGGTGTGGAGCTCTTGGCCATTTTCCATGGTTGGGCGACTGTTTGCCTAATCGGTTGCGAGTTTTTAGGTGGTGCGGCTGGGTTAGGGAGATATAGTGTTGTTGGTCTCGTTGGTGTTGCTACCGTGGGTAACGAAGCTGGTACAGGGGTTTTTCGGATTGGTCTTGTCGTTTGCTCTTTTGGTTCTAACGTGGGGGATGGGAGTTCTTCTGAGGGCCAAGTTATGGTGCTTGGGTCCGGAGCTCCTGCTAGCGATTCTGGTTTGTCATCTTCCTCCTGGTTGTCCAATGGATTCTCGTCCAATGTACGAGATGTGAGTTCTGGGGTGTCTAGAGGGGACGAGTCAGCTGATGTTGTTAATGATGACGGAGTAGAATAAGAGTTTATGTTTCTGTCTGCAGCAGAGATGAATCGACCGCTTGGTCCTCATTCAGGTAAATTTCTTTGTGCTCTTCTAGGACCCATTGCATGACTTTTTCTCTGTGTTCTTTTAAAAGCCTTGTGTTCTGCATGTGTACTTTGACGTGCGTTCATTGACTTTTTTGGCATTGTTCTTTTTGGCGTTAATACTGTTTCGTTGTCCAATCGGCTTCTACCTCTATTATCGGCAGAAGCTTGTTGCAACGATCGAATCCCACTCTCTTCACCACAATGGAGTGGTAGCTCCCTAGTGTAAGCCTGTGCAGTGATGGAATGGAGATGATGATCTGTGACTACGACATGTTGTCCTAAATGACCTCCCTGCTGACTAAGCTCCTCTGGTCTTTGCCTGCTAGCCCCTGCTGGACTCTGCTAGCCCCTACTGTGCCTCCTCCCTGATCACCCTCTACCGGGGGGGTGCCCTACTCCAATGGTATTTGACCCCAGCGTACTTTCCATCCAATTCCCGCTATGTCCGACGTCACCCGCACCCGACCCGATGATAACCCGATACCCCGCACCTTAGGACCCGCACTCCGCGCTTCGGACTATCCGATACCCTTCGGGTACCCCTTATCCCTATGTCCAGTCCGTTCCCATGCATCCCCATTGGTGAGTGGTCAGTTATTCTCATGACTGACACTGTAGACAGCGCTATTACATGTGTTTCCCATAGTCCGCAGTACCTCATGTCTTTTTACATACTACCTTTGGACTATCCACTATCTTCGCCTATAGGACTCCGGATTTCTACGTAGCTACTTATATAAGGACCAAGGGACTCTCACAAATAACTTACCTTTCTGTAGTAGGGAGTTCCTAATACATTTTTGTCCATGACCCCTTGACACCTTGACACCTTGCCCAGTACACCCGGTTACCCGCTCCTTATAGTCCGACCCCTTGACATTCCTTTATTCTGACTTCTCACATCTGTTCCCGACGATATCCGCTCATTGTCCATCCCATACCATTATCACCTGTCGAGTCTGCAGTTCCCGCGCATCAGACTACCCGATTTTGCTTAGGACCCGATGTTTTGACCTTCAGGTTATCTTCTTCTTGACCGAAAAGACACTAACTATCATTCTTATATCAGACAGCAGGCCCCTTTAGGGTCGAACTAGCCTTAGGCTAAGCAAGACCCACATAGGTATTTGGGAGGCTTACCTGTTTTCCATATACCGTTGTCGGGATTTATATTTCGCACAATGGGCTGAAGCAGTCCACAATGGAGTGGTACGAGCAGGTGAGGGAGGTGATGAATGAGTTGGGTTTTACTCGCTGCCCAGTCGACTATGCCGTGTTCTTCTTCGACAGCAACGCCTCCAGAACGCGCATAATCTGCATCATCGGATTCCACGTTGACGATGGCATGGGAACATCCAACTCACCCGCATTCCTGATCTACATCAAGCAGAAGATCCATCAGCGCTTTGGCATCAAGGACATGGGACCAGTCACCAAGTTCATCGAGATCCAATTCAAACATGATCGCAACAGCCGCCAGCTGTGGATGCATCAAGGTGAATATATCACCTACCTCCTCGACTGTAATCCCGTCCGTCTCCCACTCGACTCTGAAGATCAGAGGCGAGCGGATCGGGCGAGGGGGCACTAGTAGATAGAACAACTAACTTCAGTCTGGTATTGGGACTCTAGTCCATAGTACTGTACCTAGTAGATAGAACAACTACTAGTACATGTTAGCGCGCAATCATAAATCTAAGTGGAATCAAGTACTCACACTTCAGTCTGGTATTGGGACTGAAGTGCTCGTGTGGTAAGAACGAAGTCTATAAGGTAAAAATGTTGCTATACTAATATGAGTGTAGTTGGGGATTGGGGTGAGACATTGCACACTAGCTCGACGTCACCTGGACATCACCTGGACGTTCCTCAATTGGTCGCGCTCGTACTACGTCTCTGTTACCACGGGATCCAACATCGACTCACACTATCCCTTCGGCAAACCCGATGATGTTCACGCTGCCATTCCCAACCGTCCCACTCAGTTTCGCAAGCTTATAGGTGAACTACTCTATCTGGCCATATGCACATGTCCCAATATCTCATTCGCCGTTAACTCACTCGCTCAACACAACTCCAAACCACTCCCTTCCCATTACGCCGCAGCAAAGCGACTTCTATGTTATCTTTCTGGCACAATTAACCTCTGCTTGCACTATGGGGGTGCTAACACTAATGATGGCCTACACGCATACTGTGATGCAGATTGGGCGAGTTGCCCCGCCAACCGCTTGTCGATTTCATGCTATGTTTGGTTTTACGGCGGCAGCATCATCGCCCACGTATCGAAGAAACAAACCACTCACGCCTTATCCTCCACTGAAGCGGAGTACATGGCCATCACCCATGTTATCCAGGAAGGTCTTTGGATCAAGTCACTCATTGTTTCTCTCCACGTCCAACTTCCCTTCCCCATCATAATCCACATGGACAACACCGGCGCCATCTCGTTATCGACTGAAGCTCACAATCACATTCACTCCAAGCACATTGATGTGCGGTACCACTTCATACGCGAACATATCAAAAGAGGAATGTTCCTCCTCAAGTGGCTTCCCTCGCACAACAACACAGCAGATATATTCACTAAAGCCCTCCCTCGTCCTCTATTCGAAAAGCATCTGCCTGGTCTCCAACTTGTGTCTCGGTGAGGGGGTGTGCTAGACGAAACGAGATAGATTAGCCTCAATGTACGCATGTTTCCGTTCCTGGGAGATTAACCTCCAGGTGTTCGTCTTCCCTCATTTACATCTTATCTCTTCTTGTCACCTTCAACACCACGTGTCGCACACCACCGGTGGCTTCTTTTCCTTCTCGCACAATATTTAATGTTCTCACTCGTGCGCAGCTTCACCTCAGCATTGTCTATCACTCGCTGAGGTATGCACCAGTCCATCTCTTGTACTTACTCTTGCTAACTCGTAGTCTAGACTGTGTCTAGGTAATGCAATATATTTAGTGTTGTCTATCACTCGCTGAGACTGTGTCTAGCGCCCAATAATCTCGAAGCCTGAGGAGTTGTTGAGGCGAAGCACAACCACCTGCAAATTCTTCTCGACTAAAGCACCATATCCCTGCACCGGGCATTTATCGTTTTAGGCACATTATATCATTGTATTCCCAATCGCAATCTAGTATCGTCTGCCATAGTCATGTGATTCAATATATTCTTCTGTTTTCTGTCTAGCATGTGTAAGCAGTCCAGTGAACTATATCTGCGCAGCGCCGATTCTCTGGGCGCTCTGTGAGTGTCTGTACATACATGGACAGTGATTTTTTTGGGCAATTTAAGTAGAATTTCATAGTTACTGTGTGATCTGTGGGTGTCTGTACAGAGATTCACAGAGCAAGGTGCTACTATTGGTTACCACAACTTCGGACAACCACCACTTCAGACACTTCGCAATACACACACAATTCTGCCTCAATGATTTTTTTTGCCTCACTACATATGATTGTACGCTTATTATATAGTGCTACACAGTTAAATCATCGAAATTGGTGCAGAAATGACTGAGATAGTTGTTGAAGTGTGACAGACCGGCTTTGTCACTCAGCGAGTCAGAGCTTCAACATCTTGTAGGACACAGAGCGTCAATTTAGTCAAGGCTGGGCTTGTAACACCAAAATGTCAAGCGGAGTTGGAATGACTACCCTGTGACCGACTGTCCGAACAGTGGTGGTTGTCTGAAGTTGTGGTAACTGATAGTACTGTGATGAACTGGCTAACAGGGACCAAGCTGTGGAGCTTGCACACTGTACACCGCCAAGTAGTTTACTGATGTGGTGATTCTACAGAGAGAATACATGCCGTCTTAAATACGAATGAAAAATCCAAGAGGAAGGACAAGGAAATAACAACGGGACGTAAAGGTACGAGACCAAGGCTGAAGTAATGACTGAGAGGACGTACTCTACATGAGACGGGACAATATGAATGTGTGAAGCAAAAAAATGAAGCATGGCGTGAGGTCCAAGTTGAGTCCAAGTCCGATGTGAGACACAAGGACGACCTGTGCCTGGTCCTGAAGTTTCAGTTGGCTACTGCCCCCAGTCGAATCCGTAATTGTCATTGACATATTTATTCGTGATCCCGCACTTGAAATAAATTCTCGTTACACCTTGATCACATCATTATAATAGACGTTTCGTGAGGATGGTGTCATCATATTCATGAAACCGACTCACCGCTTCGTAATTGGGCACTACCCTAATAGCATCGACACTTCGATGATCAAGTCCTGTTCAAGGGAAACTCGTCTTCATTCAAGCCTGGGGGTTTGTAATCGTCGTTGAGAGGCAGCACGAGGGCTGCAACAGTGTAGATGATCACAATCGCATATTCCGCGAGCATGACCATTACGAGGTAGATTTGCCATTCTCCCGTGACCAAGTTGAACTCTGCTAGGTCGCTAGTACTGGGTTCGGAGGAATTCGTCGAAAAGGTAAACGTGCTCGTAGAGATCGTGGACAGGACACCGTATACCGTCCGAATGGCCAGGAACGGAAGTGCGATGGAGACTGCCTTCAGGAGCTGAAGAAAGAGCGTAAGAACATTAGTCAGATATATAACGGTTGCTCCTGAAAACTCACCCGCTTGCGGTACTTCATGACAAGGCGGACTTTAGTCCATAAAAAGATCCAAATGCCGACAAGCGCAACATATAGGACAGAAAAGATGAGGAAACCTGCTTTACGCATGGTGCTCGCACTTGCGCTGGAACGTGTCGCATTAGAGATACCAATGACAGTCAGGAGTACGCCAGCCGTGTTGGAGAGTTGAAGAAAGAGGAATATCGTGTTGTCTGTGTTGTCTGGTTTGTCATCAGGCTCCTCGGAACTATGGTAGTGTCAATCCATCCCATCAAAAAAAAATGGCAACATGACGACACACATTGTGCGCAACAGACTCGACGTGCAAAGCAACAGTGGAGATAGGGCAATTACTTCTAGAATGTAACCAGCGGTGTACAGTCCAGTGTTCGCGGGCTTAACAAACTCCGCTGCGACAAGGAAAGAACCGGCCGATACTCGCGCTACATGCAAAACAGAGTTAACGCTATGTATGGCTTGGATATCAAACGACTTACCGATGCAGAATACCAGCAACGAGGTCCACCCACCTCGCCATATGCCGTACTTGCGCGCCACCTTGAACGAAGTAAACAGGAAGGGTATATACATTACAATCGTCACTGCTGCAAGGATTCCCTGAGTGCTGAGAGCCATGATTCCTCAAGAATGTCGAGGAAGGAAGAAGAATGAATGAAACTGAAGGAAGGGATGCGACGGTTTCTTGCATTTTATATGGACTAATGGTGAACGAGAGGCGGTGAAGGTTGCCTCGCCGCGTCCATCACCAGAACAAACTCTTCTGAATCTGCTTTGACAACGGCAAGATGGATGCTGTGACTGGGAACCCAGTGCCCACACTGTAAATGTAGAATCTAGATGGTACCACACGGCTACAGGTGAAACTGCGGGTTTGCCGACGTGTTTCAAGCTGTCGTAGGACCCACTGTAGGTCCATGGCAGTATCGCACGGACCTCCTTGAAACACGTCGGCAAAAACACGCGTAGGACTCTGAAAAGGCATACCTGCACAACTAACTGGCCGCACCATATGGCATGGTCCTCAACAATCACCGACCCGTGTGTTGACAGTGGACACTTATTAAACTGCTCGGGGATGCTAAAAATGTGACATAGTTCTCGCCGACCGTTCTTGATCAATCTATGTAGATCACCTCTGCGGCATTGTTCGATCTAGCGGCTTCTAGCCGAAGATCGACGTATATGATTCAGAAACAGACCCTGTGAGTGATCGCGTTCGGATGCTTGCCACCGCGCTGCATGGGGTCGTGCGTGATGAAAAGAAAGAAGACAGTAGTGGCGCGGCCTACGCGTTGGCGGAAAAATTTGTAATTCCACAACATGAACGTCGGGCAGCTCGGGCTCACTCTCCTTAGTACACATTACACAGATATGTCGGAAATCCCCAGGGGTGCCTTGGAAGCATTCTATATTGGGACACAATTGGTGTGCCTGCCAACTGCATTGCGACCGAATTCCCAGGGGGCGTGACTTAATTTGAGGCACTTGCAAGCAAGGCACATGCTAATTTTGGATTCCAAGCAGTGGTGTGATTCGACGTTGACAAGTCTAAGTAATAATAAGGTAATCAATCAATCCTCGGCTTCACCTCCTCCCATCATCGTGTCTTCAGCTGCCTTTCTGTATATCTGTGTACTGCTAGATGGCCCCAAACAGAAACGCAGACCCGGGGCGTAAATATCTTGCTTCAACATCGACCAATAACCAAGTTGATTGTCAATACTGTACCAGGTCATTCGCAGCACGTGGGATCAAATCTCATGAACAGAGTTGTTTGAGAAGACGGGATAAGAAGAATGCTAATAAAGATTTCGCAGCACTTGCAGTGCATGCAGTAGAGGAGGAGCTTCAAAGGAAAGGTACGTGGTCATTGATCAATTTAAGTACTCATTAATAATATTGATACCTTATCGCATGATTGTTAGAGGCGCGTCGAGAGAAACAGCGGAATCGTAGGAAGCTGCAGCAGACAACAGCTTCTGCTGCTGCTGCTGCTGCGTTGGTCCCTTCGGGATCGGCCCTGGATGACGCAGAGTCCTTGCCCGCTCAAGATCAGCAACCTGATTTTACTGCGCATCCATGGTCTGAAGGTGGTTCAGATCTCGTCGATATGAGCGTCAGTGGAGATGCACGCCAACGTATGTGCTACTCTGACTCTTGATGCGCCCCCCTCTAAGACCATCCAGGTTCGGCATCAGATACAAGCATGGGCACCGCGCCTATTCCAAATACCCTGTCATCACTCCCAACTATGCCTTCGGCTCGCTCCAATCTCGACACCTTCAAGACAGAGTACCACCCGCACAGTGGCCGCGCGACTTCTGTGGAGACGTTCTCCACTTTTGGACACAAAGAGCCTTCACAGCTGCCCGTCATTGACGAACAACCCTGGCAACCCTTCGCTTGTCGCGCGGATTTCGAGTTCGCCGAGCTCGCACATGGCGCTGCTTTGAACAAGAATCAGACAGATGAGCTCTTGCGGCTCATCTGGAGGATTGCGGACGGCCAAACGAACTTCACCTTCAAGTCGCATGGAGATGTTTCCAAAGCCTGGGATAGGGCAGCCGCTCAAATGACACCAGTGAGAGAATCACAAGATGTTCTTACTTTGCAGTCATATTGGTTGCCTTAGTTCGAGAAACATACCATCACCGTTCAGCACAAGCGAGAGGAGCTCGAGTACAACATGTATACGCGGCCATTGTGGGATTGGGCGCTGGACTTACTACAGGACCCTTTACTGATGCCCCATTTCGTTTGGGATGCGCAGCGATTATACAAGCATGACGGTACACGCTATGAGCGCTTTGTACACGAACCTTGGACTGCAGATAGGTGGTGGAATGTACAAGTATGCCATGTCTTACTACTATTGTTCACTTGTATCTAAGTAACGCCGTTTTCCGTATGTTTGAATCACAGTCATCTTTGCCCGAAAACGGCGTGCCGTTTGCGTTTATATTATACGCAGATAAAACACATCTCTCCTCTGCTGGCACAGTTAAGGCATACCCGGTGTTCGCTCGATGCGGAAACTTGCCCGTTGGTATCAGAAATACTGATGGGCTCGGTGGTGGGCGAATGGTTGGGTGGCTACCAATAGTGAGTTATAGTGAATCTTAGTTCCGTCGAGTTTCACTGGCGAAACAATTCTTTCGCGCAGGTTCCTGATGACTCTGAGGAGGACGGCAAGCTCACGTATGTCAATCTCAAACGGGTTGTATGGCACAAGTCATTCTTCAAGCTACTCGAAACTATTATAATGTATGCCCAGATGGGGTATGCGTATGTGTGCTATGATGGCATCATGAGGTGGCTATATGCGTTCATTCTGCTGTTATCAGCTGACTATGAAGAGCAGTACTTCATTTCGTACTAATTTCTGATGTTGTTTTCTGATTTAATCTCTCAACAGATGTGTTATGGCGCTTATACGAGGGACCAACTGTCACTGCCCGTGCCCTATCTGTCTTGTCCCTTCGGACAAGCTATACGACAACGCTTCCACTTACCCGATTCGATCATCCGACGATGCAAAGGCTTTCGTGGAGTTATGGACCAGGGACCGTGCGGCTGGAGAAAAGGCACTCAAAGAACAGGGCCTGCGGCCTGTTACGGTCAGTGCTTCCAATTAAATGTACTACTAACAGTCACATCTAACTCATTACATTATAGAACGTCTTTTGGAGTGTCCCAAATTCCGATCCTCAAGACACGATTTCACAGGACCATTTGCACGTCTATCACATGGGCCAATGGAAACATTTGTTTGGTGAACTCAAACGGCGCATCGCGGCCCTTGGACGCAGCGCTGAGAAACAAATGGATGACCAGTGGGTTTTTAATCATTTATTATCTCACTCCGCACTATCAGACTAATCCTATTTATCAATTGCTCACAGATTCGATGCCTTCCCGCGATGGCGCAATTTAAACCACTTCGATCGGGTTACTAACATCACATATAGCGATGGCAACAAGCTTCGCGATATTTCCAAGGTACGCCGTGACTTTACAGCTATCAGTTCTTCGTATTGATGAAGTCGCTCCTCTGATAGCAAGTATTGTACGCCGCCCAGAACATACTTACGCACACAGAGGATGAAGCCGGCTATGTGCTACTGCAGTGCATAGCAAGCTACTTACATATCGACATGTATATTTCACTCGAGGTCCAAACCGAAAGCACAATTGCTGCAGGGAGGGCTGAGGTATTTGAGTTTCAGAACCGCTTAGAGGTATGTGCCACTGCGATTCTGAGACTAGTTCACATATACTAACTATTTATTCACTATCTCAGGAGTACATCAAAATTGTCAAAGAGACCGATCCTGACACGATCAAAAACTGGAACTTTCCTAAGATTCATTCCGGAAAGCACATATTCGATGACATCATGGCGAAAGGCGCCGCCCGCAACTTCAGTACTCGACCCAATGAAAAGCAACACGGGCCAATCAAAAAGTGGTATCTACGGCAGACCAATCGTAAGAATATCGCTGATCAGGTATGTTAATTGGCATTTCTAACTTCCAAACGAGTCGCTCCACACCACTGACTCTGTAATATTAACTAATAGATCCTTGAGCTCGACCATAGGAGTGTTGTCTCCGAATTCATTCGTAGCCGTATCGAGTACCTTGATGAGGAACGACGCAAAGCCCTGCTCTCGCGGGATGAACTCGAGGATACGGATGAGGATGATGACGAGCTGTTTGAAGAACATCTTCATATTGGTTCACCCCTCAAGAATCATACAAGCTTTGCGCAAGTGGAGGAAGAAAACAAGTCATCGCGCGCCTTTCACCAGTTCCGGAAGAAGCTCGCAACATTTCTCAATCACTTCCTTCCCTCCCACAACATTCCATTGCCAGATGGAACAACATGGTTGAAACTTAGAGCACATGACCAGGTGATTATCTTTCCTCGCTGTTATTCAAATCTGACTTTGCGTGTATCAACAGATCCATGAACATCGTTACTTAAAAGTGCACTATGAGTCTGCCGCTGACTGGAAGTTGGCTACCGACTACCTGCGATGCAATCCAAGCTTCCATGGCAAAGAACGGCGCGACTACGCCCTAATACGCACACAGGACAAGGATGGCCACGACAAAAATATCTTTGTGCAGATATTATACATGTTCAAGCACACTGTCGGTAGCAACACTTTAGATCTTGCGCTGGTCCTACCCATGGATGCCTTAATTGGCCCATTGGCACGTCGGCGTATGGATAGGGAACTACGACTAACTCGACTCCGTGCACGGCCCACCTCTTCGTCTGAGTTTATCACCCTTCATTCCATCATTCGTGGTGCCTTGGTCGTCCCCAATTTCACTAACAAGGGAGATTATTTTCTTGTTGATTATGTTGATACCGACATGTTTCTTCGTACCAGACATTTGCTACAGTAGTACCGGTTCATCACCCACCTGTTTCCTTGCGCCATCCAATGCCCCCCTCCCCATCAAGATCTCAAGTAAAACTCCCGCATTTCATCGTGTACACCCTCCATCACCCTCCTCATCTAACCACCAAGTCAAGTTCCCGCATTTCATCGCATATGCCCTTCCCCACACCACCCTGCACTCACCCTCCAATTATCAAGTCAAGCTCCCGCATTTCATGGTATATACCCTTTCCTGCACCAACCTGCACTCACCCTCCAATTCCCAAGTCAAGCTCCCGCATTTCATCGCATATACCCTTCCCCACAACAACCTGCACTCACCCTCCAATTCCCAAGTCAAGCTCCCCCATTTCATCGCATATGCCCTTCCCCGCACTGACCTGCACTCGCCTCAATTCCCAAGTCAAGCTCCCGCATTTCATCGCATATACCCTTCCCCACACCAACCTGCACTCGCCCTCAAATTCCCAAGTGAAACTCCCGCATCTCATCACATATGCCCTTCCCCGCACTGACCTGCACTCGCCTCAATTCCCAAGTCAAGCTCCCGCATTTCATCGCATATACCCTTCCCCACACCAACCTGCACTCGCCCTCAAATTCCCAAGTGAAACTCCCGCATCTCATCGCATATGCCCTTCCCCGCACCGACCTGCGCTCACCCTCAAATTCCCAAGCGAAACTCCCGCATTTCATTGCATATGCCCTCCATCACCCTCCTCGTCTAACTCCCAGGTGAAGCTCCCACATTTCTTCACAAACACCCTCAGAACTTGACACTGACTCGTTTTGCAGGTCTGTTCTTGCTGCCTCATGTTGATGCTCGGGTACCTTCAGCACTGTCAATGATTCATTTCCGCTTTCTGCATGGGGACTGTAACACGCAATGCTTGTATTATGTATTCAGGTAAGCCGCAAAATATCATCACACAGGGTATCATTGGCATAACTGATATTATGTATCTGAATCAGTCCTGCAACATGTCAATGACGCACCGCACTATGACGTGCATGCCTGATGTGATGAGTCTCCATTTAATTTGTGCGTGTGATGTTGATGCTGATGCTGTTGCCTTATTACATCAACCGACGGGTCTTATTCTGACACGATCTAGACGACGCTGCAGTCTGAATTAAACAAGTCTAAGGTGTGTGTTTTTATCTAATAGAACAATGTCACGCATTACAGTCAACGTTGCGACGGCCCCCATAACGCATGTCAATGCGAGAGTTGATTTAAAGCTTGTGCGACTGACTGAGACTCCAGTCTGCCATTCTTCGACTCTGCCTCACTGCGCTCTCTGCTAATACTGAGACTGATATTATGCGTCCAATTCAGCAAGGCGAAGACTTTACGCGAGAAATTGAAGACATCAACAGCAACTCCAGTGACACAGACGGATCTGATGGTGATGATTCAGATTCAAATGATGATGCAGACTTATTGCGGATTCGCGATGCAATTGTCGCCCCTGCTGCTAACGCATCAACTCAAGATCTTCGCAAAGTAAGTTAATTCCGTCTTTTCGTTACATACGGACAAATGTTTGTGATAGTGATCATTGACATATCTACTATAGGCACTTGAACTTGCGCAAAGACTTCTTCTGGACATGCGCGGGAAGTACCGAGAGGCTTTGAAGAAGAACGCTTTGCTTGAGGCAACAGTTTCAAAAGGTCGGAAGACGAAACTAACCAAGAATGACCTTGCCCTCGCCGCCAAGGAAGACAGCATCAGAAATCTTGGACGCAAGTTCTCTGTCACGCACTGCTTATGGGTCGAAACGTCTATCTTCCCTTTGCGTGGGCCACCTCCCAGAATCGACCTCTCGAGCAAGGAGCGGTGGCTCTCACCGTTATCGATTCAGGATGGCGTTAAAGCCGAAATTTTCCAATTCATTCCCCCAGTCGACCACAATATGATGGCTCACAAAAACTTTGGCTCCCATGTATGTGCCATAATCTGAGACCCTCCTCAATCAACTGACCGTCTTTCCAGTTTGTGAAAGGTGTCAATAATGTTCGCGCTGAAATGCTCTCAGACATCAAGTCATGTGCAGCAGCGATTTTCAGTCTGGATGCCAAGTTCTTCATAAGAGGTTACGCACGGGACACAGAGCCAGCTTGCCGAACTCTGCTCCTCAACCCCCAAGGCATATATACCAAGTTTGCTCCAGTTCTTTTCCCGCGTCCAGACCGTCTCGCCAGAGATGATTTTCTGAAAACATCGAAGCTTGTTTATGTAGGTTCTTCCCTTCCTTTAATTCCACTAAACTGAATCACATTCATAGGTCTTGAAAGCATCCCTTTTTGGCCGATCTTCACTCGCTGCCAACGCAGTCCCCACTCCAAAAACGAAGGCCAAAATATGGGAGTTACGCGCTGTAACACCTGGCCTCATCGCAGCAGCAGCCGTTATTGTACGCTTCTTCTTCTTACACTGCGGAACATTGATATTTACGCATTTCAGGCTATATTTGTCCTATCCGGCGACAAAGAGTTGGTTGAAGTCGGCGACAAATCCCGGATTCCATACAAAGACTACCATAACTACTACCGACAATCGCTGCTAACCGGAGGTGCCTGGGCAAACGGGGTCTTCACGTTTTTCAACAACGCGCTGTTTGCGACATCTCATTCTGCCTCAACTATCCTCGGTTCAGACCCCTCACACGACTCGAGCGGTCCACAGGACAGCTGGGAAGAAATGTTTGAGCACGCAATGGAAACCGGAGGCGAACTACCAGAACTAGATGCAGTTGGCCCTGTCATCGATTCAGAGGCGCCCACCACACCTCCTGCTGCACCTCCTGCTGCACCCCCCGCTGCACCTCCCGCTGCACCTCCTGCCACACCTCCTGCTGCACCTCCTGCTATACCCGGTCCCCAATCAATCTCTGCCGCCATGCAAGGTTTAGCTTTAGCTGAGGACGGTCGTCGAGACCCACCACCTGCAGCGCAGCCAGTACTTGATGAGGACGAGCTGGAACCACCTGCTGTCCAGAAGCCGAAGCCAAGGCCAAAGCCAAAGCGGAAGGGCAAGGCCGCCAATGATACTAATACTACTACCAGTGCTGACCCGGAGGATCAAGCTCCTGGAAAGGAACCTGAGGTTTTGTTGTCAGTAGTCAGTGGCAGTGGTGTGTGAAGGGGCCGATCAAGGATCACTAAGTAGACTGTCTTCATCCTGCGCTCAACGATTGTTATTACCTGTAATTCAATACCTGGACAATCCCTTACTTTCAAATAGAATTGTCTGCTGGTTAAATTTTCACGCAATGCATCATCTTAAATCCATTGATTGTGACATTAGCTAGACATGCAACTACAATACAACTAAGTAGAGATTTTGAATCCGAATCAACAGAGCGACGTCGACTCGGACAAGAATTCAGCCATCTGAATCAATCATTGTCATTGCTATGTCTATGTTGACGCCATTAATTCAATACATAATGATTTATAATAATAATTAAACAGTACCAAACAATAACCGAACTTGGAATGTTTTGGAATCACTCTCATTCACTTACATTCCGACTACCATGTCCCAATGGATTCCCTTCGCCACTGTCACTCAGCAATCTTCTCAACAGAATGGCGCATTGCCCCCAATGCCTTCGACATCACAACCTATTCCACCTGCGCAGCCGACGAATTTCCCTGAAGCAACATGTATCAGTGGAAGCGCTGGCAGCCGCGAGCTCTGGTATGTCTGCCCCATTTCCCTCTGTCTGACCCATCTGAATCCAACCCCCCTGCAGGAATTCGGTATCGACATTATCGGTGAAGACAACAAGACCACCATCCACCACAAAGTCGCTGCCCACGTAGAGGCCATCCCAACATCCGCCTCTCTTCCTCCCAACATCCAGGCGAACTCCAGAAGAGCCATGACACTGGCGCAGAACTGCACTCCCTGAGCTCTTCAATGAATGACATTCACGACACGCTCAGTGGCTCGGTGTAAGTGGTCTGTCCCCGCCACTCTCTTTATTCCTACATACTGACTATCCCCCTTCCCCATAGCCCAAAACCTACCACACTTCCCCCAATTGCTCCCTCCCATGCGTTCACAACAAGCCTCGACCACCTCTGCACCCACACCCGCATCTGCCGCGCCCGCAAACCCAGAACCCCTGCACCTCCTCCCATGCGTTCACAACAAGCCTCGACCACCTCTGCACCCACACCCGCATCTGCCACGCCCGCAAACCCAGAACCCCTGCACCTCCTCCCATGCATTCACAACAAGCCTCGACCACCTCTGCACACACCCGCATCTGTCGCACCCGCAAACCCAGAACCCCTGCACCTCCCCCAGAGCACCCTGGCCTTTCTCCTTCGAGCTCGAGTCATGCTGACTCAAGTCGTTGCCCACTCTTCGCAGTATGTGAGTGTCTTGATCCTCCTTTGAGCTCGAGCTATGCTGATCCATGTCGTTGCCCACTCTTCGCAGGATGTGAGTGTCTTGATCCTCCTTTGAGCTGCGCTCAGAGCTACATGAGACCCAAACCAGCCTCGCAAGCCACATCGACAAGGTCCGCGCCCAGCTCCGTTTCGTTTCGTTTGACGGAACGGTTTGCTGATGCGGCTGATGTATTTAGGATTCGCATTTACAATACGCGGGTATTGAGTCTATAATGTTGCAATACCTATTTACAGTAGCGATTGTATTATGTATTTGGATAGTATTGCAATTTAAAAAAATTGATTTCAAGCACACGCAATGATTTTAAGGCCTTGGATAGTATTGCAATTAAAAAAAATTGATTTCAACCACACGCAATGATTTTAAGGCCTTGGAAGGACATGTGACTGATATTTGACTTGCAATTTGCTCTTAAATTGGAATGGTCTTGGGACCGCCTTGGAAGCCCCCTGGTGTCGCTTTCAAGCGGCTTCCAAAATTTTCGGGTTGCCTTCCAAGCGAGTTGTAATGCCGCCGGCAAATTGAGGGCTTCCAATTCATTTTAAGGACCGCCAACCAAAAATAGAAATCTCCGACAGTCAGCATCAATCGACCCAGACTGTGTCTCTCACTGAAAAAAAAATTGAATCATTTCGCTCACCTCTCCAATGCGCTTCGGCATTAGAGGACAGACGACACAACAGACAAAGGGTACAGGTATGCCCGGAGGGCCATTGCGAATATATATATGTTTCTCACTACCTCGGTTCGGGCCTTACCGACACTTGGCGGTGTAAATCTCGCGTCCCGCACTTGATGGGCGCTTTACAGCGTCGCCATGCACATTTGCGGCGCCCCAACAGCGCCACGACGCGTCCTCAGCCACCTGTTTGCTGTCCAATACATTTTTGTCCTCAAAAACAATTTTTCGCATGCCTGTAGATAGATGTGTGAACTAAGTGCAAATGAATGTACTTTACAATATCATATGTACATGTTCTACTGGAGTTGCAGACTCAAAACTCACACCACACAGACATCATTAGGGCTGCTGCTACCCACCGCTGACCGCAGGACTTCATGCCCCCGTCGTGACTCGTGACTTCATAGACGCACCCCGAACCTGCCTGCAGTTCATCAGGAAATGTGCAGAGGGGCCTGGATAGCCTGGAGAGTCTGGCTCCAGGCTATCAGGCAACCAGATTCGAGCCTGGCTCCAGATGAATCTGCCATGACCAGATTGGCATAACTGGTACCAGATCACTACCAGATTGCGCATTTTTGACACTTTTAATTGCCAATGTCAGGAGTTGAACTTGAGACCTCATGGTGTCAGAATTAATTATCAACAACAACATACTTACCATTTCACCATAGTAGCTTTATTCTCCCTGACTCAAAATGACATATATACCATTTCTCAAGTCCCTTTATATTGTGAAATTTAATCCATTGTTATGAGACAAACTATTCAAATACCCAGATCTCATTATAACCTACTCATTGACTTCTTATTTAAATCCAGGTGTTATACAAAAACATATTACCATGAGAATAAAATATATAGTGAGGGTTAGCACTACTGAGAAGCAAACACCTACCAGATCACCAGGCCATCCAGGTCACCAGGTCACCAGGTCACCAGGTCATCCAGGTCATCCAGGTCAACACCAGGACATTCAGGTGCTCACCAGGTGTGGCCAGGTGCCTGGATGTAGAAGTAGATTGTCAGATGATGAAGTAGCACTATACACAATATTTTAATATAACATCTTTGCTCTAACTTCAGTTTGTCATGTGTGAGAAGTAAACACCTACCAGGTTGCCAGGTCATCCAGGTTGCTGCCAGGTCATTCAGGTGCTCACCAGGTGCAGCCAGGTGCCTGCACATTTGCTGATGTTGAGAACCGGGGTTCTCCGGCCCGCCGGTCATTGACAGAATTTACATTAGCTAATCGTGAATTTTTCGAGATATCCTGACTAGCTAGTACTTTGTGCACACGGCGGGCGGGAAGGGTAGTATATCTAGTACGAATGTCATCGTCGTTTGTCCGCCAACATCCCCGCTCCCTCGCATCCATCCTCTCGCAGTATGACCCTGGTCTCAGACGACCCTAATTATTGGCCACTCATCAATTCATATCGTATTGGCAGCTATTTTGCAAGTTCGTGAAGAGCAGATGTTGACGCTGATGTCTCAATCTTACCTTGACTGTGGTTTTGCAGTTGCCGCCTGTGTTGGAGTGACGTATGATTGGGGTGAGCATGATAATGGCATTAAAGAATGGCTCATTTCATACAAGTAGTACCAGCCCTTACACTTGGACAAGAGGTATGTTGATGCTATGACCGGAGCCGCCATCTCATTACTAAGAATGATTTTGTAGGTCGAACTGGTCTGGGTGAGCAGAGTTCCACGTCAGAAGAACACCATTGATTTGCGACAGAGGCAACGTTGGTCCCTCATGACCGTCCTCTATCTGAGTGTATGTATCTTGCCTGTTGTGAAGTTGTGCTGACTTGACAATAACCTAGGTGCGCTATCTTGGAGTATTATTTATCATGTATGTTCAGAAGGTCAAATAATTGATGTTGTGCTAATCGACCATCTCTCACACTCAGCCTCGACATACTGGGTATGTCTTCTCACTTTGAGATTGTTCGTTTCTTCTGACCTGCGGCATACAGCCAGTATTCCGGCGGTCTCGTTGACGAATGCAGTGAGTCTTCTTCACCGATGCCTGCTATTCCCGTCCAATTGACCACGGCGCGCTGTAGGGGTGAGTGTCATTATTGACCAGCTTCTTCGTTCACTGTTATGAATTCCACAGGTGTGAGTGTGTTTGGAGTGTGGGATCCACCTGAGCCTGATAACTAACTGGATACCTCAGGCCGGATAGTGTACATCATGTGGGATTGTGTGAACATTGTGGTATTTCCAATGCTGTGTGGTGAGTTGTGCAATCACAAGGCCTGTGATATTGAGTTGACCGAAACATCTTGCAAGTCATCATGATCGCTCGGTTACATGCTATGTATCAACGATCCAGAAGGATCCTGATATTTCTCGTCGTGGTGTGCTTAGCTGTCAACATTTTTGACGGAGTAGCCGCCGTAATGTCAATGTGGAATATTTCAATGGGTACGCTTAATTGTGAATGGAAAACGTGCATGAGGCTCATTGATGAACACCAGAGGAACTCGTTGTCTTCGGCACCCATATGTGCGTGGCTAGCGGTCCGCATGAAGTCGCAGTTCTGGATGGCATTATTTGGATACTCAGCCCTATATGGGAGGTCCTCGTATTGTGTCTTGCAGTCTGGATTGCTGTAAAACCCTTTCGTGAACTGCGACAACATTCGACAGGAGGGGTTATCAGGGACTGTTTCGCGGTGTTGATAAAATTCCACGTGCTTTATTTTGCGAGGTGAGCTCATATTGTGAATATCGTTCCCTTTTCTGCTGAATGATTGAACGTGGTAGTTATGTTGCTGGGTCTTGCTTCAAACTCGTTTGTTATTGGTCTCCAACGATTTCAGCGGTATGCCAATCTTTCACTGACCTGTGCATGCGACCACGGTTCATCATTTCTATAGAATCCATTTTCCCTGGCAACTCAGCTTTTTCTTGGTGTTCTTCAAATTTTGACAGTCGTACAGTCCTTCGTGCTGGGACCACGCCTCATCCTTAGCATTCGAGAATATAACGCTAAGCTCGTGGTCGACTCCGACGCAGCAACCGCCATGACCTCAATCGCTTTCCAGGAGCGCGTGCATGTATCGACTGGCAGTGGTGTGTAGCACAGGAGATAACTGATGAAATTAATGGTAGTCTGGTACTCTGCAGGGAGCCGGAGAATTTACATTGTTCTTGATTTCAATGGTACTTATTTATTTGGTGTTGCGAAGTGGATTTCAAGCAGACATGGGTTCTTGGCAAATGTTTCGTTGTAATATGTATTTGATTTTTTTTTGTTTCGACAAACGTTGAAAGAGACAGGACGAGGTATCGAGTCCGAATGCGATAATCATTATGGAGTGGCGTGAATATTAATTTTTGGTTCTAGTATCGGTGCACACACACGGGGAGCTTGAATATTGACATTGACATTGAATATTTGAATGATGGCGTAGTACTGACGAGGATATCTGAAATTCATGAAAGTGTCGAGTTCACACAGCGCGGATCATAATTGACAGTCCGGACTCGAGAGAGGCGAGATGTGCCATTTGACTTGTTCGTTTATTTGCGTTCTCATCCACATCACATCCCTGCCCTAGCACGAATGTGTTGCGTCACGGCGCTGTTATATTTATACAATGCAGAAGCATGGTCTAAAACTCGCTACTTACTTCCCGTCACGCGAGAACGTGATACATGTCTGTCCTTGCTGATGTGCCGAGTTGCTGATCGCCTTCAAGAGCTTGCCATCGTGGCTATTCAAAGTGCAGGGCTGAGGAGATTCAACACTACATGTGCAGGTGGCTCTTAGTAAGGAGTATGAAGAAATCAGTATCATGAAAGTTCGTGAACTGTCATCTATGGCTATCATGACAGTCTTGGGAGAGGATAGAAAGACCAGATGCCACATCGTAGATCGAAAACTGAAAACAATCTCGGCAAAAACTAACGCGAGACAATGCTCTCACTCTGCCCTCTCGTTCGGCCTCCCAACTGCAGTGAACGTTTCGCGCCTAGTGACAAATCATCATTTGCACGAGAGAAGAAGTCATCTTCGCCCTCATATGGAGAAGTTCCCGAATTTATCTGTGCGGCAGCACCACAACATTTGATGAGCCAAATTTAGATCATGGGGAGACAGTCCCTTGGCAATGAGTCTAGAAAGACTTACCCACTGCTTGAGAACATCTGCTACACGACTTGCTTCCTCGACGTTGAAGGTTACACCAGTCCCCTTCTCGACATGGAGCCGCATGAGCTCACTCAGCGACCTGGCCTTCCTACTCTTGTTTTCCCCAGGTGCGCTGCAGTCGGCCTGCACGTCCTCCGCCGGAAACGGGACCGAGTGTCGTGGTGCTTGCGTCTGAGGCACTATAATATCACTTTCTGAGCGGTCCCAGTCCTCATTCAGGCTCAGCGAGAGGCTGCTCGTCGTGAAACTCTCCTTTGATGACATAGCTTAATTATAGCCCCAGTTCTTGGCACGGCCAGGAGGTGATGGGTGAGGCGGAGCAGACGAAGTAGGAGGGATTGTAATGATTAATGTCGAAGCCAGTAACTCCTGCGCCACTTCCGACCACGCCGCGTGAAACCTTCTTGTTCACGTCGTCCCTTCAAGTTGCGCGGGAGTCACGATCACGTGTCTGTGTGACAACGCGGTCACTCATCTTTGTTATGCATAGCACATACTTCCTAGTCTTCATTTATGACAACACAATTAAACAGATAATTGTACAACAGGTACGAAGTAGACATTGGCATAAAACTGCCATAGATGATTGCAACATGGAGAAGGCCATCATTGTCCCAAACATCGTGTCTTTAAAGTGCGAAAGCCGCCAAGTAAGTAATTGACCGACATCCATTGCTCCAGCGCCTGTCTTTCTCTGAAATATACATGCGGTGGGTCACCAAACCAAGGGGCAAGATTCACCCCCGCCAAATTAGGGAAAAGGCTGCTGAGGACAAGAGCCACGTCCCATGGAGAGCTGATCAGCGAGTTACCGAGGACAAGTTCTTGCAGACCACCATTACGAATACCATTGCCGCGGGATGTGACGACTATGCCATCAAGCTGCGTGGTATCGATAACAAGAGAGATAGAGACCAATTTAGGGCAAAGCCGAAGCACGTTGATGAGTCCATGGAAGGTAGGCAGACTAGTGCTGCCGGGGTGGTGAAGATAACTGAATTTGAAAATTTTGAGCTTAGGCCATAGGTCTACCAGCTCGCTTAGTTCGTCATCGGAGATCGAGAGGGTACATGCTGCCTCGATATCGAAATGGGTTAAATTGTGAAACAGTCGCAGTGGGCTGAAGTCGCTCGGTTGCGCGAATGTGTTAACGAGAAACCGTTCGCCGAGTGTTATGGCCTCGAGAGTGTCTTTGTCGCATCTTTCTAGGAGCATGCCGCAGAACCTGGATATAGAACCGGATTGCTGTTCGAACACGGTAATCTGAAAGATGGCGGTAAAATGCTTGGTTTGAACGGTTCGGAGATAACGTAAGACGTCTGTTATAAGGTCGAGTCCGGGAGCTTGAAGGCCCAAGTGATCCAGATGTTTAAAACTAAGTGATTGTGGTGACAACCGCGTGCGTCGGAGAAAAGTCGGCGCTATGTAAAGCCAAAATGTCTTCAGAGACTCTAGCTGCGTAACGTGCTTCATCCCTGTATCATCTAGGTCGCACACACTCAAGGCGGAAAGATTACGGAGCTGACATATCGCAGGTGTCAGGAAGGGCGCAAAGTCGTGATGAAACGTCGGGTCATCTATTTGAGATCGAAAGTAGGTGAGATTAGGACATGTGGCCCCGATAATGGACAGGATGGACATCAAGGCCGGCGAAATTGAGGTAATGCGTAGATTCAAGGAAACCAGGGAAGGTACCAATGCCATACGCAAGAACTCGAGGGCGAGGTGGATTTGTGTGCAATTCCAAGTCAAACTTCGAAGATTTGGAAACATGGTCGAGGATGGATAAGATAGCACTAGTATACGAAGATGTTCAATAATGAATGATGGATCCCCGGATTGTGTGATCGAGCGCACGCGTGGCGCGTATTTATCAAAAATGTCCCAGGCCTTTTTATCGATGGGCTTGAGCAGTATCTGCACATACCTACTGAGTAATCAATGGCGCGAGTATGAAATGCCTACCCGTTCTCCTGGGGGACTGCCCCAGGTATGCGTTGGTAGACAGCTGACGATGATAGGCTCTAGGGATGGCAAATTCCTCCATAAGGCATCAAGTGCTGGACGTTCAAATTTGCGACACGTCAACGCAAGACCAGGAAGTGAGCCACGATCAGTGTGCCAGCTGATCTCTAGCATAATTTCGGCAATGCGCAGAGCTCGATGCATGAGGTTGAAAACGGAAATACAGATTCGAGAGCGTGATGAAAAAGCGAGCTGGCATACTCGACTCTTTAAAGACAGAATGCGCCAACTGGTAGATGAACATGGGTCCCCACGTATGAAGGATGTATGGGACATGCGGTCCATGAAGGAAGGGATGGTATACTACCGTATTGTCACTATTGTTGTCGTGAACAATTGTGGCTGAGTTGTATTTGTATTTATTTGTAAGCTGATTAGGGTAGGATTGAATTTGGATCGATCCATTACCGCCACGCACGGTTCATTTTGTATTTTGTTGTATCTTCTTAACTTTGGCCGAAACTTGCTCTCTTAAACATTCTAACAACTCACTAAAGTCTTCTACTAAACCACCAGCGACACCCCTTTCAACTCTTTTTTTTGAACATTTTCTCATATCTTTATATCAACACTAGTTCGTATTTCCAACATGTCATTCGCCGAAGTTGGTTCCGAATCCCTTAGGCCGATCCTTCTACGCTCAAGTACACCAGGCATGTCTCTATCATCATTTTCATCATATCGCTTTATCTCATCACTTTATTCCCTTTTATTCCTTTTCCGCAGCTCCCAATGAGAAAGGTAAGCCCTTCTCTCCTCAAATTTTCCATCCACCGAACTCATTGTGTCATATCCTTCAGTATTGCTATACCTAGAGGGGATGCAAAGAGAGTCTATGGGTCTCGGCTCACCTACTTCTACTCTCATTCGTAATGGTCTCCCATCTACAAGGCGCAGCGCCTTTGGCAATGATGACGGCGCCTCCGATCTAGACTCAAATGTTCAGGATGGCCGAAAGACCGAGATGTCTATCAATGCTCACTCTGCAATGGTGAGCATCAATCACATTCATTTTTTTTTTTGAATTTCGTCTGGATTTCCCATGATGTTAAACGACGTACTGCCAGCATGAACCTGGTCCTCAGGATCCCCCAGGTCCGCGTTATGAGTCTTTTGATTCTGGCCCTTCGTTTGGCAACAAGGGCCCTTTGCCTGGCTTTGGGCCCAGTAGCGGGGCACCTCCCTGGAATACTTGGGAGGTACGTCGCCATCGGGCTCACATTCTCATATCTCCATTTCTACCCTTGTACTCATTTTATCCAGCATTCTACAGTGGCCGGCGCAAGAGTACCTCTTCCAACCTCTATCACCTCCCCGACCACTTTCAACATCAACATTGAACCTCCATCCACACCCAGCGGTTCCAAGTCACGCAAGTCTACTTCTCAAGCCAGTGGTGCCCCGCCAAAATCACGCAAATCAGCGGCTTCCATAGTTGAAAGTGATTCACGGGACACCGTTAGAGGCGTATGTATTTTAGCGTCATCAGCCATACAGGTTATTGATAGATATGTTCTAGCATCACAATACTCCAAGCAAGGCACATACAGCACGCAGCGCAGCACCTGACGAAGTTCCCTTGTCCCCTCGCCGATCACGAGCCGGATCAAGATCACAAGTTCCTACTGAATATCCTCCTTTACCCCCCAGCACATTGCTTAGCCCGTCAGGCCGAACGAGCCAGCTCCCTCTCTCTCCGCGATCGCACCACCGTGCGCCAAGCGTGTCGCCATCTGACTCTCCCAGTCAAGCCCCATTCAAGGCTGCCAAGATGGCGGCGAAGGAGAGGGAACAAAGGGAAAAGGAGAAGATCCGCTCAGTTGTGAGTGGCGGCCCCATGAGTGATGTCGATGGTGCTGCATCAAAACGCGGAGGTCCAAGTGCTGCTGGCAGCCCAATGTCTCCTTCACATCATAACCGCCCGTTCTCCCCTTACCGTCATGCCCCCACCCAAGAAGACTTACTATTTGCTGCAACAACCCAAGTCCAGAGGCAGGCGTCTTCACAATCGAATGCGTTGTCTCAGTTGAACGTGAATACATCTCAGCTGGACGGCGGGGGAGGTGGCAGCAAAGTATCTCATGTGTCGCACCATTCCCACCACACTCATCAATCCCATGTCTCACATCAGTCGCATCATTCACATCACACTCATCAATCCCAGTCTCGCGCTCGCTCGCCAGCACGCGTAGAAGAAGATGGCAGAGCGACGCCCACACCTTCTCGTCCGCATTCTCCGTCGTTCTCCCTGAACCAGGCTGAGGAAGAGATGGTGGCAAAGGCACTGGCCGAACGTGGCGCTGGTAATCGCACTTCGTACGCTCCAAGTGCACTTGAACCAGAAATTGTCGACTCTCACTTCCACGATATGGACCTTTGCATCTTGCTTCATCAAATGGACGATAACGCGACCCATGAGGTAGTGAAGAAAGCGTTGCGGAAAGCATTGAGGCAGCGCGTCAAGAAGTTGGGCATGAAATACGACCAAGATGTGCGCTCAATTCATTATATTTTATGTTCCATGATGTCTCACATACTAGCAGTCCATGCGACAGTACAGGAAGTCGTTTCATGATCATGATCCTAGCGTTCATCTGGATGCAACTTTCCAGACCGGCACAGTGAGTTGCTCTCATTGTTTACGATGTTCGGGTCTGACACCAACTCTGCAACAGCAAGAGCCACCTGAGTGGGCCAAAGAGCTTATGAACGGAATGATTAGAGTCCAAGAGCGTCTCGAAACTCTCAGCCCTCAGTCGTTGAATGTGCCCATGCCACCTCGCAGTCAGCAATCATATGCCGAGTCCTCTGCTTCTCGAGATCAATACCGAGGAGAGACGGAATACTCAGAAAACATGGATCAGTACGGTCAAACCCCGCGCACTCAAACCGTGAATATCAACACGCAGCCGACCGGCACTATTCCAGAGTCGATGTATCAAAATGAAACTGCTATCATTGGTACGTTTTCTTGTTGCGTAATCGAGATGAATATCCTGATGGATTATAGTTGAAGAGGATGATGAAATCTATGGTGATCACACCGAAATTGAGCAACGGTTCGGTGCTGGTACGATCACCGAGACACGGGGAGGTATGAGCGAGTTTTTGGCTGGGGATCGAGACGACTCTCCGGGCCAGCAGTTCTTGGAGGAAGAGCTGTACAAGCTGCGTGTCAAGCCTGGAGGAAGCCAGTCGGCCATCACGCACAAGACTTGGGAAGTTGCGAGAGATGACCAGGACGAGTTCGAGGAGGGTCAAGGAGCATTCACTGAATCTGGTCTACCTGAAATTCCTGACTCGGGCAACTACACCGAGCGTCGTCAGCCCTCTCCACCTCTACCGCCAATCCCCGGACAGGAGGTCATTCGACGCGATATGGTGCCTTCTCAAAACTCGCATGTTTGGAATCCCAGTCACGACTATGGCGACTCCACTCCCCCGCCGTGGCAACGCATTCACCAGCGTCTCCTCAGTTGGGCTATCATATGGCCGATGAGCGAGATTGATGCAGCCCTCAACAGCACAACTCGAGGGCAGCAGGTGGATGAAGTCGCGCTGAGCATATGGTCGACCCAGACTTACAAACGATATGTGAGAAGCCGCATGACTGATACACCGGGCGGGCGCGTGGACAGGCTTTTCGTCCCTCCGAACATGGCCGATGCGATCAGCACTGCTGTTTTCAACGGCCGGCACGGAGACGCATGTGGAATGTTGAGGGACCTTTGGGCGCCTTTTGGTTTTGAGGGCGCTCCGAGATTGATTGTTGTGCTTGCGAAACATCGATCGGATGCAGGTCATTGGGTCGTCCACAGGTTGGTGGTTAATTGCTTCTACTTCTTTGCGCAATTTAACGAGTCTCTTGTCTTAGATTCTCACTCCCTGATGGTGCACTCACGACATACGACTCATATCCTGAACGGACTCTTCCCGATGGACGGGTGAGTAACCTGATATAATCATACACTCAGCAGGCGCTAATTTCCCTCCTAGCCTCTTGGTTGGTGGTTTGCTATCCGAGTAGCATGGCCAGGTGCCATTTACGCAAACCCGGACCACCTCATGCAAAAGATGGTTCGCCTCCACCGTCCGATGCAGCTCAACATCGACAACTCCGTCGCTGCTGCTGGAATCTGGCGAAACGTGCTCATGGGCTCTCGCGCAGAACGCAGTCTTGACTTGGAACGTCTTCGGGATCTGATTAACACGGAGGTGAAGAATTTGAGGCAGCGAAAACAGCAGGGGAAGTTGTCGATCAGCTCGCCTAAAGCGAATTGGGAGGAAGTTTAGTTACTTAGATTATATATATACATGGACTGGGTTGATTGATTGGTTATTGTCGTGCTGGATCTGATGTATGTACTGTATGGATATGGCAAAGACCTGCTTTTCCATGTTGCTTGTTGGTTTGACTTTATCTGAGAACTCATGTTTTGGGAGATCAGTGCTACTGTATGCCTCTGATCTCCATCAATATTTAAGCACGAATAACCGGCGGTTCGGTGGCTATTGCGTCCACCCCGTCATGCTATGCTGACACGCGTTTTTGCCGTTGGTCTGTACCGATGACCCGAATGATTCGCGTCATTTGATATCGTTGCTCTGCGTTCTCCTATTTCCTTGCGCGCACTGTATGGCGCTCTGCAGAAAAGATTTTCTGGCGATACGACGGATTCGAATTCATCGCCACTTCAGACAGTGGTGATCTCCGTGTCAATGTATTTATGTTTGGTGCGAATACAGCTTCCGCCGAAGATGGTATCTATCTGTTGGACGTGCACGAACGACTATTCTCGACCTCCGCACTGACCCCTTCGCTCACGGTCAATTATATACAGCGTTATCGAGAGTAAGGACACAGAGAGACGCACTATCCTTATTTACGGAGACGAACGAAGAACAAGATTCTGCAAACATTGTATTTTCCGAGTTATTATTTTAAACGCAATGCTGCAACTGCCGACCGAAGGGAGTCCTTGTATACAATATCAGCCATATCATAACACACCTAGTCGTCTTTAGAATCATATATACAATATCAGCCATATCATAACACCCCTAGTCGTCTTTAGAATCATAACGCCCAAATCCGCATGCCCAAACCTTCTGCCAATCTTCACGAGCATACCTAAAGTGTAAACGAGAACGGGACACCTTGAAACGAACATCATCCGACACAATACACTCCTCTCCGGGACCCCTCTTGATAAACCCACTCGCTACCCACGGAACAGGGTGGCGCAGCAAGGATGCAGACAACATCAGCACCTCCACATGCAAGGGCAATCCCGTTGTGATCAATGCGGATGAATCGAAAGGGCGTCTGACATGCGCATAGGCCAATGACACTGTTTGAAGCTTCTGGAAAGAACCCCATGGAGTGCGCTCCATCCACTGAGGCAGGTTGTACATTTGATCATAGATCAGAGCATGGGCAAGCCAACAAGGGTCCATTCCCTCGTCGTACAAGAAATTCATATCAGCAAGCTCAGCCCATCCCTGGGGGGTGTCCGTGAGGGGTCCCCATGGGGTGTTGTTGGACGTGTTGTTGGAGGCGAGGTGAAGGATCGAAGCAACGAAAGCAGATCCATGGGAAGTACCCATCAGGAACTCCCATGGTCTGACGCTATCTGCCTTACCAGATAGCGTCAGAGTTTGGGTTTTCCAAGGAGGCGGGGAGTGTTCGTTGTTGACGTCTGTGTCTGTACGGGATTCCCATGCAATTTCCAGGCAGTCTGAAAGAAGGTCCAGACTTGTCCAGGCAAGGGCAATGGAGGGCGCAGTGAGTAGCACCGGAGCCAGCAGGCCCATGGCACGCTCGCGCTCAGACGCCGGTTCATAGCCCAGGGTTCTGAGCAAGTTAGGTTCTGCAAGATCCCCGTCCTCTCCAATCCAAATTTTCTGTACGAAAGATGCGTACTCGAATTGGAAGGGGCTGCTTTCTTGAGCATATGCTTCCTGTATATGCAGAGCTTCCACAAACTTTCTCACGTTCTGAGATTTTGGGAGCGATACGGTGTGCAGTAAATAAGGAAGCACGATCTCCCTGAAATTTTTGGAGACAAGACATAGCGAAAGAGTGGTCGAATAGGGATTATGATCAGCATATTTTTCAGCTTGGGAAAAAGTTGGCTGTGCAGCCTCTCTGATGATGAGGAGGACAAGCTCAGCTGGAAAGAAGCCAAATGGAGATCGGGTGATAGGTTGAGATGCCATGATGAGTGAGTAAGATGTGAAGCTGGTTTGAAGGAGCCCTGCCTTTAATACTCCCCCATGATTTGCGGCGTCAAAGACAGTAGTGGAAGCGCATTGTGTGTGGGACCACACGCTTTGATACGGAGGTCTACTGCAGATTCGTTGTTCCTTCGAGGTCATACAATGTGCTTTGCTCTGCCTTGTCCTTGCCTGTTGTGCTCTCGCCCAGTCGTGTACTAGACCTGTGGATTACCATAGTGATGCAAAGGTAGCACGAACTATAGATTCTACCTGGATCTTTATTTCCGAACAGAGTCCATGTATCGGGTTTGGTGGCCAAACTCGATGCGTGTGCACGAGCTCATTCAGATTCTGTCATGGCAGAATGAGTTGCTCCTGGGGAAAATTCACTGCGCTTCAGATCAACGATAGTTTGAGAATGAACGTCCTCCACAAAACAAACACACCTCATTGCTCTCTTGCAGCTGCGCGCGTCATTGAAACTCGAGGTGCCAGTTAACCATGGTTAGCAAATTTGATAGCTTGTAAACATAAAGTACAACACGTGATTATCTTCCGACGTTGTTTTCTCTCTGTGATGGTCAATCGCCGATCGAACTGCTTTATCATTAAGGGAAGTCACCGATCGACCATGGGAACACAGCGTAGATACTGGACTAGAACATGCGCAAGGGTTTGAGGGTTGCAAGGTTACACCACTGAGTCATTCATGCCCCCCTGACCAAGCAACCAAAGTCAATAACGGAGTCAGGCACACCAGGAATAATGAATGGTCGAGACCCTTACCTTGCCACAATCATCATTTTGAGTTCGTCTCCGAACGAGCACATGCATACAAGGAGAAGCGTGTATGACCACGTTTGTCTTGTTTATGTGCAGTACGATCCAGAGACTGCGATGTAAGTAGGCCTATGAAACCGACATTCAATGAACAAATGAACATATAGGCCAAATAAAGAGACCATCGTACGCGATACGGATCAAAGGCTCATGATGGTCTCAGTTAGAGCCTTTACATGATCTGTTTCATCTTGAGGTCGATCAGAGTGCGAGTTAGTAGATCTCCCGATCACCTTGAAAATATGTTCGTAAGCATTGCGAGTAGATACAGACGACTTCGACCATGAAAAAAAGGAGCGGCAGTTTTCATGGTCTGATCAGTGGGATTAGATTTCAACGCACCTCGTACAGTGTTTGAGCATTCGAATCAAGAACATGTCTAGCTTGGTCGATCTGTTCCCTGGAACGCTGCTTATGCTTCTTCTTGGAGGAAGATTTGGCTGCACTCCTGCGGATTTCCTGGGGACCAAGAGCTGCGCGTTTATCTGAAGCCTTGCTAGCCTTCCCCATGCAGTCGAATTCAAGCAGTCTTAGTGCCTTGGAACAAAAGTCAAAACAAAGTCGTCGATTACGTCAGCGTCGCTCCTTGGTTTAATATGATTTTCTAACCCAGCTCATTCACCTCCCAAACTACTAGTACGAGAAATTCACCATTTCTTCTGCTTTCCCTGCGATCTTAAGTCTGGCTATATTGTGAACCTTGAGACTGTTCTGGACTACTCTATCATCAAATTGGACGCAGAATTGAAGGGGGAGCAAAGTTATGGCAGACTCACCAACGCTGAGTGTTACGCTCCTTGGTGCAGGCCAAGAGGTGGGAAGATCATGCTGCGTGCTGCAGTACAGGGGGAAAACCATCGTCTGTGACACAGGAGTGCACCCTGCGTACAGCGGCATGGCGTCCCTGCCATTCGTGGATGAACTTGACTGGAGCACGGTAGACGCGATTTTGATCACTCAGTGCGCGATACGTCCCCCGAAATTATTTTGATGACTTAATTCAATCTTCAGCTTTCACCTTGATCATGCCGCTGCTTTGACTTATATTATGGAAAAGGCAGGCTATAATTTATCCTTGACGAACTTAGCCTTGACGTTATAATAGACCAACTTCAGGGATGGCAAGGGTAAGGTGTACATGACGCATCCCACGAAAGCTGTGCACAAATTCATGATGCAAGATTTTGTTCGAATGAGGTATGTGTGGTACTGATGCGAAGAAAACTGACTCAATAAACAACGACAGTTCGTCATCTTCCGATGCTCTATTCACTCCCCTTGAAATGAACATGTCGCTGTCATCAATAATCCCGGTCTCTGCCCACCAATTGATAACACCTTGTCCTGGAGTTTCGTTCACTCCTTATCATGCAGGCCATGTATTGGGTGCATGCATGTTTCTCATTGATATAGCCGGCCTCAAGATTTTGTACACAGGGGACTATTCTCGCGAAGAAGACCGACATCTTGTCAAAGCAGAAGTTCCCCCTGTTCGGCCGGATGTGCTCATTGTCGAAAGTACATACGGCGTTCAGAGCTTAGAAGGTCGGGATGAGAAGGAGCTGCGTTTTACAAGTCTCGTTCACTCAATTATTAGGCGTGGAGGACACGTACTTCTACCCACTTTTGCCCTCGGACGAGCCCAGGAACTTCTCCTTATCCTCGATGAATATTGGAAGAAGCATCCGGACCTGCACAACGTGCCCATTTATTACGCTTCTAATCTGGCACGCAAATGCATGGCTGTATATCAGACGTACATACATACAATGAACTCGAACATTCGCTCGAGGTTCGCAAAGCGGGACAACCCATTTGTATTCAAGTGCGTGGACCATCACGCTCTCGCAGGCTATCCTGACCCCCTATGATAGGCATATATCTAATCTTCCACAGCCACGCGGTTGGGAACGGAAAATCGCGGATGGCCCGCCATGCGTCGTGTTGGCAAGTCCAGGTTTTCTTCAAACTGGGCCCAGTCGTGAATTGCTCGAACTTTGGGCGCCTGACTCTCGAAATGGACTCATTATTACTGGATACTCTATCGAGGGAACATTGGCTCGGGTGAGTTGCATGTTTTATATGTAAAGTGCCCCACGATTTGCGTGTCTCTTGATGGCAAATTTGGTTTCTGCACTTCATATTTGAGTGGAAGATTCTGAACTTTCTTGAAATCAGGATATCATGACTGAACCAGACGAGATCGTTGGACTGAAGGGCAACACTATCCCGCGAAAAATCTCAGTCGACTATCTTTCTTTTAGTGCGCATGTGGACTATTCTCAGAACTCAGAATTCATTGAGCTAGTGAAGGCTCAACATGTGGTAAGTACCAGTGCAAATTTGACGTCGCTTTGTTCAAACCCTTTTGTCAAAAGGTTCTAGTTCACGGCGAGCAAACCGCAATGGGGCGTCTCAAAGCAGCTATGACTGCAAAATTCAAGGATCGCGACGAGGACGTGAAGATCCACACCCCTCGCAACCTTGAAACTCTTGAGCTGTCCTTCCGTGGCGAACGTGTGGCAAAGGTCTTGATGTTCAATCTTGAACGACACGGATTAATTGACGCAACTGTATCTAGGCGATTGGTACTCTGGCCAATAAGGCTCCTCAAGAAAACGACGTCATATCCGGGTTGCTTGTTTCGAAGGATTATTCTTACACCCTTCTCGATCCGCGTGATTTGAAAGACTTTGCTGGGTTGTCGACCTGTACTGTTACTCAGCGACAGAAGATAGTCCTTGGCGTGGGCTGGGAACTTGTGCGGTGGCATCTGGAAGGAATGTACGGTAGTATTGAAGAGGGTTTAGACAAAGATGGCGTGAAAGCGTTACGGGTAAGAGATATCCAATTCAAGGTAGAAATCCATTGATAGACCTTAACAGGTTATGGGTGCCGTCGATGTCAAACACACTGCAGAACACGAACTCACGCTTGAGTGGGACTCAACCGCAAGTAACGACATGATTGCCGATTCTATTTTAGCTCTTATTACGGGTATCGATAAAAGCCCTGCCTCTGTGAAATGTGGGTGATGTATCCTATTTTCTTTTGTGGATCTTGATGTGTTTGTTTAGTAACCTCATCACAACATTCACATACTCATCACCCTCACTCGGACCATCATGAAGGTGATCAGTCTATCACTAGAATCCAGCGGATCGCATGGTTCTTGGATGCCCATTTCGGTGATGTGGAGCTTCATATGCCCGAATCAGGTGGTGAACAAGATCAAGACCAAGAACAAGGCGAAAAGAGCGAGGCAGCACTGATCGTGCGGATGGATGACTCTGGAGAAGCTGATGCACACATTAATTTAGTGACACTGGTGCGTACGGACGTTGTCGTTTTCATTACACAAGCTCAATTAACGTGTCACAGGTGGTGTCGTGTCAAAGTGACACTGTTCGTAAGCGTGTTGAAGCAGTATTGGACATGGCCATTACAACAGTGAGCTCCCTCACGGAATCTTTCGCTACTGGGGTCAGTGTGCCCCCTGAAGACGCGGACCCGAAACAAGAAAAATCCACCTCACCAGATGGCCATACGGATACTGGAACTGTAGAGGATACGATGACTATTGTAGAAGATACGATACGATGAGTACCCGGTGAAGCTGATATTGCTTTATTATGATTGTAATCGACTTCGTTGACTGCCGTGTCTTCTTTGTAGTGTCGAATGTTTATTGATGATGTTGTACTGATACAGCTCAATAATATGCCCACTATCGAAACCTTCAGGCTGATGGGCAGTATAAAGTGATTCGCGGCTTTGTCATTGTTGAATGGTACTTTACTGACTGTTGCTTTATAATTTCCTTGAGAGGAGTTATCAATGAGACCAAACGTCGTCTCCCAAGAGACGGTCAATATTTGTGACGTGCTCGGTCGCAACCAGCAGACCAATGTGAGTGCTACGATACCAGCGGATCCCCATGAAGAAACATGGGAAAGCAAGGGGAGGTAATTATATACCTTGCTGGTGTCCAAAACTTGAATCGAACACCACTCAACAATCATTAATTCACTGAAGTGCTGAGGTGGCAGGAGAGATGTACACGACATCACAGCAAAGCCTGGGATCGTGATTCATGAATCAAATCTTATTTCAAAACAGCATGCTGGTGAAATCTGTGACTAAATTAGTATAATGTAGAATGTTTATTGTCCGCACACAACGTACATGCACGCACTCGAAAGACGTTTCTGTTCATAGTAGATCTGGATTCTAAAATTGAAGCTCGGATGTTGGCTTGGGTAATGGAGGGTAGGTCGAGGCTGAGCGGGTATATATCGGCCCGCATTTATTATCTTTTCATTATGTAATATTTTGCCCTCTCCATCTTTTGCTGTTATGCTGCCTCGACGCGTCAAATCTATTCCCAACTTTTTGTCTCTCCTGTACTATCGGTATACAAAATATACAAAAACAGATTGGAAATTATCCGTGCTAATGTTGTCGCGACAGGGCACAAGGCAGATGTCAAAATTGAGTCAGGGATCAGCAAGTTATGGCCGTGGTCCTCCGAGTCTAGCAAAGGACTTATGAAATCGGCAACAGAGTCGCTCCGGCCATCTGGTACCATTCCGCATACATTCCGTACAGGTAAAAATCCACGTCGGTGGATAAGAGGACCCCTGATAATGTCTTTGGAACCCAGGGTGGCAGAGGCCCTAACAGGAGAGTGATACGAGCGTTAATCCGTCAGCCGCCGCGTCAGACGCATCACGCTCTTCAGTAGTTTTGTGGCAGGCAATAAAAGGTGTGGTTTGAACTCGCGCAGTCTAACGATATCATACAACTACAACATACTGCTACGCTTCTACCATATCTCACAGTCCAATGCAAACACCATGTCCGGATGACAACCTGGCTCTCCAATACCTTGTCCGGACTCCGGATGGTTCACCCAGGTTGACCCCAAAACTAGACCTTGGATGCCCGGGTTTTATTCAGGACAAATGGTCATTTGAATTGATTTCTGTCCGGATCGCCAACTGGGTTTCATGGGCATTATCAAACATCCTTGGATAATTCGGTGGATTTCCACGGTACACTACCAGTGCCGGGACCTTGGCGACAGGCCTTACGGGGCTAGCTTTAATTGAAGTAGCAAATAAAATACTTCTCTTCCCTTGCTATTCCCTGCGCACCGGGCTATTCACCGTATCCCGTGAACAACTTGCCACCGATAACGTTCTAATGTCATTATAATTTATAAAGCGTCAGTTCTGGGCTCTGAGAATATCTTCGCCGCCCCCAACCCAGCCAGTACCATGTCGACCACGCAAAAGGGAATGCCTTATGGTATGTTATTAAGTGTTCATTTATCGAGGTTACTAATGGACTGGCTACTATGAAGTCCGCCTGGGCAACTCTGGGCTCAAAGTTTCCAAGATTATTCTGGGAACAGCGCAATATGGTGCGTAGAGCGTTTCCTCGCGCATTGAATGACTTAAATCGCCTGATTCTTCAACATAGGTACCAGCGAGTGGCAAGATTGGATTATTGGAGAAGAAGAAGCTGTCATCCACATAAAGGCTGCGTGAGTGCTCTTGTCACGTAACTTCCGTGCCAATGTGTATCATTACCATCGATATTGAAGTTATGACGCGGGCGTCAACACCTTTGACACGGCAGACGTGAGGCACCTCTTCACTTTGGTCATGAGATACTGATTTATATGATTAGTCGTACTCCAATGGGCTTTCTGAGGTCATACTTGGAAATGCGATCAAAAAACTCAACTTACCTCGGGATGAGATCGTAGTCATGACAAAGGTCAGACCTGTGATGTATTGGTTGTTTATACGTCTTAACAACTTAATTTCTAGATATCTAATGTCGTTGGCCGCAGTCCGGGCGAAAAGGTCTTCAACTCAGCTGTACATACTGATCAACTAGGCTACGTTAATCAAAGGGGTTTGAGTCGCAAGGTATGTTGGCTTCTGTGAATTTGTTGCACTATCTGATCTCACACAAATAGTACATTTTCGCATCCATCAAGAAGAGCCTAGAGCGTTTGCAACTTGATTATGTTGATGTCCTACACTGTTGGTCTCGACCCGGCATTCGGCTAAAGATTCAAGGTTGATTAATTTTCAGGTCATCGCTTTGACACAGAGACCTCGATTGAGGAGACAGTATGGCAGCACCATGCCTAAGCTTTAGTGTCCGTTGACTGACCTGCATCATACTTAGATGCAAGCTCTGCATGACGTCGTGCAAGCCGGCCATGTCCGGTACATTGGCATGTCTTCATGCTGGGCTTACCAATGTACGTTTGACATCTATTTTGTGTATATTTCCGATCTCAATGCATCTTCAGTCCAGGCAATGCAAAGTGAGATTTTAACTTTGGCGTGAGCGAGTTGAAATTTAATTGCATGAAATCTGTTTAGACTACGCGATTGCAAACCACCTCACACCTTTCATTTCTATGCAGAATCACCACAGTTTGATCTATCGCGAAGAGGAACGAGAAATGTTCCCCACACTGAAGGTTTGATTTAGTTATCTTTATCTATTTCTGTCTCTTGATCATCATAGTAGATGTTTGGCGTCGGATGCATCCCCTGGTCACCGCTTGCCCGAGGACTGCTCACCCGCCCCCTTCAAGTTGGCGAGCAAACAATTCGTCGAAAGACTGACCCGTTAGTTGCCATCATCTATATTTACGCGGAATCATTCATAAAAACAACGTTATAGAGCCATTAACTTATACGTCCAGCATGAGTCTGACAAAGACATTATAAACCGGTGAGATTGGCCACTCCTCACCCCTCCATCTAGCAGATTCTGAAAAGACACATAGCCTCGAGCAAGTTGCAGAGCAGAAAGGCGCAAGTATGGCGCAAATAGCCCTTGCTTGGTCGATGGCACAAGATATCGTGACGGCGCCGATCGTCGGGCCCATGTCCCTGAAGCACCTGCAGGATCTGCTCGGTATGTGTGTTGCAATCAAAGAGCAGACGTCTCGATCTGATTCTTCTTTAGGTGCCGTTGATATCACTCTGACCGCAAAAGAGCTTAAGTACTTGGAGGAGTCTTATAAGCCTAAGTGTGTCATAGGTCACATATGAATTTCTTCCGGTAATTGAACCAATGAAACCGTGACTGGTTCGAGACGAATATTTTTGATTAGGTTGCGTTTGTATCTAAAGCCGTACACATATGCTTCTGCGTGATATAACTATAACAACACCGTGACGCAACGCAAATAAACGAACAAGTCAAATGGCACACCTCGCCTCTCTCGAGTCCGGACTGTCAATTATGATCTGCGCTGTGGGAACTCCCCGTGCGTGTGCACCGATACTATGTAGAACCAAAAATTGATATTCACGCCACTCCATAATGATTATCGCATTCGGACTCGATACCTCGTCCTGTCTCTTTCATCGTTCTTCGAAACAAAAATAAATAAATACATATTACAACGAAATATTTGCCAAGAACCCATGTCTGCTTTAAATCCACTTCGCAACACCAAAAAAATAAGTACCACGACGAAACTTGAAATCAAGAACAAAGTAAATTCTCCTGCTCCCTACAGAGCACCAGACTACCATCAACTTCATCAACTTCATCAAGTATCTCCTGTGCTACACACCACTGCCAGTCGATACATGCACGCGCTCCTGGAAAGCGATTGAGGTCATGCCGGTTGCTGTGTCGGAGTCGACCACGAGCTTAGCGTTATATTCTCGAATGCTAAGGATGAGGCGTGGTCCCAGCACGAAGGACCGTACGACTGTCAAAATCTGAAGAACACCAATGAAAAGCTGAGATGCCAGGGACAATCGGTTCTATAGAAATGATGAACCGTGGTCGCATGCACAGGTCAGTGAAAGATTGGCATACCGCTGAAATTGTTGGAGACCAAAAACCAACGAGGTTGATGCAAGACCCAGCAACATAACTACCACGTTCAATCATTCAGCAGAAAAGGGAACAATATCCACAATATGAGCTCACCTCGCAAAATAAAGCACGTGGGATTTTATCAACACCGTGAAACAGTCCCCGATAATCCCTCCTGCCGAATGTTGTCGCAGTTCACGAAAGTGTTTTACAGCAATCCAGACTGCAAGACACAGTACGAGGACCTCCCATATAGGGCTGAGTATCCAAATAATGCCATCCAGAACTATGACTTCATGCAGATAGCTAGGCACCCATACATGGGTGCCGGAGACAACGAGTTCCTCTGCTATTCATCAATGAGCCTCATGCACGTTTTCCATTCACAATTAAGCGTACCCCTTGAAATATACCACATTGTCATCACGGCGGCCACTCCGTCGAAAATGTTGACAGCCAAGCACACCACGACGAGAAGTATCAGGATCCTTCTGGATCGTTGATACATGGCATGTAACCGAGCGATCATGATGACTTGCAAGATATTTCAGTCAACTCAATATCACAGGCCTTGTGATTGCACAACTCACCACACAGCATTGGAAATACCACAACGTTCACACACTCCCGCATGATGTACACTATCCGGCCTGAGGAATCCAGTTAGTTATCAGGCTCGGGTGGATCCCACACTCCAAACAGACTCACATCTGTGGAATTCATGACAGTGAACGAAGAAGCTGATAAATAAGACACTCACCCCTACAGAGCGCCGCGGTCAATTGGACGGGAATAGCAGGAATAGGTGCAGAAGACTCACTGCATCTGTCAACGAGACCGCCGGAATACTGGCTGTATGCCGCAGGTCAGAAGAAACAAACAATCTCAAAGTGAGAAGACATACCCAGTATGTCGAGGCTGAGTGTGAGAGATGGCCGATTAGCACAACACCAATTGTTTGGCCTTCTGAACATACATTATATATAATACTCCAAGATAGCGCACCTAGGTTATTGTCAAGTCAGCACAACTTCACAACAGGCAAGATACATACACTCAGATAGAGGACGGTCATGAGGGACCAACGTTGCCTCTGTCGCAAATCAATTTTGTTCTTCTGACATGGACTCGGAACTCTGCTCACCCAGACAAGTTCGACCTAAAAAAAATCATTCTTAGCGAGATGGCGGCTCCGGTCATAGCATCAGCATACCTCTTGTCCAAGTGTAAGGGCTGGAAATACTTGTATGAAATGAGCCATTCACTAATGTTATCATGCTCACCCCAATCATACGTCACTCCAACACAGGCGGCAACTGTGAAACCACAGTCAAGGTTAGATTGAGACATCAGCGTCAACATCTGCTCTTCACGAACTTGCAAAATAGCTGCCAATACGATATGAATTGATGAGCGGCCAATAACTAGGGTCGTCTGAGACCAGGGTCATACTGCGAGAGGATGGATGCCAGGAAGCGGGGAACTTGGTGGACATACGACAATGACATTCGTACTAGATATACTATCATCATAGTCTCGTTCCCGTTCTAGGGAACATCATCAACAAAAGTGCCGCTGGCATGCACGGCCGGTCGCTGCCTTGTATGGTATACAAACCCCGAACAGAATTGCAGAAAGTATGTAGGGCTTGTAGCATGTATGCAAGTACTAGCAGAGATGTATGGAATGTAAAGTTTGTACACGAAATGTGTGGAATGTAAAGCTCGTAAACGAAATGTGTGGAATGTAAAGCTGGTATATAAAATGTGCGAGGTTTTTTTTTTTTTTTTTTGCTTCAGAGTTGGTCCTTTGGGGTTATAAACCCTATGTTGGACATTTTTCTCGTCATAAGCATTCTTTCTTTGTTGTTTTGACTCTATAGGATTCCGGTTATCGTGCTGACTCGTACTCTGCCACCGAAGTGGTCAAGCACAGAAAAGGAGGCCTGCGGGGAGAAGGATTTGTTAGTAGAGGTAGGGTGATGTTTAGTTGAGATGGTTTTTGTGGTGCGGATCCTCTAGAAACGTGTCTTCTCTTTTTCCCGACAGTGACATCTTTGTTGGATGTCGTTCCTTACGTGGTCGAGTAGTGATGGATGTTGTTGTTACATATGTTATATTTCTCCGAACGTGGGTTTGAGACGTCCGGTGCTGTTGATATATCGAAGGAGGTGTGGGGTTGCTTTTTCGGATGAGAGGAGGTGGGTTATGGACAGTGCGTTTCGGCGGGTCGCGTTAGCGTATATGTGTCGTTCTCTTTGGTATTGAGGGCATTCGAATATAAAATGGTGTATAGTTTCGTTCGTTCCTGGGCATGTCGGGCAGTGAGGAGATTCGGATTTGTTGATGCGATGAAGGTGGTAATTGAGGGGTATGTGGCGTGTTCGTAATTGGATGTATATACTGGATTGACGTTTTGGTAGGCCGTTTGTGAGCTTGAGGTAGTTGGCAGAGGGCATTGATGGGTCGATTTCTCGGGTGCGAGTGTAGCGTGGCGATTTCTTCCATAGTGCTTTCCAGAGGTCCCTTACCTTGTTCTTCTGGGCTGCTCGTAGAGCTGGTGCGCTGCTTAGAAGTTTCTTGCTTTGGAGGTATTTCGGTAGGTGTCGGTTCGAGCTGTTTCTATGGGGGCCTTCAGCCGCTAGCTTCGCTTCTTGGTCTGCGAATTCGTTTCCTGCTACGTTTTCGTGTCCGGGTATCCAGCGGATGGTGAGGTCGAAGTCACCTTGTTCGTTTCTACGCTTTGATAGGTGTTTTACCATATTCTTGAATTTCCCAGGTATGTAGTCGCTGCTGTCCTTGTTCGTCCTCGTCCCGCACTTGATTGCGGCTTGGTTGTCTAATAATATGGAGACCGGGTATGTTACATTTCTTTCCGTGGCGAGTAGACGTGCTGCAAGAGTTAGACCCAGCGTCTCGGCTTCGTATACAGTATGTTCATCATTCGGGCCTAGGTGGTATCGTAGCTTTCGTGGTTCCTGCCCGTCGCGTATTAGTACTGCTGCTGCTCCGATTCCTCCTTTATATCCTGATCCGTCGGTAAATATCTGAATCGAGTCCCTTAGGCGTTTTTGTTCTCGTATGGCTATTTCCTTAGTTCCGGCGATCCTTGTCTTGTAGTTAGGTTCGTTTAACGGTTTCGTTCGACGCGTCGGGTCTAGCGTTTCGATTTCGTTGGGGAAGATCCGGAACGTGTGGATGAGGTTGTGTAACGACGAGCGATGGGTTTGGACATTGTGTTTCGCTATCCAATCTAACTTGTCGTGTAGCGGGTGTGATTGAGGTAGCGTGGCCAGTCGGACGGTGGCCCGGTGACAGATCTTTTGCAGGAGAAGGGGTATGGGAAGGAGGTTGGCGTGTGCTTCCAGTGCATCGGTCGGGGAGGTTCTCATGGCTCCGGTAATACTTATGGCTGCTATCCGCTGTATTGAGGTAAGTCTTTTCGCTATGCCTTTGGACCCTCGTAGTGTCGCGGTTACGTCTGATCCCTTTTTGAACATTGGTCGGAACCAGATATCAGCTCCATATGCGAATTTCGGGACGGCTACAGCTAGGTACAGGTGACGCATTAGTTTGGTCGGGATTCCCATGGACGTTTTCGAGAGTCGTCGGATCAATAGTACGTGTTCGGTTCCTTTCGCTACTGCGTGTGCTGCGTGTTCCTTCCAGGTGAGTTCTTGGTCCACTATTATACCGAGGAAGCGAGTGTGGTGCGATGGCGGGATGGTTATACCATTGAGGGTGATTGGTCTCCGTTCCTTGGTTTTGCTGCGCGTGAAGTCCACCAGTGCGAATTTCGAAGTTTCGAACTTCGAATTGTGTTCTCTTGACCATTGGTATCCTCCGTTCTCTCGTTCGAGCATATCTTGAAGCATAAGGTGCGTTTCTTCGAACGTTTCGGCTACGGCAATGTATGCGGTGTCGTCCACGAAGGCTAGGGCGGTCTCTTCTCGTCGGTTTCCTATGCGTCCCTTGGCTACCTCGACTAGGTCCGAGTTATAAATTAAGTAGCATATCATAGATAATGGATCTCCCTGTCCGATACCATTAGTTACCTCAAACCAGTCTGACACGAAGTCGTCGAATTTTAGCTGTGTGCGGCGTCCTGTGAGCATGCGTTCTGTGAATGATACGAGTTCTGGTGGAAGTTTTCGGCGTTTCATGTTGTGGATCAACCGGCTGGTGACTGCGTTCGGAAACGCGCCTTCGATATCTAGGAATAGGGCCGTTGCTACTCGTTTCGTTCTCCAGGCGTCCTTGATGATGGCTTCTAGTAGATGTACCGAATGTGCGAGGTTTGTAAGCGTCGTGCAAGCATTAGCAGAGATGTGTTAAATGTAAAGCGTGTACATGACATGTGTTGAATGTAAAGCTCATAGATGAAATGTGTCGGATGCAAAACTGATACAAGAAATGTGTGAAGATTGTATAGTTGTAACAAGTCTCATGAGTTAATGCAGAAGATTGTAGCGTGCGTGCACAAATGTAAAGCTTGTACAGCCGCTGGTGCTGGAACTTTCAAGTTGCAACTGGCACCTACCATCCGCGTCAGAGTCAACGAGTATCAAGTACAGCTGAGTAAACCTAGCTGCAGAGCTCATACTCAAACCTATAGCGCATCCCGAGATTGTGTGATCAATCTGCACATTCTGCAAAATGGCATACAAACTCGAACTAACTCTATGAAGTGTTAACTAGTACATCATCAGAACTCGCTGAAACCCTCTAGTAGTTCTTCATCACTGTCCTCGCCATCCTCTGCACCCAGCTCGTCGTCAATCTCATCGCCGACATTGCCTTCAACGACTTCATCGTCCTCTCCGTCACCTTCATCTTCGTTCAAGTCCTCCCCTTCAATCTCCTGCTGAATTCCGGAGTAGCCGTAGTCGTCGTTGTCTGAGTCGGGCTGGTCCGAGTCACCTTCATCCAGCTCGATGGCTTTGCCTTGAGTAGCAGACCCTTCCACATAGTCAACCGTGTTACTTTCATCACCCTCGGCACCTTTGTTCTGGTTAGAGACTACTGCAGCGCTGGCATGACGTACGTCCAATGGATCGCGATCATCCAGAAAGCCATCTGTGGCTTCGCGAGTTGTTCGATGACCAACACCACCCCCACGAAACCTCATGAGCATATCTCGATCGACAAAACTGTTATAAGTATCAGCAGTTAAGATATCTCATGGTAAT